GAAAAAATGGCGACTATGTACAAGAATAGCTCAAAGATAACGTTTCCAATGGTAAGTTAGTTTTCTCAAAAATAAAAAAATTCTGTGCCTGAAAAAATGTGGGAATATTATTTTTGAGACAACCACACTAAAAAAATAATGCGTAGAAAAAATGGCGACTATGTACAAAAATAGCTCAAAGATCAGCGTTTCCAATGGTAAGTTAGTTTTCTCAAAAAGAAAAAAAATCTGTGCCTGAAAAAATGTGGGAACATTATTTTTGAGACAACCACGCCAAAAAAATAATGCGTAGAAAAAATGGCGACTATGTACAAAAATAGCTCAAAGATCAACGTTTCCAATGGTAAGTTAGTTTTCTCAAAAAGAAAAAAATTCTGTGCCTGAAAAAATGTGGGAACATTATTTTTGAGACAACCACGCCAAAAAAATAATGCGTAGAAAAAATGGCGACTATGTACAAAAATAGCTCAAAGATCAACGTTTCCAATGGTAAGTTAGTTTTCTCAAGAAGAAAAAAATTCTGTGCCTGAAAAAATGTGGGAACTTTATTTTTGAGACAACCACGCCAAAAAAATAATGCGTAGAAAAAATGGCGACTATGTACAAAAATAGCTCAAAGATCAACGTTTCCAATGGTAAGTTAGTTTTCTCAAAAAGAAAAAAATTCTGTGCCTGAAAAAATGTGGGAACATTATTTTTGAGACAACCACGCCAAAAAAATAATGCGTAGAAAAAATGGCGACTATGTACAAAAATAGCTCAAAGATCAACGTTTCCAATGGTAAGTTAGTTTTCTCAAAAAGAAAAAAATTCTGTGCCTGAAAAAATGTGGGAACATTATTTTTGAGACAACCACGCCAAAAAAATAATGCGTAGAAAAAATGGCGACTATGTACAAAAATAGCTCAAAGATCAACGTTTCCAATGGTAAGTTAGTTTTCTCAAAAAGAAAAAAATTCTGTGCCTGAAAAAATGTGGGAACATTATTTTTGAGACAACCACGCCAAAAAAATAATGCGTAGAAAAAATGGCGACTATGTACAAAAATAGCTCAAAGATCAACGTTTCCAATGGTAAGTTAGTTTTCTCAAGAAGAAAAAAATTCTGTGCCTGAAAAAATGTGGGAACTTTATTTTTGAGACAACCACGCCAAAAAAATAATGCGTAGAAAAAATGGCGACTATGTACAAAAATAGCTCAAAGATCAACGTTTCCAATGGTAAGTTAGTTTTCTCAAAAAGAAAAAAATTCTGTGCCTGAAAAAATGTGGGAACATTATTTTTGAGACAACCACGCCAAAAAAATAATGCGTAGAAAAAATGGCGACTATGTACAAAAATAGCTCAAAGATCAACGTTTCCAATGGTAAGTTAGTTTTCTCAAAAAGAAAAAAATTCTGTGCCTGAAAAAATGTGGGAACATTATTTTTGAGACAACCACGCCAAAAAAATAATGCGTAGAAAAAATGGCGACTATGTACAAAAATAGCTCAAAGATCAACGTTTCCAATGGTAAGTTAGTTTTCTCAAAAAGAAAAAAATTCTGTGCCTGAAAAAATGTGGGAACATTATTTTTGAGACAACCACGCCAAAAAAATAATGCGTAGAAAAAATGGCGACTATGTACAAAAATAGCTCAAAGATCAACGTTTCCAATGGTAAGTTAGTTTTCTCAAGAAGAAAAAAATTCTGTGCCTGAAAAAATGTGGGAACTTTATTTTTGAGACAACCACGCCAAAAAAATAATGCGTAGAAAAAATGGCGACTATGTACAAAAATAGCTCAAAGATCAGCGTTTCCAATGGTAAGTTAGTTTTCTCAAAAAGAAAAAAATTCTGTGCCTGAAAAAATGTGGGAACATTATTTTTGAGACAACCACGCCAAAAAAATAATGCGTAGAAAAAATGGCGACTATGTACAAAAATAGCTCAAAGATCAACGTTTCCAATGGTAAGTTAGTTTTCTCAAGAAGAAAAAAATTCTGTGCCTGAAAAAATGTGGGAACTTTATTTTTGAGACAACCACGCCAAAAAAATAATGCGTAGAAAAAATGGCGACTATGTACAAAAATAGCTCAAAGATCAACGTTTCCAATGGTAAGTTAGTTTTCTCAAGAAGAAAAAAATTCTGTGCCTGAAAAAATGTGGGAACTTTATTTTTGAGACAACCACGCCAAAAAAATAATGCGTAGAAAAAATGGCGACTATGTACAAAAATAGCTCAAAGATCAGCGTTTCCAATGGTAAGTTAGTTTTCTCAAAAAGAAAAAAATTCTGTGCCTGAAAAAATGTGAGAACTTTATTTTTGAGACAACTATGCCAAAAAAAAATGCGTAGAAAAAATGGCGACTATGTACAAGAATAGCTCAAAGATAACGTTTCCAATGGTAAGTTAGTTTTCTCAAAAATAAAAAAATTCTGTGCCTGAAAAAATGTGGGAATATTATTTTTGAGACAACCACACTAAAAAAATAATGCGTAGAAAAAATGGCGACTATGTACAAAAATAGCTCAAAGATCAGCGTTTCCAATGGTAAGTTAGTTTTCTCAAAAAGAAAAAAAATCTGTGCCTGAAAAAATGTGGGAACATTATTTTTGAGACAACCACGCTAAAAAAATAATGCGTAGAAAAAATGGCGACTATGTGCAAAAATAGCTCAAAGATCAGCGTTTCCAATGGTAAGTCAATTTTCTCAAAAAGAAAAAAATTCTGTGCCTGAAAAAATGTGGGAACTTTATTTTTGAGAAAACCACGTCAAAAAAAAACGCGTAAAAAATGGCGACTATGTACAAAAATAGCTCAAAGATCAACGTTTCCAATGGTAAGTTAGTTTTTCAAAAAAAAACTCCATGAGCCTGAAAACATGTGGGAACCTTATGTTTGAAACAACCACGTCAAAAAAGAAAATGCGTAGAAAAAATGGCGACCATGTACAAAAATAGCTCAATAACCAACGTTTCCAATGGTAAATTTGTTTTTCAAAAAAAAATTCCTTGTGCCTAAAAAAATGTGGAAACCTTATTTTTGAGACAACCACGTCAAAAAAAATGCGTAGAAAAAGTTGCGACTATATGCAAAAATAGCTCAAAAATCATCGTTTTCAATGGTAAATTCATTTTTTTAAATAAAAAATTCCTTGTGCCTGAAAAAATGTGGGAACCTTATTTTGGAGACAACCCTCGTATAAAGCCAACAATTTCCAAAAGACAACATGCTTCTTTATATACTAAGTGACATATAAATCCGAACACCCATTTTAAATGGTTTTATTTTAATAAAAGTTGGTGAATGTATTTATCTTACTGTAAATAACAAGTGCCTTATCAGTTGGACATTCCGGTTTTTATACCGCTTTTTTTTAATTCACTAACGCTCTAAAAATGAATATTTCAGCCGCAGTAAAGAATCAACGTTGGCGGATTTTGGTTCTTGACATCCTTTACGATCGGTTACGATGCCTATAGTACGGAGACCTGTACGATTTCGTCAACTTAGTGAGTTTGATAGGGGCCGTATAGTGGGACTTCGGGAAGCTGGACTTTCTTTTCGGGCAATTGCAGTTATAGTGCAAAGAAGTGTAGACACTGTGGTTAGGTGTTGTCAGGCATGGCTTCGAGAAGGCCGCACGCAAACAGCAAGGGGCACTGGACGCCGCCGTAGAACAACAGACCGTGAAGATCGCCGCCTAAGATTATTGGCCTTAAGGGACCGTTTCTCCACTACCAAGTCCATTGCAAATGAATGGTTTGCAGAACACGGAAGACCTATTGGCATGCGAAGTGTTTACCGACGAATGAGAAGTTTTGGCTTGTTTTCATACCGGCCACACTGGGTCCTCCCTTTAACTCGAGAACACCGACGTAATCGCCTTGAGTGGTGCAGACAACGGTCACTCTGGGATCAGGAATGGAACAGTATTGCCTTTAGTGACGAGTCTCGATTTTGTTTAGGCATGCACGATGGTCGTGCCAGGGTTAGAAGGCGACGTGGTGAAAGGAGGAATCCACAGTTTTTTGTTGAAAGACATGTTCATCACACTGTTGGAGTTATGGTTTGGGGTGCTATAGCTTATGGTTCCAGGTCACCTTTAATCGTCATCAGAGGTAACATGAACGCGCAGCGTTATATCCACGAAGTTCTAGAACCCCATCTTTTATCCTATCTTGACACCCTGGCAGATCCAACTTTCCAACAAGATAATGCCCGACCACATGTTGCAAGAGTCACAATAGACTTCTTTCAACATAATGATGTCACATTGTTACCATGGCCACCAAGATCTCCCGACTTATACCCAATTGAGCACGTGTGGGATATGATGGGTAGGAGATTGCTCAATTTGCAACGTCCTCCTCAGACTCTAGAAGCACTTCGAGAGGAGTTGGTGGTTGCCTGGAATGAGATACCACAGGAGGACATTGACCACCTGATCAGAAGCATGCCTAGGCGCGCTGGAGAATGCGTAGCACATCAGGGTGCATCCACACATTATTAAAGGTCAAAGGGCTTTAAAGCAGTGCAATCATTTTGAAATTTTTATCATTTACTTATTATGCTTCGTTAAGTACTTATACAAAATTTTATTAAAATAAAACCATTTAAACTGGGTGTTCGGATTTATATGTCACTTAGTATAATTGCCGTGTTTTCAGATGAAATAACTTCATCCAAAATGCTAAGAACACTTTTTTGCACGAGAATTTTAAAAATTTTTCGGAGAAGACTACTTTCTCTCAAAAAGGCCTCGCCTAAGGACGGCTCTGCTTTGTCCCTAGGGTGTCGAGATTGTAGAACAATCTACAAGAGGAAGCTTTTCCCAGTTCTACTAACCTTTGGCAGTTCAATAATCGGATTCACAAAATTTATTTGGGATCCTCATAGCAGCCGCGGTGTTCTGGCATTTAGGATTTTGCCTTCGCGGCTGCTTCAGTCTAAAGAAAGGCTCTAATGATCGCGACAGATGTAGTACAAAACCGGAAATGATGAATAATAAAAACTAACCTTGAACAGGTACTACAATAGCGATAGCTAACATTCCAAGGAAAGCAGATTTTCCTACTTCTTTGGACAGGAAGTAGACTATGCATATTGCTTGTAAAGGGGCGATCCATAAATAATGAAGAAATATAGGTGCCATATCGAAACGATTCACATCATTCGACATTAAATTCACTGCATTACCCACTGTTTGACCTCCTAATGATGTTAACTTTATTCTTAACGCCTACAAGTAAAACATCGTAATTTATTTAAGCGTAGCACTTCCAGTTGTCACTTTTAAGTTTGAAAAGTTCGGCAATATCTTCGCATCTGATGGGAAAAATATTCTCAATCGGATTTTTTCATCGAACCTGCACGTTGCCGAGCTGGAATTTGAAAGTACCGACGTACAGTGAACACACGATGCTCAACGTTCCAAACCATCTTGCCAACTGAAACGGCACTTCTCTCACTGTCCAACACGCCCTTCCCCACCGACACGGAACCAGCCCACTCGATGTAGTACCCATTCGAAAAACTGCGTTCTTTCTGACGGACCCTGTATTTATATGTAACGAAGCACCTAGGGTGTGTTAAAAGTATGTACCATAAATTTAACAGGCGATTCGTTGGGTAAACAAAAAAGGGACAGTCCCAAACTTAGTATTTATAAGCTATTAATCATTAATTTTTATAAAAAGTAATTTTAGTGGTTATTTTAAAATTTTAACATCTTGTACATTGAGGACGAAGAATTTACAGACCTACGTTTATATAAACTTTTTATCTTAAAATTACACATAGAACCCCGATAGCATTAAACAGTTATTAAATATTTTTAACAAATGTTTGTTAAATATTTGTGGCGACAGATTTTTTAATATTTAATAAATATACAGCAGACGCTCGATAATGTAAACTAATTTGATCCAAGTGTGGTTCACATTATCGAAATGTTTTCATTAGCGAACGTGATTTATATAATATTTGATTTATTAAAAGAAACGTTTAATACATACTATTTATAACAAAATAAACAAATATTCTAACAGCGATAAGTATTTTTTTAATTAGAAGAAAAATAAGTAACAATTTTTGTCTGCGTAAATTTGCGCTTAGCATTGTCTTCCAATGCCTGCGCCCGTAATTTACGAACAACTAAAATATCCGTGTATGAAACTTCTTTTCTTTCAGCCCAATCTAAAGCTTGGTTAAAAACTTGTATAGCTTGCGCGTCAGTCACTACACTTCTGACTTCAATGGGATCGTTCTCATCATCCTCACTGTCCATATCCTCCTCCTTATCAGCATCATTCGTCTGCTTATCTTCGTTCCATAAATTAATATCAGCAGGAGTACAAACAATGTTGGGATTCACTGTTTTCAATAAATCAACAACATCCAATGACACACTAATAACATTATCATTATTGGATCGCAAACGTTCTCTAATTACGCTTAAGGGGACATCGTCTTCTTCATCATCTTCATTATTGGTACAAAAGAGATTGTTCCAACATTTTTGAATAGTTTGCTGGTTAAGTTCATTCCAGGCCATATGTAAATCTAAAACAGCTTCTCGAATGTTACTTTTTTTAAAGCCTCAGATAAGTTTTCAGGATTCTTTGATAAGACAGACGAAAGTAGAAACTTCCTATGGTATAGTTTGGTGGGTCTTATTATATTCTGGTCTATCGGTTGAATTAACGGTGTTACGTTTGTGTAAGAAAACAAATATTAAAGTCAGATAAAAATATTATTAAATATTAAATAAATATTCATTGAATATTTCGTGTTATTGGGGAATCGTCTGTTAAAATTATGGTACACACTCAGTTAACACCCTGTATACAGGGTGACTTTGAAGTTGAGTCATTAATTTTCAGATAATGATTGTAGAAGGAAGATAAACCAAAATATGTGTGTAAAAATAAAAAAAATAAAAAAAAATTTTACCTTGTTTTATAAAGTATCCTCCCGATAAGTATTTCAGTGCGGACCTGTATTTGATCGTGAGGTCTTGGAGCACCTGTGAGGTCTTAAGTCATCTGATTCACGAGCCCGTTGTACTACATTAACAAAGGCACGAGGGATTGGTTGCACTCGACTGGGAAAATGCCATTTTTTATTTCGTTTGAGCCACGCAGCAAAAACTCACGCGTTAGCGACTGACACAGACTGAATAAAAACATCGTGATCAGCGTTTCAAATTCTTTCGCTTTTTTGTTTCCGATGCGATGAACTGATAAGGCGGATTATATCCGTTGTTACCAAACACGAGCACATAATATTATAATTGAGACAGGCGGTACTCAAACTTCTAAAGGGCTATAACTTTGTTACTTTAATTTTACCACAAAAATGTTAAAGGAAAAAACATTTCTTTTGATCAGATCTACTCACTGTTAAAATAAATGACTCAACTTCGAAGTCACCCTGTATACCTGTTGGCCAGTGGCGTACTATACGTCACTGTTCCAATTTGCTACTCGACAATATAGATAAAGTATAGCTGGAAATTCCAAATATCGTTTTTACAAATGATCTTTAACAGCGTTCAAATTAAAGAATAATAAATAAGCTTTACCTTTCTATAAATCAACGAGCAACATGCCACTCTCATTTGCATCCCAACATGTAAAACCTCCATCGCAAACGGATGGAAGGTGCAGATAACGAGAGCACTGCACAAAATTATACCGGATGCCATAAAGTAGGCTTCAGTTTTTTGAATTGGACTTTGAGGGGTCCAGTAACTCCAAAGTCTAGCGATGTAAGTTGGTTGATAAATGCTAGAAAATGAAACTAGTATTAAGATAGTTCTTTCACCGACGAGTTGCGATCGGCAAATCTGTAGGGATTTTGAACTTACAGCACAATTCGAAACGTCGTGTTTTCGTTATAAAATAGATTTTCAACAGGTTTTCAGTTAGTTTTAATTAACGATAGAATTTGTCAGTGCATTGACAAACTTTATAGAAAAAAGTGTAGCATAAACTTACGGATCACCTCTTTCTAGCCTTTGCAAATTTTCCGGGTTGAAATACCTTATGTAGAGGCCTACAAACAGGGGCTGCGATAACCTAAAACAGAGTTTTATATGGACAATAGAATGTCCCGAAAAAATAAAAGTTCTTTTTTTCAAACGCATACTCTCATATCAGCAGCAGTGTCCTGGAATTTGACATTCTGCCTGCGCGGCTGCTTCGGTACACAAAAATCTATAGGCTATATTCATGAATAAAAAAATTCGAAAATGAAAACGACCTATATTACTCAAATTTCGATTTGAACGGTTTACTTCCTGCTTAGTACCTTAATTTATTTTTAAATTTCAAATTTAGGTTTTTATCGAAAAGTACAGAAAATGTCATAAATGAAACGTATCGACAGTCGTCCCTACAATTCTAGGGCGCGTTTATGGCCTCCTTGATTGTCATAGTTTTCTACTTCTCCGTGTCAGAGCTCTATTTTGAGGTTATGTCACAAACATCTATTTGCATCAAATTGTGCTTGCTTTTGAGTTATATCATGTTTTATCAGCCTGAAATTTCCTACAATTTAAAATGAAAACATATCTGAACAACAGGAGGCCATAAATACACCCTACAATTGTAGGGACGACTGACGATACGGGCCTTAATATCCCAATTACTTCATGAGTATCCATCACGGTAGAATGACAGCTGATTGTCTAGTAATATCTCAAAATTCCCCACATCAGCACAGGACACATAATTCTGACGGATCCGTCAACGTCAGGTAGTCAGAGCCGTATTTTGTTTTTTTTTTGTACGCTACAGATGCATTTTGTACTTGCTAACAGCTCTTTTACTTAGAAAGGTTCATCTAAATACAAAAAACAAATCGCCAAAAACAAGTTTTACCAGACTTATACCCGATTGATTATTGCCAACGTTGCAGAGTAACACATAAATGTCACTTGCTGATCAGCTGTAGTAGACGTCAAAGAGTGATGGATACTCGTAAAATAGGGTATAGTAGTTTTGAACTAGGAAACATTTTTCTTGAAAAAAATCCCGATTTTAAGCAAGGTTATTCTTTCGAATTTCATAACTTAGCAAATACTGCGGTTATTATGAGTTCAAGCCCAAATTACTTTTTGCACCGCTCTATAATATAGCACTCGATGATCTTGATGCTTAAACACTGTATACCTTACAACCATTTCCATTACAAATAAGATGCAGCCATATAAGATAATGTCAGAGTAAAATGTCCTGAGTATTGTTTTAGTCATGCTGGGCCTCTTATGTTTGATCCAAATTCTCGATATTTTATCGCCCAAAAGCTGAGACTTGTGACGATTAAGAGGTTTTGTTAAATCTTCTTCTGTTATATCTCTTTTTCTACCTTTGTTGAAAATTGGTAGTGTATACCTTAAATGTAAGGAACTGAGTAAATCACCATGAATACCCTAACGCCACAGCACTTACCAAAAAGTGATGATAGAGAAAAAATTAGACTTATATCTAATATTCTCTGCTTGCACTCTTTCGATACTGGAGAAATGCTTCATGTTTCGATATGTATTCTTAAATGAACTAACACTGCTTACTAGAAGATTCCAAAAACGTCTTTCCAGTGATGTGGTTACATATTGAAGCCATTCAAGAGGCATTTTTTCCTATCTGACTTTAGACAACACCATTCTAGATGGTGATTTTATTTTTTAAATTCAAACTCCAATAGCGGAAATATCAGTTTCTGCGAATATCGCGTTCTGTGATAGTTTGTGCATGGAACAACGTTCACGGAAGAAACTTTGCGTCAGTCCAGAGACAAGCAGTATTCTTATCCGCCATCTTTGTACTAGTGGCTACAGATTGAGTTTTATCAACGAATTCAGGCTAGGTATTGACCTTTTATTATCCATTACCCTAGAATAACAATTTTAACGTAAGAAAAGCGTTAAAACGTCAACTTGTGCCCCGCTTCTACTACAAGTTAGCATGAAGAGATATTTCATAGGGAAACCTACAATAGACATGAAAAATCGATATAGTGTCACTTTTTCAGTTACGTGAAATAAATGTATCTCATTTTAATACATTGTCTGTGTGTGGGTGGCTTTAAAATTGCTCATTAATAATTATCCCATCCCTACCAACCGTCATCTCGTTCTGTCAATTCTGTGATCGACAAAAAACTTTGACAGTGACAGATAATATAACCTAAATAGCCGCCACAAACAAAACTGTTTTTGCTTTCTGATAGTACTTCCTCTTGTGTATATTTATGCTTGTGCATTAAGTGAAAATAACATTGGTATTCGGAAATGCCTCTTCCTCCGGCCTTAGCTGCTAAATTGTCGAAGCGAGGGATAATAGCTCGTAAGTTTAAATTTGCATTGTATGTTTTCTCTAGGATTTAACGCAACCTTTGATCATTTAGGCAAGCAGAAACCTGAACCTGTCAAGAAACAAGACTTCAAAGGCTTATCAGCATGTCCAAATAAATCCAATGTTTACCACGAGTGCAATGTCTGGTGTGAGACACATTGGAAAGGTGCTGCAACTCCCGATTCTGTATATCAAAGAAAAATACAGAAACTGCTCGCAAAATATCCGCTACCCATGAACTGGACGGATATTTTCGACAAAGGATGGTATGTGCATTATTTAAGTATGGTGGGGTACTCTAATATTCAATGTATATCTGAAGGTAGTTTTGTAGAATTTTGAATACAAATCCTTTAAATGCATAATGATGCAATTTTGTAAGTAATTCATCCCTGTCAATAGTTTTAAACGCACTTTTAAAGTTCAAAAGCACTGTCACTGTATGTTTCCTATTGTCCATACATCTTATCTAGTCTAAAACCATTATGTATTGCCATTTTAGTTGAGTATTTCTTCCTGAATCCAGCTTGAAATTTGCTTAAAATTTTATTTCCCCCAATAAATTCGATGATCTGTTTGTAAATAGTTCCTTCAAAGACATTTTCAACATCTGGCAGAACATTTATTGGCTGCATATTATTCAAAATTCTCAACCTTCGAAACAGGAGTTGTATTTTAAACAGTAATTTATCAGGATTCTTGCTTTAATAATATCAAAACATTCATTAAGCACCCTTTTAGACAAAATGTCAATGTGGACGCCTATAATAACTTCAAATCGCTTAGAAACCGTGCTCTTAACATGATCAGGAGGGACAAAAAGACATATATCGAAAATTTGGCAAATGAAAATGATTCAAAAAAATTATGGAAGTCTCTCAAACAACTTGATATAAATTTTCATAGTAAACCAACCCTTCCGGCAAGTTTTAATGACCCTACCAAAATTAATGATTATTTTATGTCTGTTTATAGCTATAAACCTGTTGATTCACTAGTTTGCGACAACTATTTCAAAAATAAATTGAGCTCTGAATATATTTTTTCATTGAATAAGATTAGTTCAAATGATGTATTAAAGGCAATAGGGAGCCTAAAATCTGATGCGAAGGGAATTGATGGTATATCCCTGTCAATGATCCAGCTTTGCCTGCCAGTTATTCTCCATCACATCGTCCACATCTTTAACGACTGTTTGGAAAAAGGCTACGTTTCAAACACATGGAAACAAGCTCTAATTATTCCAATTCCTAAAAAAATGAAACCCACTGAGTATAATGATCTCAGACCTATCAGTTTATTACCAATTTTATCCAAAATTTTAGAAAAAATTATAAAGTTCCAATTGACCCCTTACCTAGAAAAATTCTTTATACTTCCCGACACTCAATCCAGATTTAGAAAAAATTATAGTACAACATCTGCCTACTCTTAATCTGCAAGACAATATTTTAAGTGCCTTAGATAAGAAAATGGCACTAGCCTTAATTTCTATAGACTATTCGAAAGCCTTTGACAGCATCAATCATAAATTATTACTTGCTAAATTAAATTACATAGGTCTTGACAGTGTATCCCTTTCATTTTTCGACAGTTACCTTCATCAAAGAACTCAGTGTGTTTTTCTCAATCAAGAAATGTCTCAAGTGACAATAATTCCCTCAGGCGTACCTCAGGGCTCTGTATTGGGGCCGCTTCTGTTCTCATATATACGTTCGACTTGAGCAAAAGTATTGATAATTCTCATGTCGCGTCATTTGCAGACGATACGCAATTGCTTCATTATTTTAACCCAGATAATGTCAATAATACTACTCAAATTTTACAAAACGATGTTAATAAATTAATTAAATACTCTTTAGATCACAATCTACTTATTAATCCACAAAAATCTAAAATGTTATTATTATTTTGCGCACAAAGAAAAACATACAATGTAACACAGCTCTTGAACATTCAGATAAATAACCAAATCTTGCAATTTTCTGATTCTGCAAAAATTCTTGGTGTTGTTTTTGATACAAAATTAAGGTTTATTGAACATGTTAAAAGTCTATCTCAGAAAACCTACCTACGGCTGCGCACTCTGATAGCAAACAGGTAATTACTAAATTTTAAGATGCGTAAAAAACTATGTGAAGCATTGGTCATATCTATACTAAATTATTGTAATATCGTATACTATACTTGTTTAGACAATTTCACTAAAAACGTTATTCAAGTTATTCAAAACAATTGTATACGATTCATTTTTGGCTTACGTAAATTTGATCATGTATCGGCGAAATATCCCGTTCTAAACTGGTTAAAAATTAATGACATGGTCAAGTATCACTATTCAGTTTTTGTTCACAAATTGCTGCTCACGTCTAAACCTTATTGCTTGAAGGAAAAAATTTCATTTAATAATGATGTTCACTGTAGAACTCTCAGAGAAAATAATATTAGAATACCCCTGCATACGTCTACACTTTTTAAACGCAGTTTTTCTTACAATGTTGCTATTATTTATAATGACCTTCCTAAAGTATATAAAGAATTTTCATTACCTGTCTTTCGACAAAAAGTTAAAACATTATTACTCGACCCTCCAAACATATAATTTACGTAATCATTCATTTCTTTTTTATTCCATCTTTAATTCAGATTAATAATTTTTTGGTGCATTTGGGTTTGGAAAGTATGCCTTTTTCTCTTTTTTTTTAAATTTTACTTTCAATGTAATGAACCAAATCTGTTTGTGGATAGTGTATTCTTTTGAACATCTGCTAGAGACTATATGGTTAAGTGTAAGAGTAGCAGCATGCTAAACTTCGCCATGTAAGTCTGACATTTGGCTATACTATTGGGTGGGCCATTTAAAAGTTTCGATTTAAAAATAAAATAAAACAAAAACGGTTTGAGATATTTCCAAATTTATTTTTTTGTTTTGAAGTACAATTGTTCCGCTCAGAAATGAAATATTACTTCATTCAAATGGCTGCCGCGGCTGGCCTCACAGTAGCCCATTCGATCGGACCAATTTTCGAGCACTTTTTCGAGTGTTTGGGGCCGTATCTCGTCAATGGCATCACGAATGTTGGCCTTCAAATGGTCAATTGTCTCTGGATGGTCGACATAACACTTGTCTTTAACAGCGCCCCACAGGAAATAGTCCAATGGTGTCAAATCGCAGCTTCTTGGCGGCCAATTGACATCACCATTTCGACTGATTAAACGGCCATCGAAGGTTTCGCGCAATAAGTTGATTGTGGCATGCGATGTGTGACAAGTTGCACCATCCTGCTGAAACCAAACATTCTCCACATCAATACCATCAAGAGCAGGAACAAAAAAATCAGTTATCATGGTGCGATAGGTGTTTCCATTGACAGAAACGGTTGCGCCGTCCCCGTCTTCAAAGAAATATGGGCCAATGATGCCTCCGCTCCACAATCCACACCAAACAGTCACTCGCAAGGGATGCATTGGCTTCTCTAAGACCTCGTGTGGGTTTTCCGAGCCCCAGATACGGCAATTTTGCTTATTGACGTAGCCACCAATATGAAAATGAGCTTCGTCTGAAAAGATTATTTTTTTCGCAAAATCGACATCATTGATTAGTTGCTCGTTGGCCCATGTAGCGAAGACAGAACGAAGTGGATGGTCACGCGGCTTCAACTCTTGAACCAATTGAACTTTGTAAGGCGTCATACCGAGATCTTTCCGCAAAATTCGTCGTAAACTGGTGCGGGAAATGTTCAATTCTTGGGAACGATGACGTGTTGACGTTGATGGATTTTCACGCACACTCGCAGCCACAGCATCGATACCTTCGGGTGTACGCACTGTACGAGCACGCTGACGTGTTGGAGCATCAACAATGAAACCAGTTTCACGCACTTTATTAATAAACTTGCGTATACCGGGCGCTGTTGGCGCTTCGTTGCGACCGAATTTTGAACGGCATTTTCGTGCAATTTCTGCCCAATTGTCTTTGTTTTGGAAATAAATTTCCAATATTACCCAACGTTGCTCAAGCGTAAATCGATTCATTTCGTTCAGCGGAGATAATATACTGAATTTTATGACAAATCAGATTGACATAAGTATTGTCAGCGTCAAATTAACACGTGGTTCAAATCGAAACCGATAGATGGCCCACCCGTTACAATGTAATTGTGGATAAATAAAGACGTCTATTATTATTATTATTTTGATTTGATTTCGATTTTGCTATAATTTCAAATAGGATTTTTGTAATATGCTAAAACATGAATTTTAAATTAGTATCTAAAATGACGCCAAGTATCTTAGACTCATTACTAAATTCTATGCGCTCTGATCCAATTTTGGAATGAAATGTTTGGAGGTTTCGCTCACGTTTAGTATTAGAGCAGCATGACATGATTTTGGATTTTGAGGAATTTATCATTAAATTGTGTTTTATCAATGCCTGAGAATCTTGACAGAATATATGTCTTGTGTTTGTAGTGGACGGTATTACTTTTGGAACATGGAGAATGATTTAGTTTCTTGGCTTCCACCAAAGCATCCCAAATCTATTAAATGTCAAAGTGCTGCAAAGCTCAGGGAAAATCGACTGAAAATGAAAGAACGCGAAGAAAGATTGGAGAAAGAGAAGGACAGCACGAAACACAAAGAAAAGGAAAAAGATAGGGAAAGAGAAAAGGACAAAGATCGCGAACGTGATAGAGATTCCGATGACGAATCTAGGTTTGTAATATATTGATTGATAGTTGAATGTTTCATACATTCTATTGCTTATATATTTAAAAATATGTTTCATAAAAGAAAGTCTATCTTTGTTTGTTTAAGATTCATTTAGCATGATTGCTGCAGTTACTTTAATTTAAAAAACTACATTTAATATTTAGAAGGTGGTGCAAATTGAATGTTGTTACTTTGACGGCAAATTTTGTTACAGCTTCCGCAGTAAATATGTTTCTGAAAAACGAGAGAAGGATCGAGATAGAGACGATAGGAGGTATAGGCGAGATGAGAAATATAGAGGAGGGAGAAAACGAAAAGATGAAATTGACCCGATGGATCCTGCCGCATATTCTGACATTCCACAAGGTATGTGTTTCATAGTAAATGTCACACATTTCACGTTTTGTACGTTACATTCGTGAACGAATTCATTAAGTCGTTCCTACAATTGTAGGACGCTTTTATGGCCTCCTTGATTGTCATAGTATTTTATCTCCTTCAGAAAGGCTGGGGTATTTCTGTGTCAGCGTGAGCGCTCTCCTATTGTTAGGTTATGTTTTCTTTTCGACCCGTAGGAAATTTCAGGCTGATGAAACAGATGGTATAAATCAAAAGCATGAACAATTTGATGCAAATAAATATTTGTAACATAACCTCAAAAAAATTATATTTTCGTGTATTGATGAGTTCGGTTCACTTTGGACTATCTTCTAGGAACTTGGAGTGATGGTTTAGAGACTGGTAAATCCAAAGCTGCAGACAGTACAGCCTCTGGAGCAATATACCAACAAAGACCATATCCTGCACCGGGAGAAGTACTTGCTGCGAATAAGGAAAAATTGAAGAAATAAGTTCTGCATTTCAGTTATATCATTATTTATATTTTCCACGATATTTACGAATATCTGTTACAATTTAATAAATGTTTACGTCCATATAGTTTTTTCAACTTAGTATCATTTTTTATACCTTTCAAATGATTAGTATATTCGCCGGTAGCGAAGTGCATAGAAAAAGCGAACTGAATCGATCGCCACCGACGAGTTGGGCAAGCAGGGAAACATCATCGGACAGACTAGAATATATTTATGGTGGAATTAGCTACACCTCAGATAACTCTCCTATAATTTCTGGTACCACCGTTAACACTAACACATAACAAACGAAACTAAAACGACGATTGCTTAAAGGATTCTGATCAGTGACGCTTGCCCACTCTGGTATCGAGTTGCATTATACAGGGTGGTCCATAAGTCCTTTGAAATTTCAAATTTGAATAAAATTTAACGGGTGAGCGTGAGCGGCGCAGGCGAGGTGGAGGCAGTATCTTCAGTGTCTGGGAATTCAGTCGCCATGGAGTGTTTCACTGGAGCGGATCGTGCTTTTTGTGTGCGCGCGTTTTATCAAAATAATGATTCGGCAACCATTGCGCGGCGTAAATATCAAGAATACCACAATTTACACAATTTTACAAAGTGTCCAACAGCTCAAACGATTAAGATCTGGGTTGCTAAGTTCGAAGAGACTGGTTCGACGTTAGATAAACAGCGGTGGGGTCGACCAAGGACAACTCGTATTGAAGAAAACATCAACATTGTGGCACAGTCTGTTCGTCAAAATCCTACCCAGTCTACTCGTAAGCGTTCCAGTGCACTAAACGTACCCAGAACATCTTTACAGCTGATTTTAAGGAAAGATTCACGTCTGCACACTTACAAAATTCAGTTAGTGCAGGAATTAAAAGATAATGACGCTATTCAGAGATTAAACTTTGCGAATGAAATGTTGAATCGATTTTCTTCGCTCAATAATGTGTTGTTCTCGGACGAGGCTCACTTCCATTTAAACGGGCATGTAAATAAACAAAATTGCCGTTATTGGAGCCCCGAAAATCCAAGGCGTAAGCATCAGAAGTCCTTACACAGCCCTAAAGTTACAGTTTGGGCTGCTATGTCAGCGCATGGCATCGTAGGCCCTTATTTTTTTGAGGACGACAGATGTCGCGCATTAACTGTTACTTCGGAGCGGTATGTAGCAATGATAGAAGAGTTTTTGACACCAGCGTTGCAGAATTTTCCAGGCTATAATACGCAGACCTGGTTTCAACAGGACGGAGCAACTGCCCACACCTCCAGCACTTCTATGCCCGTCGTCTGTCAACTTTTTCCCAGCAAAGTAATTTCTCGAAGAGGAGACATTTCCTGGCCACCACGTAGTCCAGATTTGACCCCAATGGACTTCTTTTTATGGGGCTACCTCAAGAGTAAAGTGTACGACACCACTCCGCGATCAGTTGATGTCCTGAAAGAAAATATCCGAAGAGAAATGGCAAGCATTACAGTGTTGACTTGCCGCGCAGTCATCGACAATTTTAGACGTCGTTTATATGAGTGCCGTGATCGTAATGGATTGTATTTAGACGATGTGATTTTTAAAACATCATTCCCATTCAATAAAGATGATAACAAAATATAATAATTCTTCATAATGTAACTAGTTTGGTTTTATTCCTTTTTTTCCAGCTCAACGGACTTATGGGCCACCCTGTATAAACAAATGTATATGTTTTTATGAATATGCCAACTTAAAAAGCATGCATTCATTATAGGAATTAGTCATTAAAATATACAGTTACCATCCAATTTTATTCTGTAAAATAACATGCAACATATAATAAACATGTAAGTTTAAAAAACGGCGTCAAGTGTATAGATCCCTATCCATTCTAATACTATGTTCGCCTTATCAAAAAATTTGAATCCAATCCAGTTTCAGAGTTTGCAATATTTGCAAATGAATCATAAAATCAACACAAAATAGTCGTTCGAAGATATTTAACTCGGTTGTATTTGAATCATCATTAAACCAACCAAGCAAAAGTATTTGAAAAAATGAGTTAAGATGCGCCATCTAGGATGATGTTCCTAACCTCAAATCAACTTAATGTCTGTGTTTTATTTTCATAAGTAATATCACAAAGCATGTCATTTTTACAAAGAAAATTCGAAAAAACATTGCTAAGTAACTTTCGGAAAATTTGAGAAATGACTTTTTTAGGATAGTTCACAGATCAAAAATATGCATCGAAAATTTTCCAAGATCAAAAATTGGCAATCTGAGAAACCTAGCCCTAAACTTTGCTAAAAAAACCTGACTTCCTTTGCTCACCCTGAATAAGTGGATAAATAAAGAAATATACCTGTGGAACCCTATACGCGTTCCCAAAGAGTTGGTCAAGAACCTGCCGAATACCGCAACGGGATATCTCGTTCCGTTCCGAAAATATCGCGATTTGAATTTGGGTAATATTTTCCATATTACAAAGCAACTGTCCACCGGTTGTACTGATACTTTACCTCCGATTGTCGCGCTGATAATACGTTACAGCTTTGATTTAAGTATACACCAATAAAGTTAGATGAGCTTTTCAAAAACCTCATTAATGTTTCTCGTTTACAAAACTAGAACAACATACTTTCCAGTTCCCATTTTTCGGATAAAATCTTATTATATATACTACAACTATTTAAAACTGTAATGACTCATACGCGTGATCAGAGCTCGATCCCGGCTTCCTTCCAGTACAGCCGTATAGCGTACGACATATGTCGTTTCTGTGGCTTTGCGGTGGTCAACAGCACAGACAGAGATGGAAATAATGGCTGATTGTTCTCCGCCGGTAGAACCAATGAAATAAAAGACGCGCCTCGACCGGCAGACTCATAGGCGTCGGCAACGCATTGCAACGTGTTTCGTTGAGCGATCGCATATTGTGTGTTTTTATAAGAATTGTTGTGGTTTCTGTGGTTACTGTTTTGGTTATACTTAGCCATGGAGAGTACAAATGGCACGAGTGGAAGTACTGAAAGCCAGGGAACAAGTAGACGGCTTCGTAAAGCACTGAAGAGGGGCGCGAAAGAAATCGTGCTCAACGTGTTCAATTATCTGAACAGAACTATGTCGCAGGGAGATGCACTCGCGCGTTGTGAAAGTATGACAGGCGTTCCAGAGTGGACCATTCGCAGGGTGGTGCATGAAAAGAAGAAAACTGGAGCTACTACTGATCCAAAGTTTAATTTGAAGGGACGAAAGGACGTTAAATTGGATGACGATAGCAAAATGGCGTTAAGGCGAACCGTACATTCATTCTTCTTTAGGAATGAGATATCAACCCTCAAGCTGTACATGCAGCGATCAAGGGAAATGAAATTATACCCCAAATGAGCGTCGAGGTAATGAGGAAATCCCTGCACGAAATTAATTTTCGTTACGAAACGCGTAATCGGAAGTCAGTATTGATAGAGAGACCTGAAATAGTCACCTGGCGTCGAAAATTCCTACGCGAAATGATTGAATATAGGCGACAAAGCAGAAAAATCTATTATTTGGACGAGACATGGGTAAATGCAGGTCACACAGTTAAAAAAACCTGGATGGACAAAAACGTAGTGAGTAACCGACAAGCAAGCATTGAAGGTTTGTCAACAGGTCTTCGTGGACCGTCAGGAAAAGGTCAAAGATTGATCGTAACTCATATTGGTAGCGATAGTGGCTTATTAGAAGAGTGTGACTTGATTTTCGTCTCTAAGAAAGGAGGTGATTACCATGACGAAATGAATGCCAGCTGCTTCGAGAACTGGTTTCAAGGGGTGCTTCAGCGAGTTGAGCCCAACTCTGTGATCGTCATGAATAATGCTTCCTACCATAGTCGTCGAGCCGAACGTGTACCGACTATGGGATCTCGAAAAAGTGACATGCAGCAATGGTTGCGCGAAAAAGGAATCCCATTTGACGATTCATGTGTGAAAGCGGAATTGTATGAAAAAATTAAACAGCACAAACCTGCGAACATTAGTTACGTGACTGATGAGATGGCCCGTCAATGTGGTGTCACTGTGCTGCGGTTACCGCCCTACCACTGTGAACTGAACCCAATAGAGCTCATCTGGGCTCAAGTGAAGGGTTATATTGCGCGCCATAACAACCTTCAAATTACCAGACGTTAAGGTTTTACTTGAGACTTCCATACAGCTAGTAACGCCCGAAGCTTGGCAGAATGCTATCCGTCATGTTGTGAAGGGAGAAACAAAAATGTGGCAGCTTGACCACCACATCGACACCATCATAGAGCCAGTTACAGTCAATTTCAACGAGGAAAGCGATAGCGACAGTTTATTACTGTCAGATGTAAGTGGAAACGACGATGAATAAAGGTAATTCCCAAATTTTTGACTTACAATATGTTTCAAAGCACTCTTTATTAAGCATGTGACAAATCTAGTTCACCCATGTTAAACATTCATACCCCGCCTATGAACAGCCGACTACTAGTAGTTAAGTGATGTTCACGTGAACATCGATGAGTCATTACAGTTTTAGATAGTTATAGTATAGTCAAAATCACTATTACGTCATACCATAAATTGTACTGAAGTAATCAATGGACGTACGTCAGGAACATAACGACAACAAAGTTATATTATGATTTTACGAAGCTAGGTTATTTCACTGATTATTATTATTTTCATTTTATTTCAGGGTTTTGAGTGATACCTTAATAATAATTTTAGTGGGGAGTTTTTGTTTCGAAAAAAAACAGTTATGTATCGAATACCTTAAGACAGGCACACCAAAGACCAAAGTATTATTCGAAAACGCGCCTAACCTGCTTTAACATAACCTAACTATTCATTTTTCAAATATGATCGATCATGCAACATGAAAACATCGTCTATCTTTGTCGGATACGAGTACATGCAACTTAGCAATACAGTTTGGGTGACATCCAGGGAACAAGAAGCGATTTTGAAAAATTGCTACAAACAAATGGACTGGAATGTGTTTGAGATCAAAGGGTGTCTCTCAGTTCTTTATTAACCATTTCGATAAACTTTGTACAAATGCTCCTGAAAAATTGCGGAGGTGATGAGCTCATCTCGGAACAAGAGTGTTCAAGAGTGGTAGATAGGTAGAATACTAGTTTCAGCGTCTTTCTACCACTGCTTGTGGGGCGTCGTTGTCACATCCACAATTTTTCAGGAACATTTGGATACACTGCGCGATTATTTTTGCGAGCGACTGTACGTCGTATAGACGTCATATCGACCACAGATGGACGCCATATCCAGTTCATACAGACTTGCATCAACGTTGTGTTTGGTCTTTTATACGACATACTATGACGCCATATATAATAACGTCAATTGGAAATATTGTTCGCAAACGATTCATTGTTTCCCTAGATTTGTGACAAGCTGCTCCGTCCTGCTGGAACCACATGTTTTGCAGCTTCAATTGTTGAATTTGTAAAAATCGTTATTTTGGGAATTAAGCTGCAATATTGCATGACTGTATTATCGCCGACTTTCATGGTCACTAGACTGTAGTTCTTGGGTTAACTGAATTTTATATGGCCGCTAATGCAAGTATTTTTTTGAAATAGAGCATAATGACCTGCGACGAATACGCAGTTCTTGAGAACGATGTCTGGTAGACGTCTCAGGGCGCTCCACTACACTTTCACAAACTCGCTAACAGTGGCAAGCCTTTAGCTTCACCTGTTTCTTCAAACTTCCGCACCAACTGATGAACGTTTTTTTGACACTGGACACATTATATTTCTACCGAGATCTTGTAGCTTCCGAATCGTTGCAACCATCGATTATTTAAGTAAAGCGTTTTAACAATACGGACGCGTTGCGGGACCGTGTAGCGCTCCATGATGAATTAGTCAGACCAGCCTGTATATTCACCGGCCCGCTTTTGAGTTAAGCTGCCTTCATTTTCATCAAGAGAAACCTCAAACATATAGGGCTCGTGAAAGTAAACTAGGTGTTCATATTCTGATCATGTCTTTATTTGCATCCAAGTTCAAGCAAGGTCGGGAAAGTTAGCCATGCTAACAATACCGCACTTGTTATTATGATTCCTGATCATCCTGACGAAACCGTTCTCTCCCCATGACGGTCCCCAGGAGTTCTTCACAAGCCAGTAGTCTTTGCCGTCTGCGCTACCATAACCTACAGCCAGTACGCCATGGTTCAATGCGATTGAAGAGCACGAGCTGGGATTGAAAACACCACCTCCGTAAAATGACAGACTGCTGGCGTCAATACCAATTGAAACTGGACCAACGGAAGCTGGAAAAAAAAGAGTTATTTATCGGAATGCCTGGAATATGTTATACCGGTAAATAGTATGACAAAAAATGGGGGAGATAGGCAAAAGGCAGCATAGCAAAAAATGACCCTAGTAAAAGTTTCACTGTTTTTCAGATATTATTTTTGTTGTCTTTTTCGAAAAAATATCTCGTTTCATCTACCTTATGTTGCCGATTAAGCAGGTAATTTATCCCAGTACTTTGCTGTAGCAGTCTAGTACATTTTTATTTTATTGGTTTTCTAAAATAAAAGTTACGAAGAGGAAAAAATTATTATCTCTAAAACGGTGAAACTTTTACGATGGTCATTTAATGTTATAGATCTGCTCTTCGCCTACTATTTACCGGACACCCTGTATGTGTTCACGATATTGTAATAGCACATGTGTCTGTGAAGTATGAACAAGGTTTTCCGTTATTTTCCTGATATACTCCATTTTTATTATACTAAGTGACAGATAAATCCGAACACCCAGTTTAAATGGTTTTATTTTAATAAAAGTTGGTGAATGTATTTATCTTACTGTAAATAACAAGTGAAAAAATTTTCAGCCTTATCAGTTGGACATTCCGGTTTTTATACTGCTTTTTTTAATTCACTAACGCTCTAAAAATGAATATTTCAGCCGCAGTAAAGAATCAACGTTGGCGGATTTCGGTTCTTGACATCCTTTACGATCGGTTACGATGCCTAGAGTACGGAGATCTGTACGATTTCGTCAACTTAGTGAGTTTGATAGGGGCCGTATAGTGGGACTTCGGGAAGCTAGACTTTCTTTTCGGGCAATTGCCGTTAGAGTGCAAAGAAGTGTAGACACTGTGGTTAGGTATTGTCAGGCATGGCTTCGAGAATGCCTTACGCAAAGAGCAAGGGGCACTGGACGCCGCCGTAGAACAACAGACCGTGAAGATCGCCGCCTAAGATTATTGGCCTTAAGGGACCGTTCCTCCACTACCAGGTCCATTGCAAATGAATGGTTTGCAGAACACGGAAGACCTATTGGCATGCGAAGTGTTTACCGACGAATGAGAAGTTTTGGCTTGTTTTCATACCGGCCACACTGGGTCCTCCCTTTAACTCGAGAACACCGACGTAATCGCCTTGAGTGGTGCAGACAACGGTCACTCTGGGATCAGGAATGGAACAGTATTGTCTTTAGTGACGAGTCTCGATTTTGTTTAGGCATGCACGATGGTCGTGCCAGGGTTAGAAGGCGACGTGGTGAAAGGAGGAATCCACAGTTTTTTGTTGAAAGACATGTTCATCACACTGTTGGAGTTATGGTTTGGGGTGCTATAGCCTATGGTTCCAGGTCACCTTTAATCTTCATCAGAGGTAACATGAACGCGCAGCGTTATATCCACGAAGTGGCAGATCCAACTTTCCAACAAGATAGTGCCCGACCACATGTTGCAAGAGTCACAATAGACTTCTTTCAACATAATGATGTCACATTGTTACCATGGCCACCAAGATCTCCCGACTTATCCCCAATTGACCACGTGTGGGATATGATGGGTAGGAGAGTACTCAATTTGCAACGTCCTCCTCAGACTCTAGAAGCACTTCGAGAGGAGTTGGTGGTTGCCTGGAATGAGATACCACAGGAAGACATTGACCACCTGATCAGAAGCATGCCTAGGCGCGTTGGAGAATGCGTAGCATATCAGTGTGCATCCACACATTATTAAAGGTCAAAGGGCTTTAAAGCAGTGCAATCATTTTGAAATTTTTATCATTTACTTATTATGCTTCATTAAGTACTCATACAAAATTTTATTAAAATAAAACCATTTAAACTGGGTGTTCGGATTTATATGTCACTTAGTATATATATATACGAGCATCCCGAATTCTCGGCAGCCATGCATTTCTTTTTTTTGGACGAAAAGTTTCAGGTTATCTAAAAAGCAGTTTGTCAATAACCTCACATGTAATCTAGAGGTAATTTGGAGGTCAAGTTTTCAAATTGAAATAGCAACCACCATTTTTGACATCAGTTTCGTGTAGAGCTTGAGAATCAGAGCATTTTCATAGATGAGGTCAAGTGGTCATAAATATGGTCTATTTGTGTGTTTGTTTATTGTAGATTTATTTTGCATTAATGTTAAAATAGCAGTCCACGGCTTAATACAGTGAAATCGGAACTTACCGATGACTTCTTTGAGAGCATCCTCGTTCTTCTTGACTGCGTAAATCTTGCCGACTTTCGTGACGCTCTTATTCCTGTTGAACTTGCAGCTGCCCTTCCTTCCCTTGTAGGGATAATCAGCTTCGCTGTTGATGCCGTTATCGTGGACGTACTGGAAGGCGCTCGTCATCAGCCCTCCGTCGCAACCGTCGTTACCGTAAGATCCAGAGCAGTCCATCAGGTTCTGCTCGGAGAGAGAGACCTTCTTGTTGCGCTTGATGATCAGCTGGCCTTCCAGGCAGCCAGTCTGCAGGTACGACGGCAAATGTAAGGATTTCAAAATACGGTCAGAGATAATATTGTAACAGTTCTCTTGGCGCCATCTGTTGGGCGAGTCTCCTGGCAGAGCGGAGTGGAGTATAGCGCAGTCAATGGTGACATAAGAATTAGTCAGACATAAATAGTGGTGTACGTAGATGTTCTATCAAGTTAAATGAATTAGTGTATTTCTTTTTGTGGAATCCACACCCAAAGAACCCAGAAAAACGCTACATACATTATAGGAAAAGCAAACTACTTACGGTACTGAACGCCCAGCAGGACCCGCAGGCCCCCTGATTTTTGACTTCAAGGACGGCCCCTTTCTGCCTCCAATCGAGAGACGCGGGTGCTTGTAGACTTTCTTCTGGTTCATAAACCTCATCTCCTACTTGTGGCATGGACTGAGCGTTCAACGCTAGGTACTCTTGGAACTCTTCTGGCGTCATGTCAGCAAACTGAGTGACTTTCAAGAAGTAAGACTCTTCGCCGTTTTCGTATTTTGCGTTGTGATCCTCGATGGTTCTCAGGCTGGACTGGAAGATGGCGAATCGTTGTTGTTCTTCCTTGATGTCACGGTAGGTTTTTCCATGATCAACCTGGTAATTCATTTATATGAAAAAAAATATGTAATTCGACAGTTTGAGGATTGGTCATCACTCAATCTCTGGGAAACTCGAGCAAAGTGACCACTATCCGTACAGGAATGTCAATGAATATAGAATGGAGGAAAATATCTGAATTGATTCTGTATCTACGGGAATAAATAAAAGCTTTTTGGAGAGCGAGGGCAAATCCTAAATAGCCCAAAAATTGTACAGTTTTGTATTGTTTGTGTTTAATTTGAGTTTATTCACATTCAACCAATTATGTTTTTCATATCATTATTTAACAACTCTGTTGCAGTCTCAATGTGTTTGATATCTATATATATATATATATATATATATATATATATATATATATAATCTCAACTCTTTCTGCTGTGGTTAATTTATGTAATAAAGCGTTACAAGTTATTTTAGCAACAAAGTTTGGTCAAATCAATCGCAAACTATGTACTAAATTCCTATTTAAAATAAGTACGAGATATTTCCTTATCTTTCTTCAAGAAATAACTTTTTTGCTACAGAAAAACGCTCCAATACCTATTTTTAACAACAAAATTATAAACAAACCATGGGCGTAGTGAAGAAAATCATTTACTTATGAAGAAAATTCTTTTAGTCAAATTTCTTCTAAAAGTACTACAAACTAATCTGATGTACCTATTAAAATCTACTTTAAGCTTTAAACTCGTGTATTTTACATTATTATAAAGGGAATTGAAAGACCTTTAAAATAAGGTATCACTCGACCCCTCTTTCCATTTAAAATTTTAGGGTTGGTGTCACCCCCGCATAGGGGGCTGCACGTGCTAACGTGATTTTTTGCCAAACTTGTGTCCCCCTCGAAAATAAAATCCACGGGTCTGAGCGTTTTTCAAAAAAAAAAAACTTAGCTGCCAGTAAATGCGTCTGTTTCGTTTTCGATGCGCCATCCTGTATATATACAGGGTGACTTCGAAGTTGAGTCATTTATTTTAACAGTGAGTAGATCTGATCAAAAGAAATGTTTTTTTCCTTTACCATTTTTCTGGTAAAATTAAAGTAACAAAATTATAGCCCTTTGGAAGTTTGAGTACCGCCCTGTCTCAATAATAATATTATGTGCTCGTGTTTGGCGACAACGGATATAATCCGCCTTACCGGTTCATCGCATCGGAAACAAAAAAGCGAAAGAATTTGGAACGATGTTTTTACAATTATTTTATTCAGTTGTATACAGTCAGTGTCGGTCGGTAACGCGTGAGTGAATAGTGGCGTCTGTTGCGTGGCTCAAACGAAATCAAAAATGGCACATGTTTACAAAAATGCTGAACTTGTGGACATGATTCTTATTTACGCGGCATCACGGATTTATGCGGATCGGTTTCCCAATCGAGTGCAACCAACCCCTCGTGCCTTTGTTAATATAGTACAAAGGGCTCGTGAATCAGGTGACCTCACAGGGGACGGCATGCCGGTGCTCCAAGACCGCACGATCAAATACAGGTTCGCACTGAAATACTTGTCGGGAGGATACTTTATTAAACAACGTAACATTTTTTTTAATTTTTTTTTTTATTTTTACACACATATTTTGATTTATCTTCCTTCTACAATCATTATCTGAAAATTAATGACTCAACTTTAAAGTCACCCTGTATATATTATATATATATATATATATATATATATAATTCATAATTATTGTCGAAAAATAACTACCTAAGTGGAACACTCGTCTTTGAGGAGATTGACTAATTATGCAAAGTGTATAACCTCAGAGAGGAGCCTTTTAAGGGGGGTCTTTTATGGGCTTCATTATAGAGAAGTTTGAAAATAAAAAAAAAATGATATGAGGATTCACCTAAGTATTGTCCACATTCAAAAGTCCTTTGACGGTTTTAGGATATTAAAAAAAGTTTTTTATTTTTAAACTTCAACACCTTATCTTCTTAACGAAAATGTTAGATAGAAGACCCTCCTGAAAATGCGGTCCTGTGTATGATCTTTCATTTTTATATTGTATATACATATACGTGGATGTGCGTGTTCGCAGTTTCAAGCGAAAATAGTCAAAATTTGTTTCAAAATTGACAATTTGCACACTTGAGACTACTATTACAATGTATTTTTCGGTAATAAATCACTGCATCTTACCTTGTACTGAGCCCAAAGTTCCTCATCGGAGGCCGCTTGGACAGCTATAAGGGCGAGAGCAAAAATAACGAGAACCTTCATATTTAGACGAATGAATTTGATCACTGCACTGCGTAATTGGCCTGGATGTGTTTGCACCTTTTATATTAGCTGCTAACACGTTATCAGCTAGATTAGATCTAAAAAAAGGTCCGTTTTTCCGATACATTGTATTTGTTTCTGATGCAATGGGTTGAATTCTCGTAAAATATAATTTCCTATCTGCATCTCAGGCACTTGTAAATTAAGTACCCCCATTCATTGATGCATTTTTGAATGTCATCCTGAGTAAGTGCACTTTCTTGCAAATCATACTTTGCTACTTTTATGAATTAAATACAATTTGGTGCGGGTCATAGCAAGCCTAACCGATTGATCGGTGATAACCATACAAAGTATAAGCAATATTCTTCACCAAATAATCAAAATAAACCCATTTTCATCATATTTAAGGTATATAAAGGATATATGTCCCGACCAAAGAGAGACAACCATGTACAGATGTTTTGTGCTTTTTTGCATTCTTTGAATGGAGGACTTGCTTATAAGAAACTCGTCGGTGTTATGGCTAAGCGCCTCAATGGTTGCGTCAATAATAAAAACAGCATTTCTCATACTTAACTAACACCTATCTAATGCTGCCATCAATTATGTACTTATGAAACTTGTGTGCTCTGAGTTGGGATGTAAAAAGTTTCTCGTGAGTCTATGTCGGAATCTGATGATGGATTTTCTTGCACTGTGTTTTGGAAGCATTAAATTGTACAAGAATGCTGCGTCCCAAAGCAGTGATAGCCTCCAGGTCCGACAGGGATCGGCCTGTGAATTCCTGCATGTAGAGTGCTGTCTTCAGCAAACTTGGGGATCGGATTGATCCTGCAGGAAAGGAGGTCGTTGCTACATCTAGGTAGGTCTAGGTATTCATTGCCACATGGTGAGTATCGAAAACGTAGTAATCTTATCATAGATGATTTCTTAGATTAAGTATAAATAGATTCTATCACTGGTTAGTAATGGTTTTAACAAACATATCAGATTATCAGAAATTGAGACGATGAATAGCGGTATAATTTATTAAATCAAATTGTAAAATCTACAAAGCTTATAAAAGGATAATCAAGACATAGGTAAGCAATATTTTCTACTCAATTACCGTCTATAGGTGGTTATATTGCAATCATTCAATTTACTTGCTTTCATATAGATATGTGAGAATACGTAATAGCTAAGCTATAAGACACCTTATAGTTCAACATTATAAGCATCCGTTGTGGATTTTTTCTTTGTTGATTATTTATCTATTTCATTTGATTGTTACCAAACAGCCGAGTCATATTGCTAGTAGTACAAAATAAGCTCACATATCGTACAAAGGAAAATCTTGCTACTGGAGAATGGTCGTTTATAGGAATAAAAATGTAAAGCATTATTCCAATATTTCATAACTCAAACTATGCCCGAAAATACCATATTTATTGTAAAACTAAATATACCGGGTGGCCAATATGTAGTAGTAGTAGTAGAAAGATTTATTTAGCACATTTGACTACATAAACAGAACAATTGTAAACAACTTAGAACTAGTAAATTCAAGCCATATGGTGTATGATGTAAATGCTGGGCAACCTACAATTGTAGATTTAACAAGTGGCCTCTCAATTTTACTTTAAATTTTGTCAAAGTTTTCTGGTCTTTTATCTCCGAGTATAATTTATTATATTCAATCAACCCTTGATGGAATACAGATTTGTAGCATGTTATACTTTTTGGTCATTAAATGGAAGTCATCTTTATTTCTGGTATTATGTAAATGATGGTCGACATTTGATGATGTTAAATTAGTTAGACTTGATGGAAATATATTATTTTTTACTTTATAAATGAATATCATTACAAGATATTTGATAAAATTTTTTACATTGAGCCATTTTAATTTGCTAAGCATTTGCCTAATTGGAGTATATTTATCTTTATTTAGTATTATTCTCATGCACTTATTTTGTAAAATTTGCAGTCTTTCAAAAATGGAATTATTTGCTAAATATAGAATAGTCGAACAGTACAAGAAATTTGGAAGAATGATGGTATTATAGATAATTTTTCTGCTATATGAACTCAGACATCCAGAAACTCTCGATAAATATCCCACTTTACTACTAATCTTATTTATAACTTTTTCATAATGAATATCAAAAATTAATCGAGAGTCAACAAAAACCCCCAGGTATTTAAAATTTTCTACGAATTCAATATCTTCACCATCAATATTCAGTTGAACATTTGTACATTGTTTTTTTCCGATTAACAAGGCTTTCGTTTTACTTGCATTTAATTTTAGTCTGTTAGATGCTAACCATTTTGAGACAATCTTGAAGTCTTCATTTATATAAGAGATACCAGACTGAATATCTTTAGTACTTATATAAATCATAGTGTCATCGGCGAAAATTTGAATTTTGCATTTTTTGACTATGGCAGGTAAATCATTTATGTATGAAATAAAAAGAAGTGGTCCCAGGATACTGCCCTGTGGAACACCCAACGTATTTTCAATTTTTGATGAAATAGTGTCATTAACTTTTGTAACTTGCATCCTTTTATATATAATATAATATAATAATTTCTAAACCAATCTAAAACACTTCCTGTTATACCATATGCCTTCAATTTACCTAACAAAATATCTCTATCAATCGTTTCAAATGCCCTCTTAAAATTCAAAAATACTGCTATGACAACTCCTTTTGAGTCTATGGCTCTTCTCCAATTCTCAGTTACCAACTGGAAAGCTGTTTCTGTGGAATATTTTTTTCGAAAGCCTGCTTGCGCCTCCACTAAAATTTTTACTGATTTAAAGTTGCACACCATTTTTGATACAGAATTTTCAGTAGGTGACGCCGTAGTAGTTGCTTAAAGCACATGCGTCCAATTCATCGTGGAGCGCTACACGATCCCACAACGCATCCGTAAAGTTAATACGTCTTACTTAAATAATTCGTCGATTCGACTAAAGGCGGACATTTGTCTGATATCATTTTTCAAACATAATTTCTAAGTTTCAATGAAAGATTAAGAAAAATGTATTTATTTTATTTCATATCACAAATATTCAAGATTCAAACCAATCAGTTACATATCGGCTACCTTGTATGAACTGTGAAGAAAATGTTCGAATTACAATAAATAATTGATCTTCTAACAAGGTATTAAACTTAAAAAAGTATGTTTTTCAAAGACCTATCCTTTCCTCCGGTCAAACAAAAAACTAGCTCAGCTTTTTCTGAGCATTTTGTTCTACGGGCCGAGGCTTTAAAAGTGTGGTATCGAACTATTTTTAAATTACAGCCTGTGCCGTACACTATGAGATTGTTTTTGATCGCAAGCCTTATACTTGCTGTCGGTGCTAGCACAGAGTTGGAACAATGGGAAACGTTCAAGGTATTGTAATAAACATAAGTTCATCTCATTTCAGCTGAATTCCAAAAAACAACAGTTCTACGAGCATATCTTGCCAGGCAAAAAGTTGCGAATCAAAGGACGATAGATTATAAAAATAATAAAATTTCAGTTACCGATGACCCAGCATTGATTTTTTCCAAAAAAAAGCAAGCCAATTCCTTTTCAAAATAGGTATTTTGATTGGACTAAAAAAAATGTCCAAGCAACAAGCAACACTTTCTACAACACTTTGAAGTTGAGTCATTAATTTTCAGATAATGATTCTAGAAGGAAGATAAACCAAAATATGTGTGTAAAAATAAAAAAAATTAAAAAAAAAATTTTTACCTTGTTTTATAAAGTATCCTCCCGACAAGTATTTCAGTGCGGACCTGTATTTGATCGTGAGGTCTTGGAGCACCGGCATGCCGTCACCTGATTCACGAGCCCGTTGTACTACATTAACAAAGGCACGAGGGGTTGGTTGCACTCGATTGGGAAACCGATCCGCATAAACATGTGCCATTTTTTATTTCGTTTGAGCCACGCAACAGACACCACTATTCATTACGCGTTACCGACTGACACTGACTGTATACAAATGAATAAAATAATTGTAAAAACATCGTTCCAAATTCTTTCGCTTTTTTGTTTCCGATGCGATGAACCGATAAGGCGGATTATATCCGTTGTCGCCAAACACGAGCACATAATATTATTATTGAGACAGGGCGGTACTCAAACTTCCAAAGGGCTATAACTTTGTTACTTTAATTTTACCAGAAAAATGGTAAAGGAAAAAAACATTTCTTTTGATCAGATCTACTCACTGTTAAAATAAATGACTCAACTTCGAAGTATATCTAGTTTGTTTTGTAAATATCGATGATCCACCTTTTCCAGCAAACTTACGGGAAATCCTATAAAAGCATTGCAGAAGAGGAAAAACGCTTTACGATATTCAAGGAAAACGTCGAACATATCGCCAAGCATCATGAGAAATACAAAAATGGAGAAAGCACGTTTACCATGGAGATCAACGAGTTTGCAGATATGACTGATGGGGAATACAATGCTTTATTCACATTTCAACCTATAGGAAGTTTTAAGGATGAATACGGATTGAAAAACGTCGCAAATGTTCGTAATCTCCCGACATCAGTAGATTGGAGGAAGAAGGGAGCTGTTAGCGAACTTGTTAGGAGCACTGGCGGTTGCGGAGCTAGCTGGGCTTTCAGTGCTGTGAGTTGTCACCTTTCAAGTCAAACATTCGACCCGTAGATACATTTCACGAATCGATTTGCTGTGATAGAATGTTATTAAATGATCTAACAATTAGCAATTTTCGAGTTGCCGTATTCGGGAGGTTCTTGACCAACTCTTTGAGAACACGTTTTTTAGCAAAGTTTCGGGCTGTCAGATTCTCAATTTACTTTTGCTCACCCTGTATAAGTGGATAACTAAAAGAAATATGCCGGTCGACCGCTGTACGTGTTCTCGAAGAGTTGGTCAAGAACCTCCCGAATACAGCAACTCGGTATCTCTTTCCGTTCCGAGAATATCGAGATTTGAATTTGGGTAAAGTTCTCCGTGTTGCTAAATAACAGTTATTTGTTAGAACGAGATAGAAGTCGGCTGAAGAGCGTCACCACAATGGCTAGCAACGATGACGCAGAAGGTCGTGCAATTGACCACGTTGCCAAAATGTTCGATCAGGCTTCTACGATAGGTTAGGTTACTGTCAAACCCAAGAAGGAGGTCTGCTTGAACATTTCATTTAATATTTCGTTTTAATTTTTATTAGAATTGTTTATTTCAACTTTGATGCGACTTAGGGTCGTATCGTCAGTCATTCCTACAATTGTAGGACGCCTTTTTGGCCTCCTTGATTGCCATAATCTTTTCTCTTCTTCAGATCTCTACTGTTCCGTGTTAGCGTCAGCGCTCTCCCATTGTGAGGTTATGTTTTCTTTTTGAATATCAGGGATAGAAAAAACTACCTATGAAAATCAAGGAGGCCATAAAGGCGTTCTACAATAATTGTAGGAACGACTGACGATACGGCCCTAAAACTCATTTCTTAAGCCGGATGCATAAATCACGAATCTGATATCAGTTTTTCGATGGGATTGACAGGCACCAATAGCCCCATTTTTTCTACTCTGAATAGAGCTTTACGATGCTTGAGCACTTTAGTCACAATATTAATTTGAAATCACTGTTATGAATTGGTACTCGCTTTCAAAAATATGATGAATGTGCTCCGTATTTTGGGTGGGTACTCGAAATTTTAAAGATATAGTCGAAATCACCAAATATGCGGATTACGTAATCATTTTAGTCTGTAGTAAAGACAAACGACAGCGATTTGTGAATATTTTTAATGAAATTTCAGATATGCCAGACAGAGACAAACAGAATTTTATTATCTAAATAAACTGTATTGCTGATATGCATGTATCGGACAAAGATAGACGATGTTTTCATGTTGCATGATCGATCATATTTGAAAGATGAGTAGTTAGGTTATGTTAAAGCAGGTTAGGTTGTTTTCGAATAATACTTTGGTCTTTGGTGTTTCTGTCTTAAGGTATTCTAATCATGACTGTTTTTTTTCAAAACTCCGCACTAAGGTTATTATTACTCAAATAACATTGGATGATGGCCGCTTTTGACGAATTTTACAAGCTGTTGAAATAAATGACTCAACTTTGAAAATATAATATTGCGAGTTGTAATTCTTTGTTTTTAGACAGCCGCCGTTGAAGCTCAGTTGTACATCAAAAAGGGCAATCTAACACTTCTGAGCCCCCAGGACCTGATCGATTGCGCCAATGCTACATTCGGCAACCATGGATGTTACGAGGGGTCCGCTATAAATGCATTCAACTACATCAGAAGATTCGGCATTGTCTCTGAAAAACAGTATGGGTACGAAGCACGGCAAGGTGCTTGTCGCCAGAGAGGTGTTGGTGTGCGGATATCCGGCTTCACCAAAATTCCATCTTACGATGAACAGTCATTGCTTATTGCAGCTGGTATGAAAAATTTGGGTTTTGATATAATGCAATTGAATCATAGACGCCCGCGGGCACCGAGACCTCCCCTAGAAATCTAGCTGCCTACTAAAGTTTGCATTGTAGAGGGTGGCCAATATATAACTAACTGATTTAAGTTGCGCGCCATTTTTGATTCACGCATTTCAGTAGGTGCGGCCGTAGTATTTGTTTAAAGCACATGTGTCCAATTTATCATGGAGCGCTACACGATCCCACAACGCGTCCGTATTCTTAAAACGTCCCAACTAGCGAAGTAGTAAGCTTTTGGTAAAAGAACCGTTCAGCTATAAAAGCTCTCTATTGTTGTTGCCTGAACACCAAAATACTGGCTTAATGTTGTGTGGAATGCAAATTTGCTTTCTGCAACATATTTGCTCTAAAATGAGGTGTTTAAAATATTCTTCTAGCATAGTTATACAACATCTTATAGGGCAAATTTTTAACTGTTGCATAAACGTTTATACAACTATTTTATACGGCATATTTGTACGTTAGTCAAAATCGTTGTGTTGTGGCATCCATGGTAACGTTTATAAAACAAACCCGAGCCTTGTTATTTTGCTGTGCAATTTACTACTTTAGCCAACAAATTGCTCCCAACGGAAGCACTTATACAACTGTTGTTTAGTAACTGTTAAAGGTTGTACATATACTAAATATGTTGGTAAACAACTTCACCATAACCTAACTTTCTGCTGTCATATTTTTGTAAAATGCCATAACCAATGTTTTAAGACAAACAACGCATGCATATTGGTTCAAAAGGTTTTATCAACTGTTCAAACAGAAGATATAGATCTGGTACAAATTCTGGGTAAATCATCGTGTCGGTATTTCATTTCAGACATTTGTCAAATTGTTGTATAACACCTGCAGGCAACACCAAAATATTCTAATAACCTAAAGACAACATGGACGATGCCATGATTGTACACAACCACCCGCCATATTGGGCAAACATTTATTCCTCTATTTAATATTAAATAATTATGTTTCAGTTCGAAATTACAGATATAAAGAGATAAACATTAGTGTAATTGTGTCTAAATATAAGATTTGTGGAAGATTTAACGCAGATAAGTTCAGTTTTCTATCATCAAAATATAGACATACTTTTGATCATTGTCAAAATATGAATCAAATACGAAGCCCGTAGAAATTGGGTAACTAATTTGCACGATAATCACAATAAAATTTGCTGCGCAAGTAATTCAATAGCCCTATATCACAGTGTAGAAGTTTATCATATACCTGTGTATGAAATTCACAATGGCCGATAATGTAAACAAGATAACTGTAATGTGTTAGTTATATATTCTTCACTTCGTCTATGCAATACATAAGAAATAGTTTGGTTGCAATAAAGTAGAATCACGTAACAGAATAGTTGTATAGTTGACAAAAACTGAATCTTACACTGACGCAAATATCCTATAGCGGCTGCAAGAGGCTTACACTTTTGTTTTATAACTGTTACCTGCAGCCCTTATACAACCTCTTAAATGTCCTATTAGGTGTGCCCATTCCGCTTGTATAGCTGTTCTAAGAGGGTTTTGCCAATGTTCTTACAGTATACAATGCTGTTTAAGGAATACTGTATAATCATTCTTGCAACTTTAATAGGAGTGATAATTGTTAGTTGGGGTTTCCTTTAAATAATGTTGCAACGATTCGGAAGCTACGACAAGATTTTGGTCGGCATTATGTGCTTAGTGTCAACACCATTCGTCAGTTGGTGCGGAAATTTGAACAACCAGATGAAGTTAAAGACTTGCCAAGGTCGGGTAGTGTTCGAACTGTTCGTACTCCGGAAAATATCTCGAGAGTTCGTGACAGTGTAGTGGGGCGCCCTGAGACGTCTACCAGACATCGTTATCAAGAACTGGGTATTCGTCGCACGTCATTGTGTACTATTTTAAAAAAATACTTGCATTTGCAGCCATACGAAATTCAGTTAACCCAAGAACTGCAGTCCAGTGACCATTAAAGTCGCTGACAATGACGATTTTTACCGACAACTGATAATGATTGTGTCATCCACCAAGGACCACTACATCCTTTCTGAAGAGAGGTTATGTTCAAAGTTATAAATTACGAAAAACAGAAGAATTACGGGAAATCCTCACCACGGCCGCGTTGTGTGTAATTACTGGTAGCATTATTTCTTATCTCTCTCATTTTTGAAGTTCAGCAAATTTGTCTAGGTAATTTCCAGAATGGATAAGAAAAAGTGTTCTAGCTTTGAATCTCAATTAAGTGTATTTGAGACTAAACGATCATATAAGGACGGGGGAATGGGAAAAATGTAGGTACCTATCAATAAGAGAAAAATAGAAAAATAAGACGTAAATAAACTTGTATCTACTATACCAATAAAATTACTAAAACAAAAGTCCGATTCATATTTGATTCACCCTCGTAGTAAGGCAGTGATTTTGACATCCAATTTAAGTAAGTTCTTTTGATTTTTAGCCACAATTGGACCAGTATCGGTAGCCATCGATGCCTCATCCCTCAAGTTCTACAGATCAGGGATCATCGATAACTACTCGGGCTGTCGTTCGGAGTTTCGCTATCTGAACTTTGAAGCAATCATTGTAGCGTACGACGCAGACAGCTGGACTTTGAAGAACTGTTGGGGACCGTACTGGGGCGAAAACGGATACTTCAGGCTACAGAGGAACACGAATACTTGCGGAGTAGCTCTTCGAGCAGCTTATCCTGTGCTCTAAAGCACATTGTTAACGTCAAGTGTATATCTGCAACTTTGTAACAGTCGGGTTTCGTTTCTGTATTTTTTATATACCATATTTTTCTTTGTAGGCTGAACATATTCATCGCAATAATGCAATTTTGCATCATTTTAGTGATGAAAATAGATCGTTCAGTAGTAATTTCTTTTATTTCTGATAAATATTCCCATCACTACACCACCATCACTATCATTATTTCTCCATCTATACTACAACTATTTAAAACTGTAATGACTCATACGCGTGATCAACACGTGATCAGAGCTCGATCCCGGCTTCCTTCCAGTACAGCCGTATAGCGTACGACATATGTCGTTTCTGTGGCTTTGCGGTGGTCAACAGCACAGACAGAGATGGAAATAATGGCTGATTGTTCTCCGCCGGTAGAACCAATGAAATCAAAGACGCGCCTCGACCGGCAGACTCATAGGCGTCGGCAACGCATTGGAACGTGTTTCGTTGAGCGATCGCATATTGTGTGTTTTTATAAGGATTGTTGTGTGATTGTTATTGTTGTGGTTTCTGTGGTTACTGTTTTGGTTATACTTAACCATGGAGAGTACAAATGGCACGAGTGGAAGTACTGAAAGCCAGGGAACAAGTAGACGGCTTCGTAAAGCACTGAAGAGGGACGCGAAAGAAATCGTGCTCAACGTGTTCAATTATCTAAACAGAACTATGTCGCAGGGAGATGTACATGCAGCGATCAAGAAAAATTATATTATACCCCAAATGTGCGTCGAGGTAATGAGGAAATCCCTGCACGCAATTAATTTTCGTTACGAAACGTGTAATCGGAAGTCAGTATTGATAGAGAGACCTGAAATAGTCGCCTGGCGTCGAAAATACCTACGCGAAATGATTGAATATAGGCGACAAAGCAGAAAAATCTATTATTTGGACGAGACATGGGTAAATGCAGGTCACACAGTTAAAAAAACCAGCAGTCCTTGAAAAGGTGGTATAAACGTCTTATAAAAAAATCTGTAACTTTTAGAAAGGATAGCGGCAACACTGCCAACCCGCTCAATACGCATGCGACTACTCTCTCACCAACAGTAACGGTGTGCGCTTCTTCCTGTTGGAACAGGTATAGTATAGTATTTTATGGTCTAACCTATAGTGTCTAAATTCTGTTCCAGTCCGCAACAAAATTTGGCTGAGAGGTGAACAAACGAAGATTTGTTGATCTGGTTGGTATTAACGTTATTTTCTATGTTTTATTGATTTTTTATTTTCCGCGCATAAGCCAGAAAATTAATTTTTGTTTGTTTTTAATTTTTATACTATAAAAGAATCGTGTCTAAAAAATGACAGACGGAAAAATGGAAATTTAATATAATTTCAATTACGAAGTGTTTGGACCATACACCAGCTATACAAGGGTGATTTTGAAGTTGAGTCATTAATTTTCAGATAATGATTGTAGAAGGAAGATAAACCAAAATATGTGTGTAAAAATAAAAAAAAATTTACCTTGTTTTATAAAGTATCCTCCCGACAAGTATTTCAGTGCGAACCTGTATTTGATCGTGAGGTCTTGGAGCACCGGCATGCAGTCCCCTGTGTGGTCTTAAGTCACCTGATTCACGAGCCCGTTGTACTACATTAACAAAGGCGAGTGGTTGGTTGCACTCGATTGGGAAACCGATCCGCATAAACATGTGCCAATTTTTATTTCGTTTGAGCCACGCAACAGACACTACTATTCACTGACACTGACTGTATACAAATGAATAAAATAATTGTAAAAACATCGTTCCAAATTCTTTCGCTTTATTGTTTCCGATGCGATGAACGGATACGGCGGATTATATCCGTTGTCGCCAAACACGAGCACATAATATTATTATTGAGACAGGGCGGTACTCAAACTTCCAAAGGGCTATAACTTTGTTACTTTAATTTTACCAGAAAAATGGTAAAGGAAAAAACATTTCTTTTGATCAGATCTACTCACTGTTAAAATAAATGACTCAACTTCGAAGTATATCATTATCATCAATGTCTATTTTGTCTCGGAAGTCCCTGTATATAAGTACTTCAGTATATTTCGTTCGTCCGAAATGGCAAATTAAATATTGTTTTTGAAAAGGGGACGACTTTTTTCTAATAATAGCATGAATGACGAGGATGTCCTTAGAAGGGAACTTTAGAGAACTACGGTTTAGAGTCGAGAGCGGCGAAAACTTATTAAAAAAAAACTTGGATAACTCGAAAGCGCATGCTAACGAACATAAGCAGCCGCATCCAAAATGAAATTATAGAATGTTGTGGCGAAAAAATCTTGGGTATAGTTTTAAGTCGCGTCAGGCAAAGTCCGTACAGTATTATATTTGACGAAACTACAGACATTAGCCATAAAGACACAATGGAGCCCAAACTCACAGGTCAAATTCTTGCTCAAACAGTCAAGCATTTCATTAAAACCAATAACTCAGACTCAAAACTATGTGTGGGCATTGATTCTGATACGTGTAACCTCATGTTAGGTGAACAAAAGGGCGCTGTAATGGAGTTGCAAAATCTTTTCCAAATGCTCTAAAAAGCCCATGCGCAAATCATGCCTTGTATCTTTCGATTTCAAAAAGCAGCAGTGTCCAAGCAGTTAGAAATGCTGTAGGCATAATGAAGGAAGTAATTGCGTTCTTCAAAGAATCCGCTAAAAGAAATACAGTATTAAAAGGAAATCTAGACGGATATCAAATTCATAGTATGTGCGGACATTGTGGTCTTACGATGCTGGTTTTGAAGACAAAATATTGTTGTCCTTAAGATGTAGAAGATGTTTGTTAAAAGCTAAAAGAGATTCGAACAGTGCATCGCTGGATAATCTCGATGGTAGAAACTGACACAGGAGATAGTTTAAACGATTTATTTGCTTTAATAGTGAAATACATTAGGAAATTAATAAGGTAATAATAATACACATCCAGGTTTCCTCAAGAACCCCCCGATCGAGCAGTGTTTGTGAGCCTCCTAAGCTCGTCGGAAATCCGTACGAGCATTTCGAAAAACCTGGTACAGACGTGCTGCTCTGCCATCCCAATTTTCACAGATGCCTCCTTGCTGAATTCCAACATTTTTTTGATATCTGTCTCTCTAGTTAGAGTTTCTTCAGTCAATTGAGCGATATTACTCTGCAAATCGCGTTCCTTGCCACTAACACTTTTCTGCATCTTCTCGATTGACTTCAACAGATTCTGTTCGCTTTGGCAACATAACTTCGTCATCGCTTCGCACTCCTTTTTTAGCGACTGGCATTTTGTACATATGCCTACCAAACTGTTGTTGTCCCAGTCACACTGGATCTACGAAAAACACATTGTTTAGCAATTGAAGAGTCAAGCGCCCTTTCAAGCACATGTCATTTTGTTAGTTGAATGTTTACCATTGATCGCTATGGAGTCGCATTCGATTGAAGACCGCATTAAAGTTATTCAAGAGCACTACAAAAATGGTGCAAAAATAAAAAACACGTTTCGCGCGCTTCGTGAACATTTCGGTCGCAACAACCGCCCAAACGAAACAACCATCGGTCGTCTGGTGCGTAAATTCGAGGCAACAGGTTCTGTGGCAAATCTGCCAGGCTCTGGCCGGCCAAGGAGTGTTCGCACACCGGAAAATATTGCTGTTGTGAAGGAGAGTGTGAGAGACGATCCGAAACAATCAACAACGCGTCGATCCCAAGAATTGGGCATTTCGAGAACCAGTTTGCTCCGCATTCTCCACAAGGATTTGAATGTACACGCCTACAAGATCCAATTGACGCAAGAGCTGCGTCGGGCCGACCATTTTTCGCGCCGAACGTTCTCAGATTGGCTCCTTGAACACCGCCAAATTGATTCCAATTTTTCATCAAAAATCATGTTCAGCGACGAAGCGCATTTCACTTTGAATGGGACGGTAAACAAGCAAAACTGCCGCATCTGGGCGAACGAAAATCCCCGTGAGTATCAAGAGCAGCCGATGCATCCTCAAAAAGTGACTGTGTGGTGTGCATTGTGGTCAAAAGGCATCATCGGACCTTACTTTTTCGAAAATGCGGCCGGGGACGCCGTTACCGTCAATTCTGAGCGATATCACGTGATGATAGAGGACTATTTTTTGCCGCAACTTGAAGGAATGGATATGGACGATGTTTATTTCCAACAAGACGGTGCAACCAACGTCAATATCCATCGATGCAGTCCTTCTTCGGTGATCGCGTGATTTCGCGCAGAGGAAATGTGCCATGGCCACCAAGATGGTGCGATTTGACACCCTTGGACTTATTTTTATGGGGATATTTGAAAAGCAAAGTCTACGTCAACAAACCAGCCACCCTCCAAGAACTCAAAAACAACATCATTGCCGAGATAAATGCCATAGAACCGACCATGTTGCAAAATGTCATTGAAAATTTCGGCCATCGCGTGGACGTCTGTAAATCCAGTCGTGGTGAACATTTGAGCGATATTATTTTTCATACATAAATGGTATAAATGAACCTTTAAAATAAAGTACCCAACTTGATTTGAATATCAATCTTTCTTGTTTTAATATGCGTTTACTTTCCTGCGTCCGTTTTGGACTCCATATTATAATTATTTCTCCATTTATCTTAACTGTGATAGTATTTTCATTTAGGTATTTCCCTATTAGCATACATTTGGTTTTAGAATCATTCAATTTTAGTTTATTTACATTTAATCAACTTATGATTTTTTCCACGTCAGAATTTAGCATTTTCAAAGCAATGTCTATTTTTCCATCTGATATCTACATTTATGTATCATCTGCAAATATCCGAATTTTACAATAATCTAAAATATTACAAATGTCAATAAAAGTTTCCTACATTATACAGACATTTTACAATTACCTGAACTAACTGCAATTGCTTTTTCAGGCTTTCAACCTCTTCCAGAACGTTCTTGAGCTCATCTTTAATTTGCATCAAATGTGTAACCTGTTCAACAAAACTCTCCGGTTCGGGTATTTTTCGTTTGCATTTGCGATGGTTTTCTAGTTCATCTTCCTCCACAGACAACATGTCTGGAAGCTCATTTTCCTCTTCTTCTATGGCTCTTAACTTCTCCTCCAGCGTATCTGTCAAAATATACAGTTAAACCTTAAATAATAAATACCCGTTTTGAAGCACCTATCATTAATGCCCTCAAATAGAATTTTTTTTATGTAAGCGAACAGCGTCACTGCATGCTGCAAGTCACATAACATAATACTTACTTATTTGGTGCTTAATGGAGTGGTATTCACCCTCGCTAACATACATCGATTGCAGTTTCTGATGTAACTTCTCTAATCTGTCTATCTCGAACTGGTCATTAGTCATGCGACTTTTCGTTTGCTCTATAATTTTCCTAGTTTCCAAGCAGTCTTGGACGGCGATGCGTCTCTTTTCCTAAAAAATAAAATACTCATACTAGGATTGGAGCTATGCAAGGACTCCTGCAGGGGTATGACGTATCTTGAATAATGTCGTTTTTTAACATTTTTGTGACATTATATAGGTTTTTTTTACAAGATGTAAACTTGCACCAGCTGTTGTACACTTGTTGTGTACCCGTTCCGTAGCTGCAAGTGTTGCCTGAATGTCATGAAGCTTCAGCTAACAATGTTAACAGAGTTATACAGGGTGTTTCAGTTTATTGTTGCATAACTTTAAGATTCGATAGAACTTTTAAAATTAATGCATAAAGTCTATATAAACATGGGTCGAAAAATGCGTGGCTTCCGAAATACAGGGTGTTTAAATTTACTTTCTAAAATAGTTTTTTTTTAAATATTTCGAACAATATTTGATGTATAACAGTGAAAATTGGCATACAAGGGTTTTTTGGTACGACAAAATGAACCATGGGCATAGTTTTACTGTAGCCGCTAGAGGGCGCTCTCTACTGTACCTGTAGTGTATTAAAATGACCGAAAAAGTTTTCTTAATGCAATTTTTTTCTTTTTGAATAAAAAAACTGATTCTTCGCACTTTTCAACATAAAAAAGCTCTCTTGTGAGTGTTCGTTATAGTTAGCCGTTTTTGAGATATTTCGATTTTTAAGGTTCGATGCATTCTTAATTATTTATGGGAAAATAATATTTTTTTTTACATTTTCGATTTGGGCATTACAAGTAATTAAGATGATCGTTTAGATTGTGTTTTTAAACACAGCAATAATTCCTAACTTCAAATAAACACAAAAAACAATATTAATTTGTTTAATTTTTCAATATTATTTTTAACAAATTAAATTAATTATTTACAACTAAAATGCTATTGGATAGTTAGGAAAAACATACAAAATCTAAAGTAGTTGCTCGAAATGGCCTTATTTCATCACATGCATTCCTGATTCTGTCTATTAGCATATCTCTTGTGGTTACGGGAGTCTGGTACACTTTTTCTTTTAGAAATCCCCACACAAAGAAATCTAATTGATTTAGGTCAGGGGATCGCGGAGGCCAGGCGAGTGTTCCTCCACGGCCGATCCATCTTTCTGGATAATTTTCGTCCAGCCAGTTTCTAACTATTCTCGAATAATGAGCTGGACAACCATCAAGCTGGAACCAGGCCAATCTTCTTAAATCTAACATAACATTATCCCAGATATTTGCATGTTCAGCCTTTAAAAATTCCAAGAAGGTCGCAGCATTTAACCTTGCAGGCAAATGGTAGGGTCCAAATAGTCGATTACGGTAGATACCAATTCACACTAAATTCACGCTGAAAATTTCTTTCCCGAACTGCATGCGGATTTTCATGCGACCAAATGTGTTGATTATGAAAATTTATCACTGCACGTCTAGTGAAGCATGACTCATCGGTCCATAAAACGTTACTTAAAAGCTCCCTATTATTATCAATTCTATCAAGAATCCACTTACAAAATGTGATTCTTCGTTCTTCGTCCCCTGGCTGTAGTCCTTGCACAGGTTGCAAATGGTAAGGACATCATTTCTAAGAACACGGTGAACATGGCTTGCTGAAATTCCCAAGTCACCAGAAACTCTCCTAACACTTGTGGTCGGATCTCGATCAAACTCACGCAGAATCATACGAGTAAATCTGCGCTAACGAACATTTATGTTTTGATCCCTTTGGAGATGTCCAAAACCATTTTCAATTATTTGGCGATGCACTCTTACAAATACTGAGCGAGTTGGATGTCGTCTGTTTGGAAATCTTCGTGCGTATTCTCTGGCTGCTTCTGCTGCGTTTCCATTTACAAAGCCATACACAAAATGAATATCCGCTAACTCTTGATTGGAGAATAAAAATGGCATTTTTATAAAACTTGCAAAAAAACGTTTCAGGTTTCAACAGACAACAAAACTAACTGTCAACTAATTGACGTTTAACCTTATTCTGCTTTCAATTTAAAAAATATTTGCAGACACAGCCTACTTCTAAAAATTATCGAGATACTGACTTTTTAACGTTATTTTATCATAAATAATTAAAAATGCATCGAACCTTAAACATCGAAATATCTCAAAAACGGCTATTTATAACGAAAATTCACAAGATAGCTTTTTTATGTTGAAAAGTGCGAAGAATCAGTTTTCTTATTCAAAAAGCAAAAAATTGCACCAAAAAAAATGTTCGGTCATTTTAATACACTATAGGTACAGTAGAGAGCGCCCTCTAGCGGCTACAGTAAAACTATGCCCATGGTTCGTTTTGTCGTACCAAAAAACCCTTGTATACCAATTTTCACTGTTATACATCAAATATTGTTCGAAATATTTAAAAAAAACTATTTTAGAAAGTAAATTTAAACACCCTGTATTTCGGAAGCCACGCATTTTTCGACCCATGTTTATATAGACTTTATGCATTAATTTTAAAAGTTCTATCGAATCTTAAAGTTATGCAACAATAAACTGAAACACCCTGTATACTATAGCTGGAAGGAAACGGCTGTGCGTAAGTGCATAATGAGGTTTGCGTATTCGTAGTGTATTTACGCTCCGGCACAACAAAGATGCAGCGCGGCAAAGCGGCAGCCGCCAAAGCGTTGCAATAGCTATTGGTCATTCGGTCAACTAAGAGCAAATGCACGATTCGACAGGATAGAACCCAGGCTCGGGGTATCGCCGGCACGCCGACGCCGGCAGTTGCTGTTCATATCCAGTGCATACATAGCGTATGTTAATACGTTAGCATGTCGTCTACATTTCTCCCAATACTTCCTTCAGCCCTGCTCCCTCTTCAGTGATGTCTCCTCCCCGAAAACGTGTCAAGAAGGAACATTTGAAGATTCAGGCAAAAGAAATTGTCCTTAAGGTTTATAAGAGCGAAATTTTTGAGCAGAATTAGTATTTTGATGGACAGCCACGGAGAAGAAATTATTTAAAATCAATAACGAAATACCGCGACCAGGACAGAAAGGTTCATTACTTGGATGAGACCTGGATAAATGCAGGACATACAAAACCTAAAGTATGGGCTGACTCTACAATTAATCAGCAGGACAAGCCTCCTTAGGTGGACTAACCACTGGCCTAAAGAATCCGTCAGGTACCTGATTCTAACCAGTTCGTCATTTGTGTTGTAAAAATGATATCAAATAGACTGAATCTATGAGCCCACGCTGAAAACTGGTAGTTTTGGAACCAACACCTGTTAGATACCCTGCTTGTAATATTATTAGTTTTCTTGAATATTATATGAAATAATTATTTAAAGGAAAAGGAAAACGATTTGTTATCTGTCACATTGGCAGTGAAGATGGCTTTGAGCCCACTGCCCTATGGGCATTTGAGTCAAAGAAAACGACCGACTACCATGAAGAAATAGGGAGCTCATTTGAACGATGGTTTGTAGAAACGCTACCAAAGCTTAACGGCAATGCCGTATTTTACTCGATAATGCTGCATACCACACTAGAAAGCTAGAAAAAATCCCAATGCCCACAATAGAGGCAGAAATTCGACGATGATTCCTATCAAAAGTCACTAGTTTCAATGAAAATGTGGTCAAAGCAGAAGTTATCCATCTAGTCAAGCAGCACAACTGTGAATATAACCCGCCAAAAAATAAAATGAGTTAACAAAAGTGACAGCATATTGACAAACGATGACAAAAATCACGAAAATAATCACATGCGAACAACACCCCCGCCCCTCATCTCAGGAACTTTTGCACTTTACCTCTACTTGTTCCAAAGCTGCCTTTTTCTCTTTCAGCTCTATTTGCAATGCAGCTTTTGACTCTTCCTGCAGTGTAATTTTCTTAGCATTGTCGGAGACCAAGTTCAATATATTTTCATGTTCCTTTACGTAGTGAATAGTTTCGATTTTCATTTCGACGGCATTATCGTTTAACTGCTTGAATTGTTCCGCCATAGATTTTAGAAACGACAGTATGTGGGTGCAAACCCTAAAACAATGTATAGTGAAATCGTACGGGACCGCCTGAACCCTTCCGTTCAAAAGCGGTGTCTAAATAAAAGAAATATGTACAACAAAAATCGCGTTTTTAATGAAAACTGAATGTATTAAAGAAACTGTGACATTTAAAACGTATATGTAAATAAATGTTTTTAAAACAACAAAACCACTTTAGAACATATCACAAATTATATACTATATACTAAGTGACATATAAATCCGAACACCCAGTTGAAATGGTTTTATTTTAATAAAAGTTGGTGAATGTATTTATCTTACTGTAAATAACGAGTGAAAAAATTTTCAGCCTTATCAGTTGGACATTCCGGTTTTTATACTGCTTTTTTTAATTCACTAACGCTCTAAAAATGAATATTTCAGCCGCAGTAAAGAATCAACGTTGGCGGATTTTGGTTTTTGACATCCTTTACGATCGGTTACGATGCCTAGAGTACGGAGACCTGTACGATTTCGTCAACTTAGTGAGTTTGATAGGGGCCGTATAGTGGGACTTCGGGAAGCTGGACTTTCTTTTCGGGCAATTGCAGTTAGAGTGCAAAGAAGTGTAGACACTGTGGTTAGGTGTTGTCAGGCATGGCTTCGAGAAGGCCGTACGCAAAGAGCAAGGGGCACTGGACGCCGCCGTAGAACAACAGACCGTGAAGATCGCCGCCTAAGATTATTGGCCTTAAGGGACCGTTTCTCCACTACCAGGTCCATTGCAAATGAATGGTTTGCAGAACACGAAAGACCTATTGGCATGCGAAGTGTTTATCGACGAATGAGAAGTTTTGGCTTGTTTTCATACTGGCCACACTGGGTCCGCCTTTAACCCGAGAACACCGACGTAATCGCCTTGAGTGGTGCAGACAACGGTCACTCTGGGATCAGGAATGGAACAGTATTGTCTTTAGTGACGAGTCTCGATTTTGTTTAGGCATGCACGATGGTCGTGCCAGGGTTAGAAGGCGACGTGGTGAAAGGAGGAATCCACAGTTTTTTGTTGAAAGACATGCTCATCACACTGTTGGAGTTATGGTTTGGGGTGCTATAGCTTATGGTTCCAGGTCACCTTTAATCTTCATCAGAGGTAACATGAACGCGCAGCGTTATATCCACGAAGTTCTCGAACTCCATCTTTTACCCTATCTTGACACCCTGGCAGATCCAACTTTCCAACAAGATAATGCCCGACCACATGTTGCAAGAGTCACAATAGACTTCTTTCAACATAATGATGTCACATTGTTACCATGGCCACCAAGAACTCCCGACTTATCCCCAATTGAGCATGTGTGGGATATGATGGGTAGGAGATTGCTCAATTTGCAACGTCCTCCTCAGACTCTAGAAGCACTTCGAGAGGAGTTGGTGGCTGCCTGGAATGAGATACCACAGGAGGACATTGACCACCTGATCAGAAGCATGCCTATGCGCGTTGGAGAATGCGTAGCACATCAGGGTGCATCCACACATTATTAAAGGTCAAAGGGCTTTAAAGCAGTGCAATCATCAAATGTAATGTTGAACGATGGGTGAACCTGGTGACATGGTCCAAATCGACGTATCGAAGTTTGGTGATCGCAATTATAACCGAAGTCCCAACGTCAAACGCCACTGGATACTAGGAATGATATTGGAGAGTTATTGTCGAACGCCTCCACGTGGTGCTCTCTGGAAACACTGTATGCTGGCTAAATGATGGGTAATTAACCACAATTTGATTATTTTTGTACACAATGGCTGCTGGTGTCTTTTGTGTTTTTTATATGGGTCACTAGTGTATTTTCTGTTTAGGCACATATCATTTAAAATTTCATCTAATTTTCAGTACATATTGGGTCAACTTCTTAAAAAACAAGCCATTTACATTCAAGACTTTTATTTTGCAAATAAACTATTTTTTTATTAAGTATTTCTCACAAAAAAAGTACAGTTTGGCAACAATGGGCAGCATTTGTCTTATCTGTCAAGAAATGATGTTATAAAATGACCCTAGAGAAGTGTTTCTTCTTTCAAGCATTTCTTATACAGGCTAAAACTTTGATCTCATTGAAAATACGCGAAAAAATTGTTAAGGAATTTCAAGAAGACATTGGAAAATCACAACATAACTCCTGTACACAGTTTAAAAACCATTATTTACTGTACATGTATTTTAGCTTATTACACAGCTAGCTAGCTTTTTGCAAAAACGATTTCTAATACTCTATCTATTTTCTTTAAAAAAAATCATTTCTGCTGATTTCTTTAAATTTTCCCAAAAAAAAAGAAACAATTTCTGTCTTTATGCGATTGTAGGCCCCTATACCAAGTACGGTTATTCAAAATCATAGGGCGGCTGGAACCGTGTTTTGGGACCCTGAACGGCTGAAGCGGACTATTATCAATTGAAAAAAACTTACTTACATAAAAAATTTCACAGTCCGCACATGTGAAGGCTGATAGATATCTCGTAGCATGAATTTGATATGGTTAGATACGATTTTTGAAATCTCACTAAACAGAACCTCTTCCTCAGCATCTTCCGGGATTACCGAGATATTACTATCCGTGATTGCGGATGCCAGGACTGTCTGCTCGAGATACTCATCCAAAAACCTCCTGTAGAATCTTTTTACCCCGTCTGGCGTGGGACGTAGCAATGCATCTTTCGTTATAGTGAAGCCTGGAAAATTGAGCCTGATCTGCTCTATTACTGTATCCTCCTCTGAAAACATTGTGGACTCTAGCTTATAGTACGATATAGCAATTCGAACCTGTAAAACGCCTGAAAAACACTTATTTGAATAAAACGGTTTGAGATTTGAGACGTCCTTCAGAATTTAAACTTGTCAAAACAATACACAGAACAAGGGAAATCTGTGATGTTTGTGTTTCATGGTCTTATGCACGCATGCGCAAAACCCACTTATGCGCGTAACGTTGCGCATTCAATTTTCGACGTTTTAACATTTAAGGTTACATTTCCTTTGTTGTTTGCGAGTTTGGGTTTTCTGGAATATATAAAAAACAGATAGCAAATAAACAAATTCTACCCCCTCGATTAACAACTGAGTTATATAGCTTGCTTTCTGGTGAAAACGTTTGAAGAGATGTCAGAAACAGATAGAGCATCTTGCTTGGAAACCAGTTTTGTCTCCATGCGACCAGCAGTAAGTTGACTCACTGAGTTATTATTTTCCATTTACATTTCGCACATAAATTTTCAGGTGGAGTTTCTGGATGTACTCGACCAATATCCATATAGTGAAGACCTGACATTCACATTTGCTTTTAACGATTACACTCCACAAGAAGGAGATAGGGTAGCAATTTATAAAGTTGGCTGGAGCTTTGTCAAGGACTATATTGTTTTCGAATGGGTTTCCGCAGAAACCAAGAGTGCCAAGTATTCTGTGGTTTTCAACAGTAAGTTTTTGTATTAAAATTGAGCCCACCATATCAAAGTGGTACATAACATCTGGAAATTTTGTTATTTGTTTTTTGAAGATTTATTTAGCACTAATGCTACAATGTCAGTTTTGAATAATTATTAGCTTATGCATTTTTCTGAATCAATTTTCTGTAATTTTACATTCTTGTTCATTTTCACTATACATTTTGAGTTTTCATAAAGTTATTTTTTAATTTCACCTTAAAATTTTTAAATTCGAACACTGTTTAATATCATTATTCAAATCTATATTGCCTCTAGGTTTGTAGTTATAATAATGGCTATTTTATTTTGAGGTGTTTTCTAAATAGACTTAATCCTAGCATTTTTGTTTTTATTCAAAATGATTCTCATAGCATTATTTTTAGAATTTGCAATTTTGTAAATATGGTTATATTTGATGTAAACAAGTTTGTTAAACATTATAAAAAATGGGCAAGAATTATGGTGTTATACATATATTTTTTTTTTGAATACATACTAAGATTATGGGAAACTCTATAGAAGTAATTTATTTTTTTGATATGTTTGGTAAGTTACTATTCACATATAGATCTACCTAAATATTTAAAAGATTCAATTACTTCAATTTTTTCATCATTAATCATGAGCCTTATTGTATCATCACCTAAATGTTTCCGTATTGACATAGATGTTGTTTTATTAGTGTTTATAGTTTATTAACATTTAACCAATTCATAATTTTTTTAATATCACTATTTAACAGTTCTAAAGCAGTATCCAAATGTTTATGTACTATATATATATCTATATATATAACTTGAGACATGGTCATTGTTGTTACTTCACCTGTTAGGTGAAAAAATAAAGCTTCCACCTTTTGTTGGGTACTTCGACAAAATTCAAGCAAAGAGGACTCTGTATACTTTATTAATCTCCAGCTTTCAATGGACTTTTCCATCTTCATCAGGAGCTGCAATAACATTGAGAAGAAATAGCAACTATTGATGATTTTAAATTAACTTGCAGTCGTATGTGTCATTTTTGCTAAATGTTATTAACGTTTAGGTTGAGGGAAACACCCAGTAACCTGGTGAATGCTGCATACATGGTGCATTCGGCAAAATTAATATAAACTACACACAGCTGTATGTCGGGGACAAAAAAATATATATACAGTAATGGACAAAAGTACATAGACAAATTAATCTTGTGCTGTATTCCTTTTTTGACTTGTTTTATTAATACACGAAATATGCGATGGTGATAGTAGATAGTAGAAGTCGTGTGATAAGAACTAAACAAAAAGTGTTTCAGAATGACTGTCTTAAAAAAAGTGCGAAGTTTCCGGCTTCTGTTATGATTTGGGGATCCATGTCGGCAAGTGGAATGGGAAACTTACACTTTATGGAAAGTACTATGAATGCTGACAAGTACATTAATGTGCTTCAAAATAAGTTGATGCGCCAAATTGAACAAATTTGTTTTGATTGTATACTAAGTGACATATAAATCCGAACACCCAGTTTAAATGGTTTTATTTTAATAAAAGTTGATGAATGTATTTATCTTACTGTAAATATCAAGTGAAAAAATGTTCAGCCTTATCAGTTGGACATTCCGGTTGTTATACTGCTTTTTTTTAATTCACCAACGCTCTAAAAATGAATATTTCAGCCGCAGTAAAGAATCAACGTTGGCGGATTTTGGTTCTTGACATCCTTTACGATCGGTTACGATGCCTAGAGTACGGAGACCTGTACGATTTCGTCAACTTAGTGAGTTTGATAGGGGCCGTATAGTGGGACTTCGGGAAGCTGGACTTTCTTTTCGGGCAATTGCAGTTAGAGTGCAAAGAAGTGTAGACACTGTGGTTAGGTGTTGTCAGGCATGGCTTCGAGAAGGCCGTACGCAAAGAGCAAGGGGCACTGGGCACCGCCGTAGAACAACAGACCGTGAGGATCGCCGCCTAAGATTCTCCACTACCAGGGCCACTGCAAATGAATGGTTTGCAGAACACGGAAGACCTATTGGCATGCGAAGTGTTTACCGACGAATGAGAAGTTTTGGCTTGTTTTCATACCGGCCACACTGGGTCCTCCCTTTAACTCGAGAACACCGACGTAATCGCCTTGAGTGGTGCAGACAACGGTCACTCTGGGATCAGGAATGGAACAGTATTGTCTTTAGTGACGAGTTTCGATTTTGTTTAGGCATGCACGATGGTCGTGCCAGGGTTAGAAGGCGACGTGGTGAAAGGAGGAATCGACAGTTTTTTGTTGACAGACATGTTCATCACACTGTTGGAGTTATGGTTTGGGGTGCTATAGCTTATGGTTCCAGGTCACCTTTAATCTTCATCAGAGGTAACATGAACGCGCAGCGTTATATCCACGAAGTTCTAGAACCCCATCTTTTACCCTATCTTGACACCCTGGCAGATCCAACCTTCCAACAAGATAATGCCCGACCACATGTTGCAAGAGTCACAATAGACTTCTTTCAACATAATGATGTCACATTGTTACCATGGCCACCAAGATCTCCCGACTTATCCCCAATTGAGCACGTGTGGGATATGATGGGTAGGAGATTGCTCAATTTGCAACGTCCTCCTCAGACTCTAGAAGCACTTCGAGAGGAGTTGGTGGTTGCCTGGAATGAGATACCACAGGAGGACATTGACCACCTGATCAGAAGCATGCCTAGGCGCGTTGGAGAATGCGTAGCACATCAGGGTGCATTCACCCATTATTAAAGGTCAAAGGGCTTTAAAGCAGTGCAATCATTTTGAAATTTTTATCATTTACTTATTATGCTTCATTAAGTACTTATACAAAATTTTATTAAAATAAAACCATTTAAACTGGGTGTTCGGATTTATGTCACTTAGTATATAATATCAATGTATCATCCGCAAATATTTGAATTTTGCAGTGTTCTAAAATGTCAGAGATATCATTTATATAATTAATAAAAAGTAACAGCCTTAATTTACTCCCCTGGGCACCCCACTGATATACAGGGTGGGCCAAAAAACTACAAATGTAGGAAAGATAATTTGTATTTTTAATAAAGTGTACTGATAACATCATTGAGACGTATGCACTCCTCAAATCTTGACTTTAAATGTCACATGCCACATATTCTTACATGTGTCAGTGGCATTTTATTTTCCTGATTCTTGCCAACAACTACAATACTAATCTTTTCATCTTTTACCCAACAAGTGTGTGTAAGCTTCGGTCATCTTTTTGGATGCATAAACATTATTGGATTAAACATTTTACTCTACAATCTTTTTGCAGAACATATCCTGCCAAAGAACAACGTCGAAATATACCAAATTTGCTACATAACAGCAGAGAATGAAATCCAAGGAGCAAGTTCTTCTTTCCAGTTCATCAGTGAAAAGCCGAAAGCTGCTCAGCAACCACATACCACAACAGTTCCTAACAACTGCGCTCCACAATTCAACTTGCAGACAAATCGTGACGATGAAATCAAGCAGCTCAAGGAGGAGAATTCCATGTTGAAAGGATCATTGAAATTGATTATTGCCGGACAGAATGCGCAAAAAACCGTTGCCGAGGAAATGAGGGAGTTAAAGAAAACTGTTGGTGATCTGAAGATTGTCATCGACGTGCACCAGGCTGAAATAGATACATTGAAGTCATACATCAGAGAAGGCGTGGAGGACTATAAGAAACTGAAGCTGGAAACAGTCAAACTAGAAAAGAAGCTAGATAAATTGAAGATCAGGAAAGGAGATGGCAAAGATGACATTGATATTGATGCTTTGAAGTCTATTCCCCCATTTCCTTTCATATACAAAACATATGATTTCACGTTTCCACGTGTATCTAAGTAAAAAATCCAGCTTTAAGATTGTTTGTGAAAAACGTATCAAAATTACCGTTCTAATTTATTTGAAATCCTTCCCGTTTCATGTGCTTTGTATATCCTGCAATCTTTAGGCTCAAAAACGCGAAAATTTATTACACATTCAAAACTAGGCTGGAGCAGGACTGTATAGTGTATATTAGCTAGAGAGTCTTTAATAAATGATACGAAACCAAATTATTGGTATCATGATATATTTGATGTAGCATTGGGTTAATCCTTTTGATGTAATGTAAAATGAAATAACTTTCTATTCTTTACGACCAACCCTGTAATTATTCGAATAAAGATGATATATTACAAAGGTTCCTTTAATAATTGGCCTTTTTTGAACAGCGACGAAAGCTATTTGATTGCTATAAGCAGTGATTTAGTTTGATACGAGGTTTGACTGGAAAATACGTAAAGTGGAATAATAACTTTATTTTGCAGCTGTTCAGGTATTTCAATATGGTCTCCTTCAAAGTACTTCCCCTAAAACAGGATACATTTCTTCAAATGCCGTTTCCACGATTGATACGATCGCTGAAAGTCTTCAATTGTGAGGCTCTTCAAGTGCCCCTAGCATTTTGGGCCAGGAAAAAGTCGCAAGGGGCTACATCGGGTGTTCTGTCATTGTGATTGAGCTTCGGGCCAAACACTCACGACCTGTGAGCAGGCGCGTTGTCGTGATGAAGGATCCACGTGCCCCCTTGTGCCAAATCCGGTTGAACTCGGGCCACACGAGCTCTAAGGCGACGCAAAACTTCAATGTAGAATTTTCCGTGCACTGGCTGGGAGCGACAAAATTCCCGGTGAACAATACCCCAAGAATCAAAGAAAATAACATTGTTGTCACATTAGACCTAGGTGTTTTCGACTTTTTTGTTCTCGGTTGCCATGCTTGCTTCAGTTCTTTTGAGATTTCAGCTCCACATCGAATTCGTAGAACCAAGACTCTCAGTGATGACTTTCCTCTGCTTCCAACCAATCCTCACAGCAAGCAACCCTTCTTGCTTTCCGTTCTGGAGTCAAGAGCTACGGAACGATTTTCGCGCACAATTTTTTTATTTCAAGTTTTTCTGCCAGAATTTCGTGGACGATTGTTTTTGGGATGGACAGTTCCTCAGCTATCATTCTAACTGTCAATCGACGGTCTTTAAGAATACAGCCCCGAATTCTTTCAACATTTCGGAGCTCGATGTGGAGGGGCGTTTAACCACAAAATTAACAATGCAAATTCAAAAAAACTGCCGATTAAAAATTATCGGAATCAAACAACAGCAAATCACTGCGTTTCATCGCCTTTATGACTGATTACTGCTTCGATACGCCTTGACATAGTGTCAACTAATGTTTGGCAGTCATCTGGTGTAAAACTTCCAAATTTCTTGGAGGCGGGTTTCGCAATTCTTGCTGGATAAGATCGGAGCTTTTTCTTCATGATATGACGTCCATTTTAAAACTGAAATATTGTTTTCTATCATCCAATCTTTTACTTTTCTAGACGTAGAGCAAGCGGCACCACCTTGTTGGAAGATATACTAAGTGACATATAAATCCGAACACCCAGTTTAAATGGTTTTATTTTAATAAAATTTTGTATAAGTACTTAATGAAGCATAACAAGTAAACGATAAAAATTTCAAAATGATTGCACTGCTTTAAAGCCCTTTGACCTTTAAAAATGTGTGGATGCACCCTGATGTGCTACGCATTCTCCAACGCGCCTAGGCATGCTTCTGATCAGGTGGTCAATGTCCTCCTGTGGTATCTCATTCCAGGCAACCACCAACTCCTCTCGAAGTGCTTCTAGAGTCTGAGGAGGACGTTGCAAATTGAGCAATCTCCTACCCATCATATCCCACACGTGCTCAATTGGGGATAAGTCGGGAGATCTTGGTGGCCATGGTAACAATGTGACATCATTATGTTGAAAGAAGTCTATTGTGACTCTTGCAACATGTGGTCGGGCATTATCTTGTTGGAAAGTTGGATCTGCCAGGGTGTCAAGATAGGGTAAAAGATGGGGTTCTAGAACTTCGTGGATATAACGCTGCGCGTTCATGTTACCTCTGATGAAGATTGAAGGTGACCTGGAACCATAAGCTGTAGCACTCCAAACCATAACTCCAACAGTGTGATGAACATGTCTTTCAACAAAAAACTGTGGATTCCTCCTTTCACCACGTCGACTTCTAACCCTTGCCCGACCATCGTGCATGCCTAAACAAAATCGAGACTCGTCACTAAAGGCAATACTGTTCTATTCCTGATTCCAGAGTGACCGTTGTCTGCACCACTCACGGCGATTACGTCGGTGTTCTCGAGTTAAAGGGAGGACCCAGTGTGGCCGGTATGAAAACAAGCCAAAACTTCTCATTCGTCGGTAAACACTTCGCATGCCAATAGGTCTTCCGTGTTCTGCAAACCATTCATTTGCAATGGACCTGGTAGTGGAGAAACGGGCCTTCTCGAAGCCATGCCTGACAACACCTAACCACAGTGTCTACACTTATTTGCACTCTAACTGCAACTGCCCGAAAAGAAAGTCCAGCTTCCCGAAGTCCCACTATACGGCCCCTATCAAACTCACAAAGTTGACGAAATCGTACAGGTCTCCGTACTCTAGGCATCGTAACCGATCGTAAAGGATGTCAAGAACCAAAATCCGCCAACGTTGATTCTTTACTGCGGCTGAAATATTCATTTTTAGAGCGTTAGTGAATTAAAAAAAAAGCAGTATAAAAACCGGAATGTCCAACTGATAAGGCTGAAAATTTTTTCACTTGTTATTTACAGTAAGATTAATACATTCACCAACTTTTATTAAAATAAAACCATTTAAACTGGGTGTTCGGATGTATATGTCACTTAGTATACAATCAAAACAAATTTGTTCAATTTTGGGCATCAACTTATTTTGAAGCACATTAATGTACTTATCAGCATTCATAGTACTTTCCATAAAGTGTAAGTTTTCCATTCCACTTGCCGACATGGATCCCCAAATCATAACAGAAGCCGGAAACTTCGCACTTTTTTCAAGACAGTCATTCTGAAACACTTTTTGTTTAGTTCTTATCACACGACTTCTACTATCACCATCGCATACTTCAAATCTGGCTTGGTCACTCCAAATAATGGAGTTCCATTGGTTTGGAGACCATAATTTGTGTTCTTTGACACACGCTAGTCTATTTTTCTTCTGAATCGTTGTCGTTCTCTTTTGCCTAGAAATGCTGAATTAAAAACAAATAACCTAAGCCTACCTTGTAAGTTTTAAAACCCAGTTTTTGGGCAGCTCTGTGATAAGTTGCTCTTGCAAACTTTTTTGGGGTTGCCCGATTCCATGTTTTCAATTCGTTATAATTAGCACGCCGATTTTCCTTGATAATGCATTTTAGGGCTCTTGAGTTGGTATTGGAATAACGCGGCCGACTTCCAGTTCTGAGCTTTTGAGCAACAGATCCCTTTGTTTTGTACAATTTAATATCTCGAACTGTATACCTCGATTTGTTAGCACTGTCAGCGATTTGGGAAGCATTCTGGCCTTTTAACTGCAAGTGAACACTTACAGATTCCCAGTATGTCTATAGCTTTTTCGTAAATTTTACAAATTTTTCTTGAAACGCCTATATTTTGTATAAACATGAAAAAATCCAAAATTTATGAGGTCTTATTTCAATGCAACGTCGCACTACTTGGCATAGAGTGGCTGTAAAAACAGCCCATAATATGTCCCACTTCTCTCAGAGATGGTAGTTAACAATAGAAGATAGCCAGCAAGATACAGAGTGCATATAGTATATCTAAATCTATGTAATGAGTTATGTTATCACTGTATATCTAAAATAAAACACAAGTATAGTCCACTAATTTTAGGTTTTTATTGCGAGATGTTCTGATTGTTTGACCATCTAAGTATAACAAATACAAACCCAACCGATTGGTGTTCAAAATAAGGGTTTCTGCACTCGCAAGATTACACCAATTAGATACATGGCGCCTCAATGAAGGTTTAAGCCAACACCATCCATAATCTATAAAAACTTAGGATGGTATACGGCTAGATTCAAATTTGGCTGACGTCGTAATATAGAAAGAGACAGAAGCACTTCGTTGCCTAGCAACCCGAGTACGAGGTCACGGAAGCCAACGACGAACTTTTTTTAATACACATATAGAACATTACGACGTCAGTGCTGGTATTTGGCTTTAAGTGCATATGGTTTGGACAGTCAAATATCCAATATACAGTACTTTTCAAAAATACCCCTTTTATACTTATTTTGGTAAGGGTCAAGATATCAAGTTCAAATCCGGATTGACGCTAGTCTATTTTTCTTCTGAATCGTTGTCAGAAGGGGCTTCTCTTTTACCTAGAAATTCTTGTAAGTTTTAAAACCCAGTTTTTGGGCAGCTCTGTGATAAGTTGCTCTTGCAAACTTTTTTGGGGTTGCCCGATTCCATATTTTCAATTCGTTATAATTAGCACGCCGATTTTCTTTGATAATGCATTTAAGGCTCTTGAGCTGGTATTGGAATAACGCGGCCGACTTCCAGTTCTGAGTTTTGAGCAACAGATCCCTTTGTTTTGTACAATTTAATATCTCGAACTGTATACCTCGATTTGTTAGCACTATCAGCGATTTGGGAAGCATTCTGGCCTTTTAACTGCAAGTGAACACTTACAGATTACCAGTATGTCTATAGCTTTTTCGTAAATTTTACAATTTTTTTCTTCAAACGCCTGCTTCGCCAACAGGCGTATTTTGTATAAACATGGAAAAATCAAAAATTTATGAGGTCTTATTTCAATGCAACGTCGCACTACTTTGCATAGAGGCGTTGTAAAAGGCCGGGGGATGGCAGTTTGCTTTTTTTCTTTATTCTGTGCAAGCATCACATTTTACCGCAAATTTCGACTTCCCATTTCTGTACAAATACAGCCCATAATATATCCCACTTCTCTCAGAGATGGTAGTTAACAATAGAAGATAGCCAGCAAGATACAGAGTGCAAATCTATGTAATGAGTTATGTTATCACTGTATATCTAAAATAAAACACAAGTATAGTCCACTAATTTTAGGTTTTTATTGCGAGATGTTCTGATTGTTTGACCATCTAAGTATAACAAATACAAACCCAACCGATTGGTGTTCAAAATAAGGGTTTCTGCACTCGCAAGATTATACCAATTAGATACATGGCGCCTCAATGAAGGTTTAAGCCAACACCATCCATAATCTATAAAAACTTAGGATGGTATACGGCTAGATTCAAATTTGGCTGACGTCGTAATATAGAAAGAGACAGAAGCACTTCGTTGCCTAGCAATCCGAGTACGAGGTCACGGAAGCCAACGACGAACTTTCTTTAATACACATATAGCACATTACGACGTCAGTGCTGGTATTTGGCTTTAAGTGCATATGGTTTGGACAGTCAAATATCCAATATACAGTACTTTTCAAAAATACCCCTTTTATACTTATTTTGGTAAGGGTCAAGATATCAAGTTCAAATCCGGATTGATTAAATTGATTTGGACGTAAAAATAATAGTTGAACATTCCAAGATGTCGACTAGGCACCATCTTGGAACATTTTTTAAATGGAATGGGTAATCGTGCGTCGATTGACATTTGAAGAGCAAAACATAGTGCATGACCAATTAATGCAGTTTATAGAAGAAAACAAAATTTTAGTGGAGGCGCAAGCAGGCTTTCGAAAAAAATATTCCACAGAAACAGCTTTCCAGTTGGTAACTGAGAATTGGAGAAGAGCCATAGACTCAGAAGAAGTTGTCATAGCAGTATTTTTGGATTTGAAGAGGGCATTTGAAACGATTGATAGAGATATTTTGTTAGGTAAATTGAAGGCATATGGTATAACAGGAAGTGTTTTAGATTGGTTTAGAAATTATTTGTCTAAAAGGATGCAAGTTACAAAAGTTAATGACACTATTTCATCAAAAATTGAAAATACGTTGGGTGTTCCACGGGGCAGTATCCTGGGACCACTTCTTTTTATTTTATATATAAATGATTTACCTGCCATAGTCAAAAAATGCAAAATTCAGATTTTCGCCGATGACACTATGATTTATATAAGTACTAAAAATATTCAGTCTGGTATCTCTTATATAAATGAAGACTTGAAGCTTGTCTCAAAATGGTTAGCATCTAACAGACTAAAATTAAATGCAAGTAAAACGAAAGCCTTGTTAATCGGAAAAAAACAATGTACAAATGTTCAACTGAATATTGATGGTGAAGATATTGAATTCGTAGAAAATTTTAAATACCTGGGGGTTTTTGTTGACTCTCGATTAATTTTTGATATTCATTATGAAAAAGTTATAAATAAGATTAGTAGTAAAGTGGGATATCTATCGAGAGTTTCTGGATGTCTGAGTTCATATAGCAGAAAAATTATCTATAATACCATCATTCTTCCAAATTTCTTGTACTGTTCGACTATTCTATATTTAGCAAATAATTCCATTTTTGAAAGACTGCAAATTTTACAAAATAAGTGCATGAGAATAATACTAAATAAAGATAAATATACTCCAATTAGGCAAATGCTTAGCAAATTAAAATGGCTCAATGTAAAAAATTTTATCAAATATCTTGTAATGATATTCATTTATAAAGTAAAAAATAATATATATCCATCAAGTCTAACTAATTTAACATCATCAAATGTCGACCATCATTTACATAATACCAGAAATAAAGATGACTTCCATTTAATGACCAAAAAGTATAACATATGCTACAAATCTGTATTCCATCAAGGGTTGATTGAATATAATAAATTATACTCGGAGATAAAAGACCAGAAAACTTTGACAAAATTCAAAGTGAAATTGAGAAATCACTTGTTAAATCTACAATTATAGGTTGCCCAGCATTTACATCATACACCATATGGCTTGATTTTACTAGTTCTAAGTTGTTTACAATTATTCTGTTTATGTAGCCAAATGTGCTAAATAAATCTTTCTACTACTACTACTACATATTAGTGATAAATCTCGATTCGCCCAAAAGGGGCGTCACGACGACCACCTGGACGCCCTTTGTCAAAATGGTGGACTAGCGGGCTGTCAACGTTGATTCTGTTCATTTTTGTATGTTGAACCGCTTATAACTCTGCAATTAATCATCAGAATGCTATATCAATCTTGGAAGGATCTGTCCTAATTTGGATCAAGCCAGTTAAAATTTACAAAACCTGTCATCTTTGTAAAACGTAATATCTCTTGATTTATTGGACGTTCAGATAGTCCCTTCCAAAAGAATAGATTGATTTCATATTCTAGAGTCATACACTAATTAGGGGCTTTCGGATGAGGTGTCATATGACCCCCATTGTATTTGAAAAAACGCTCCAAGGTGGCGTTTAGCCACCATTTAGAAATCGTTCTTATTTTTGGTTATTCACGCATCAATTTGGTCACCCCGAATTTCAGCTTGCTAACTTCCCAGTGAACATGATGCCGTCATTATTCGGTCATTTATTTTAAGAACATTCATTACTGAAAAATCAACACTTACAACTATAGACTTTTAATGAACTAGTATCCAAATACTGAGTACTTTGTTATTTATAAAAAAGTATCAGAGATACTTCTACCAAAAATGTGACTTTTCTAATAATAATATTTCATATTAAAATATTTCAAATTGCCATTTTGCATCATGTTATATTCGCGCGAATAAAAAAATTATTAGAAACCCCCTTGTATAAACAATAAATAAGTTTTACTAGAATATTTGTAATCAAGCGTGGTAAAAATTCAAATTTTGGAACGGTATCATCAGTGAAGAAGCGCGATTGTGTTTGGCGGTGTCCTCCAGGAAACAAATGTTCAGGCTTCCTGTTAAAAAGCAAAGCGATTTGGATAAACTGGTACAAACAAATTCTGAACCAAAAGAGGAGTGGAACGTGTTTGAGATCAAACGCCCTTTTTTAGTTCTTTATTAACCATTTCGATACACTTTGCACAAATGCTCCTGAAAAATTGCGGAGGTGATAACGTCATCTCGAAACGAGAGGGTTAAAGAGTCCTGATCTCACTGCTTTAGGGGCGTCGTCGTCACATCCTCAATTTTTCAGGAGTATTTGGATAGACCGCGCGATTATTTTTGACAGCGACTGTACGTCATATACACTTTGTATTTGGTCTTTTATACGACATAGCATAAGTCATATAGCGACGTCATTTTTGTTGGTCAGCGTACGTCAGTAGTTCACTAAAAATGGCGACATAACGTCACTATGTTCACTGGGTTCAAAAAAAAAATAAGGGGAGAACTATTTGAAAAGCACTGTACATAATAATAATTAATGTGGTCGGAAAGCGCTTCAGAATAGTATATTTTGCATTCCATTCTTCTTGGGACACCATGCATTTACATAGAAAAGCATCTATACTAAGTTTTTATATGCTTGTATTTAAACATTTCATCATAAATAACACACAAGCCTTATTGTTTTATTGCTTTATTTCATGAATACGAGTTAAGTTACTAACAGATCACCAGTGTCAGTGGTAAATTAAAATTTGAAACTTCTTCATTTTAATTTGAACATGCTTGCATAATGTTTCTTTTTGGAATGTGTATTTTGGGAGGAAAATGTGATAAATTGTAGAGACAATGGCACTGTGTTTACTTAATGTTTTGTGCAAAAATCTACTCCTACAATAACTCTTATATACATTCACTGGAAAATAATTGCGACTACATCCAACAGGTAACGCAAGAAATAAGGGTTTTCCTTTTTGCGTACTTGATAACATGATATTACATATTAGCACATCAAACGCGACAAATAATTACGCACTATGGAGATGGCAAACCAAAAGCGCACGTTACAGCAGGTTAACATTGCACTGATCACTTGTATTGGAGATAACTGGATTACCAATGCTTGGTTGTACTGCCTTGCTAAGGCCAGCTCTAAGGTAATCTCAACCCAGTGGCGTAGCAAGGGGGGCAGCGACCCGGTCACTCAGCTTTTTCAGAGTTGAACGCCAGACAAGATCGAAATCTCTTCAAGACCTAGCTTCATTGTTCGAGATCGTACAAACAAATACTTTGCTTTTGGTGATTTTTATGATGAAACAGAATTACTTTTGGAGATACCAAGACTGCAAAGACACTTAAAAGCCGCTAATGTTACAGTTTCCGATTGGGTATCTCTAAATTTTTTAAAGTTTATTATAGAATGGGATTTTACAGAAGCTCTTCCAAATCTTATGATTGCACTAAAATTGTTCGTGTCAGTTTGCGTGTCCGTAGCTTCCCGTGAAAGGAGTTTCAGTTAAGATTAATGAAAATTATTTGCGGGCAACAATGACCCAATCACGGTTTAGCAATGTTGGTATATTTGCCAGCGAACACGAAGCAACACAAAATATAAATTTTAATGAAGTTATTTCTGAGTTGAGGTAGAAAGAAGAGGTTTTAATTGTAAGATAAAAATAGTTTTCTGTCTATGTTTTTATTGTGTTTTGTTATTTGTTCCATATTTTAATTATAAATATTAAATGATCCACGACATTTATAAATCATATAAAATTTATTGCTTTTGACTTTCGATGAGACGACACCAACTTCCGCACCGGGTGCCACCCTAGGTAGCTACGCCACTGCCTCAACCTGTGCGTGTTTTCTATTTAATTCAATACTTGCGTTTATTTTGGAACACCCCCCATTTTGTCAAACATTTTGACTATTTAGACATTGAACGCCAATGGGATATTATTATTACTTTATATATTAGGCGCACTTGGGTGTAGTTTGAAAAACTATATTGTCGTAAATTATTATTAAAAATAACACCTATTATCTACTGGTAACTAATGAACATTAAATCATAAATATATTTTACAGTGGAATTCTCTTGAAAAGCTAATCTAACATTCATCGCAACATTAGTAACTTCCTTCACTATTTTACATTTTTCATATGTTTAATGTCACGTATCTGTGATTTAAAGTGCGAATAAGTTGCATACCATTTGACTTTCAAAATCACCCGATTCACTGTTTTGAACAATTTATACTCTACATCAGTCAAACAGTTGACTGTAACAGCTATTTACACAAATTTGCTGGAAAAGATGGAAGCACAGAAATGACACAAAAAAGAACTACTTATATGATTTTTATGTAAACATAACGTTCTACTGTTCAATTTGCTAGAATCCACATTTCCATTCGCAATCAAGGCACTACTAGCAATAAATGTGAAAAGGGTTATTGCCTAATCAAGAAGCTTCCAAATTTTCCGGGATCACTAACAAAACAACTATAACCACACGCACTATCTTACGCTTTCTTGGCATTCTTGAAAGTGTTATCCCACAATGCGTTATTGATTTTTTCACCTAGTATGTAAAGCATTACGGATATTCCTAGGTTTCCTAGGAAGAACACAGCCTTGAGCGGAACGTTCAACACGGTCAAAACAGGATACACCCAGAAACCATTGTAGTAGTATATCACTAACAGCCATATCAGGTAGGAAACCATCACCGTGGATAGGATCGTAAGGCCTCGTTTGCGAGAAGGATACCTGCAAGAAGTGGAAACCTCTTCAAATTTCGAGTTGGTCTGAATTTTTTGGGTACACTCTTTCGATTAAATTTCCATTCAGTATTCGTCTGACGCCTATGCGGAAAAGACAGTGGGCGACACATTCATAGTAGAAATGACTCCAAATTATGAGAGTGGTTGCAAGACCTAGAGTAAAACATTACACAAACGAAACATTCAAAAGTTTCTTTTGGAAATTATTTTGTTTTTTAATTTATTATTACTAATTATACTAATGTTATTTAGCATATTACTGACCACTTCTCCACTATTTTACTGATATCTTCAAATGAAAAACATTCAAACATCCCTACGGTTAATAACAACCAGAAAAATTACAAATTGTTTGTCGACAATTCAAAACTAATATCAAATGTCAAACAAGAATCCTGGGAACAATTATACTCTACAAATAATATAGACAAAGCAATGGGACTGTTCTTAGAGAAAATAAAAAAACTAATAGATATTAGTACCAATAAAGTAATAATTAGTCACAAAGAGAAAAGCAGAAATGCCTGGATTACCAAAGGATTAATAACATCGGCAATAGAAAAAGAAAGACTATATAATGTAATGAAACTAACGCCAACTACAGAGAATACCGACTGCTACAACCAATATAAAAATAAATTTATAGAGCTTGTAAGGCAAACCAAACGAAAACATTACCTAAATAAATTGAATAATAACTTAAATGATCCTAAGCGGCTTTGGACAACTATTGATGAGATTACTGGGAAAACAAAAGTTGAAAAGTGTGTCACTGAGTTAAATTCAACATCGGGAACAGTATTAAAAAATACTCAACAGATATGCGATGAATTTGTACAATTCTTTACTGACATAGGCGAAAATTTAGCAAGTAATATACAAGCAAATGTACAAAATACTCGGCCTCCAAAAAGAACTTTGAACTCATTTATTTTGGATAATGTCGAGCAATGTGAAGTATACACCACTGTTATGTCCTTAAAAAATCGGAAAAGTCCTGGGTTCGATGGTATTAAAAGCGAGCATTTGAAAATTATAGCCGAGGACATAACAGAACCACTCACTTACCTAATCAACAAATGCTTTGAATCTGGCATATATCCCTCAATTTTAAAAAAAGGTAATATAATACCGATACATAAATCAGGAACAAAAACAGATGTTAACAACTATAGACCAATATCAATAATATCCAGTGTAGCAAAGGTTTTTGAAAAAGTTTTATCTACTAGAATGATTCGATACCTCACAAAATTCAAAATTTTAAGTGAAAATCAATATGGATTTACAGAAGGGAAGGCTACATCGGACGCAATAACTAAAATTGTAAATCAAATACATCAAAATATTGATAACAGAATCCCTTCAATCTGCATTTTTGTTGATTTAAAGAAAGCTTTCGACACAGTTAATCACAAATTATTATTAGAAGCATTGGAGAGAATTGGTTTCAGAGGAAACGCGCACTCACTGATCGAAAGTTATTTGTCAAATCGCCCACAATCTGTGCAGATATCAGGATCATTTAGTAAAGAAATGTATATTAAGTGTGGTGTCCCACAAGGAACTGTCTTAGGTCCGCTGTTATTCAATATATATTTTATGATATTTTCCAAATTAATTGTGTTGGCAAAATAACTAGTTTTGCAGATGATACTGCAATATTATATGAAGGCACTGACTGGTCTGATCTGAAAAATGTAATTGAAAATGATTTTATCAAAATTATTCAGTGGTTTAACAGTAGAAAATTAAGCATTAACTACTCTAAAACACATTTTTTACCATTTGGATCTTATGCTAGACATCTGCCAAATTACACAAATTTCTCCTTCAACATTAATGATCAAAAAATGCAAATTAATAGAATGCCCAACATAAAATACCTTGGAGTGGTCTTGGATCCTCACTTACGATGGGACATCCATGTCAATTATATTTTAAAGAAAGTTAGATTTGTATCCTACAAAATTAAATACCTTGGAATATATTGACAGAAAAATAGCTTCGAACATTATACCATGCACTGATTGAGCCTCATCTCACATATGGTATATTAGCATGGGGAGCTGCATGTTCCTCACATATCTATAATTTAGATGTTTTTCAAAAAAGTATTCTAAAAATGATATTTAAAAAACCGAAACATTATCCCACTGAAAAATTATACGCAGATGTTCGAATGTATGATATAAGACAGCTTTATTTCTTACACAGTATCACTCACTACCATAAATTTGTAAACACCGACCAAAAAATTAAACATAATCATTATACCAGGTACAAAATTCGTGGCACAGTAGTTCCTCAACCGCATTAATCTATAATGCAGCGATCATATCTCTATTTAGCGCCTAAATTTTATGAAATTATACCTAAAGACTTAAAAGATTTACGTTTCGGAAATTGTTTCAAAAGAAATTTAAAAAAGTGGCTACATTCTATATCTAGGAATGAAATTCATAAACTCTTAAATACGAACATCAACTAAATACATAATCTACTGTAGCTAATTTTTGTCCTTTTTTGTCATTTGCATTCTACAGTTTCAACTTAAATTATTGGTCCATGTACAGGCGATGCCTTCTATTGGGCCTGTTTTGATTTTATATTTATTTACTCATATTGTTTGTTATCTTTGTACATTGAGTGAATAAATATTATTATTATTATTATTATTATTTGTTGTTGATGTTCCATAATTAGTAATATTATTTCTTATGAAAACTTACCTACAACACGAGAGGCACATCTCGATGAGAATAGTGACCATGATGTGCGTATGCATAAGATGATTGAGCCAATGCGGGAAATATGGACTTATCGCCTTGGGAAAAATCAACTCTCGATCGAGCAAGTAAATACCCCAAAACGAAAGTCCGACGAACATGGAAATAGGAAACGCCAAAGTGCACAATATCTGAAAAAAATATTCAATAAATATTGCAGTAGACACCATTATTATGAATAAAATGTAGCTCTGACGCCTAAATATTTCTGGAAAATTTCAAGTATTTGTCGAGGGACGAATGCAATTTAACTTTATGAAACTTTTCCCTTTGATGTATCGCTACGAGGACGGTCCCAGAAGTACCCAGCCTGACCTAGAGATGGCGATGGTTGTTTGAAACATATTATTGCATTAGAAAGTATGCAACCAATAAAGCATATGTGTCCAGTTTGAAGACGCCACGTTGTTTAGTATTTGTTTGGCAGCCATCAGTACTGAACGTTTTCAGTGAAAATGGACAAAATTGGTCATCGTTATGTGGTACAATACTTTTATTTCAAAGGCCTCAGCCCAACCAATATAAAAGCTGAACTGGATTCTACTCTGGGTGAATCTGCTCCTTCGTTTACAACAGTAAAATATTGGGTAGTAGAGTTTACACGAGGCCGTACGAGCTGCCAAGACGAGCATTGCAGTGGTCTGCCGAATGAGGTGACGACTCCAGAAATGGTGAAGAAAATTCACAAAGCGGTACTGAATGAACGTCGGCTGAAAGTGCGCGAGCTAGCAGATATATTAGGCATTTCAAAAAGTGCGGTTCATCGCATATTATCTGAAAATTTGGACATGAGAAAGCTGTGTGCAAGATGGGTGCCGCGATTGCTCACAATCGAGCAAAAACAGTGTCGTGAAGATGTTTCAATTGAGTGTTTAGCGAAGTTTCACAGCAACAAAGCAGAATTTTTGCGTCGTTTTATAACCATGGATTAAACATGGGTCCATCACTTCAGATCCGAGACAAAAGAACAATCAAAACAAAAGGGACAACCGGCTCCAAAGAAGGCGAAGACCATTTCATCTGCAGGCAAGGTTATGGCGTCAATTTTTTGGGATGCGCGTGGGATAATTTTCATTGACTATCTTAAAAAAGGTAAAACTATCAACGGCGAGTATTATGCGAACTTATTGCCACGTTTGAGCGATGAAATCAAACAAAAACGACCCCATTTGGTTAAGAAGAAAGTGTTGTTTCATCAAGACAATGCACCAGCTCACAAATCCGTTATTGCAACGTCCAAAATTAACGAACTAAAGTTTAAATTGCTACCTCATGCACCCTATTCACCAGATTTAGCCCCATCGGATTATTTTCTGTTTCCAAACTTGAAAAAATGGCTCAGTGGTCAAAGATTTTCCAACGATGAAGAAGTGATGTCGGCAGTTAATGGCTATTTTGAGGAGCAAGACAGTTCTTATTATAAAAGGGGTATCGAAAAAATTGTGTTCTATAACTTACGGATATAAGGTTCAGATGAAGATTTTAGACTGGAAATAGTAAAATGTTAGGAATTGTGGTCTTTGTAGGCAATGCACTCTTGTATCAACACAAAAATCAGGTCAATCAAACGTTCGTCAAGATAAATGCAATGCGAGTCAACGATTTGAGTATCTATGACATATGTTTTTGAATTCTGTTGTCATAGACGATTTATTATTATTGTTCAATATCGTTCATTTCTAAAAGCTGTCTGTAAAGATAAAAAAAGTTAGGTGATTAAGCAACACTACATGCATTGTTTATTAATAGTGTTGTTTTTGATGATTCATATCTGATAACTAAATTTTATTCGGTCCAGTTATTCAGAGATTATCTGACTACAGATGAAAAATGAAAATATACTAAGTGACATATAAATCCGAACACCCAGTTTAAATGGTTTTATTTTAATAAAAGTTGGTGAATGTATTTATCTTACTGTAAATAACAAGTGAAAAAATTTTCAGCCTTATCAGTTGGACATTCCGGTTTTTATACTGCTTTTTTTTTAATTCACTAACGCTCTAAAAATGAATATTTCAGCCGCAGTAAAGAATCAACGTTGGCGGATTTTGGTTCTTGACATCCTTTACGATCGGTTACGATGGCTAGAGTACGGAGACCTGTACGATTTCGTCAACTTAGTGAGTTTGATAGGGGCTGTATAGTGGGACTTCGGGAAGCTGGACTTTCTTTTCGGGCAATTGCAGTTAGAGTGCAAAGAAGTGTAGACACTGTGGTTAGGTGTTGTCAGGCATGGCTTCGAGAAGGCCGTACGCAAAGAGCAAGAGGCACTGGTCGCCGCCGTAGAACAACAGACCGTGAAGATCGCCGCCTAAGATTATTGGCCTTAAGGGACCGTTTCTCCACTACCAGGTCCATTGCAAAATGAATGGTTTGCAGAACACGGAAGACCTATTGGCATGCGAAGTGTTTACCGACGAATGAGAAGTTTTGGCTTGTTTTCATACCGGCCATACTGGGTCCTCCCTTTAACTCGAGAACACCGACGTAATCGCCTTGAGTGGTGCAGACAACGGTCACTCTGGGATCAGAAATGGAACAGTATTGTCTTTAGTGACGAGTCTCGATTTTGTTTAGGCATGCACGATGGTTGTGCCAGGGTTAGAAGGCGACGTGGTGAAATGAGGAATCCACAGTTTTTTGTTGAAAGACATGTTCATCACACTGTTGTAGTTATGGTTTGGGGTGCTATAGCTTATGGTTCCAGGTCACCTTTAATCTTCATCAGAGGTAACATGAACGCGCAGCGTTATATCCACGAAGTTCTAGAACCCCGTCTTTTACCCTATCTTAACACCCTGGCAGATCCAACTTTCCAACAAGATAATGCCCGACCACATGTTGCAAGAGTCACAATAGACTTCTTTCAACATAATGATGTCACATTGTTACCATGGCCACCAAGATCTCCCGACTTATCCCCAATTGAGCACGTGTGGGATATGATGGGTAGGAGATTGCTCAATTTGCAACGTCCTCCTCAGACTCTAGAAGCACTTCGAGAGGAGTTGGTGGTTGCCTGGAATGAGATATCACAGGAGGACATTGCCACCTGATCAGAAGCATGCCTAGGCGCGTTGGAGAATGCGTAGCATCCACACATTATTAAAGGTCAAAGGGCTTTAAAGCAGTGCAATCATTTTGAAATTTTTATCATTTACTTATTATGCTTCATTAAGTACTTATACAAAATTTTATTAAAATAAAACCATTTAAACTGGGTGTTCGGATGTATATGTCACTTAGTATATCATAATCCAGTGTCAGTTTCAGAGATTTTCTTCACAAAAAGTATCTTGTGGAAAGTTCTGATAATATTAACACAACGTAATAAATTGCAACATTTTATCGTTGAAGTACACCGATATCTTTAAAGTACTCTGAACCGTGTAAAGATTATAGCGTTCACGGCTCAAATGCATGAGGATAAGGAAACGTACGAGTCTATGTGGTAACAATAATATAATAACAGAGAGCTTTTAGTGCAATTAAAATAAATAATCTTTAAGCCTTTCAATACGTTATTTTTAACAGTGATAGCAAATAAGGATGTTTGGAAAAACAAGAGTTTTTATAACCACTAAAGCGAACTGTGGTAATATGACTGCTGAGTCATGACAGGTTCATTATTTTTTTGTTGATTTCGGCGTAAAGCTAACCCCAAAATTTCAAAACATTTTTAAAACTGTTCATGGAACAGCTTTGGTAATATTTGTGTGCATACCGGACATGAAGTTAATATGTTTGATCCACAGAATGACAATTGACCTCTAAACCAGCAGAACTGCTGCAAAAGGCTACTTTGCCACATTGCAATTGTGAAAAAAGGCATGACAATTTAATTCATTTAGAACAAAAGAATGTAATATCTGGCTATTACGCGAAAAGCACTAAAACCTCTCTTAATATCAGATAAAATTGAGTGCTAAATCGTTTAGAACCTGTTCTAGATAACATCATGCTAAAAGTGAGCAAACGCCCACTGCGCACGTGGAGCAGTACAATGGCTGATAAAAGCGCTAAGTGACGAGGAATTACGTTTTGTGTTAACTCCTTGATATCCGCTTGGCGTTTTGTGATGATTAGATGAGATGATGATTGGTTGACAAAAGCCTGATTATGACGTACGCTGTTCTAGTTGTAGATTGAAAAACGTAAAACATGTGTGTAACACTACCAGACGAGTATGAGAAATATGACTGTTTATGTGCCCTAAGCCAGTGGATCTTTCACTAGGAGTCCTTTGTTCAGCATCTGGAGCACACTCATTCCCGGTTTCCTCTCCGCGATCCATTGTCGACACGAAATTCTTTCACGGTTTCGGTTACTTCGTTTTTTCATGAGGTGGGCAGCTGCAACACAGATCTATGGTCTCGCAGTCGCATATAATGGCTGCTAATTGCGGAAGCGCTCCATTTTCTACAATTTTCTATTCGTTTAAAATAAAGTAGCAGGCCGTAACGGAAAGTGCGCTTAGTATGAGTTTCGTACGAAATTTATGATTCATTTGCATATTAGCTCCGACAAAAATAACGATGCTGGTTACCCCTTGCTCTCTGAATAGTTGAGCAACAAACATGATATGATACCGACATTTTAATTACTAAACTGGCAATAATTCAGATCCTGTTATGCAAAATTGTTCTGTTATGCCATTTACCTTGATTGACTTGGATTTATCTTGAATAAACTTTGATAATTGACAGACGGTCATTATGGAACTGTTGCGTTAAAAAACTTATCTAGACCCGTATCATTCTGATCAGTTGTCGTGGAAGGACACTGTTATCTCTCGGACATTCTGTTATAAATATTTGTCACCGAAGTTGATATAAAAGAATATTGTAAATATGTTGTATTGGAAGATTGGTCTTACATCTTTGAGTCGGCAGATTGGTCTAACATAATGGGTGATCTTTTTGCTAGTATCTTTTTGGCAACACTGTTTTTGACAGATGACGCGTGAATCGTGTCTTGTGTCATTGTCAAACTTGTTCAGTTTGGTCTATAATTTAACCATGAATCGACTTACGAACGAACAACGCTTGCAAATTATTGAATTTTACTATCAAAATTCATGCTCAGTTAAGAGAGTGCATCGAGCACTGCTTCCAATTTATGGGCAATTTGGTCGGCCTACTGAGGGAGCTATTCGGAAGCTTGTGACTAAATTTCGAACCCAGTTTACATTATTGGACATTAAACCACCAACACGCAGACATAGAGTGAGGATTGAAGAAAATATTGCGGCTGTATCCGCCAGTGTTAGTGATAACCGTGAAATGTCGATTCGCCGCCGTTCGCAGCAATTGGGCCTCTACGTGGAAAATTTTGCGACAGGATTTGGGTGTAAAACCTTATAAGACACAGCTGGTGCAAGAATTGAAGCCACACGACCTCCCACAACGTTTCCAATTTGGTGAATGGGCGCTGGCAAAGTTGGAGGACGATCCACATTTTTATCGAAAAATTGTGTTCAGCGACGAAGCTCATTTCTGGTTGAATGGGTACGTTAACAAGCAAAATTGCCGCATCTGGAGTGAAGACCAGCCAGAAGCATTGCAAGAGCTACCAATGCATCCCGAAAAAATCACTGTTTGGTGTGGATTATGGGCCGGTGGCATCATCGGGCCGTACGCCTTCAAAGACGACGATGGCCGGAACGTAACTGTGAATGGCGAGCGCTACCGTACGATGATAACAAACTTTTTTTGGCCCAAAATGGAAGAGCTGGATTTGGCTGACATGTGGTTTCAACAAGACGGTGCCACATGCCACACTGCATACGAAACAATGGCAAGATTGAGAGGCGAGTTCGGTGAACAGTTTATCTCACGCCAATTGGCCGCCTAGATCGTGTGATTTAACGCCGTTGGACTATTTCTTGTGGGGCCATGTTAAAGCTAATGTCTACAGGGATAAACCAGCAACGATTGACGCACTGGAAGCCAATATTGAAGCATTTATTCGTGAGATACCGGCCGATATGTTGGAGAGAGTGTGCCAAAATTGGACCTTGCGCATGGGCCATCTAAAGCCGAGCCGCGGCCAACATTTACATGAAATAATCTTTAAACATTAAATTATATCGACCGTTCTATCGACTCAAATAAAGATTTAATCGTTTTTTCAATTTTTTTGTGTTTTTTTTTTGAAAATCAAATCCTATACCTCTTAAAAAATCACCCGTTATTTACACATTGATTATCGCTTTGTTGCTCGAGCAGTTCTGATCGTGCGGTGTAACCAAAAATCCCGAGGAAAAACATATGAAAAATACAATGTCCCATTAGTAAGATTCAGGGTGCTGGATAGTTTTTACGCCACTGACGAAACTCGTTTAAAACAAATCGTGAATATGGTGGTGAGGAAATAAATATAAAATATTTGAAATGCCTATGTTATTAGTACTGCATGCTTAAAATTTTTAGTCAATACCCTTTTCCACTCCACGGATATATTTTTTTCACGATTTTGAAAATATACCCCCAACTGCGGTAACGGGTGTTTTAGGAATATTACCATTATTTATGTAATTTGTAATTCAATTCTGCTAAGCGACTTCTGAGAGCTTACCGTATCCTTCAGTTTCCTTATCCACGGTGTCTTCTTGGGAATGTTTTCATTTGTACCAATTATATCATTCAGGAAACATATCGTGAAGAACATCGATTGGAGGCACTGGAAGAAAAACAACGAAATAAATTATCTCGATTTCCTCCGTTTTTTTTTTGCTAATCAGTCGATAGACTCATACTTTTTGGTAATTCAACACAATCTCATTTTATATATGAGTCTTCTAGACGAATTGATATCAACAACTAGAGGCCTCGCCTCTAGATTTGTTATTACGAGGGATGTCTTTTAAGTTTTGCATATAGAAATATAGTAGGCCGCGCGGATCGGAAGGAAACCGTCGAAAAAATGCGTGAATTTATCAAAAATGATACAAAATCTTCAATGATATATATACACCATCTCATCGATTGACGCTTTTGTCCGATGTTTTGACAAAAAATTGCATTTTAACCATCAACCACTCCCCATATTCTCCTGATATGGCACCGTGTGACTATACTAAGTGACATATAAATCCGAACACCCAGTTTAAATGGTTTTATTTTAATAAAAGTTGGTGAATGTATTTATCTTACTGTAAATAACAAGTGAAAAAAATTTCAGCCTTATCAGTTGGACATTCCGGTTTTTATACTGCTTTTTTTTAATTCACTAACGCTCTAAAAATGAATATTTCAGCCGCAGTAAAGAATCAACGTTGGCGGATTTTGGTTCTTGACATCCTTTACGATCGGTTACGATGCCTAGAGTACGGAGACCTGCACAATTTCGTCAACTTAGTGAGTTTGATAGGGGCCGTATAGTGGGACTTCGGGAAGCTGGACTTTCTTTTCGGGCAATTGCAGTTAGAGTGCAAAGAAGTGTAGACACTGTGGTTAGGTGTTGTCAGGCATGGCTTCGAGAAGGCCGTACGCAAAGAGCAAGGGGCACTGGACGCCGCCGTAGAACAACAGACCGTGAAGATCGCCGCCTAAGATTATTGGCCTTAAGGGACCGTTTCTCCACTACCAGGTCCATTGCAAATGAATGGTTTGCAGAACACGGAAGACCTATTGGCATGCGAAGTGTTTACCGACGAATGAGAAGTTTTCGCTTGTTTTCATACCGGCCACACTGGGTCCTCCCTTTAACTCGAGAACACCGACGTAATCGCCTTGAGTGGTGCAAACAACGGTCACTCTGGGATCAGGAATGGAACAGTATTGTCTTTAGTGACGAGTCTCGATTTTGTTTAGGCATGCACGATGGTCGTGCCAGGGTTAGAAGGCGACGTGGTGAAAGGAGGAATCCACAGTTTTTTGTTGAAAGGCATGTTCATCACACTGTTGGAGTTATGGTTTGGGGTGCTATAGCTTATGGTTCCAGGTCACCTTTAATCTTCATCAGAGGTAACATGAACGCGCAGCGTTATATCCACGAAGTTCTAGAACCCCATCTTTTACCCTATCTTGAGACCCTGGCAGATCCAACTTTCCAACAAGATAATGCCCGACCACATGTTGCAAGAGTCACAATAGACTTCTTTCAACATAATGATGTCACATTGTTACCATGGCCACCAAGATCTCGCGACTTATCCCCAATTGAGCACGTGTGGGATATGATGAGTAGGAGATTGCTCAATTTGCAACGTCCTCCTCAGACTCTAGAAGCACTTCGAGAGGAGTTGGTGGTTGCCTGGAATGAGATACCACAGGAGGACATTGACCACCTGATCAGAAGTATGCCTAGGCGCGTTGGAGAATGCGTAGCACATCAGGGTGCATCCACACATTATTAAAGGTTAAAGGGCTTTAAAGCAGTGCAATCATTTTGAAATTTTTATCATTTACTTATTATGCTTCATTAGTACTTATACAAAATTTTATTAAAATAAAACCATTTAAACTGGGTGTTCGGATTTATATGTCACTTAGTATATTTTCTGTTCGGTAAACTGCACTTGGCCATGAAGGCACAGCGGTATGCCCACGAAAAGTCCATCCAAAACGCGTCGACGACCATTTTGAAGGACATCTCGATCAATGAGCTAAGATCATCATTCTAAAATCTTTTGGTCCATGCAAATCGCTGTATTACTTCTGACGAGACTATCTTGTATAAAATAAATCCGATTTTCGGAAGAAAAAAAAATTGTTTGTTCTTTTTTTCTTTGTCTTGCGACATACCTTGTGTGTTACGAAATTCAGCAAAGTAAAACCAAATGAAATAATATCAAAGGTGGAAAACTCCTCATTATTATAGTTAGACATAGCTAGGAATTAATCCATTTAGGATATACAGGGTGACTTTGAAGTTGAGTCATTAATTTTCAGATAAATTGTAGAAGGAAGATAAACCAAAATATGTGTGTAAAAATAAAAAAAAAATGTTACCTTGTTTTATAAAGTATCCTCCCGACAAGTATTTCAGTGCGGACCTGTATTTGATCGTGCGGTCTTGGAGCACCGGCATGCCGTCCCCTGTGAGGTCTTAAGTCACCTGATTCACGAGCCCTTTGTACTACATTAACAAAGGCACGAGGGGTTGGTTGCACTCGATTGGGAAACCGATCCGCATAAATCCGTGATACCGCGTAAATAAGAATCATGTCCACAAGTTCAGCATTTTCGTAAACATGTGCCATTATTCACTCACGCGTTACCGACTGACACTGACTGTATACAACTGAATAAAATAATTGTAAAAACATCGTTCCAAATTCTTTCGCTTTTTTGTTTCCGATGCGATGAACCAATAAGGCGGATTATATCCGCTGTTGCCAAACACGAGCACATAATATTATTATTGAGACAGGGCGGTACTCAAACTTTCAAAGGGCTATAACTTTGTTACTTTAATTTTACCAGAAAAATGGTAAAGGAAAAAAACATTTCTTTTGATCAGATCTACTCACTGTTAAAATAAATGACTCAACTTCGAAGTCACCATGTATATCTTATTGAGTTTCTTGTTTGCTATGGTTACAGTGTTTTGCTAGTATGAATCAACAGACAAAAAGTTAACCTTGAGGTAAAATTAATCCTTTTTGTTTGAATTGAATGGATGGGAGCGGCTGTTTACTATTAAATAATATTTTGTCTAGATTGTGCTATAATCTAGTTATACAAAAATAAGTCACAGCTGAATGATTAGAGTCCCAACAACAAAATCGTTTATATGTAAATATTTAATTGTGTGATGATGCTCAATGAGATGTCGTGTGAGCGCCGCGAAGGTAACGATGCATAAAACGACCTTTCAGGACTCCAGGCTCATTGCAAATCATTTTGATTAATTAGCTTTTTATTTTAAGGTACCCCAAAATAATACGCCAAGTCAATGTGATTATTTATTGAAGCAAAAACATGTCCTATTTCAATTCACTACACAAATGACACAAATTGAGGAATCAAATGCATGCTGCTTTTGTGGTGCTAATACTGTTGTCAATATGACAGCTGTGAATGTGAAATTTTTGTAAATGGTCACAAATTAGTTGATGAATCTGGTACCAATTACCAGCAAGTATAGGATTTCAAATTTTTACCAATAATATAACATTTGTTCGACTACTGGTAGTCTCTGGGTTGCTGGCACATTGACCCTACACCCTACCACTGTCATCTGAAAAAACTCGCACTTTTGAAAAATTACACTAAATATAAGGTTTTAATGACAGAACTGTCAAAAAATTTACTTATGTCAAGTGCACTTTGATTCTCACTACAGACTATGAGAGTTAGGAGACAAACAAATCCTTGACTGACTCCTTCTGCCTAGTCAATAAGTCAATTATTTGACAGTTGTGTCATTAAATTCCTATTTTCAGTGTTATTTTTTAAAAATGTGCGTGCAGATAGTTGTGATGTTAGATAATTTTGCTTTATCTCATTTCATAAATCTTCAAATATGTAAAACATGTGGGAATGTTTTATATGAATGTATTATGAAAAGCATGTATTAATGAACAAATCAAGAACCTTACCGCATTCCAGTAGGTGAGGAACTTGAATTTTCCACTAAATCCAAAGGACTCTCCCATATTATGGACACGTTTTGGAATGACCACATAGTTCCAGTCGTACCAGCAACCAAACCAGTAATGTGCTGCTACAGCAAAATGAAACAATGTCCTGAGACTCATGTTCACAGAAAATCACCACTTCTTACGAGTCTGATTAATTATTATGTTAAAAGTTAGTAGTTAAAAACGGTACTCTTCTGAATCAAAAAGTAGCGCCTGAAGCATGTATTGCATACAGTTGTACTTTGGCTCCCGGATCTAACATATAAACAACGACCCGTACGGCAATTCAAACCGTTGTTACTGTAATTTATTTCTATTATAAACAATCAACGAACATTATCCCGTCAAAGTTTAAGGTTAAATCACCCCTCCACTGGTTTAAAAGTATGTACATTACATTCATATCATTGACACACAGTGTTGCCAGGTCAAAAAAATAAAATTCGCCAGAAATTGGAATTAAAAATCACCAGGAATTTTAAAAAAGTTAATTTTTTAAGCTGTATTATTACGTATACATTATTAGCTATTGCAATACACTTGGTTCTGCTGCAGGACAGTTTTGAAACTTGGGAAGAGTTCATTCCAGAATTACCAAGTCAGTCAAATAATAATAATAATAATAACGCCTTTGTAGTACGTGATTTGTAATACATGATCTGCTACATTGCTAGGAATACTAAGTCCAGTATATAATAAAGCAGGCTATTCTTATTTAATTTGGTTTTACAATTTTCTCATTAGGAATTTTAAAAACCAAGTTCTTACACAAATCAGACTGATTTTTTTTAAGCTAAGAATGCTTGTTTCATGTTTTTTGGACGCGTTGTGTTTTTTACTGCCGCAATAAAATGTTTATTGCAAACATTACATTTAAAATAGATGTTAGCCTGAATACTTTTCTGAATCCAATGCTTAAAATCATCATGTTGTTCCCAAGATGAATTTAATTTATGAGCATGAGGTGAATCAGAAGTATATAAAGCGGAAGTAGATGGAACCGGAGACGCACATGTAGACATACGTGATGATGAGCTAGTGCTAGGTTATCCGTGTTCTGTTTGCTTTTCGACAGGTTTCAAAAACCGTTTCATGATAATTACTAATCTAAAATTATATATAAAAATATTAAGGCGTGGGTAAATCTGTTATCTACCATATTAAACGAACTGTAACAGTTTAATAGGATTGAAAAATTATGAACACTATATACTTTCAAAAATATGAATTATAAAAAAGCGCTGAAGTAATCATAGATTATCATCAGATAATAGATGAGGAATTCTCGTGTTCATGACGAAAACCAAAACAAGACCAACGAACATACTATGGTGAATCCCACAACAGCTTAGGGGAATCACCGAAAAGATATCGCGGACCGCAGTGATGGCCAGATTAGATTGATACGTAACGATACAATACGCGAAAAATCACCAGAAATTGCCATTTTTCAAAAAGGTCTTCACGAATCACCAAAATATTCATACAACCACCAGATCTGGTGAAATTTAATCAGACCTGGCAACACTGATCTACACACAACATGCCCTCCCACTACAGCATTTCCCCCACCACTTGACACCATTCCTGACAGGTTTGTTCACTCAAGCGCTTTTACATGGTGTGCCAAACTTCAAAAGTTCTACTTCCTACTACTACGGGGTGTTTTCAAAGTTGAGTCATTTAGTTTAACTGCTTCTAGGATTCGTCAAAAGGAGTTGACATTTTATAAATGGACGAAGACCACCCAACAATGAGTAACTAGAGCCATAGCAGCTCAAGTTCAAGTTTCTCATAGTACAGTGTGGAAGACACAATGACAAATGTATCAATGGATACAAGCATTACAACCTGAAGATCATCCTAGAAGAGTTGCATTTTGCCAGTGGCTTTTAGAACAGTTTGGCAGAAATTAAAATTTTACTAAATTAATTTTTGTACAAAAAATATGTTTTATTCATTATTACAATCATCAATGTCACTCAAGTTAAGTTGTACATTCCTAGCCCAAACTGGAGGCATAGTAGCAAATGTAAGGTATCCAGTATGTCCAGGAACACTAGCAGGAGGAATAGCTGACATCACTTTTGTCACATCTCTCTTTATTTGTTTTTCCAACTCTGCTTCTTCTTTGCTGACTTTCAAACACTCCAAATTCAATACTGGCAACGTCCTCTGTTGGACACTATATTGAGTCTGTAACACTTCTGTAGTTTGGATCTCTTGGAATCCATATTTCGAAAGTATTAGGCAACTCTTCTGCACCTGTTCAATGCAAGGAGAAAATGAGCAAATTCTGCCCCCAGTGTCTTTGAATGATTTTACGGTGTGTGGTATGGCCAGCCATGGGTGAGGCAGGTCTAGGAACACTGCATCTGCTTTGTTGTCCAAATCATCACCAAAACCATTCACACAAACATCATGGTGTTTTACAGTTACATACTTTCCAAATCCATGTTCCTGAAATATGAAGTGTTTTTTATTTTCTGAGCAAGAAAGCAAAAAAAACCCACACACACAATGTGGACTCAAGACTCAAATAATTATGGCTATAATTTGGGAGTGAAAAAGTCGATTGCACGTCTAAAAAAATGCGTAGAAAAAATGGTGACTATGTAGAAAAATAGTGGTCAATGTTTCCAATAGTAAATTCATATTTTCAAACAAAAAATTCCTTATGCCTGAAAAAAATGTGGGAACTTTATTTTTGAGACAACCCATGTACCAATGTACAAAATTTTAAGGTGGTATTATCTGAGGAATCCCTTTCTTCTATATCACAAAATATTAAATTCTTCACCCTGAATTTTCATCAATGAGCATGTTGTAACTCATTATACAAACACTGTTATTGTTTTACTCGGGGCCTTAGCTTTAGCCTATATTATGCTATGAATGTGAGACCAAAGGTTAACTGTGTCTATAAACCTAGTCAAAGAATGGGTAAGACATCAGGGAACATTGGCACTTAGTGACAGGATGCAGGCAAGGGAAAGAATATATCTTCAGACAATGTCTGAAAATGGCTGCAGAACTGCTTTCCATAAGCAGAAGCCAAGTCTGTTTAGTTACAGACCATCTCTAATAGAGCACAACAGCATGAAAGTACACCTGTGCAAAAAGGGCTTTATGATTGAGGCCTGGATTGCAAAATACCTGAAATTCGTCTCTAGCAGTTTTGACCCTATCCTCATGAAAATCAAAGGTGTGTAGATGTCCATGTGGTTTTACAGCCCTAATCAAAGCATGTGAAAGAGATCCACTTCCTGTTCCACTTTCTATCACCACACTACCTGGAGAAATTTCCAGCTGCAGTACAATCATGCTTATGTCCGGAGTGTATATAATTTGAGTTCGATGTGGCAAAGTGATTGTCCACAGCTCTGGATTCGGTTGCATGACATATCCCCATCCTTTGCTCAACGATATCTTCGACCCGTAATATTTTCCGATCAAATCGAAACATTTTAGAGCACCGAACGGTGTCTGAAAAACGTTATCCACTAAATTCCCTTTTTTGTTTACAATTTTCGGCTGGGCTTTTACACAGTACACCTGCGTAATCGTGAGATACAGAATAACACTGTCGCCTTCTTCGATAACATCTTTGTAACCTTCAAAACTCATTAGAGTTTTTATTATTTTAGTAATGATATTCACTCTTGACTCTGGATGTTATTTTTTGTGGTTAGGATTAGGATTATTTTAGGTTAGGTCTCCACCACAAAACACGTGACAGCTGTCAATTGCCATTGGCGGTATGGGGAGGAGTAGTGATGGGGTATCAGTATCTACATAATCTACCGGTTTCTATAGCGGATCCTATAGTCTTATGCCGCTGACTCATTTTTGTCTTGTTCTGGTATTTGTTACAGACGTGGAATTATTCAGTCATCTTCTTTAACGTTTTGACCGCCTCCTAATTTCCACATTCAATTCTTGTCATACACGTCACCACACGTCACGAGTATGTTCTTACTTGATGTTTTGTGACGAATTGTTTGATTTGTCTTGAAAAGTGAATTGTCTGATTTATTTCGTCATTTGTGTTTTTTTTCTTCGTGGTAAGAGGACAAAGTATGGTTAATGACTAGTTAATCATCCTGTGGTTATCTGTTTACTTTTTGTGCGATAATCTAGATTCCAACGTGAGTTTTGCAATTTAGATCATCTTAGGAATACCATTCCATGCGGAACATTTTTTGATAATGTAAGTAACACTCCCTAAAAATCCGCTAGTCGCTATAATTAGATTGTGTGCTTACATAAAATAAATAATGCATTACAAACCGTTATTTATGACCATACGTTTACTGATAGCAATAATTTTGTAGGTCTTTGGAATGTTAAATTCTGCGGATACATCTGCTGATGAGAACTCTACTGGTCGCCCAGCCGCATTAGTGGAAATAGTAATTATACCTTTTGCCTGACTAGGATATCCTGAAAAACTAGCTGTCGGTTCATTCAAAAATAAGAGTGAACTTTGATTTTTACTTTTGTCAGCTGTCATTGCATTTTATATCAAAAATGTCTGAAGATGGGATGTCTGATGGATTCGAGGAACCCGCTATGGAAATACAGATCAAAACATTAATGGGAACCACCTTTGATATCAAGGTCTCTTCCATGGACACCATAGAGGACATCAAAAAGAAAATTTATCGCATAGAGGGTAAGTGCATTCTCTCGTTACCTTCGGTCCAGTTAACTGTTCATTGTACATTTGTAGCAACTTGAATTTATGCATACATTCCAGTCATTTCCTCATTAATTTTAACCTTCTTGGTTGGTGCTTTTTAAGTCTATTTTAGAAGCTCTTTTAATCAGATCACTTGCTCCATATCAAATTGCCTTATTTGTATCAACATAGAGCCCTACATTTACATAACTGCATCCCTCTGCACATATTGATATTCCTAGCATTAGAAATGGTATGTTGGTCATTGATGGTTGGATGAGTTGGCTATTTTTTTTTTCATTAAAAACAGGTTGTATGGTATTATAAAGAATTAAATATCCACATTCATTGGTAGTTTTGCTTAAGCTCTCTTGGAAAAAAACGTTTCTAATCTGATTAGAATAAATATATTTGATTATTTGGAAGCTACAGGAAATCATAAAATGAAAATGGTTGAATAAGTAATTGTGCTTACTTACTCCAATGTTTGTTATTCCTCTTGAAAAATTATTTAATGGAATTTGGAACTTCAACAACATTCGTGCCACATTGATTTTGAATTTAAATGTCTAAATATATTTGCTTATACATTCTTAATAAACATAATATTACCTTTTACTGATAATATTAATTCATTATCTTATTATATTGCCCAAATATTATATGTGTATATATCTTATCTTTTGTACATTAGAAGGACATCACTGTTGTTCACTATTTTATTTGTTTTCACAATAGTTTGTGTTAGGTAACTATGTCAATTAACTAATGAATGCATATTCTAGATTAGTTCTGTGTATTGCTGCTTTTCATTAATTTTAATACATACTTATTTAGAACAAGCTGTTCCAAGACTTGGATTATCTTTCCAGTAAATTGTTTTTAATGTATAAGCATCTGTTAACTTTGTCATGTATCATAAGGTCTTTCTGAAGTCCTGTTATACTTGAACATTAACCATTTTCTTGTTTACTTGATACAAAGGATAAGGAAGTATTGACCCTCTCCTTTCTAGATAGCTCCTTAAATTCCTCACTGTGATTAGGTGGCCCCTTTGACTCAAATGCTGGATTCTTCCTTATGTTCAGCTTTATAAAAGTTATGTTTTGGTATTAAAGCACATAATGTCTAGCCAAATACAGCACCAAGGCCGGATTTTGTATTTTAGGATATAGCAACCCCATATATGAGTGAATATACAGTATTTGGGATTTCAATGTTCCTCAAAAAAATCTTAATTAAAATGACAAATTATGGAAATTAACCATCCAAATAGTGTAAAATGCTTTAGCTGAAACATGTAATGAAATTAATATAACCAGTAAAATTAAGGCACAATATGGTGTGCTCAATCCCAACTTTCAGTTCTAACGTCAACTAATCTGTGTATATATAACTAGTATAACAACATATACTAAGTGACATATAAATCCGAACACCCAGTTTAAATGGTTATATTTTAATAAAAGTTGGTGAATGTATTTAACTTACTGTAAATAACAAGTGAAAAAATTTTCAGCCTTATCAGTTGGACATTCCGGTTTTTATACTGCTTTTTTTTTAATTCACTAACGCTCTGAAAATAAATATTTCAGCCGCAGTAAAGAATCAACGTTGACGGATTTTGGTTCTTGACATCCTTTACGATCGGTTACGATGCCTAGAGTACGGAGACCTGTACGATTTCGTCAACTTAGTGAGTTTGATAGGGGCCGTATAGTGGGACTTCGGGAAGCTGGACTTTCTTTTCGGGCAATTGCAGTTAGAGTGCAAAGAAGTGTAGACACTGTGGTTAGGTGTTGTCAGGCATGGCTTCGAGAAGGCCGTACGCAAAGAGCAAGGGGCACTGGACGCCGCCGTAGAACAACAGACCGTGAAGATCGCCGCCTAAGATTATTGGCCTTAAGGGACCGTTTCTCCACTACCAGGTCCATTGCAAATGAATGGTTTGCAGAACACGGAAGACCTATTGGCATGCGAAGTGTTTACCGACCAATGAGAAGTTTTGGCTTGTTTTCATACTGGCCACACTGGGTCCTCCCTTTAACTCGAGAACACCGACGTAATCGCCTTGAGTGGTGCAGACAACAGTCACTCTGGGATCAGGAATGGAACAGTGTTGTGTTTAGTGACGAGTCTCGATTTTGTTTAGGCATGCACGATGGTCGTGCCAGGGTTAGAAGACGACTTGGTGAAAGGAGGAATCCACAGTTTTTTGTTGAAAGACATGTTCTTCACACTGTTGGAGTTATGGTTTGGGGTGCTATAGCTTATGGTTCCAGGTCACCTTTAATCTTCATCAGAGGTAACATGAACGCGCAGCGTTATATCCACGAAGTTCTAGAACCCCATCTTTTACCCTATCTTGACACCCTGGCAGATCCAACTTTCCAACAAGATAATGCCCGACCACATGTTGCAAGAGTCACAATAGACTTCTTTCAACATAATGATGTCACCTTGTTACCATGGCCACCAAGATCTCCCGACTTATTCCCTATTGAGCACGTGTGGGATATGATGGGTAGGAGATTGCTCAATTTGCAACGTCCTCCTCAGACTCTAGAAGCACTTCGAGAGGAGTTGGTGGTTGCCTGAAATGAGATACCACAGGAGGACATTGACCACCTGATCAGAAGCATGCCTAGGCGCGTTGGAGAATGCGTAGCACATCAGGGTGCATCCACACATTATTAAAGGTCAAAGGGCGTTAAAGCAGTGCAATCATTTTGAAATTTTTATCATTTACTTATTATGCTTCATTAAGTACTTATACAAAATTTTATTAAAATAAAACCATTTAAACTGGGTGTTCGGATTTATATGTCACTTAGTATACAAATAACCTTTGTATTGCTACATACACATTGTGACATTTTCATTGTAAGTGAGAAATTTGTAAAATCGTTTAGAAATACATTTTTAGTGGTTTCTAAAAATTGTGCCATATTGACCCACTGCCACAGACTTTTTAAAAGAATTGTATTTTTTCGAATTAAGCAGATACGGAAGACCTCCTCTGGGCAAAAAAACAAAGCTTTTGAGGACACATGTTCATATGAACTCTCCTACTTAAATTTGGTTCAGAAATGCCCCCTTGTAATTATGGCCTATCATTAACATAGACGCGTTTTTCATGTTGTATCAGAAGGTGACCTTCGAAATTGTTGGGTTATTCAAAGATTTGCTTTATTGATTCACCAGAATAACATCTGTCAGATAAGTAGTGATCAGGAAATCGTACTCGCATGACTCATTAACATGCTCAACATGCTATTTATTGCTGATGCACCATATCAAAAAATAAACATTTCTGCATTAGCTTTATTACAACTTATAAACTATTTTTAATATAAAGATTTTTTATCTCAATACCTTGGAAACATTTATTATCGGAATTGCAATAGATTCGTAAGGTCAGACTACAAAGGTATGTAAACTGAGATCCCAGGGACACCAGACAATACTTTTTCTGAAAGACAATGTGTGGGGCATTAAATAGTACTTTCAATTCCTGCATACCAGCTGTGTTGCTGGTAACGTTTAGTAAAAATAATACTAACTTTACTTCAATTCTGATGGCCGTTTTGCATTGTATCATGGAGTTTAAGCCTTTGTATCACAAGTCACAATCAATATATCAACAAATAATTTTACGTTTTTGGATATGACTTTATTATTTGTTGACATGCAGACATAAAGTCATTATTTGGCCCCTATTCCATATATCCAGCTTAACTTGGTTGATAACTACCTACCTGAATATTTTACATTACAATGATGCGTTGAATGCTATAAATACAATTTTATTATTATCTAGTTGTTATTGCGCTGCCTATAAGGTGTGAGAGTAAATGTAGTTTTAGGACATAAAGTAACGTGTTAAAATGATTAATGAATGAATTAATCTGCCGTCTGTAATATTTTCGATGTAAAACACCTTGTTCTTGATTTTGACTTGAGAAAAAAATATTTTTGTATACAAACAGATTTAGAATTGCAAAGTGGTTTCAAGATAAGAATCAATGGGTGATTGTTGCATCAGTCTAGAAGGTTTTCTGAGCCGTATTATTTTATACCTAAAATTTCATGAGGTTGTTGCTCTAATCACGTAGATTTGCAACATGGTATATGACTGAGAAAATTGTATTTTCTTTAGCCAGCTTTTACTCATATATTTTTCTCAGATTCTCATACATTATGATCTCTGTTTTACAGACTATTGGATGCAAGCTCTTGCAAGGCAGCAGGACAATTACATCTAATGACTTGCAGTTGCAAGACCCTGTTTCCTTGATTCAAAATATTCCCTACCACATTCCTAACCTATAATTTTTTTCTTTAAATGAATATAACAAAAAAACGCACTTTTTTACGGTGGCGCTACCCCTTAAGACGGTTTTATTGGAAAACGTGTCAAACCGATCATTATCGGGATTTTTTACCATTTTTTTTTCATAATCTGAGTGTGATTTCATAGATCATTATGACACCCATTGAACTTTCGGCATTTTAATATTTTTATAATACTAAAACTATTTTTCTACATAAACATATGTGTGGAACATGAATAATAATGTTTTTTTCTGCGTAATTAAATTCTACTTTGTGTATGAATGCTATGAAAAATCGGATTTGTTAGTAAAACATCGGTTGGTATTATATGATTGGAAATACATATACTAAGTGACATATAAATCCGAACACCCAGTTTAAATGATTTTATTTTAATAAAATTTTGTATAAGTACTAAATGAAGCATAATAAGTAAATGATAAAAATTTCAAAATAATTGCACAGCTTTAAAGCCCTTTGACCTTTAATAATGTGTGGATGCACCCTGATGTGCTACGCATTCTCCAACGCGCCTAGGCATGCTTCTGATCAGGTGGTCAATGTCCTCCTGTGGTATCTCATTCCAGGCAACCACCCACTCCTCTCGAAGTGCTTCTAGAGTCTGAGGAGGACGTTGCAAATTGAACAATCTCCTACCCATCATATCCCACACGTGCTCAATTGGGGATAAGTCGGCAGATCTTGGTGGCCATGGTAACAATGTGACATCATTATGTTGAAAGAAGTCTATTGTGACTCTTGCAACATGTGGTCGGGCATTATCTTGTCGGAAAGTTGGATCTGCCAGGGTGTCAAGATAGGGTAAAAGATGGGGTTCTAGAACTTCGTGGATATAACGCTGCGCGTTCATGTTACCTCTGATGAAGATTAAAGGTGACCTGGAACCATAAGCTATAGCACCCCAAACCATAACTCCAACAGTGTGATGAACATGTCTTTCAACAAAAAACTGTGGATTCCTCCTTTCACCACGTCGCCTTCTAACCCTGGCACGACCATCGTGCATGCCTAAACAAAATCGAGACTCGTCACTAAAGACAATACTGTTCCATTCCTGATCCCAGAGTGACCGTTGTCTGCACCACTCAAGGCGATTACGTCGGTGTAAGGGTTAGAAGGCGACGTGGTGAAAGGAGGAATCCACAGTTTTTTGTTGAAAGACATGTTCATCACACTGTTGGAGTTATGGTTTGGGGTGCTATAGCTTATGGTTCCAGGTCACCTTTAATCTTCATCAGAGGTAACATGAACACGCAGCGTTATATCCACGAAGTTCTAGAACCCCATCATTTACCCTATCTTGACACCCTGGCAGATCCAACTTTCCGACAAGATAATGCCCGACCACATGTTGCAAGAGTCACAATAGACTTCTTTCAACATAATGATGTCACATTGTTACCATGGCCACCAAGATCTCCCGACTTATCCCCAATTGAGCACGTGTGGGATATGATGGGTGGGAGATTGCTCAATTTGCAACGTCCTCCTCAGACTCTAGAAGCACTTCGAGAGGAGTTGGTGGTTGCCTGGAATGAGATACCACAGGAGGACATTGACCACCTGATCAGAAGCATGCCTAGGCGCGTTGGAGAATGCGTAGCACATCAGGGTGCATCCACACATTATTAAAGGTCAAAGGGCTTTAAAGCAGTGCAATCATTTTGAAATTTTTATCATTTACTTATTATGCTTCATTAAGTACTTATACAAAATTTTATTAAAATGAAACCATTTAAACTGGGTGTTCGGATTTATATGTCACTTAGTATATAAATCTTATGTAACGCACATTTTTGCGGCAGGTAGATAGCTATTTATGTTTTGACTCGTGCCTTGTGATCCGAACTTGAAAATAATTACCTGCTCCCAAGGATCTTGTACGCCCACGATATTTCGTCTCGAGTCTGGTGGTATGAACAATTGAACGTTCATTTGGATATACAAGGTGGATCATTTTTTATTACGTTATTTTAAGTTTTTATCATAGATAGGGAAAAATTGTTCCTGGAATTGCGTCACTATGGCTTTAAAGGATCAGTATTACACATTTTACAAAATTATTTACTAAATAGAAGTAAAAAAACTAAAGTTGGAAATATTATGTCAACTGTTCAAAATATATCAGTAGTGGTGCCCCGGGGGAGTAAATTAGGGCCGTTACTATTTATTATTTATATAAATGATATCTCTGACATTTTAGAACACTGCAAAATTCAAATATTTGCGGACGATACACTTATACAGGGTGCGGCAGAGAGGATGGACGGTTTTAAAAAAATCATAAAATAGTTAATTTTTACTCGAAAACAAATTTATTGATGGAATCAGGTTCACAAGGAAATAGCATTGGAGACAGTCAAGTGTGGAAAATCATTTGTATTTATTATCAAATTGTATTTTGGAGGAAATAATAAACGTATCCTACTACTACTACTACTACTACTAGAGTTGCAAGAAGACTATGTTGAAAAATAAAAAAAAATCAGAAAAAAGTCTTGTATCTTTGTTAGGTCGGAAACTTTTCGCCACTCTCGTATTATGTGATACACTGTGTAACATGGATATTGTAGCACCGATGCTAGATAAATCTAAAACAAACAAACAATAAGGATCTATTGACGTACGCATTCCATCACTGACGACAACATCGTGCGACATACATGGCGTCACATTCCTTTATGTCGACTAATCGCTTGCTCGAATGGATCATAAAATTTGATGCAGCGAATCTGATTATAACGTCCCGTTATTTATTGCAGGCATCCCGATATACCAGCAGAGCTTGATCTTCCAATCTCGCGAGATGAAGGACAGCCTTCGTCTGGGCGACGTCGGTATCAGGCAGGGATCCACGCTCACTCTGATTACGCTGATGAGGGGCGGGCCCATATCGACCAGGAGACTTTCAGTCGCGTGTGAACACCACGTCATGCTCAAGGAGCTCAAGGAGATTTTGGAGAACACCAGGTAACTCAAGATCACGTATTAGAATGTTCGGAAAAACGGCAATATTTCTGGGGTACAAGGAAGATCAAAATACAGGGTGTGAACGTTATGATGGTCATTATTTAAATGGGTGATAGATTGGGGTAAAAAAGTTTCATATAACATGGGGGTCAAAACGGCAACGCCGCAATGCCAGACGCAAATTACGACGGAACGCAAAAATTCCGCTTATAAATAGGGAACACAATTTTGATACATACATTGTTTTTCTTTTTAAAACCCACACTGCACTCTTTGCATTTAAAGAAGGTGTTCAAAATGTCGTCCTCCACTTGCCACACAAGATTCATTAAGACCAACCAAGTTGCTTATTACTCCAGGTCCTCGAAGTTGTCGATTAAAGCATCCCACAAACCGGCGCGAAATATTCGCTTTGGCTGCGAAAATTTCGCGGCGATGAATTCGCGATCAGGTTAAAACGCGGCGGTTTACGGACAGGCTCAGACTTGTGCGAAGCGAATGCGATTGTTCCAGCGTTTTTATCGCGGCGCATTTCAGTTCGCCTTTGACCGCGTTTTTGACGCCGTTCTTCAAAAATTCGCAATGGCAAAAACGGAATTATTGATAGAAATAGTGAAAAAATATCCTTGTTTGTATGATTTGTCGAACGATGAATACAGGAATGTGAGAAAGAAAGACAAGATTTGGATGGAAATAGGAAAAGGATTAAATACAAATGGTATGTACCTAATATTTCTTATTAAGTTGTTAAATAATTTACAGTCTACACAAATGTGAAAACGAACATTCTATATATTGGGCATAGGCATATCAGAATTAAAATAATTTACGAATTTGTCACGAGTAGAAAATGCTAGCCTTGCTGCCCGCCGAGGATCATTTGCTATATCAGTAAAAGCTCCAAGCACGGGTTCTGGGGGATCTCAGAATTGAAAATATTTGTCATCGCCACTTTTACTTGGTAAAAAATTGTGTAAAACACATGCCGTACGTACAATTAGAATAGTAGTATCTACTTTAGTTTCTAATGGCCTGTAAAATATTCGCCGTTTTTTGAGACAAAATACCAAACGCATTTTCCACGACCCTTCTAGCTCGACAGTCTTACATTGTATTTCTCTTTTCTGACGTCTGTTAAAGTCTGCTTATAAGGAAATGGTCTCATAAGGTATGGTTTTAAAGCAAATGCTTCATCACCAATTAAGACGTACGAGCAGATTTCATTTTGCCCAGGGAGAAATCTAGGTGCAGGGACACTCATTAAATTTTGTTCAAATCGTTTTCCCATGTTTAAGGTTTCGAAAATACCCCCATCACTATTTTTTCCGAAACCACCAATATCAACACATAAAAATTTATAGTCCGGGCCAACAATGGCCATAAGTACTATTGAATATTTATGTAAATAGCACCAGTAATTGGAGCCACTGTTGTTAGGTCTCTTGATTGTTACATGTTTACCGTCCACGCTGCCAATGCAATTGGGAAATCCCCATCTATTTTCAAATTCTTCAGCACATTTTTTCCATATATTCTCTGTTGGTTCTGGTAAATATATATGCTCCATATGTCTGCATATCGCTTCACAGACATCGGTTACGATTGCACTCACTGTTGTAAAGCCAACTCGAAACCTATGCCCAATGGTATAGAAGGTGTCACCAGTGGCAAGGAATCTATAAAAAAAATCGTTTTTAGGTGATGAAGTAAAAAAAGGTGGAAGAATATCAGAGACACATTTGCAAAATATATAAAATCTACCAAACCAAAGACCGGCCAAGCAGTGGGCAACATAAAAAATTGGCAGTGGGCTGACTACATGGAATTTTTCCGTCCTTTTTTGGCATTTGCCAAAACGTCGTCTAATGTGAAAGATATTGACGTCATACATTATGAGACTGCCGAATTTAACTCAAATATATATCAGGAAAGGGCTGGAAATGTAGAAACCGAAAATTTGGAAGGCCGCGGCCATGGAGAAGATGAAAATGCTGATGTAGATGCAGAAGATGCACAGAACGCCTCGGCAACACAGACAGCACCACCTTCTTCATTGAACACTACAGCAGTGACTACTCCAGGGCACACCTTTCCACAGACTGCAACTACACCAAAATATAAAACGAGCAGAAAACGCTATGAACCACCATCTTCGTCTGTACAACAGCTCATTAATTATTTTGAAGGTAAAAAACCTAAAAAAGAGAACGAGGCCATTGATTCACTTTTCTTGGCACATGCACAGACTGTGAAAACACTTCCCTTAAAGCGTCAAGCCCGAATAAAACTAAAAATAGCCGAATTAATAGCGCACGAAGAATTTGAACATATTGAAGAAATATCTTCAGCGTCTTCCCAGAATTCTGCAAGTATGTATGATAGTAGTATGTCTTCCTTCCCAAGCGGCACTGGGTTTACTCCAATAATATACCCAACAGAGGAGGCAAATTCTGCCTCGAATTATTTAGCAACATTTAATCCTAGTGGCAACATGTAGTCCAATTAGTACAATAAAATATTTATTTCACGATCCTGAAGTTTTCGATTTCGATAAGCCTACTAATTTTAATACATATAATTTTTTTACCTGAGTGTAATAGCAAGTCGTTCTTCTGGCGAAATAGCTTCACGATAATTTGTGTCAGATTTTCGTATTTCATCTTTCACCAAGTTCAATATTTCATCGAAACACTCTGGAGTCATTCTAAAATATACGTAAAAGCGCTGTTCATCCAGCCGAAGTTGCGGCATCAAGGTATGGTATTCCCCAAATTCATTTCGTTCCAAGTTAATATCATGTACCCACTTCCTTCGTTTCCTAAACAAAATTGAAAATATTTGTTTTATGTACTTCGTTAAACTTAATACATACCCAACTATCAAATGGCGTTAAATAAACATAACTTACCGTGCATTTTGTTCCTCTTCTAAAGCAAGAAATAGAAGTGCCTCCTCTTCTTCTGAAGACGAGCTCATTGCAAAAGGCAAAAATAAAATGTACGCAACCTGTCGAAACCTTCACGTTCGCGGAGCGAATAAGACGCTTTGGTATGAATAAACAGGCGAAACAGATTGCGAATTGCGCTCTGAATTTCGTTGCGAAATACTTCGCCGCGATTATTTCGCGCCGGTTTGTGGGATGCTTTATTATTTCAGCCGCATTAATTTTTTTTTCGCGAAGTTGTGCTTCAGTTGTTATTGGACCAGCCCCATAAACCATCCCTTTAAGTTCTCCCAAATACCAGAAATCCATCGGATTGAGGTCAGGAGATCTCGCTGGCCATTTTCGAGGATCAGGGGCATTTCGACCGATCCAGCGATTTGGATAATGTTCATTCAAATACTGAATGAAATTTCTAGTATCTCTCATTGGAGGGCCCTGTCATACACCGTCAAGAATATAATTCCGCTGTCAAACCGCTTATTACAATTTTAGCCTCGGCAACATAAAGTGCAAGATGCAGCATGACTAATGCACGATTTTTATTCGTAACGTCATGTGAAAATTATTCACTTAAATCATCTGTAATAATTTACATGCCTGTTTATCGCACCTGGGTATCGAGGTGACGCCGACGGCACTGAATTATGTCACCATGTGTTATTTTTTCTGCAACATTACCGATTCATAAGTTACATAAGTAAACGTTTTCGTGCGGATGGAGTACATTTAATTATATGTCGGATGATAGTGATAGTTTTCGTCAGTTATAAATAAACTTTTATTTACGTTGTTTGTCCATGTTTACGTTGACAGATGCTACACATACAACTTTAAGCTCACGAATAAGGTTACAAATATCCGTATAGGTGATCCAAAATACTTGGACTTTTACTTCTTCTTTGTTAACTATGTACAGTAATGGACAAAAGTATATAGCCAAATTAATATTGTGCTGTATTTCTTTTTTAACTTATAACTTTTAACTTATAAATTCATTAGACTCCCTTGAATAAAAAATTAATTGAAAAAAGCTGGAACTATGAAGGACAAAAACATATAGACAAAGCAAAACAATTGTAGAAAAAAGAAGCAAAGTTCATTGAATTATAGAAAACCAACCATGTTTGCGTTGATATTTTGTACCATAACCATTATTATCAATCACCGCCTGGCATCGTCTCGGCATAGATTGCAGAAGTTTCTTGATATAAGATTCATCTTTTAATCTTCTACTTCTAGTTTTCGTAGAAACACTGGCAATTCCTTTTGTCTCGATTTCGGCTTTTATGTGTCTTGGGGTTTTAAACGGATCTTTCGACGAAATTACTTTTACTAATCTAACTGATCTAGCATTTAGTTTTCTAGGCAAGATACCTTTATGTTTATATTTGTTCAATATTGCCCAGACTGTTTTACGCTTCAGCTTCAAATTTTTGGCAATGCCGACGTGACGTTGACCATCTTTGTATAACTCAATGATCTTAGTTTTCACATCGAAAGAAATTTCTGGACCACGCGGTATGGTCTTAAAATCACTCAACTTATTCCACAATACTTGATGAACACAAACTAATCCTCTTCTGACACGAAACTGTACTGAACTAATGTTGAAAAGAATTTGTATACATATTTTTGTCCCTCATAAAAAAGTGCTTATATTCAGACTTGCATTGTGTTCATTGCAGATAATGTAAAAACAAGGAATTTAGTTTCTCTACTAATAACGCATTTGTTTATGGAGCAATGAAGTATGAATTCGTTTTCTAACGGTATTTACGTAAATATTCATATTTGTCTAAATACTTTTGTCCATTACTGTATATTGTGTGTGTGAAAAGTATCTTCTGATTGTTTTTATTTTTTTCTAAGAACTAGAACAATCGTTGCTCTCCTCAGTATCAAAGATATGACGCAATAAGTTTTTCCACTCTAGAGCGTGGCCCAACGAAAAGGTCGCTCCCATTTTTGTGACTCTCCTGAAAACTTCATGGAAAATCTAAAAATTGAAAAAAAAATGGTGATTTCCATTAAAAAATCTAAAGTGTACCGCAGTATCTTATTTTTCGATCACCCTGTATTGTACGGCTATAGATGAAAAGACGCCCTCCTAGGAATAAAAATTGACGTGTCCGAGCGTTTTTCCCAAAATATTCCAGGATAGTCACAACTGGGGGGTGCGATCTGTTCGTTGGGCCACCCTGTATATCCTTATAAGAGAGACTGTAGTTCCGCGACGGAGGTTATGCTTAAGAAATGGGTTCTCTATTGAGGTATCTTACTCGAGTCCCAGGGAAGATGGCGCGCGGCGCAATAGCGATACTCTCAACGGGAAAAAATAAGACAAGGCGTTTTTCTTTATTTTGTTTTTCGACCTGTTCCGACAACGTTTTCTCAAATTACATGAGAGTCGGTCTGGACCACGATAAACTGTCCCTTTAAAGGATATGTCCGTATAAGAGGGGTGTCCGCGAAAGGGAACTTCACTGTACTACCTTATTCCAATGCCTAAAGTTGTATGTGTAACTGTTTGGATTATTGTCAATTGTATATACAGCAGACGCTCGATAACGTAAACACGGGATAATGAAAACTTGCGCTAATATAAACACAAACTTCGTTCTATAGGATCAAACGGAACCCGCGATAACGTAAACAATGTGTACGCTCGATAACGTAAACAACACTCGGCGCACGGAAACAGCGCGACGGTAAAATGCTGAAGCCTCGATGATTTATGTCGGGCGTCGGGGAGTCCCCGATTTATGATGTAGAGTGTAGGGGATTCACCTCTGCGATAAAATACGACAAACTCGGTCAGTCGTATGATCGTTTAGGATACGTTTATACGTACGTATGTATTTCATTTTTGAACTTAAGTGAATACATTGCACGCGTTAATATATTTTACGACTATGGCATCCACATCCTATAAAAGAAAGTGTTTAAAGTTGAGTGAGAAAGTGAAAATCATAGACGAAGTTGCACTAGGTGCGGGAGTGACACAGTTAGCAAAAAAATATGGAGTATCGAAAGCAACAATCTATAAAATTAAGCGTATGAAAACTCAAATTTTACAAAGAACGTGCAATACATTTGAAGGTCCGGGAAAAAGAAAAACTTTGAAAAATGCGAAGGCACCTAAAATGGAAAATTCCCTGTATAAGTGGTTTTTAAAACAACGGGAAAATCATGTCCCAGTTAGTGGCGAAGTACTTAAACAGACAGCGAGACTGTTAAATGAAAAACTGAAAGAAACTGAAAATTTCGTAGCTAGTGATGGCTGGCTACAACGATTCAAAACAAGATATGGAATTCGACTGCTGTCTATATCTGGTGAAAAATTATCAGCACAACCACAATTAGTGCAACCATTCGAAGAAAAATTGATGAAAACAATTACCGAGCTAGATTTAAGAATGGAACAAATTTACAACGCAGATGAAAGTGGCCTTTATTGGAAAATGTTACCTGAGAAAACCTATGCTGCATCATTTGAAAAATCTGCCCCGGGAAGAAAGCCGGAGAAACAACGAATAACGTTTCTAGCCTGCACTAATGCTAATGGTTCACACAAAATAAAGCCACTGGTAATTGGGAAAGCAAAAAATCCGCGCTCATTTAAAAATGTTAATATCCCTGTTGATTATGACTGTTCAAAAACCGCTTGGATGACTAGCAGTATATTCCTGAAATGGTTCCACAGGTGCTTTGTCCCTCAGGTATGACAATCAATTATCACAAATGCTCTATTCATAATTTGAAGATGTGTTTTCAATTTGTAGGTAAAAGCTTTCCTAAAACAACAGAAGCTTCCAATAAAAGCGTTGTTACTATTGGATAATGCACCAAGTCATCCTCCCGAGCAACAACTGAGGAGCAGGGATGAGTCAATTTTCGTCATGTACATGCCGCCTAACGTAACACCGTTAATTCAACCGATGGACCACAATATAATAAGACTCACCAAACTATACTATAGGAAGTTTCTACTTTCGTCTGTCTTATCAAAGAATCCTGAAAACTTATCTGAGGCTTTAGAAAAAGTAACATTACGAGAAGCTGTTTTAGATTAACATATGGCCTGAAATGAACTTAACCAGCAAACTATTCAAAAATGTTGGAAGAATCTCTTTTGTACCAATAATGAAGATGATGAAGAAGACGATGTCCCCTTAAGCGTAATTAGAGAACGTTTGCGATCCAATAATGATAATGTTATTAGTGTGTCATTGGATGTTGTTGATTTATTGAAAACAGTGAATCCCAACATTGTTTGTACTCCTGCTGTTATTAATTTATGGAACGAAGATAAGCAGACGAATGATGCTGATAAGGAGGAGGATATGGACAGTGAGGATGATGAGAACGATCCCACTGAAGACAGAAGTGACTGACGTGCAAGCTATACAAGTTTTTAACCAAGCTTTAGATTGGGCTGAAAGAAAAGAAGTTTTACACACGGATATTTTAGTTCTTCGTAAATTACGGGCGCAGGCATTGGAAGACAACGCTAAGCGCAAATTTACGCAGACAAAAATTGTTAATTATTTTTCTTCTAATTAAAAAAATACTTATCGCTGTTAGAATATTTGTTTATTTTGTTATAAATAGTATGTATTAAACGTTTCTTTTGATAAATCAAATATTATATAAATCACGTTCGCTAATGTAAACATTTCGATAATGTGAACCACACTTGGATTAAATTAGTTTACATTATCGAGCGTCGGCTGTATTTGTTTTGTCAATTCCAGAGAAGAAATTTCTCCTGGCTCCAAAGTGTCCGTGTTGGTGTTCAAAGAAGGTGACGTGATCAATCTGCTGAGGGTGATAGAGAACGAAGATGGCTCCTATTCGCCGTATAGTGAGAAACCAATCTCGCCGCCGGCCAAACCTTCGAGGAAAGAGTCGCGGATGGATCTCTTCGAAAAGCTGGTCGAGGACAACGAAATGTCCAACAAACTGGCCAATCTGCGTCAAAAAATGGACGAGGTAATATTATAGTCGCTATCCTTACCTGAATTTGAGCGTCAAGGTCATTTTAATGTAATTGATGACTAAAAATACAGGATATGATTCCATTTAAGGAAGTAAAGTTTATATAAACATATGTTCTAAACCTCTTAACTTTTGAGCTGCAGTGTGTTTTAAGAAAAAAATCGTTTTCTTATCATAACTTCAATACTAGTAGTATTAGTAGAAAGATTTATTCAGCACATTTGGCTACATAAACAGAATAATTGTAAACAACTTAGAACTAGTAAATTCAAGCCATATGGTGTATGATGTAAATGCTGGGCAACCTATAATTGTAGATTTAACAAGTGATTTCTCAATTTTACTTTAAATTTTCTCAAAGTTTTCTGGTCTTTTATCTCTGAGTATAATTTATTATATTCAATCATTCATTCATTCATTAAATGGAAGTCATCTTTATTTCTGGTATTATGTAAATGATGGTCGACATTTGATGATGTTAAATTAGTTAGACTTGATGGAAATATATTATTTTTTACTTTATAAATGAATATCATTACAAGATATTTGATAAAAATTTTTACATTGAGCCATTTCAATTTGCTAAGCATTTGTCTAATTGGAGTATATTTATCTTTATTTAGTATTATTCTCATGCACTTATTTTGTAAAATTTGCAGTCTTTCAAAAATGGAATTATTTGCTAAATATAGAATAGTCGAACAGTACAAGAAATTTGGAAGAATGATGGTATTATAGATAATTTTTCTGCTATATGAACTCAGACATCCAGAAACTCTCGATAAATATCCCACTTTACTACTAATCTTATTTATAACTTTTTCATAATGAATATCAAAAATTAATCGAGAGTCAACAAAAACCCCCAGGTATTTAAAATTTTCTACGAATTCAATATCTTCACCATCAATATTCAGTTGAACATTTGTACATTGTTTTTTCCGATTAACAAGGCTTTCGTTTTACTTGTATTTAATTTTAGTCTGTTAGATGCTAACCATTTTGAGACAAGTTTCAAGTCTTCATTTATATAAGAGATACCAGACTGAATATTTTTAGTACTTATATAAATCATAGTGTCATTGGCGAAAATCTGAATTTTGCATTTTCTGACTATGTATAAAATAAAAAGAAGTGGTCCCAGGATACTGCCCTGTGGAACACCCAACGTATTTTCAATTTTTGATGAGTGTCATTAACTTTTGTAACTTGTATCCTTTTAGACAAATAATGTCTAAACCAATCTAAAACACTTCCTGTTATACCATATGCCTTCAATTTACCTAACAAAATATCTCTATCAATCGTTTCAAATGCCCTCTTCAAATCCAAAAATACTGCTATGACAACTTCTTCTGAGTCTATGGCTCTTCTCCAATTCTCAGTTACCAACTGGAAAGCTGTTTCTGTGGAATATTTTTTTCGAAAGCCTGCTTTTGCCTCCACTAAAATTTGGTTTTCTTCTATAAACTGCATTAATTGGTCATGCACTATGGACTCTAATAATTTTTCAATGTCTGGTAACACATTTACTGGTCTCATATCGCTGCATCTTTTACAATTTTTTATTTTGGTAACTGTTCTAGATAATTTCATGAAATTTGACACGCATCTACTAAGCACCATTAGGCATTTTTTTTACCAGGGGCGTCCGTACGGGATGTATACTGGCGCTTTTTCAAAAAAACAGCACGCCATTGCTTTTTCCGAAAATAAAAATTATTTTTGAAATCCTCATTTATTTTGCAACAAATTCGACCTCTTGACTTTTTGCCGTCCGATGCACCGTTTTCGCGTAAAAAATAAAAATAATTTTGGCTATTTTAATCAGTTGATTTTACTTGAATATAAATCAACCAAAAACACATCTTACCTACAAATTACCACATGTGATTTCAGCGATTTTGAAAATGAAAAAACAATTTTGCAACAAGTTTTGACAATTTCTGTGTAAGTCAAATTTGTTGCAAAATTAACGAGGATTTCAAAAATGATTTTTATTTGCGAACAAAGAGAGGATGAATGGTGCATGAAGATGTTGGTATGCCACTTTCCGGTTTTCGTCAAGCATTTTCCTCACAGCAGTTCGCGGCCTTGCTTCCCTATCAGCGTCCTACAGAGTGAAATTGCCCCTTTGGAATTCTCCGTACAACCTGAATATAGTCGTACGATGAGGTCAATCATACTTTAATGCAAGCGTCATTTCTTCTGAGCACTGCTCTATGCTTAAACCACGCGTAAAGTTATACCGTATAAACTGCCCTTATCTCACTACGTGACCACGATGCCATAGTCCTCAGTTTACACTGTCAATACCAATGAACAATTAAATCAACAGACTTGCTGCTGGCGGCTACTATGCACTCATGGACATATTCGAAACATGTAGCCTTCTGCGTTCGTTCGTTAAGTCATATTGCAAAACTATTATAAGGGGTGTTTTTTTTTTAGAGGTATAGAACTTTAAATTGCAATAAAACAATGATGGATTATTCGATTGACATGATTTTTTTTTATTCGAAAGATAATCTTGTGGCATTACATTTTAAATATGACTACCACGGCTGGCTCGGATTCAGTCCAATCTGGACGTCCAATTTTCGATGGCTTTTTCCAACATTTCTGGCCGTATATCGGCAATAACATGGCGAATGTTGTCTTCCAAATGGTCAAGCGTTTGTGGCTTATCCGCATAGAAAAATGACTTTACATGGCCCCACAGAAAATAGTCTAGCGGTGTTAAATCACAAGATCTTGGAGGCCAATTCAAACGTGAAATTAGGCGGTCACCAAACGTGTCTTTCAATAAATCGATTGTAGCACGAGCTGTGTGACATGTTGCGCCGTCTTGTTGAAACCACAGCTCCTGGGCATTATGATTGTTCAATTCAGGAATGAAAAAGTTAGTAATCACGGCTCTATACCGATCACCATTGACTGTAACATTCTGGCCATCAAGCGCACCAAACAGTCAGTTTTTCTGGACGTAACGGTGTTTCGACATAGGCTTGAGGATTAGCTTCACTCCAAATGCGGCAGTTTTGTTTGTTGACGTAGCCATTCAACCAGAAGTGCGCTTCATCGCTAAAAAAAATTCGCTTATGAAAATCGGGAACAACGGCGATCTCGTTTTGGGCCCATTCAACGAATCTACGCCTTGCTTGATGGTCGTTTGGCTTCAATTCTTGCACGAGTTGGATTTTGTAAGCACGCAAACCAAGATCCTTCCGCAAAATCTTCCATAAAGTGGATGGACACAGATCCAATTCCTGTGCTCGATGGCGGATGGACTCATTCGGGTCTTCCTCAATGCTACGCTCTACAGTAGCAATAGCTTCTTCTGTACGCACCGTACGGCGTCTCTGGGGATGCGAGTTATCAATTAGAGTAAACGTGGTGCGAAAACGTTCCCTGGTTAATCGAATTAACTGCTCTGATGGACGATTTTGTCGACGATAAAATGGACGTAGTGCGCGAAACGTATTCCGCACAGAATTATTTTCGAAATAAAACTGCACAATTTGCAAGCGTTGTTCAGACGTGAGTCTATTCATGATGAATTGCCAAACCAAACTGAGAATAAATCACTTGACAGCTGTCAAATCGGTCGTCATCTCCAAAAGTAATGCCAACTTAAAGTTCTATACCTCGAAAAAAAAAACACCCGTTAGTACCCTTTGTACGAATAAAAGCATGTATGTTTACGATAGATAATAGATGACTAATACCTTCGGTATGAGCACCTAGCTCAACGCTACTCACTACGAAGAAATGCAGTAAGCATTACCGTGGCGGGATGTGTGGCGAATAACTGGGGGCCGGCAGGGCAACACTGTTGAGTTTTTCTGCCCGATAGTGGTTGTAAAAGTTTTCCCCTGTCAAATAAACAATTGTTTGAAAAACTTCATTCATAACACTGGCCAACAAAATTTTAACTTTGTCGTGCCACACGGACTTTTTTGATATTTTTTACTTTAATTGGTGATTGTAAGAAAAAATAAACAGTTAAAAAAAATTTGCTAGACAAGGATTTTATTCTATTGAGTAATTTAAAATATTAAGAAAAAACACAGATCTCGTAAATCAAAAGTTATTTTTTTTATAAATGACTTAATAATCTAAGATTTTCTTGAATATTTAGCTTCTGGTTGGTCCCTTTTAATTGTCCAGCAGTAATCTGCTAACATATTTGGGCTCCATTTGCCCTGGTACCGCTTTTCCATATTAGAAATGTCCTGATGGAACCTCTCACCGTGCTCGTCGCTGACAGCCCCTAAATTGTCAGGAAAAAAATCCAGGTGCGAGTCTAAAAAATGGATCTTAAGTGACATGTTGCAACCCAATGCTTGATATGACAATAATAGCTCGCTAACCAACTCTCTGTAGCTGTTACTCAAAAAATTTGAAACAACATTTTTAAAAGCCTTCCATGCAGATGTTTCTAAATCGCTTAATTTTTCTTCAAATCTTGAATCTTTTATTAACTCCCTAATTTGAGGGCCAACAAAAATACCCTCTTTTATCTTTGCATCACTTATTTTAGGGAATTTGTCTTTTAGATACAAAAAACCACTCCCATTGCGATCCATTGCCTTCACAAAATTTTTTATTAATCCTAATTTGATATGCAATGGTGGTAGAAGCACATTATTTGGCTGTACAAGGGGTAAATACTTTACGTTTTTTTGCCCAGGAACTAACGATGCACGCGAGGCCATGTTTTTTTTATATAGTGATTAGTTCTGTCTCGGCTATCCCATTCACATAAAAAGCAGCAAAACTTTGTATAACCCAGCCGAAGTCCAAGGTAATAGTGCAACAACTTTAAGATCACCGCAGATTTTGAAGGAATATGTACTGTAATTTATTTTATCAAGTAAAAGTTTCATATTTTCATAGGTTTCTTTCATATTTGCAGCATGGGCCAGAGGTACAGACGGAAGCTTATTTCCATTATGCAATAACACTGCTTTTAGACTTGCTTTCGAAGAATCAATGAATAAACGCCACTGAGAGAGATCAAAATCTATGTCCAACATTTTCATAATCTCATTTATGTTATTGCAAAACACCAAATCTCCATTCTGAGAAAAATACGTTCTGAAGTGTTGATCACGGTTTCGAAAATAGCTAACTTTTGTATTATGATGTAGCAAATTCCATTCTTTTAGACGTGATCCTAATAGTTCTGACTGCTTTTTTGACAAATTTAAATCCCGTACCAAATCATTTAGGTCTTGAGTTATCAAATGTGGCTCGTTTACAATTCCTTTTAACTCAAAGTCATCGTCCTCGTCAACACATTCACCTGAAGTGGACGGTTGTGAATTGTTCTCAACAGACGTAGTTGCAACTGGTATTAGTTCTGGCAATTTTTTACAATGAGAGGCTGGTCTTATAGCCGAAGATAAGTTAGGGTAAATAACTGTGGTTTTTTTCTTGTAATTTATACCTTTTATGTCTGTGAGACAAAAATAGCAATCTGAAACGTGATCTCGCTGTTCAGTCCATATCATGGGTACAGCAAACGGCATAGATCGTGCACCTTTCTTCCAGTCAGTTAAATTTTTCACACACGTTATGCAACAGACATGAGGATTTGTCTTGATGGCCGACAGAAAAACCAAAACATTGGTGATAACACTCCAACACAAGATTCGTAAAATTTCGTCGTTGAATGTTCTCCGCAGACATAACAACTCTTTAGTTAGGATCTTTATTACACTTCCTCGACATATTCACAGTGTTAATAAATCACAAAAAAGTGTTCAAATTCAACAACAAATATTTTTATAAGGATTTACTTGTAAGCGTTTCTGTTAATTTACTGCCGTAGTACTAGTTATGAGTATTACCGTATCACAACAGATATGAGGCTAATAGACATATGACAGCTGTCATGTAATAATGAGGGTAGACTGATAAAACAAAATTAGCTGTCAAAGTTCGTGTGGCAAAACCAGTGTTGACCAGTGTAATTTGTATCGCCATTTTCATTGTTGTAGGTACATATACGGAAAACGAACAGCAGTAAAAAGAATGCAAACAAATCATCAGCTGGTGATGATGATACGTTAAACGGATCGAGTTGTTCCAGTAGCAGTTCTTCGAGCGGCGCTAGTTGTAGTAGTAGTAAAAGTAATAATAGTAAATTGTTGGCCTTCAAGTTTTTGTCGCAGTGCGACACTGACCTCCTCGATAATGTCGACCTCAAGATATTCGAGAGGGAGGAGAACGAGGAAGAGATCGCTCTAAAAGACAAGCATAGGTAAGGACAATGTTCACGTTCACATTGCACCTCGGATGATAACACGTTCGTTCATTTTCCAGATCGAATTTACACAAATTGGCCAAGACGAAAATGAAGTCATTGTACAGCGAATCTAAGGGCGCGTACAGCCACACTAAACAAAGTTACGCGCGGATGCACAAAAAAGTAAGTAAAAAGATTTATAATAATTTTTTATTTGAAATAAGGAATTTACCATTGGTAACGTTGATCTTTGAGCTATTTTTCTACATAGTCGCCATTTTTCCTACGATTTTTTTTTAACGTGGAATCCACTTTCATTTCGCCGTCAGCCTGCTTGAAAACTTGGTAACTGCTCCTCGTACGTCTTGGATCGTTGATCGCCTAGGCGCTCCTTCAATTTTGGATCGTGATTCACCAATCTTCGAGCAAGATTTACTCCATATCTTCCTCGGAGATCGACGGCTTCCCGCTTCGTTGTTCATCGTGAATGTCTATGCTGCCAACAAATAACTCTCTTCACCATTTGAGGTCATGTTGAATGCTCATACACGTTTCCCATATACAGTAGTTACAAAAGTTTGGAAACATCCTTAGTGATTTTTAAAAAGTGCGCTAATTGTTCAAGACTATTTTTTTTCTCGTATAGTTTACTTAGAGTCGTGGGGATACAAATGACAATTTGTGTTGGCTGTGGTACTACAGACTAGCATTAAAATACCCTCATATTATTTGATGACCAAAAATGAGACGACAAAAGTATGGAAACATATTTTTTATTACAAAATTAAATTTCAATAACTCTACAATAAGATTAAAAAAAAATGTTTAGCTTATATTTGATAGCATAGCCTTTAGCATTGAACACTGCCTGACATCTGATGCTCATAGAAGACATCAATTTTTTACAGACGTCTGTTGGGATATTTTTCCAAACATTTTTAAAATAAGCAAATAAATCGTTCCTATTTTTAAAAGTTTTTCTTGTCAGTTGTCTTTTACAAGGGATGTCCTTTAAGTTTTGCATATGGAAATAAAACAACACGGTAGGTAGTTTATTGTTTTTCGAAGTATTCTCCACGAAGATTTATACACATCTGCATGCGCACGAACCAATTTTCGAAGCACATATTCCACTCGTTTGCTGGCAGATCCAAAACGGCTTCTTCTGGTGACTGGAACCTTTGACCACGCAGTCTGTTTTTAATTTTCGGGAAAGTAAAAAAATCGTTAGAACTTAGATCGGGACTATATGGAGGATGGTCCAATAATTCCACGTTTTCTTCCGTTAAATACTGCCTTGTTTTTTGGGCTGTGTGCGAGTTTGCATTGTCTTTCGGGGTTGATTTTTCGAAGCTCGGTGATGACTTTTGTCTAACAAATGGTGGTATACCAATCCGCAGTAACAGTTCTTTGCTTATTAAGAGGAATTGTTGCAATATGACCCGCTTTTGAGACAAATGTCGCGACCATCTTTTTCGAAGCACTTCGAGAACGATGACTTTTGTTGGCTTTTCTTCACCTTGGAACACCCAAACAGACGACTGTCGTTTATTTTCTGGTTCATAACAGTAAATCCACGATTCAACAAAGCTGTATGCTTTATCTGAAGTCACTTGAAATAGCATAAAAACCTTTGGTCGGCGCGTCCTTTGTAATTTCATGACGTATCATAGGCGTGTGGTCGTTTATTTAGAACGATAATAATAATGTTTTTATATCACAATAAATGGATTTTACTATCTTCTTATTTTTTTGATTTGGGATAAAAAATACTTATATTGGGAGTTTAATTTATGTTGACTGAAAGTTAAGAAATGGAAAAATTACAGAATTCCAACGTTTGACATAGGCAAATATTTACATAGCAGGTAGGTATATAAAAAGGTATATAAAGACTTACATTATAGGTATTTATATATCGCCTTCGGAGCTGTCGCTAGAGTCATCTTGTAGAGGAATTACAACGGGATTTACAGGAGGCAAAACACAATATTCATTTTCTTTTTCAATAATATGCCTAGAACACTGCTTCCATAGGTCTGTGGCAGCAATATGAGATACTGCATCTCTTATTGTGGCCAATAGCGATTCACTTAATTGAGGGGTCTGATTATGTTTTCTTACTTTTTTTTTAAAGCAGCCCAGACCAACTCAATCGGGTTAAAAATGCAGTAATAGGGAGGTAGACGTAATACTTCATGGCCATTTTGCTGAAGCAGATTGTCAACAACATACTCTTTTTCAAATTTTTGTTTTTTAATAAGATCCAATAATATGGCTTTGGTTGATTTTTGTGGTATTTCCATTCCCTTATCCTTAATAAAATTAATAATGTCTTGTTTTTTTGTGCCTGTATTCGGAATTTTGTTTTTCTGTCGGGAATGGTATGGCGCATTGTCCATAATAATCACTGAATTTGGGGAAATGTTTGGTATTAACTGCTGCTCTATCCACTTTTCAAATAAGTCGGAGGTCATGTCCTCATGATAGTCGGCACATGATTCTTTGATATTTTTGGCAGATAACAGCAAGGCATTAGGTATAAATCCATTTTCACTGCCAGCATGGAGAATAATGATTCGTTTTCCACGGTTGCATGGTGCATTTAAAATGCACTTGTTACTGTCGTCAACCCAGCCGTACTGCACATCATGGGTATCATACCTTGTTTCATCCAGGTAAATCAGATTTCTTTTCTGCTCTCTATAGATTTTAACTTTGTGCAAACATTCTTGGCGCAATTCAACGATTCGAGACGACTCCATAATCACCATTCTTTTATCTAATTTTTTGTATTGAAAACCACACAGTTTTACAATACAGTGCAGTGAGTCTAAGCATTTGTAATTATAAAAATCTTCAGGATAATCTTTTAATTTATCCCGTATCATTTCCAACGTGGGCACCAAATTTTCTTTATAAAATCCGTATATTATACGACGAATATCTTCCTGAAAACCCACGTCTATTCTTTTTAATCTTTGCCCTATGCGCTTTCTGTGGAAGGAATGGTTGACTACATCTCCCCTTTTTATAACCCGATAAATGGTAGACCGACTGATTTTTGTCAGGATACAAATTCTGTTTAAAATTTGATTTTGCGAGGAATCTGGATTTTCGTTTTTCAGACAATCATACATATTTAGGATTACTCTTTGGGTCTGTTCCTCTAAATCTTTATGAAAGAATTCTGCCTGCACAGGTTCATCAACCATCTCCTCGTGGCTTGGAGCATTTTCCCAAGGTCTCCAAGGAGCCATATTTAGGACACACAAGAACAATCAACACAACAATTAAATCAACAAGTAAACGGAGTATTCAAAAGTCAAAAACACACAAACTAATAAAATCTATGAAAAAACACGGACAGACTAAAGAAAACACGTTTATTCACCGCTACACGGCACTGGCTAAACTGTTTCAATTTTCAGTAGCCACCTGCACTTGTTCAGAGCTCTGAAATACACGCTTTCTCATTGGCTATGTCCACGCATAGGCGTGCTTTACTCCACGTGGACCGGTGAAATTGCCTTTGATCTTATACGGGGGATATTTGCTGCGAAATTTGGCGATTTTTGCAGCAACAGAGCGTGTTAAATATAGATATATAAAACGCACCCGGTATTTCACAGTCTTTCAAGTGACTTCAGATATACCATACACATTTTTTGAGTTTCCGAAATTGAAACGGTCAAACGTTTTTTGACACCAATTAACCCTGTCTGCTTTCTGCTCTTCAGTCAACAGGTGGGGTATCCAACGAGAAACCAATTTTCTTACTCCTAATTCTTCATGTAAAATTTTTTGAGTTGAGGTCTTTGAGATCTTCAAGGACGCCTCAATCTCGCGATATGTCACATGTCTATCTTCAATGATGAGTTTGCGCACAGCATCGACGTTTTCCTGGGTGACTCCCGTTCTTGGTGCACCCACCCTGGGGTCGTCGCTAAGACTCACCTGTCCACGTTTGAATTCTCCATTTCTCCCATTTGTAATAAATTATGGCGCGAAAATGTTCTCTTCTCTTCTAATGACTTGTGAGTTTACTAAAGAGTGAGGTTAAGATTCAGTACTGACGTTCGATCCTACTATGTTTCTATATGCAAAACTTAAAAGACATCCCTCGTAGCACTACAACGGCAGGCGGAAAAGTCCGATGACACTGCTGTGTCAGCCTTTTTTTATGCTGGATAATCCACGAAGCGTGCTGCTTTGTCTTCTAGTTCCTTATCCAACTTATTCTTGAATAGACACACTGTTTCTTCACTAAGAGTATACAACACGATTTGAAATGAAATTTATCCTTATCAGCTTAGATTTGTTTCTATTTTTTTTTTGTATTCCCTCGGAGATGAAAATGAAACTTTTCCCCATATTCCTTGTGTGGTCCAGGGATATGCAATTAAGCGGACTTTTTTTGTACGAAAATTAAACAAGATTCGAAAAAAAAAAATCAAGAGACAATAAAGTTGTATTTCTATTCGCCTAATACACAGAACATAATGAAAATTGCACAAGAGTCAGTGGCGTATATTTTTTTGTCACTAATATTCGCTGGAGATGCCACTGGACTGAATAAATTTCCTCCTTAATGTTATAATGGGTGATTGTTTTGCTAGTATCTTTTTGGCGTCACTGTTTTTGACAGATGACGCGTGAATCGTGTCTTGTGTCATTGTCAAACTTGTTCAGTTTGGTCTATAATTTAACCATGAATCGACTTACGAACAAACAACGCTTGCAAATTATTGAATTTTACTATCAAAATTCATGCTCGGTTAAGAGAGTGCTTCCAATTTATGGGCAATTTGGTCGGCCTACTGAGCGAGCTATTCGGAAGCTTGTGACTAAATTTCGAACCCAGTTTACATTATTGGACATTAAACCACCAACACGCAGACGTAGAGTGAGGACTGAAGAAAATATTGCGGCTGTATCCGCCAGTGTTAGTGAAGACCGTGAAATGTCGATTCGCCACCGTTCGCAGCAATTGGACCTCTACGTGGAAAATTTTGCGACAGGATTTGGGTGCAAAACCTTATAAGATACAGCTGGTGCAAGAATTGAAGCCCCACGACCTCCCACAACGTTTCCAATTTGGTGAATGGGCGCTGAAAAGTTGGAGGAAGATCCACATTTTTATCGAAAAATTGTGTTCAGCGACGAAGCTCATTTCTGGTTGAATGGGTACGTTAACAAGCAAAATTGCCGCATCTGGAGTGAAGACCAGCCAGAAGCATTGCAAGAGATACCAATTCATCCCGAAAAAATCACTGTTTGGTGTGGATTATGGGCCGGTGGCATCATCGGGCCGTACTTCTTCAAAGACGACAATGGCCGGAACGTAACTGTGAACGGCGAGCCCTACCGTGCGATGTTAACAAACTTTTTTTTTGACCAAAATGGAAGAGCTGGACTTGGCTGACATGTGGTTTCAACAAGACGGTGCCACATGCCACACCGCACACGAAACAATGGCCCTATTGAGAGGCGAGTTCGGTGAACAGTTTATCTCACGTTTGGCCGCCTAGATCGTGTGATTTAACGCCGTTGGACTATTTCTTGTGGGGCCATGTTAAGGCTAATGTCTACAGGGATAAACCAGCAACGATTGACGCACTGGAAGCCAATATTGAAGCATTTATTCGCGAGATACCGGCCGATATGTTGGAGAGAGTGTGCCAAAATTGGACCTTGCGCATGGGCCATCTAAAGCGGAGCCGCGGCCAACATTTACATGAAATAATCTTTAAACATTAAATTATATCGACCGTTCTATCGACTCACATAAAAATTTAATCGTTTTTTCAAATTTTTTGTGTTTTTTTTTTTGAAAATCAAATCCTATACCTCTTAAAAAATCACCCGTTAAATACCACCGCCAAATTATCAAGCTTAGGTAAATGATTTTCAAGATATTTACGAAAAAAACTCTTTTTTAACGTCCTAATGCCTTTACATGAATTTTTCGTCTTAACATTACTCAAATTGTATGTTAAATTGATGCCACATAATCAACATCTATGTTTATAAGAGCGTTTTTGTTATTTTAGACCGTACACTAATTCTTATACCGAAAAATGTTTCGTTCGCTTAAAGTGTAGTGGCATTAAAACAAAAGCACCGATCATACTCAACACGCTTAGCAATTTTTTTGCCTCAGACCCTAATTTCAATTTCCTAACAGTCCAGAGACATACATACCCTTCCGAGCTCATTATCTGCTGCCGGTTCGGCGCTCGCCGAGGACGAAGACGAAAACGACGTTGGCGGTGACTGCGCTAGCCTGGGAGCGGCGTTCGAAGAAGACGTCGCGTTCGGCGAGACGACGGTAGCAGGGGCGGCGTCTGCGTCCGCGGCCGCCCCCAATAGGATTCATCTCGCGCGGCTGGTACTGGCGGAGGCGGCGGCCGACAGGCAGACTGGATCGCCGAATAGTATAGGTGAGTTGTTCATATGTTTCCTCGGCTTTCTAAGGCGGAAATGCTTGCCCACATCTTTGCTGCCGACTCCTCCATGGACCAACGCCCAAGTGCGGTCGTTCATTCAACTAAATAATGATAAGTCTAGTTGTAATTTAAAGATGTTTAAAAGAAAATTGAAGGAATATTTCATGGACAGTAAGAATTCTTAGAGATGCAACTTTTTTTCTAAATACAGCAGACGCTCGATAATGTAAACTAATTTAATCCAAGTGTGGTTCACATTATCGAAATGTTTACATTAGCGAACGTGATTTATATAGTATTTGATTTATTAAAAGAAACGTTTAATACATACTATTTATAACAAAATAAACAAATATTCTAACAGCGATAAGTATTTTTTTAATTAGAAAAAAAATGATTAACAATTTTTGTCTGCGTAAATTTGCGCTTAGCATTGTCTTCCAATGTCTGCGCCCATAACTTACGAAGAACTGAAATATCCGTGTATGAAACTTCTTTTCTTTCAGCCAAATTGGTTAAAAACTTGTATAGCTTGCGCGTCAGTCACTACACTTCTGACTTCAATGGGATCGTTCTCATCATCCTCACTGTCCATATCCTCCTCCTTATCAGCATCATTCGTCTGCTTATCTTCGTTCCATAAATTAATATCAGCAGGAGTACAAACAATGCTGGGATTCACTGTTTTCAATAAATCAACAACATCCAATGACACACTAATAACATTATCATTATTGGATCGCAAACGTTCTCTAATTACGCTTAAGGGGACATCGTCTTCTTCATCATCTTCATTATTGGTACAAAAGAGATTGTTCCAACATTTTTGAATAGTTTGCTGGTTAAGTTCATTCCAGGCCATATGTAAATCTAAAACAGCTTCTCGTAATGTTACTTTTTTTAAAGCCTCAGATAAGTTTTCAGGATTCTTTGATAAGACAGACGAAAGTAGAAACTTCCTATAGTATAGTTTGGTGAGTCTTATTATATTCTGGAACATCGGTTGAATTAACGGTGTTACGTTGGGCGGCATGTACATGACGAAAATTGACCCATCCCTGCTCCTTAATTGTTGCTCGGGAGGATGACTTGGTGCATTATCCAATAGTAACAACGCTTTTATTGGAAGCTTCTGTTGTTTTAGGAAACCTTTTACCTACAAATTGAAAACACATCTTCAAATTATGAATAGAGCATTTGTGATAATTGATTGTCATACCTGAGGGACAAAGCACCTGTGGAACCATTTCAGGAATATACTGCTAGTCATCCAAGCGGTTTTTGAACAGTCATAATCAACAGGGATATTAACATTTTTAAATGAGCGCGGATTTTTTGCTTTCCCAATTACCAGTGGCTTTATTTTGTGTGAACCATTAGCATTAGTGCAGGCTAGAAACGTTATTCGTTGTTTCTCCGGCTTTCTTCCCGGGGCAGATTTTTCAAATGATGCAGCATAGGTTTTCTCTGGTAACATTTTCCAATAAAGGCCACTTTCAACTGCGCTGTAAATTTGTTCCATTCTTAAATCTAGCTCGATAATTATTTTCATTAATTTTTCTTTGAATGGTTGCACTAATTGTGGTTGTGCAGATAATTTTTCACCAGATATAGACAGCAGTCGAATTCCATATCTTGTTTTGAATCGTTGTAGCCAGCCATCACTAGCTACGAAATTTTCAGTTTCTTTCAGTTTTTCATTTAACAGTCTCGCTCTCTGTTTAAGTAACTGTGTACTTCGCCACTACCTGGGTCATGATTTTCCCGTTGTTTTAAAAACCGCTTATATAGGGAATTTTCCATTTTAGGTGCCTTCGCATTTTTTAAAGTTTTTCTTTTTCCCGGACCTCCAAATGTATTGCACGTTCTTTGTAAAATTTGAGTTTTCATACGCTTAATTTTACAGATCGTTGGTTTCGATACTCCATATTTTTTTGCTAACTGTGTCACTCCCGCACCTAGTGCAACTTCGTCTATGATTTTCACTTTCTCACTCAACTTTAAACACTTTCTTTTATAGGATGTGGATGCCATAGTCGTAAAATATATTAACGAGTGCAATGTATTCACTTAAGTTCAAAAATGAAATACATACGTACGTATAAACGTATCCTAAACGATCATACGACTGACCGAGTTTGTCGTATTTTATCGCAGAGGTGAATCCCCTACACTCTACATCATAAATCGGGGACTCCCCGACGCCCGACATAAATCATCGCATTTTACCGTCGCCCTGTTTCCGTGCGCCGAGAGTTGTTTACGTTATCGAGCGTACACATTGTTTACGTTATCGCGCGTTCCGTTTGATCCTACAGAACGAAGTTTGTGTTTACATTAGCGCAACTTTTCATTATCCCGTATTTACGTTATCGAGCGTCTGCTGTATCTGTACGTTATGTAATAGTAGTTTTTTAAAAGAATGTAATTGTAGTAATCATGCTAAATAACAACTTTCACAAGCGTTGTTTCCATATTTTTCTTCCAGAACTCGAAGAGAACGCCCAGGAAGTCTGGGAGATCCACGAATCGGCCGGCGACCGCCTAAAACGCAGCGCGACTTGCAAGCTAGGTCTGCTGAAACGGCGCCAAAGCCTCGAGTACGGTTTCGAGGCGGGCATCGAGAACCCCGCGGCGGGAACGGCCGCGACGGCGTGCGAGAGCAGCAGCGAGTTCCGCGTGTGCTCCGGCAACCTGTACCATCACCACAGGGTGCCGCAGCTGGCCGGGGCTGCGGGCACGACGACGGCCGGCGGTTGCGGCGGCGGGGGCAGAGGACGCGGGAGCGGCAGCCAGGAACACCACGCCGCCGGCCTGTGCGATTATTATTTCGCGAAGCAGGTGAGTCACAGTTATTTCCCAACCACGTCCTCGTACATCTATGTTTAATAGATCTTTTACCTATTTTGTCTATCACTTGTACAATCACGTTCCCGAGAACCTTAAGTCTATGTCTGTTTCAGCTTTCAAAAGAAGTTACAGAAAATTTCTTTTAGATGAATAAGTGTAGTTTTTACTTTATCTTGTTCATTTCCTTTTTATATGTATACAGGGTGTCCCAGAAGTCGACGTCAAGCCGAAACCGGGTTATACGCAAAGTCATAACAGCTATCAGAAAAATATTTAAAAAAATTTTATGTATGTGTTTTGAAAATTATAGGTCTTTGAAAAAGATATAGAAATTTCACACCCTACGGCAGTCTGTCAACTCCTGTTACTACAAATATTAACTTATTTTTTATTTTATTTTTACAATGTAATGATGAATAATGTATCTTCAAACTGGTGTCTCAACCTTACTGTCAACTTTTCTCGTTCAGGAAAAATTGCCACTTATTTCCCAACCAAGTATTCCAAAGTAAAACTATGCTCAACTTTAACTGGCTGTACTGGAAAAAAATGTACTACGAGAGTTTGGCAAGTAACCTTAGAAGTTGGCGCATTTCATAACGATTCCAATAATGGTATAACACTTAGAAGATTACTCGTTAACTTATGCACAATTTTTATTTGAAGAAAAACTGATGAAAATTTTTCAAAATTTCCTAATTAAACAGCGATTATGAAAACCTACAAGGACCCTTAAGAATAACTGTTTGCACAACAGTGGGCGTCAAAATGCTGCTGACGATAATTTACCTTTACAGCAAATGCTCAAACTGTTTTCCTTCAGCCGCAATACACGCTCGACATCTTCTTAAAAAGATCGGGTTATTAAACGAGCGAATCCACGGTTATTAACAAACTCAGCTGCTTCCAATAGTCTTTGCCGTAGCTCAGCTACATTTTGAATCGGCTTGAAATACACTTTTTCTTTTACAGTTCCCCAGTAAAAAAATCTACAGCGTGTTCAAGCTCTTCTGCACCGGGATTATGAGCCCCGAGTTGCTTTTTGTCGTACAATGTTAGAAAGACACAGGAAAGATCCACGGTTCTTTGAAAAAATGTTATGGTCGGATGAGACCACATTTAAGAAAGATGGGTACATGAACCTGCATAACTTACACGAGTGGCACGTAGCAAACCCACATTTGATGAGAGAAAATAAATCTCAATATCGCTTCAAGATAAACCATTGGACAGGAATTTTAAATGGTAAAATAATCGGTCCGTTTGAGTTCCCAGAGACTTTGACTGCTGAGGTTTATTTAGGCCATAAAATCATTTCATTTAGAAAATTTATTGTACGACGTGCCACTGAGTATTTACAGGGACATGTGGTTTCAGCATGATGGCTGCCCAGCGCACTATGCACTCTCAGTGAGAGAGTATCTCGATCAAAACTTTCCAGGCAGATGGATAAGGCGGTCTGGTACAATACCGTGGCCAGCCCGGTCACCAGATTTGAATCCGTTAGATTTTTTTTACTGGGAACTGTAAAAGAAAAAGTGTATTTCTAGCCGATTCAAAATGTAGCTGAGCTACGGCAAAGACTATTGGAAGCAGCTGAGTTTGTTAATAACCGTGGATTCGCTCGTTTAATAACCCGATCTTTTTTAAGAAGATGTCGAGCTTGTATTGCGGCTGAATTAAAACAGTTTGAGCATTTGCTGTAAAGGTAAATCATCATCAGCAGCATTTTGACGCCCACTGTTGTGCAAACAGTTATCCTTAAGGGTCCTTGTGCGTTTTCATAATCGCTGTTTAATTAGGAAATTTTGAAAAATTTTCATCAGTTTTTCTTCAAATAAAAATTGTGCATAAGTTAACGAGTAATCTTCTAAGTGTTATACCATTTTGGAATCCTTACTAAATGCGCCATCTTTTAAGGTTACTTGCCAAACTCTCGTAGTACATTTTTCCTGTTCAGCCAGTTAAAGTTGAGCAAAGTTTTACTTTGGAATACTTGGTTGGGAAATAAGTGGCAATTTTTACCTGAACGAGAAAAGTTGGCAGTAAGGTTGAGACACCAGTTTGAAGTTGCATTATTCATCATTACATTGTAAAAATAAAATCCAAAAAAAGTTAATATTTGTAGTAACAGGAGTTGACAGACTGCCGTAGGGTGTGAAATTTCTATATTTTTTTCAAAGACCTATAATTTTCAAAACACATACATAAATTTTTTTTAAATATTTTTCTGATAGCTGTTATGACTTTGCCTATCACCCGGTTTCGGCTTGACGTCGACTTCTGTGACACCCTGTATATATATATATATATATATATGAGCATGTAATTGTATATGTTTTTCTGTTAGCTCTGCCTAAAATTTTCGTTAAATAATATTTGTTATATAGGGTGTTCTCACACTTAGAGGTCTAGCTTCAGATCTCCCTTTTCGGACAGAACCAGTTTTAACAAAACGACGATGAATATTAGAAAATGTTCGAATATCTGGCAAAGCACGATCGGGATATCTCTGGTGATAAATCCGTCTGGCTTGCTCACCATTACTGTCGGCAAGGCCATAAACATAATGCACTTCCGCCATTTCTACATTTGAATAATTCACCATTATTAACAAGATTGTAAAAACTAAATAATGAAAAAGATGTCACAGCGAACAGATTTGAATAACAGAGATTTGTCAGATGTCTAAAGAGAGTGACATATTCCAGAGCAGCTAGATATTTATTGCTAAATTGCATTCTTCAATTATTACATTAATCTTCTCGGACAATAGAACGGTTTTAATTTTTTTACTCAAAAATGGCACATCGAAGGAAAACAATTCAAGACAGATCATTTGTTTTAAATTGAACGAGGAATTCAAAAATAATTTTTATTTGTCAAAAACCAATGGCGTACCATTTTTTTCTTAAAAAATATCGAAGTCAATACCCGTACGCACGCCACTTTGCATTGAAAAATATGCAACTTTATTAACTTTCACTACGTACTAAATATCTGTGAAATATCTGAAGCGGTTCTGAAAATATTAATTTCCATTTTTTTCCTAAAACTTCAACAGCCAGAGTTTTTGTAAAGAAACATTTTTGGACCTTAGTTTATAAAGCAAACTAACATTAATTTTTCATTTAGATTCACACCCTTAAATATTCGCATATCATTAAGGAACACCCTGTGTATATGAGCATGTAATTGTACGAGTATATGTTTTCTGTTAACTCTGCCTAAAATGATTGACTTTTTCTGATGATGTTTCTGTGAAAAAAGTACCTGATATTTAAAGTCGAGGATCAGTTTTTTTTTTGTTAGGTCAGTATAGCGGAATTCACAGAAACATCACTTTTTTAGATTCAAGATTGCAATAACGTCCCCTAGAGACCATGTCATAAACTTGAAAATATTTTCCACAGGTTTTTCTCTTGTTTTGTTTTAGTAAAAACTCTTTATGTCGCAAGCCTCTGCGATGGATAGGTTTCCCAGTTACGGTACCCCGCGTTCTTTGTTGGCCACCCTGTACATTATTTCTCATTGTCTTCATAATTTTTTTCTTTCTCTCAGGAGCGATCGCCACTCTATGGTAGAGGCGGTGGCGGCAAAGGTGAATCGGAAAAAGATGACAGAAGAGCAGGATTTGTTGGAGAAGAGGAATCGTCGTCGATCAAAAACAGTTTCTTGAGCGACTGTTCCGGTATACAGAGACTGAAAAACGATAGTGCCACAGACTGTGACGGTATATTCTCCGTTCACGACCAAAATATCGACGAATTGTACGGATATTATAATTTAGGTAAGGTACAACACAAATTATTATCGGTGAATTGACATCAAAATTGAAGTGTTCCATCATTTCTCCTGTGCCAGTAGTTCAACATTGTGAGTTATATACAAATATGCGGCCGAGATGTCGAGAAGCTGTGGAAAAAACAAATTTTTTACCAAAAATCAAGCTGGATTTAGAAAAAAATATTCTACAGAAACAGAAATCCAAATGGTGATGGAAGAATGGAGAAGAATCATAGATGAGAATGTATTATAACAGAATTTTTAGGTCTCAAAAGGGCATTTGAGACTATAGATAGGAAAAAATTGTTAATGGAATATGGTTTCAAAGGATCAGTATAAAACATTTTACAAGATTATTCAGTATAAAGAAGTAAAAAAACTAAAGTTGCAAATAGTATGTCAGGCATTCAAAATATAGGGCGATTACTATTTAATATTTATATACGAGTAAATTATATCTCTGATATTTTAGAATACTGCAAATATTGGCGGACGCGATACATTGATATGTATATATTTACATATACTAAGTGACATATAAATCCGAACACCCAGTTTAAGTGGATTTATTTTAATAAAAGTTGGTGAATGTATTTATCTTACTGTAAATAACAAGTGAAAAAATTTTCAGCCTTATCAGTTGGACATTCCGGTTTTTATACTGCTTTTTTTTAATTCACTAACGCTCTAAAAATGAATATTTCAGCCGCAGTAAAGAATCAACGTTGGCGGATTTTGGTTCTTGACATCCTTTACGATCGGTTACGATGCCTAGAGTACGGAGACCTGCACAATTTCGTCAACTTAGTGAGTTTGATAGGGGCCGTATAGTTGGACTTCGGGAAGCTGGACTTTCTTTTCGGGCAATTGCAGTTAGATTGCAAAGAAGTGTAGACACTATGGTTAGGTGTTGTCAGGCATGGCTTCGAGAAGGCCGTACGCAAAGAGCAAGGGGCACTGGACGCCGCCGTAGAACAACAAACCGTGAAGATCGCCGCCTAAGATTATTGGCCTTAAGGGACCGTTTCTCCACTACCAGGTCCATTGCAAATGATGGAAGACCTATTGGCATGCGAAGTGTTTACCGACGAATGAGAAGTTTTGGCTTGTTTTCATACCGGCCACACTGGGTCCTCCCTTTAACTCGAGAACACCGACGTAATCGCCTTGAGTGGTGCAGACAACGGTCACTCTGGGATCAGGAATGGAACAGTATTGTCTTTAGTGACGAGCCTCGATTTTGTTTAGGCATGCACGATGGTCGTGCCAGGGTTAGAAGGCGACGTGGTGAAAGGATCAATCCACAGTTTTTTGTTGAAAGACATGTTCATCACACTGTTGGAGTTATGGTTTGGGGTGCTATAGCTTATGGTTCCAGGTCACCTTTAATCTTCAGCAGCGTTATATCCATCTTTTACCCTATCTTGACACCCTGGCAGATCCAACTTTCCAACAAGGTAATGCCCGACCACATGTTGCAAGAGTCACAATAGACTTCTTTCAACATAATGGCCACCAAGATCTCCCGACTTATCCCCAATTGAGCACGTGTGGGATATGATGGGTAGGAGATTGCTCAATTTGCAACGTCCTCCTCAGACTCTAGAAGCACTTCGAGAGGAGTTGGTGGTTGCCTGGAATGAGATACCACAGGAGGACATTGACCACTTGATCAGAAGCTTGCCTAGGCGCGTTGGAGGATGCGTAGCACATCAGGGTGCATCCACACATTATTAAAGGTCAAAGGGCTTTAAAGCAGTGGAATCATTTTGAAATTTTTATCAATTACTTATTATGCTTCATTAAGTACTTATACAAAATTTTATTAAAATAAAACCATTTAAACTGGGTGTTCGGATTTATATGTCACTTAGTATAGTAGCATAATTCCGAATTTAAAAATGTTAACTGTGAAATTAAAAAATCACTTTATCAATACTCAAAATGCGTAATGTGATGAGATTTTAACAAACCTGAATGTAAAATTACAGAAAATTGATTAAAAAAATGTGTAAACCAATAATTATATAAAATTGACATTGCAGCATTAATGAAATAAATCGTCAACAATAAAGAAACGATCGATGCACACATTAAAACAACAGTGGATTATTTTGTTGTATTTTTACATGAATACACTATATTCTTAGATAATCCTAAATTTTCGACTTCCAGGTTGTTCAGCTGACTTGTTAGGCGAACGATTATTAGACACTCCAGTGAAGAGGGAAAAGAAATTAGAAGAACTACCGCCTGTGATAAAGAAGAAAGCTAGGTGTAACGAATGCAATAAGCGACTGAATATAACCAATATATACGATTGTAGGTGCGGGAAAATATTTTGCTCTCAGCACAGGTACTCGGAAGTGCACCGGTGTAGTTACGACTATAAGCTAGAAGGTCGGAAAATACTAGAAAAACAAAATCCGTTGGTGACGGCCGAGAAAATTAGCAGAATATAATAATCCGAGTACCTGTTAGGTGAAGAGGCGACAGCGTGCGTTCACCGTACTTACAAAGTAAAATGAGTAATACGTGTGTGATTTTTTTTCTTTTTTTTAGCGTGAACTGCGATCGTTTTGGTTTTTTGTTGCTTCTTTGCCCGCCACCGCAGACGATATGTGACGACACAGCTACGCCCGCCATTTTGGCCGTGCAGGACAGAGATTTGGTTTTATTTCTCTGCTCTAAAAGAGACCATACAAACGAAACTGGCTGTTTGAAAATGTTAGATCGTTTTTAAATACGAGGGTTGTTTCAACAATAAGGTTCCCACATTTTTTTCAGACGCAAGGAATTTTGTATTAGAAAAAAAGAACTCACCATTGGAAACGTTGATCTTTAAGCTATTTTTTTACATTGTCGCCATTTTTTTCCACGCATTTTTTCAGACGTGAAATCCACTCCCGTAACTTGGTAACTGCTTCTTGCTACTCGTCCTCCGTCTCGCATCGTTGAACGCCTAAGTGCTCCTTCAATTTCGAAAACGAAAAACACCGTTGCCATGATTTTTCCCGCCGACAGCGTCTGCTTAAACTTCATCGGTTTAGGCGAATCAGCGTGTTTCCGTTGGCGACGGTGTTGTTTTGTTCTCGGAGCCACGTAATTGCACCACCACGTTTCCAAGAAGTCTTCGCGCACAGCCTTGTAGCCTCAGTTTCCTTTGCCAATTGAAGCTTCAGAAGCCTCTATAATTTCAACAGCCAGTTCCCGGATCATGATTCGCCGATCTTCGTCACAACTCGGAGATCCACGGCCTCGTGCATTGCGCATGGCTATCGATCCGGTACTGAGGCGTTCGTTGTTGGGATCGGTGGTCGGGAGCCGGCAAACGCGACGGTGTTGCCAGATTTTTAAGACAATCGTCGTACTTGATTCTAACAGGCGGTCATTTTTTGGAGGACATTTTTGATTGCCGCCTTTTTTTAATTTGAATTTTTGAACCGATCGACTTAATTACGGAACTGAGTCTTGCGGCTGAAAGGAATTGAGGTCCGACTGTTTTATTTCGTAATTTGCGATTCTCTATTCGATAAACGATGATCGCGATGATGTGGGATGTTTGACAGCAGCTGCTATGTAATTTGAATAATTTTCACGAAACGTAAACGGCAACTTAGTCTAATCGTATTAGACGAAAATACCCCTGTAAAGTCTGGTTGTATTGCTGCAAGTTATTCGATGGGGTATTCAAAGCATGGACGCATAAAATGGGCACACCAGTTTTTGTGCGAAAACTTTTTATTCGAGAACAAAGAATGAGAAAACGTGGTTTTTTGGGATTCAATCGAAAATGTTGACAGTAACCAAAAAAATTTTCATATAAGATTTTTAGGTATTTATCCGTCGATGGTTTCTCGCAGATATTTGAAATTCCTCAAATTCGCAGGATTCGTACTACTAAATAACCACAACAAAATTGGAGTAGATTGGTCAAGTAGTTGTTGAGAATTCCTAATTGTTTATCCCAAAACACCTTTTTTCCGGCCATCTCTACTAGTTTATTGAGCAATATATAGAGTTAGTTCAAAGGTCATTTTATAGCAAAATACACTAGTTTACCGTGCCAATATGAATCGCAAACCATTCCGAAAGATAAATGTTATTTTTATCCAAAAAAGGATCGGTTACGTTTTTCCTTCTAAACAAATTCAAAAATTTCGTATTTGAAAAGATAATAGACACATCCGCTTTGATTTCGAATATCGTAGCGCATTTGTTCAATTACCCACAAATTCGAAATGTTTGAATTTGTTTAGAAGAAAAAACATACCCTTCGTTTTTCACATAAAAATAACATTTATCTTTCGGAATGGTTTGCGATTCATATCGGCAAGGTAAACACGTGTATTTTGCTATATAACGAACCCTCTATATTGTTCAACAAACTAGTAGTGATGGCCGAAAAACAGGTGTCTTGGGATAGACACTTAGGAATTCTCAAAAAAATACTTGACCAATATACTTCGAATTTGAAGAATCTCAAGTAGTTGCGTGAAATTATCGTCGCATTACCGACATGTGCCAAAACCTGCTTTTGCCTCGTTTTATGGCCATACCCTTTTTGCTATTAGTCGGGTCCTTTTACGTGTGGTCTCATAAATACCTAAAAATATTATTTAAAGAGTTTTTTGGTCCCTGACAACACCCTCGATTGAATCCCAGAAAACACGTTTTTTCAATATTTGTTGTCGAATAAAAAGTTTCCCCGCAAAATTTGGTGTACCCCCTTAAACAACTTGCACCAATAAAACCAGTCTTTACAATTATTTCGGAAATTTGCTAATTTGATTAGACTAACTCTTATTGTAATGCTAATTGTGTACTAAGTGTAGTGAAAAGAACAATTTCTAAAAAACTTCTTTTCGGATGGGGGGGGGGGGGTTTAGAATAAAAGCGTGACAGGCTAACGTTTTTTTGTTTGTTTTAAATTTCGATATATTTTATTTGTATACCATTTAATCATTTTATTCTGTAATTATAGTGATGTTGCTGTCGCCTCTTAGACTATGTCTATCCTGTTTTTACAATAAAAAAAAAATGTATATGCTGTATTGTCGATAAAAATATAATAACTATTTACAATTTGCTGTTGGGTTTTTTGTAATATATTTCCTTAACAGTTGACTATTAAAAATGTATGATTTAATATATGCTAATAAAAGTGATTATTTAATTTAAATTTTATTGTGTAAAATACCGATTCCCGATTCCTGCGAACGAAGCTTAAGAATGATAAAAATACAGGGTGCGGCAGAGAGGACGGACGGTTTTGAAAAAATCATAAAATAATTAATTTTTAGTCGAAAACAAATTTATTGATGGAATCAGGTTCGCAAGGAAATAGCATTTGAGACAGTCGAGTGTGGAAAATCACATCAGGCATGTGGTGGCCGAAATCGTTGATGCAGTGCTGGAGGCGTTCTTGGAAGTTCGCGTAGACTCTCTCCAACATCGCTCTCTCAACTTGGCGACTTCCACGCGAATTTCGCCGTTCAATTCGTCCAGAGTTCGGGGCTTGTTCGCGTATACTCTAGCCTTGAGGTTCTCATTTTGATCGATCATTGCTTCCATCTCACGTGCGAAGTTCATTCGTTGTGCCTAATCTCCGGGCTGTAACTGTTGCACAATGGCCAATTTGTAGGGGTGAAAGCGGAGATCCATAAGCAAAATTCGCTTTACCGAACGTTCACTAAGGCGAAGTGCAGCAGCATGTTTCCGGGCAGATCGAGTCGGACTGCGAAGAAAGACCTGTCGAACGCGTTCAACATTTTCAGGGGTTCGAACTGTTCGCGGCGCTCCTCTTGGTCTTCTGTTGATCAGTTCACCACGCCTGCGAAGTGATTCAACCCAACGAAGGATGGTGTTTCGAGAGGGAACAGCTCTATTCCGATGAATGTTGAAGTGGCGACGAAACTCACGCTGTACGACGATGACTGACTCATTATTTCGAACGAAGCAATCATAGGCGAAAACGCGGTGCTCCAAAAACGTCCGTCCTCTCTGCCGCACCCTGTACAACTAAGGTTTTTGAAGAAAAACTCGGTCATGCGAATGGGTCACCCAACAGCTCCCAAGTCAGATGATAAAAGATCTAATCTGCTCCAAAAAAAAAAATGTCTTCCTGATACCAACAATGACCAACAACGCGATGTTGAACGATGTGTGCATCAGTGATGGGGTAGATGCGGGGGCTTCGGAGCAGATTGAGAAGCTATTAGGTTCGTATTAGTAGTAGTAGATTTATTTAGCACATTTGGCTACATAAACAGAATAATTGTAAACCACTTAGAACTAGTAAATTCAGGCCATATGGTGTATGATGTAAATGCTGGGCAACCTATAATTGTAGATTTAACAAGTGATTTCTCAATTTTACTTTAAATTTCGTCAAAGTTCTCTGGTCTTTTATCTCCGAGTATAATTTATTATATTCAATCAACCCTTGATGGAATACAGATTTGTAGCATATGTTATACTTTTTGGTCATTAAATGGAAGTCATCTTTATTTCTGGTATTATGTAAATGATGGTCGACATTTGATGATGTTAAATCAGTTAGACTTGATGGAAATATTTTTTACTTTATAAATAAATATCATTACAAGATATTTGATAAAATTTTTTACATTGAGCCATTTTAATTTGCTAAGCATTTGCCTAATTGGAGTATATTTATCTTTATTTAGTATTATTCTCATGCACTTATTTTGTAAAATTTGCAGTCTTTCAAAAATGGAATTATTTGCTAAATATAGAATAGTCGAACAGTACAAGAAATTTGGAAGAATGATGGTATTATAGATAATTTTTCTGCTATATGAACTCAGACATCCAGAAACTCTCGATAAATATCCCACTTTACTACTAATCTTATAACTTTTTCATAATGAATATCAAAAATTAATCGAGAGTCAACAAAAACCCCCAGGTATTTAAAATTTTCTACGAATTCAATATCTTCACCATCAATATTCAGTTGAACATTTGTACATTGTTTTTTCCGATTAACAAGGCTTTCGTTTTACTTGCATTTAATTTTAGTCTGTTAGATGCTAACCATTTTGAGACAAGCTTCAAGTCTTCATTTATATCAGAGATACCAGACTGAATATTTTTAGTACTTATATAAATCATAGTGTCATCGGCGAAAATCTGAATTTTGCATTTTTTGACTATGGCAGGTAAATCATTTATGTATAAAATGAAAAGAAGTGGTCGCAGGATACTGCCCTGTGGAACACCCAACGTATTTTCGATTTTTGATGAAATAGTATTATTAACTTTTGTAACTTGCATCCTTTTAGACAAATAATTTCTAAACCAATCTAAAACACTTCCTGTTATACCATATGCCTTCAATTTACCTAACAAAATATCTATATCAATCGCTTCAAATCCAAAAATACTGCTATGACAACTTCTTCTGAGTCTATGGCTCTTCTCCAATTCTCAGTTACCAACTGGAAAGCTGTTTCTGTGGAATATTTTTTCGAAAGCCTGCTTGCGCCTCCACTAAAATTTTGTTTGCTTCTATAAATTGCGTTAATTGGTCATGCACTATGGACTCTAATAATTTTTCAATGCCTGGTAACACATTTACTGGTCTCATATCGCTGCATCTTTTAGGATTTTTGATTTTGGGAACTGGTGTTATTGGCAAAGACTAGAAAATAAGGAGGATATGGGAAACTGGATCCATTTCAATTTTACTTACTATTTTCGCTGTGCATATTGTAGTTAATAAACGTTTTCGAAGGAGCTGTCCTCGATCTGTCAAGCCCCACGAAATTAAATGAAGTGATTATTTTTTATAAAATAAATTTATAACTACGACAAAATTGTTCTTGTACAGGGTTCTCCCCAAGCTGAGCCAATATGTATTACATCAGAAATTACTAGAGTTAATTGAAATTCACGTTAAATTTTAATTCAGCTTTGCTAAAAGAACATTTGAGTCATTTATTTTAACAGCTTGTAGAACTCGCCAAAAGAAGTTGATATACCAAAAATCACATATATAAAAGTTGCTTCATAAGAGAATTAGTTTACATTATTAATCATTAGCAAGCTAAATGGATACCGTTTTTACAAAAACTGTTCAAAATAAATGGCTTAAGTTTGAAAACACCCTGTATATGTTTCAAATTTGGTAAGCAATGCAATACAAAATCTTTCATGAAAGCAAAGTTGCGCATTTGGGTAATTAATAAAATGTTACTTAGATAGTTTTTATTGATAATAATAAATATTTTTCTCTTCATTAAGTTTGTATTTTTTTCTTAAATCAAAAGGTGAACTTTCCCACCGGACACCCTTTACATAATGGCGATTGATAATTTCCATAGTATATGATATGGCACTGGCGCTCCAACGGGGGCGGTAAAGGGGGTAATTAACCCTCCCCCGCCCCTCCGGTCGACTCGAGCAGTCTTTGAAAAAGTGGTATAAAGTAAACGTCCGATAAATAAATCTGTTTCTTTAAGAAAGGATAGCGGCAACACTGCCGCTTTTTCCTGTTGGAACAGGTATAGTCTAGTCTTTTATGATCTAGTCTAGTGTATTAACGCTATTTTCTATGTTCTATTGATTTTTCATTTTCCACGCATAAGCCAGAAAATTAATTTTTGTTTGTTTTTAACTTTTATGCTATAAAAGAATCGTGTCTAAAAAAATGACAGACGGAAAAAATGGAAATTTAATATAATTTCAATTACGAAGTGTTTGGCCCATACTCCAGCTATCACGTTTTTCTCACGATTAAGAATTTTATTTTGATTTACATTCACTTTTATACTTTATAGAAGTCGTAACATATTTGTTATTGTTATTTTTTTTCATGAAGATGTATTTTTTGTTGTTTTGTACATTGTTATGTAGAAAAGTCTGCGATAGATTATATTATTTTGCATTTTTTTTTAATATACGGGGTGTCCCAGAAGTCGACGTCAAGCCGAAACCGGTGATAGGCAAAGTTATAACAGCTATCAAAAAATATTTAAAAAAATTTTATGTATGTGTTTTGAAAATTATAGGTCTTTGAAAAATATATAGAAATTTCACACCCTACGGCAGTCTATCAACTCCTGTTACTACAAATATTAACTTTTTTTGGATTTTATGCATCTTCAAACTGGTGTCTCAACCTTACTGCTAACTTTTCTCGTTCAGGAAAAATTGCCACTTATTTCCCAACCAAGTATTCCAAAGTAAAACTTTGCTCAACTTTAACTGGCTGCACTGGAAAAAAATGTACTACGACAGTTTGGCAAGTAACCTTAAAAGTTGGCGCATTTAATAAGGCTTCCAAAATGGTATAACACTTAGAAGATTACTCGTTAACTTATGCACAATTTTTATTCGAAGAAAAACTGATGAAAATTTTTCAAAATTTCCTAATTAAACACCGATTATGAAAACGCACAAGGACCCTTAAGGATAACTGTTTGCACAACAGTGGGCGTCAAAATGCTGCTGATGATGATTTACCTTTACAGCAAATGCTCAAACTGTTTTCCTTCAGCCGCAATACACGCTCGACATCTTCTTAAAAAAGATCGGGTTATTAAACGAGCGAATCCACGGTTATTAACAAACTCAGCTGCTTCCAATAGTCTTTGCCGTAGCTCAGCTACATTTTGAATCGGCTTGAAATACACTTTTTCTTTTACAGTTCCCCAGTAAAAAAATCTAAAGGATTCAAATCAGGTGATCGGGCTGGCCACGGTATTGTACCAGACCGCCCTATCCATCTGCCTGGAAAGTTTTGATCGAGACACTCTCTCACTGAGAGTGCATAGTGCGCTGGGCAGCCATCATGCTGAAACCACATGTCCCTGTAAATACTCAGTGGCACGTCCTCCAATAAATTTTCTAAATGAAATGATTTTATGGCCTAAATAAACCTCAGCAGTCAAAGTCTCTGGGAACTCAAACGGACCGATTATTTTACCATTTAAAATTCCTGTCCAATGGTTTATCTTGAAGCGATATTGAGATTTATCTTCTCTCATCAAATGTGGGTTTGCTACGTGCCACTCGTGTAAGTTATGCAGGTTCATGTACCCATCTTTCTTAAATGTGGTCTCATCTGACCATAAAATTTTTTCAAAGAACCGTGGATCTTCCCTGTGTCTTTCTAACATTGTGCGACAAAAAGCAGCTCGGGGCTCATAATCCCGGGACAGGAGAGGTTGAACACGCTGTATGTGGTATGGATGAAGCACATCACTTACTTGCTATTGCACACTTTGATACCGATCAGTGCCCAAAAGTACAGCCCATAGAATCTTGCAAAAAACGTGCTCCAGCCATACCACGTACAGCGTGTTCAAGCTCTTCTGCCCCGGGATTATAAGCTCCGAGTTGCTTTTTGTCGCACAATGTTAGAAATACACAGGGAAGATCCACGGTTCTTTGAAAAAATTTTATGGTCAGATGAGACCACATTTAAGAAAGATGGATAGGGCGGTCTGGTACAATACCGTGACCCGGTCACCAGATTTGAATCAGTTAGATTTTATTCCTGGGAACTGTAAGAGAACAAGTGTATTTCAAGCCGATTCAAAATGTAGCTGAGCTACGGCAAAGACTATTGGAAGCAGCTGAGTTTGTTAATAACCGTGGATTCGCTCGTTTAATAACCCGATCTTTTTTAAGATGTCGAGCGTGTATTGCGGCTGAAGGAAAACAGTTTGAGCATTTGCTGTAAAGGTAAATCATCATCAGCAGCATTTTGACGCCCACTGTTGTGCAAACAGTTATCCTTAAGGCTCCTTGTGCGTTTTCATAATCGCTGTTTAATTAGGAAATTTTGAAAAATTTTCATCAGTTTTTCTTCAAATAAAAATTGTGCATAAGTTAACGAGTAATATTCTAAGTGTTATACCATTTTGGAATCCTTATTAAATGCGCCAACTTTTAAGGTTACTTGCCAAACTCTCGTAGTACATTTTTTCCAGTACAGCCAGTTAAAGTTGAGCAAAGTTTTACTTTGGAATACTTGGTTGGGAAATAAGTGGCAATTTTTCCTGAACGAGAAAAGTTGGCAGTAAGGATGAGACACCAGTTTGAAGATGCATTATTCATCAATATATTGTAAAAATAAAATCCAAAAAAAGTTAATATTTGTAGTAACAGGAGTTGACAGACTGCCGTAGGGTGTGAAATTTCTATATTTTTTTTCAAAGACCTATAATTTTCAAAACACACATAAAATTTTTTTAAATATTTTTCTGATAGCTGTTATGACTTTGCCTATCACCCGGTTTCGGCTTGACGTCGACTTCTGGGACACCCTGTATGAAGATTGCTCGAGGTTGGTTTGTTTTATTTACACTTTGATTTCGTATGATTCAAAATTGAAAAAAATTGTATGTACGTTCTACAGAAATTACTATAACAAATTCATCGGTCCATGCTTTTAATGTTAAATCATTATAACACTTCAGTACGTTACAGTGAAAATTTACTTTCAATTTTACCACTCCCAGCCTGAAATCCTGGAAGCGCCACTGTGATATGGGTATTAAACGAAAGAGCTTGATGAGAAGATCGCAACAAGCAAACTGCCATCGTACAGAGGCCGCAATTTGGCGATTTACTTTTCCATAGTCATCCCTATAATATGGGCATCAGATGAAAGGGCTTGAGAGAAACACAATAAGCAAAATGTAATTTCAAATCAAATTTGTCGCTGCAAGATGCGTTTATAATTTCTATAGTTACCTCTATGATATGGTTATCGGAGTTCTTGTCGAGAGAGATACTGGGTTTCGAAGAAATACGCAAAGGAGAAACTGGAAGTAGATATTTATTCATCATTACAAAGCTCAAAGCAAACGATACATAATACAAAGTAAAAATATACAAAATGCTTACCGTCAAATCTTTACATTCATATATCACAATTCATACAGATAAAATATACAAAGCAGGTCAAAAAAAAGGAATAGTATTTGAATAGTTTACACTTATCCAGAACAGTACTACTTTGAATTATAATTATTCAACGAATGACAGCGAGATAAAAATGTTGATATTTGTATAATTCTGTAAATAAAAAACAACAGTGAACATCTAAATTATCATGTTTGCTAGATATTATTTTTATCACTTTATTTGTAATATGACTAACGAAAGATCCATACTTTCACTAGATATACAGAGTTTCGGTTTTTCAATCGCAGGATAACTAATAACTGGAAATCAAAGCATTTCTCAAGGTCAGGTCTATCCTCAAACGGTAGTTAATTTATAGTAGCGGACAAAAGTTCGGAAGCAAATACTAACATTATTATGAACTATTTCATATACCTAAATTAAAATTGTAAAGGAACAGATAATATCAATATTAAAGTCTACCTTTGGCTCCTGAACGAATACAAGGTTTATCTTATCAATATTCAAATTCTTCTGAAAATAAAAACACGCATTTTTTAAATACCACAGTTTTTGTGACGACAAGTATGGAAACATTTCAATTTTGCCGTATGAATGACAAAAGTAATAGAATTTTCAAAAGATTTCAGAGAAAACGTAATTGAATTATTTAGTCTGAAGTGTTGACATTTCTCGAAGATTAAAAATGAACTAATGGACGATTTCGAAAATTACACTGATCAACAGCCAAAAAATATCCTGAATAAAATCAACAAAATATTACTATTTTTAATGTGCTAAAACCGGAATGAAACTTGTTTTTTCAATATTAGTCCAAGTTTTAGAGATACGGTAATTATATGTGTCCCTGCTGTGACAGTGTTAATATACTGTAATTCACAAGAATGCACGTGCTACATTTTTATATTCGGCAAGGAAAGATGATGTAATCGGCATGATTGTGTTACGTTATACATACGTGTACATTATATTGTTTTCTATTAGCCATTTTTTCCTCAGTTGGCTGACAGCGTTCATGCAAGATGTCTCGAAAGTGTGTAAACAATCCAGATCAGTTTTGTTACGTGTGTGGTGATGTGACTTTTGCGTCTCAGAGACGGTCTATTACTCCACTAATAACAAATGCATATCAGCTTTATTTCGGTTGTAAACTAGGTGATCAAGACAAACAGTGGGCACCCCACATCTGCTGTAATACATGTGCTTCAAGTCTGAGGAGCTGGTTAAATGGCAAAAAACGGTCTATGCGCTTTGCTGTCCCAATGGTTTGGAGAGAGCCTACAAATCATATTAATGATTGTTACTTTTGCATGGTACCTTGTGTTGGACAAGCCACAGGTATGTCCAAGAAAAAAAAATCGGTTATTAACTACCCAAACATACCATCTGCGATGAGACCTGTGCCTCACAGTGACGAAAATCCTATTCCAAAACCCCCAGAATCCTACACTTGCGAATCAGATCATGGCGATCGAGTGATTCGTCAGGAAGAAGATATGCCATCAACGTCAAGAGATCCTGATTTTATACCGAGCACGTCATGCCACCAACCGCACAAAATAACACACAGTCAGAATTAAATGATCTTGTAAGAGATTTAGAACTTCCAAAATGTAAGGCAGAGTTACTTGGATCAAGACTGCAGCAGTGGAACTTGTTAGAAGACGATGTTTCGGTATGTGTTTTTCGTAAACGCCACAAAGACTTAGAACCATTTTTCAATATGGAGAATAACTTGGTTTTCTGCAGTAACATTAACGGCTTACTGGCGGCTTTAAATATAAACTATATCCCAGAAGAATGGAGATTGTTTATAGACAGTTCAACATGAGTTTAAAGGCAGTGTTATTGCATATTGGAAATATTTTACCATCTCTTCCTGTAGGGTATGCAGTTCACATGAAAGAATCATATGAAAATATGAAGTACCTATTGACATGCATAAAATACGATGAGCACCAATGGCATATTTGTGGCGATTTGAAAGTTGTTGCACTTTTACTTGGGCTGCAGCTAAGCTACACAAAGTTTCGTTGTTTTTTGTGTGAATGAGACAGTCGGGCAAAGGCAGTTCATTACACCAGACAAAACTGGACTGTTCGTCAATTCCTAGAGCCAGGTCAGCATATGCCATTAGTAGATTCGAAAAAAAATTTATTACCACCACTGCATATCAAGTTGGGCCTAATGAAAAACTTTGTCAAGGCATTAGATAGAGATGGGTCAGCTTTTCAATACCTGCGTCAGAAATTTCCAAGACTAAGTGAGGCAAAGGTTAAAGAAGGAATTTTTGTTGGGCCACAGATTCGAAATATTTTGAAAGATACACAGTTTGAAAACACTTTAACAGGTATTGAAAAAACTGCTTGGAATGATTTCCGTCTGGTGGTCACTAATTTCTTGGGAAATAGAAAAGCTGACAACTGTAAAACCCTTGTCAAAAATATGCTGTCATCGTATCAAAAGATGGGCTGTGATATGTCTCTTAAGATACATTTCCTACACTCACACCTGGACTTTTTTCCTGACAATTGCGGAGCCGTAAGTGATGAGCACGGCGAACGTTTTCATCAGGATATTTCAACAATGGAAAAAAGGTACCAGGGAAAGTGGAATCCTTCCATGCTTGCAGACTACTGTTGGACTCTTGGTAAAGATGCTCCAGAAACGATCCATAAAAGAACAGCAAAAAGACAGCGCATATAGTGATTCTTATAAGTATATGAATCTTGTTACTTTTTTAATATATCCTTAAAAATAAAAAGTTTTTTTCTAAACCGCAATTAAGTTTTTTATTTCATTGTCATTTTTGGATTCAGCGCCCCAAAATTAACAAAGAAGTGCACTTTTTCCACAAGATATAATTAAAAAACTAAAATTTGTTGTCCAGTGTTATTCGTAAATATCAAGAATACGGATCTGCAGCAACGCGCCCCAGGTGCGAAGGACCGAAAAAAAAGATTATGTTTTGGATCGCTACATTAAACGTTTGTCCAATACGACAAAGATTCGAAAGAAGTCAAGCATGGTGAAGGCAACATCATGGTTGTTTTTCTAGTTCTGCAACGGGTCCAATTGTTAAAATTGTTGGGAAAATGGATTAAAAACTTTACAAAAATATTCATAGTGATCACATGCTCCCTTTTGCTGAAGAGAAAATGCCTTTAGGATGGACATTTCGGCAAGATAATGACGCCAAGCATACCTCAAAATTCGTTAATGTTCTTACATGGCCTCCGCAATCCCCGGACCTAAACCCTATAGAATGTATCTGGAAGCATGTTAAAAGACAACTGACAAGAAAAACTTTTAAAGATGGGAACGATTTATTTGATTATGTAAAAAATATTAGGCAAAATATCTCAACAGACGTCTGTAAAAAATTGGTGTCTTCTATAAGCAACAGTCAGGCAGTGTTGAATGCTAAAATCAATGCTACCAAATATTAGCTTGACAGTATTTTTTAAATCCTTATGTAGAGTTATTGTATTTAATTTTGTAATAAAAAATATGTTTCCATACTTTTGCCGTCTCATTTTTGGTCTTAACATGAAGGTGTTTTGATGCTAGTCTGTAGTACCACAGCCAACACAAATTGTCATTTGTATCCTCAAGACTGTAAGCAAGCTATATGAGAAAAAAAATAGTCCTTTATAATAAAGAATAAAAAATTAGCGCACTTTTAAAAATTACGAAGAATGTTTCCAAACTTTTGACCGCTACTGTATGTATTAACTACTCTTATCTTCACCTTAAAAACGGTGTCGCCAACAACAAGGTTCGTCGTCAAAAAAAAAAACAAATGTGTGTGTGTAATAAATGTTAATCTTCACATAAACTGTTTTCGTTACTGAAAATAAGAATAAAATTTATTTCCTAGTTTATTTCTTACTGATATGCTATGATGAAACTGCAAATGATGAATCAATACTATTTTGCCTATAATTTTTGGTACATCTTCTACTATGGGCAGCAATATAAATAATCGACTAAAAATAAATGCGTGTCCGATCTGGGTTTCAAACTGATGACTAGTTTAAATCTGCATTAAGGATAACTAACAAAAAATAGTCAAAGGCGATATTTTACGAAACTGTGTTTTTACCATAATTATGTTGTGTATAAAATTAAATCAATGTTTTGCAATAAACAGTAAAAAAAATCAACTTATTTTTAATCGAATAGCAAAAAGAACAACTCATATGTGTATAACTTGACCAAGCGCCATTCGGTAAATTTTCATTCATCTTATATGCAATTTACCTATAAAACATGCACGCAACACCGGAATCCAGTATTCAAGTCAAAACATATTTCAAGCTAAATGCCATACATGAATTTAACAGACGATTCTTTGAGAAATTTTAAGTCAAAAAGTTCATATAAACAAAGGTCCGAAAATTCTTCATTCTCAAGATACAGGGTGTTAAAATTTAAAAAAAAGATGGTTTCTCGTAAATGTCTTATTTTGTTTTCATTGATTAACTTTATTAAGTCCAGTGGCGTCTCGGGCGGGATCTGAACGAATATTTGCGACAAAAAAAAGTACGCCACCGACTTTGTGCGATTTTTATTATGTTCCTTGGATTAAGCAAATAGAAATACAACTTTTTGGTCTCTTGATTTTTTTTCGTATCGTGTAGTTTTCTAGAAAAAAGTCCGCTTAATTGGATTTCCCCGGACCACACAAGGAATATGGGAAAACATTTCTTTTGGAAATTATTTTTTAATATTTTATTTCTAATTATGTTGTTACATATACAACAAATACTAAATAACATTAACAGAAAATTATCAAAAAATAATTTCCAAAAGAAACTTTCCCCCATATTCCTTGTGTGGTCTAGGGATATACAATTAAGTGGACTTTTTTTTTCTCGAAAACTAAGCAAGATACGAAAAAAATTCAAGAGACAAAAAAGTTGTATTTCTATTTGCTTAATCCATGGCAGGGGAAAAAAATTAAAACCGCCGTATTGATTTTTAATTAATTGTCAAAGTTTTATCACACTTCTGAAAAAAGACTTTTTGGACCATGGTCAAGTTATGCGGTCATTTGTAAAATTTGTAAACAAAAACTCCGATAATTTGGGTTAAATATGATTTTGATTCCATGCACGAAAACTATTCAATCAGCTAACTACTTGCGAAGTTCAGAAAAATGAACTCAATTGTCTATGTTGTTTTACTTGTATTACCAAATGCATGTAGCAATATAATGTATATTAGATATAAGGTTTCTTTTCAACGAACCAGTTAAAATTTGTAGCTGCTTATGTCTTATCTTCACAAAAGGACAATATGAGCTAACGCCAATGTTTAGAGGCCGTTTAAAAATATTCTTCTCAATCTGGCAACACCGTCGAGTTTGTCGCCTTCCCCACCACCGATCCCAACAAGAAGCGCCGATGGTGAATCCGTTGTTTCAAATAAAATATTCTTTGTGCCTGAAAAAAATGTGGGAACCCTATTTTTGAAACAACCCTCGTACAACAGGGGGCAATGAGAACACGCGATCCTATTCTATCAATGTGGTATGTTTTCTTCAAAGACCGCACAATCATCCTTAGTGTGCAAATATGGATTCTTCAAATATTAATAACCGTTTTGGTCAATATTTCTGAAATTTGCTGATTCAATTTTTGTTTTTCGAAGGGAATTATTGGGCCGATTCGACGCCGAATTGCAGGAAAAACCGCCCTATTTGGCGAAGAAAAACCATGACCATAGTCTCCAGATTTGGCCCCGTGCGACTTCTTTTCGTTTCCAAACCTGAAAAAGTAACTCGCAGGACAAAAATTTGAGTCGAATGTCGCCTACTTTGCACACCTCCAGAAAACGAGCTAAAAGAAAACTATGTTGAGAAATGAATCGCCACTTTTCCAAAATTTTCGTTTTTCTTTTGTAGGCTAAGGAATTATCTCACCGCCGTTGTTGAACCAGTACATCAAAATACGGACTCAACACCCTCTTAATGCGATCTGTCTACAACATATCCGTCATAGTTCTGTGTTAGAAAAACCGCGTACTCTGGAATGCCAGGTTACCGTTTCCAGCTTCTGCACATTCGCGTTGGCGCACACTGACCCACTGTAAAAAGAAACCAGCTTCAAATATACGTACCGCACCTTTCAGACGTCAAACATACACAACAATAAATACCATTATGCTAAAACAAACGAACCTCGAATTAGACTAACTATCCGTTGTGAGGTTTGTACTGAGGTTGGACGAGGAGGCGGACTGGACATTCGTATAGAGCGGTGTTTGAACGAACGTGCACGACACCGGCACCGGGGACATCGACGGCATATCGTCCGTTTCTTCTTCGGTGATTTCGTTCGCATGTTGGTGTTCCGTGCTCTTCGGAGCATCGTGCTTCTCCATGGAAGACTCCAGGTTCTGGTCGGATTCGGGAAGCGAATCGTTCGACTTGAATAGTTGCTTGTTGATTTGGGGGTGTCGAATGCGGATCGTGTCCACCACGTCCAGAAGGTTTTTGGAGTCCATCGCGAGGACGTGCGCTGCGCTCAGCATTCCCCTGCAAAGACGAGAATCATTAATTTATTATCAGATTTGAAATTAAATGGCACCAGCATTTTCACGTGATGGTTCGAAAAATCGATAAATCATAATTATCCCTAATCAGTTTAATTTTCCATTCAGTCTGGTTGCAGGATTGAATGACAGTAATGAATGTCCATGTAAAGGCTGAAAAAGAAACCAATTATTCTCCAAGTGTAGATACAATTCCCGTAAAACTGAATGCCTTATTTGTTTGTTTGTGGAAGATTTATTTAGCTATAGTACTACAATGTCAATTTTGTTCAATTATTCGTTTACACATTTTTTTGGAATCCATTTTCTGTAATTTTACATTCCTGTCTATTAAAATTACATCACTGCATTTTGAGTATTCATAATGTGATTTTTTAATTTCACCTTGAACATTTTTAAATTCGAACACTGTTTAATATCATTATTTAATTTATTAAATTCGAAAATTCCTTTTTCAATTACAGATTTGCTATTATTACAATTTTGCAGATGAAAATCTATACTGCGTCTACTTTCGTAGTTATGATAATGACTATACTAAGTGACATATAAATCCGAACACCCAGTTTAAATGGTTTTATTTTAATAAAAGTTGGTGAATGTATTTATCTTACTGTAAATAACAAGTGAAAAAATTTTCAGCCTTATCAGTTGGACATTCCGGTTTTTATACTGCTTTTTTTTTAATTCGCTAACGCTCTAAAAATGAATATTTCAGCCGCAGTAAAGAATCAACGTTGGCGGATTTTGGTTCTTGACATCCTTTACGATCGGTTACGATGCCTAGAGTACGGAGACCTGTACGATTTCGTCAACTTAGTGAGTTTGATAGGGGCCGTATAGTGGGACTTCGGGAAGCTGGACTTTCTTTTCGGGCAATTGCAGTTAGAGTGCAAAGATGTGCAGACACTGTGATTAGGTGTTGTCAGGCATGGCTTCGAGAAGGCCGTACGCAAAGAGCAAGGGGCACTGGACGCCGCCGTAGAACAACAGACCGTGAAGATCGCCGCCTAAGATTATTGGCCTTAAGGGGCCGTTTCTCCACTACCAGGTCCATTGCAAATGAATGGTTTGCAGAACACATGCGAAGTGTTTACCGACGAATGAGAAGTTTTGGCTTGTTTTCATACCGGCCACACTGGGTCCTCCCTTTAACTCGAGAACACCGACGTAATCGCCTTGAGTGGTGCAAACAACGGTCACTCTGGGATCAGGAATGGAACAGTATTGTCTTTAGTGACGAGTCTCGATTTTGTTTAGGCATGCACGATGGTCGTGCCAGGGTTAGAAGGCGACGTGGTGAAAGGAGGAATCCACAGTTTTTTGTTGAAAGACATGTTCATCACACTGTTGGAGTTATGGTTTGGGGTGCTATAGCTTATGGTTCCAGGTCACCTTCAATCTTCATCAGAGGTAACATGAACGCGCAGCGTTATATCCACGAAGTTCTAGAACCCTATCTTTTACCCTATCTTGACACCCTGGCTAATGCAACTTTCCAACAAGATAATGCCCGACCACATGTTGCAAGAGTCACAATAGACTTCTTTCAACATAATGATGTCACATTGTTACCATGGCCACCAAGATCTCCCGACTTATCCCCAATTGAGCACGTGTGGGATATGATGGGTAGGAGATTGCTCAATTTGCAACGTCCTCCTCAGACTCTAGAAGCACTTCGAGAGGAGTTGGTGGTTGCCTGGAATGAGATACCACAGGAGGACATTGACCACCTGATCAGAAGCATGCCTAGGCGCGTTGGAGAATGCGTAGCACATCAGGGTGCATCCACACATTATTAAAGGTCAAAGGGCTTTAAAGCAGTGCAATCATTTTGAAATTTTTATCATTTACTTATTATGCTTCATTAAGTACTTATACAAAATTTTATTAAAATAAAACCATTTGAACTGGGTGTTCGGATTTATATGTCACTTAGTATATATTCATAACTATGAAACTAGAGGCAGTATAGATTTTCATCTGCAAAATTGTAATAGTATCATAACTAGTAAACCTATATTTCAAAAGGGAGTATTTGAATATACAGAGTTCGAATTTAAAAATGTTTAAGGTGAAATTAAAAAATCACTTTATGAATAATCAAAATACATAGTGTAGTAATTTTGATTTTAATAGACAAGAATGTAAAATTACAGAAAATGGATTGAAGAAAGGTGTGTAACCGAATCATTATACAAAATTAACATTGTAGCATTTATGCTAAATAAATCTTCAGCAACAAAAAAACATACTAATTTTTGAAATAATGTATGCATAATGCTCGTGAAACAGTAGTTTATTATCCACATATATACCCATATATTTGAATGAGTCGACTACTTCAATTTTTGCTTTTGAACATTACTGCTATAATATTTTATTATCGACTATTTCAGAAATTTCCTCATAAAACATCAGTGGTCTCTCGTAGACCCCTTTACTCGAAACACTACTTTGGAAAATAATACGGTCCCGAGGTCTACCCATAGGCAACCAGTGATGTTCTTTGTATAGGTTCGGAACTTTTCTTGAAATTCATGTGGATGATCATTTCTGGTTGAAGCGTCGGATGGGAAGGTGCATTGTCGGCCATTCAATTGATTTTCAGATTTTGGGATATTTAGCCCCAATCACCAGTTTATGGAGTAGCACCCTTTCTTGTACCTACCTTACGTTTAGTTGTTTTGGTTTGGGTGCTACTCCCTCCATTTTTTTTGTTCAATATCTGCTTCCTTTTAATGGGAAGGCACCACCATTTGCGCTCCCCCAGCTCTGTAACTGTCTTGTACCTGTTTTGAAGCCGATTTTACTGGAAGCCACCCCATTCCCATGAGATAAAGAATGATGTGGAAAAATCAGCAGAAAAATTAAAAGTGTTGTATCTTACTTCCTATACTCCGCGTCCAACGTGGTGCAATTATACTGCTGCGCCAACTTCATGGCGTTCACCAGCTCCGCCATGTCCTTGCTGAGCACCTGATGCGCCATCTCGACCTGCCTGCGCGCAGTCGCCGGGAACGCCGTAACTATCGCATCGACGCTCGCCAGCAGATGGCGCAGTTCGACGCCGACACCTCGCACCAGGTCCAAATACCGGGTCGCTTCTGCTCGTTGGACTCCCTGGCTCAAGGCCATCACGGCGCGCACCACTTCCGTCGTCGATTCGTAAACGCAGTCGTGGGAGCGGTCCAGGTTGGCGGTCGGGTTCGGAGACGTTTCCTGCAGGAAAAATACACTATTCAAAATCTAAATTTTGTGCGGACTGCATTAACGCCGCGTGAAAAGAAAGATGGCAGCTCAATCGCTAGTGGTCCAGTCATACAACAAAAGTTAGTTCTTAATTTAGAAGGTACAGTGTATTATTATATAGTAGTAGTAGAAAGATTTATTTAGCACATTTGGCTACATAAACAGAATAATTGTAAACAACTTAGAATTAGTAAACTCAAGCCATATGATGTATGATGTAAATGCTGGGCAAGCTATAATTGTAGATTTAACAAGTGATTCCTCAATTTTGCGTTAGGAATTCCATATCGAAACCATATCACTCCTTATCTGAATAACTACAACATATTAAACATGACGAATCGCAGAAAATATCACATGTATTCTTTTATCTATAGGGTTATAAAAACAGGTCAACCGCCCTATTTAAGAGAAAGATTTGTGCCTTTGCCTCGTGCCCAGAGGAGCAGAAATAATCTCAATTTTATCGTACCTAGGCCTAGAACGCGTTCCTTCCGACGATCGTTTGCCTATGTGGCGGTTCACTTATGGAATAATTAACGAACTTCAGTTAAAAGCTCATCGTCAAAAACATTCTCAAAACTGACAAAAACGTTGTTACAGAATCACCAGCTATTTAGCAGCGTATGTGCGAACAAAAATATCGTATTTACATTCCTACTCGCTGATAAGTATAGATTTGTTCTTCGCGTCCGTTGCCAGCTCCCGGGGGTTCTTTCTTCATTTTTGCGTTTTTTATGGTTCATTTGCCTCTTTATTGTGTTTTTTTTATTTTGTTTAAGGATTTATAGGGTGTTCAGGGCTTCCTCGCATGGACTCTTTGTATTAAAGGGTCCAATGTATCGGTTTTATAATCGAGATACTGCCATTTTTCGTCATTGCTCTACATTGTAGAATTTCCTTTGATTATGATGTTTATTCATGACGAAATAAATATTTTGAATTGAATTGAAGTATCATGTGACAACAATAAAGCCTCCACCAGATTTGGCTTCGATTGCAACGTATTACCTTTCGTTCGCTGCTATCCGTATCAATCGATCCGCTCCTCGGTAGGCTGTTCTCATCGCTCTTTACGGAATTTCGCATCGTTCCGGCAGGGGAATGGCTGCTGCTACTGCTCGCAGAACCGCCTTTCGGTTGAGAGGCCGCCACCACCAAACTGGGACTTGCCATCGGTTCGGAAAGCGAGTCCGGTTGATGATGACTTTCTGACGATCGGCTGATGCTCAGTTGTTTCTGTCGAGAGATAACAGTGTGAAGTCTCTTCTAAGTATGAGACTGGAGGGTAGTTTGTTTGTTTAAGATTTATTTAGCATATCATACCTATATTTAGAAAAAAAACAAAATTTGCATCTAAGAATTTTCACTGTCCATGAAATATTCCTTTAATTTTCTTTTAAATATCTTTAAATTACAAGTAGTTAGATAAAGTATACTTTATATCATTATTTAGTTTATAAAATTTGCTAGTTAAATTACTATTACAATTTTGTAAATGAAAATCTATATTTCCTCTTGTATAATAATTGTGGTAATGATTCTTCAATTCTATGTAGTGTTCTAAATGTTCTTCCAAAAGATGATTTTTTATTTTAAATATTTTTGTTTATATTTTCCTTTTTTTTTGGTTAATACTCATGTTTCTCTTTCTGATTTTTTTTTTTGAAAACTGTTTGGAAATAAAGGCATTTATTATTATTATTATTATTATATAAAAATAAGAACCAAATATGATATGAAATTTTTTATATTCAACCACTGCAATTCTTGTAACAGATTTTATTTTGGGGTACTTATTTTTATCTCATAGCTTTATTTTGCAAGACTTGTAATTTTGAGAATACAGCTTCATTGGCAGTGAACAAGGTAGTTGAACAATATAGTAAATGCGGTAGAATAATTGTATTATAAACTATTTTCTTGGAATAGGTACGAAGACTATGAGAATCCCTATAAAAGTAATTCGTTTTTTTTGGCAATTTTTGAAATAATGTATTCGTAGTGATCTTCAAACTTTAGTTTCCTATCAATATACATATACCTAAATATTTAATAGATTCAACATTTTCGATTATTTCTCCATTTATTCTAACTGTGATAGTATTTTCATTTAGGCATTTCCTTATTAGCATACAATTTGTTTTAGAAGTATTCAATTTTAGTTTTTTAAAATTAAACAATTTATGATTTTTGCCAAGTTAGAATTTAGCATTTTTAAGGCAGTTTCTGATATTTTCATCTGATTTTTTTTTTTTTTTTATATCGAAACAGCCGCGCAGGCAGAAGCCTAAATGCCGGAACACCGCGGCTGCTATGATGATCCCAAAGAAATTTTGTTAATACGATTTTTGAACTGCCTAAGGTTAGTAGAACTGGGAAAAACTTCCTCCCGTAGATTGTTCCACAATCTAGACACCCTCGGGACAAAGGAGCGGTCGTATCGGCCAGTTCTGGATGTACGAAGTTTGACACGGTTAGGATGGGACGCCGAAGTCAGGCGGGTCTGTCTGGCAGGCACATCGCGCGGCGGCATCATGGAAGAGAGCTCTGAGGAGCAAAGTCCGTTGGTGTAGCGATAGAAAAGAGCTAGATCGCCGACGGCCCGCCGGTGCGAAAGAGTCCCGAGACTGTCTGTTAGAGAAGAGTCATCGATCAGTCGGACCGCCCTCCTCTGGACAGCATCGAGCATGGACAATGTAGTCGGGGCGGCAGCACCCCAAATGTGTGAGCCATACTCGAGGCTAGGCCTTATCTGGGCCTTGTATAGAGTGAGAAGGTCATGCGGAGAAAAGTACTTCTTAGCCCTAAACAAATAGCCTAGCTTTTTCCCAGCAGCTGCAGCTATTGAAGAGATGTGATCGTGCCAGATCAGGTCCTCGGTGATCTGGACTCCGACCAGCCGAAATGAATGGCTCTTTGGTAGAACTCGACCGTCCATCGAAACTGTATGAGCGCTAGGACGCTTTTTGTTCGTCAAAGTACAGTACTGTGTTTTGGAAGCATTGAACTGTACAAGATTGTTGCGTCCCCAAGCAGTGATAGCCTCCAGGTCTCTTGTCAGAGAAGAAGTCGTCGCTAGTCTTCTTTTTTCCAGCTCAGCGGCAGAGATCGGCTTGTCACTCTGAATTCCTGCATGTAGAGTGCTGTCATCAGCGAAGCTGTGGATTGAGTTGATCGTGCAGGAAAGGAGGTCGTTGATATGTAAGATATTTATATTAATGTATCATCTGCAAATATTTAAGGTTTACAGTAATCTAAAATATTACAAATGTCATTAATGTATAAAATAAATAGTAGTGGACCTAGTTTACTACCTTGTGGTATACCAACAGAAATTTTTTTGTGATCTTGATAGTGTAGATCGAATTTTGGTTTTTTGACTTCTGTCAATTAAATAGTTTCGTAGAATTTTAAATACAGATCCTTTAAATCCGTAGTGATGCAATTTTGTAAGTAATTAATCCCTGTCAGTTGAGTGTTTCTTCCTGAATCCAGCTTGAAATTTGTTTAACATGTTATTTCCCTCAATAGATTCGATGATCTGTTCGTAAATAAATTCTTCAAAAACTTTTTCAACATCTGGCAGAACATTTATTGGCCGCATATTGGAGTACAACTCAGAATTCTTAACTTTAGAAACAGGAGTTATGGTAGAACACATCAGTTTTGTTGGAAATTCGCCATATTTTAAACAGTAATTTATCAGGATTAATATTGTTGCTCCAATAATATCAAAGACGCAATCTCACTCTTATTTTGATTTGATTTAATCTTTGGTATAATCTTCTTGAGACGATTAATGTTTATTGTTTTAAACTCACTGAATGATGCATTATAATCTGAAATAATGGGACATTGGTTGGGATCCCAGTCAATAATTGATTTTACAATGTCGTTGAAAATAGATATTCATTCGATCTGCTATTATTTCTTCATTTGTTATTACCCCATCGTCGAATTTCATTTTAGATAATGTACTTTCTCTAATAGAAGAAACAATGTTTTTCAACGTTTTCCACATATGTTTGCTATTATTTTTACTCTGATCAATTTTGGTGTTGTAATATTTTTTCTTTTCATTTGAATCATATAAGTGTGAAGTTTCTTCTACAATAAGTCAAGTTGTGAATTCTGAAGGCATTTCAACATTCGAGGATATGCCTATCTCAAATAGAACAAAAATTTGTTAGGCCTCATAGGCTGCGACACCCTAGTGGACTGTATCAAAAAATCCCTGCCAAATTTCAAATTACGCGCTCAAGATATGCCTAAGAAGTTGACGACGTGTCGTGTTTTGTAAGGAACGAGAATACAGCATTTTCTTATGGAGCAAACAAATTTGTTCTTCAATCTTAAAAAATGGATGCAAATAATAAACATTGGCTTTAGCAAGTACAATTTTTTCAAAGTAGAAAGTACCTCTAGACGATTTTTTTTTTAAAACTGTCCCTTCAATATCGTGTCAAAACAAAACTGAAAATACTATCTGAGTACAGAAGAAGTGGTTATATACTAAGTGACATATAAATCCGAACACCCAGTTTAAATGGTTTTATTTTAATAAAATTTAACTTAATGAAGCATAATAAGTAAATGATAAAAATTTCAAAATGATTGCACTGCTTTAAAGCCCTTTGACCTTTAATAATGTGTGGATGCACCCTGATGTGCTACGCATTCTCCAACGCGCCTAGGCATGCTTCTGATCAGGTGGTCAATGTCCTCCTGTGGTATCTCATTCCAGGCAACCACCAACTCCTCTCGAAGTGCTTCTAGAGTCTGAGGAGGACGTTGCAAATTGAGCAATCTCCTACCCATCATATCCCACACGTGCTCAATTGGGGATAAGTCGCGAGATCTTGGTGGCCATGGTAACAATGTGACATCAATATGTTGAAAGAAGTCTATTGTGACTCTTGCAACATCTGGTCGGGCATTATCTTGTTGGAAAGTTGGATCTGCCAGGGTGTCAAGATAGGGTAAAAGATGGGGTTCTAGAACTTCGTGGATATAACGCTGCGCGTTCATGTTACCTCTGATGAAGATTAAAGGTGACCTGGAACCATAAGCTATAGCACCCCAAACCATAACTCCAACAGTGTGATGAACATGTCTTTCAACAAAAAACTGTGGATTCCTCCTTTCACCACGTCGCCTTCTAACCCTGGCACGACCACCGTACATGCCTAAACAAAATCGAGACTCGTCACTAAAGACAATACTGTTCCATTCCTGATCCCAGAGTGACCGTTGTCTGCACCACTCAAGGCGATTACGTCGGTGTTCTCGAGTTAAAGGGAGGACCCAGTGTGGCCGGTATGAAAACAAGCCAAAACTTCTCATTCGTCGCATGCCAATAGGTCTTCCGAGTTCTGCAAACCATTCATTTGCAATGGACCTGGTAGTGGAGAAACGGTCCCTTAAGGCCAATAATCTTAGGCGGCGATCTTCACGGTCTGTTGTTCTACGGCGGCGTCCAGTGCCCCTTGCTCTTTGCGTACGGCCTTCTCGAAGCCATGCCTGACAACACCTAACCACAGTGTCTACACTTCTTTGCACTCTAACTGCAATTGCCCGAAAAGAAAGTCCAGCTTCCCGAAGTCCCACTACACGGCCCCTATCAAACTCACTAAGTTGACGAAATCGTACAGGTCCCGTACTCTAGGGATCGTAACCGATCGTAAAGGATGTCAAGAACCAAAATCCGACAACGTTGATTCTTTACTGCGGCTGAAATATTCATTTTTAGAGCGTTAGTGAATAAAAAAAGCAGTATAAAAACCGGATTGTTCAACTGATAAGGCTGAAAATTTTTTCACTTGTTATTTACAGTAAGATAAATACATTCATCAACTTTTATTAAAATAAAACCATTTAAACTGGGTGATCGGATTTATATGTCACTTAGTATACAAATCATCTTTTACACGCATGTTACACAGTCGACCTTGTATCTATATTGTCCAATTTTTAACTTGTGTATCTGTTAACTGTGACTGTATCTGATTGATAACACAACTTATTCTCAATCTCAACATGTAAATTTTAGCACCTTGGTATTACGAGTAGTTGTTAGTTATTCTTATTAGGTTTATATTCGCATTGTTTATATTTCTCCAAACTTTGTATTGTAATTTTGTTTGGCTCTGGTTAGTATGAAAAGCAGTGTATAGCTGTCACTCGCCAGGTTAAATAAAGACTATTATAATTATTTGACATAATCTCTGTACTTACCAACTGCGTTTCAGACTCCGTCAGCCACTTCGAATCTTCTTCCGATTCGACCTGCTGCTGTCTCAATTTCTGCCTCAGCATATTATTGAAGTTCGAGGCTTGCTGTTCGTACATCTGATTCTCGAACAATAATTGATCTCCGTATATAGGTTGTTGCGATACCATTGGCTAGAATGTGTTTCATCAGGTCAATGAAGGAAACGTTTTAAGAAATCCTTCATCATGAATCAAAGTCCGTATAGCCGCTAATTCTCGGTTAACTCGGAATGCGAGAGGTTGCCCAAAATAGGAAGAATTCATTGCTGATTTCAAATCGATACTACAGGGTCGCCGATATGTAACAGACTGGTTTGTATCTTGAATACTTGTGAAATGAAATAAAATGCGACCATTTTTTTCATCTTAATATACTAAGTGACATCCTTTTCGGTTACGATGCCTAGAGTACGGAGACCTGTACGATTTCGTCAACTTAGCGAGTTTGATAGGGGCCGTATAGTGGGACTTCGGGAAGCTGGACTTTCTTTTCGGGCAATTGCAGTTATAGTGCAAAGAAGTGTAGACACTGTGGTTAGGTGTTGTCAGGCAAGGCCGTACGCAAAGAGCCAGGGGCACTGGACGCCGCCGTAGAACAACAGACCGTGAAGATCGCCGCCTAAGATTATTGGCCTTAAGGGACCGTTTCTCCACTACCAGATCCATTGCAAATGAATGATTTGCAGAACACGGAAGACCTATTGGCATGCGAAGTGTTTACCGACGAATGAGAAGTTTTGGTTTGTTTTCATACCGGCCACACTGGGTCCTCCCTTTAACTCGAGAACACCGACGTAATCGCCTTGAGTGGTGCAGACAACGGTCACTCTGGGATCAGGAATGGAACCACATACAGCGTGTTCAACCTTTCCTGCCCCGGGATTATAAGCCCCGAGTTGCTTTTTGTCGCACAATGTTAGAAAGACACAGGAAAGATCCACAGTTCTTTGAAAAAAATTTATGGTCGGATGAGACCACATTTAAGAACGATGGGTACATGAACCTGCGTAACTTACACGAGTGGCACGTAGCAAACCCACATTTGATGAGAGAAGATAAATCTCAATATCGCTTCAAGATAAACCATTGGACAGGAATTTTAAATGGTAAAATAATCGGTCCGTTTGAGTTCCCAGAGACTTTGACTGCTGAAGTTTATTTGGATTTTTTGAAAAATCATGTACAAAATTTATTGATGGACGTGCCACTGAGTATTTACAGGGACATGTGGTTTCAGCATGATGGCTGCCCAGCGTACTATGCACTCTCAGTGAGAAAGTATCTCGATCAAAACTTTCCAAGCAGATGGATAGGGCGGTCTGGTACAATACCGTGGCCAGCCCGGTCACCAGATTTGAATCCGTTAGATTTTTTTACTGGGGAACTGTAAAAGAACAAGTGTATTTCAAGCCGATTCAAAATGTAGCTGAGCTACGGCAAAGACTATTGGAAGCAGCTGAGTTTGTTAATAACCGTGGATTCGCTCGTTTAATAACCCGATCTTTTTTAAGAAGATGTCGAGCGTGTATTGCGGCTGAAGGAAAACAGTCTGAGCATTTGCTGTAAAGGTAAATCATCATCAGCAGCATTTTGACGCCCACTGTTGTGCAAACAGTTATCCTTAAGGGTCCTTGTGCGTTTTCATAATCGCTGTTTAATTAGGAAATTTTGAAAAATGTTCATCAGTTTTTTTTCAAATAAAAATTGTGCATAAGATAACGAGTAATCTTTTAAGTGTTATACCATTTTGGAAACGTAATTATATGCGCCAAATTTTAAGGTTACTTGCCAAACTCTCGTAGTACATTTTTTCCAGTACAGTCAGTTAAAGTTGAGCAAAGTTTTACTTTGGAATACTTGGTTGGGAAATAAGTGGCAATTTTTCCTGAACGAGAAAAGTTGGCAGTAAGGTTGAGACACCAGTTTGAAGATGCATTATTCATCATTACATTGTAAAAATAAAATCCAAAAAAAGTTAATATTTGTAGTAACAGGAGTTGACAGATTGACGTAGGGTATGAAATTTCTATATCTTTTTCAAAGACCTATAATTTTCAAAACACATACATAAAATTTTTTTAAATATTTTTCTGATAGCTGTTATGACTTTGCCTATCACCCGGTTTCGGCTTGACGTCGACTTCTGGGACACCCTGTATATTGGCTACCCTGTATAAGTGTTTTTTCACACCAAAGCAGCCGAGTGGGCAGAAGCCTAAATGCCACGACACGGCGGCTGCCTTTTGCAATATGAATAACGCATTTTATAATTAACCGAGAATTTTACGTGCGTTTGGTTCTAAATCATTCAAAAACTATTTTTTGTCAAACGTAGCGTATCGGTTCATATGAAACTGGGTTGTGAACCATAAAATAATAAAAACATAACGTATGTCCTAAAAGTTTTGGCACAAAATTCATTGGCTTTAACAAACATACAATAATATCAAAAGTTTGTTTACTTAATTTACTGTCGGATGACATTTATTTATTTTGAAGTTTTTGCTTTAAGATGTCGTATAAATTAGAAATATCTACTAGTTGGTTGGGCGGGTACCCAAAGATGAAATCTGTCGAATAATCCAGAAAGAAAACATTTCACGTAGAACCATTTTTCGAACAATAGCGGAGTGCGAGCAGGGAAAATACCATGTCTGAATCTCCCAAAAAGTGGAATACCACGTGCCTTTACTGCACAGGGGTCAAAGAGATGGGTAAGAAGAGCAAAAAGTCAGGCTGGAATGTCAATAAGGAGACTGGCTCGTCAATATAGATCGTCTAAGAGTACGATATGAAACTTGCCGCAGGCTCGCCAAATAGAGGATTTTTAGGCTTTACTGTTGGGAAGCCCAAGATGAAGAACAATTAAGACTGCGAATTCGCGAAAAACTGAGAGAAATTGATCTGAATTCCGTCCAGGACCTTTGAAGAAAGTTGCGTCTGGTTGAGCAGAATGAGCCACCCCACATAATTCGATAGTATAGTTTAGTTAAGTATTGAGTTGTAATTTATAACTAGTTAGTGACTAGATAAATTTCTTCATTAAAAAACAAATCCGATAAATATTTTCTGCCAAAGCTTTTAGGACATACGTTACAACGAATTAATTATACGATATAGTTCAGAAATTGGAGAACGCTACGTTCGAATCTCAACTATAGCAACTTTTACACAGACAAAAAAAAAATCAACACACAAATGCAGATCCAAAAAAGTGCAACATGCTGGTTGCATAATTGAAAACAATCATGCAAAGTGATAGAGGTAAAAATAAAGCATGTTATAAAACAAACTGATAAAATAATCGATACATGCCTCATGCTCTTCTTATTGAATGCTGAGTATACATTTTAGCGGACACGCGTTATAACGATTCAGTAGAGAAGCCCTATAAAACTGATTTATAAATAAAAAAATAAGTATTAGTTTATTATCAATATATATATATAGGTGAAAAATTAAAGCTTACGCCTTTTGTTGGGTACTTCGACAAAATTTAAGCAAAGAGGACTCTTTATACTTTTTTAATTCTCTCTAGCTTTCAATGGACTTTGCCATCATCATCAGGAGCTGCAATTACAATGATAACAGTAGCAACAAAAGTGTAAAATGAATTTAAATTGACTCAACTTACAGTAGTATGTGAGGATGTTGCTAATTGTTGTTTACGTATAGGATGAGGGAAACGTCCAGTAACATGGTGAGAGCTGGATACATGGTACAATGGTTAAACTTATATAAAATATGACAAGACAAGTTAAAGACAGATTAAAAATTATTTAGAAAACACTAGAGCATTACGTCGTGAAGCCACTTGATGATTGCACAAAATGGTGGTCATGGAATAATGTCAAAGGTTCATCTCACTCATTATTCCATGACCACCATTTTGTGCAATCATCAAGTGGCTTCACGACGTAATGCTCTAATGTTTTTTAAATAATTTTTAATCTGTCTTTAACTTGTCTTGTCATATTTTATATAATTTTAACCATTGTACCATGTATCCAGCTGCTTGTTACTGGACTTTTCCCTCATCCTATACGAAAACAACAATTAGCAACATCCTCACATACTACTGTAAGTTGATTCAATTTAAATTCATTTTACACTTTTGTTGCTACTGTTATCATTGTAATTGCCGCTCCTGATGATGATGGCAAAGTCCATTGAAAGCTAGAGAGAATTAAAAAAAGTATAAAGAGTCCTCTTTGCTTAAATTTTGTCGAAGTACCCAACAAAAGGCGGAAGCTTTAATTTTTCACCTATATATATTTGTATATATCCTTTAATTTCTTTGGGTAGAAGCCAAAGTATTGCAAAAGTACACTCTTATAACTTAAACTCGTAAGCTTTCGAAGATCTATGTCTTCATCGTCTGGAGCTGGAAACAATTATTGGCAATAGCAACAAATAACAATTAGGACGACATAACGGGTGACCTTCCAATAATTTTCAATGTCACACTTCATGCGTCGCTGTAGAATATCAGTCGGCCGGCACGTTTTGGATAATGTGGAGGTTATCAGCGGAAAAAAAGATGAAATCTTGAAGGAATTTTCAATAGTTGATAGTTTTAAAATCTCCAAATTTCTTCCAAAATCAATTAACGTATAATTTAAAAAAAACCTTTCAAAATGATTTGCCATTTAATAATGAAATAATTCCGTCCTAATCAAACCTCATCAGTCCAGTTCTTTATTCGTCGACTATGTGTTTCCTTCACTGTTGTTTAAAACCGATTTCAGCAACAATCTCGCCGACTTAGCAAGTAAATATTTTTCTTCTAATTGCTATTTGTTGCTATTGTCAATAATTGTTTCCAGCTCCAGACGATGAAGACGTAGATCTTCGAAAGCTTGAGAGTTTAAGGTATAAGAGTGTGTGCATACTACCCTCTACCCAAATAAATTAAAGGATATCTCCTCCCAACAGTTAAGGCAATTAACTATGAATACTATATATATATATATATACCTAAACGTTTTCAATCATTTCACCATTTATCCCAACTGTGATAGTATTTTCATTTAGGTATATCTCTATTAGCATACATTTTGTTTTAGAAGCATTCAATTTTAGTTTATTCACATTTAACCAATTTACGATTTTTGTCAGAATTTAGCATTTTTAAAGCAATGTCTATATTTTGATCTGATATGTATATTAATATATCATCTGCAAATATCTTAATTTTACAATAAAGTAAAATATCAAATATCATTGACGTTTAAAATAAATAGTAGTGGACCTAGTTTACTACCTTGTGGTACATCAACAGAAATATTTTCTGAGCTTGTTAACGTAGATCCAATTTTGGTTTTTTGACTTCTGCCAGTTCAGTAATTTTGTAGAATTTTGAATACAGATCCTATGAATCCATATACAATTTTTAAAAAAATTTATCCCTGTCAATAGTTTCAAATGCCCTTTCGAAGTCCAAAAACACTGTCACTGTATGTTTCCTACTGTCCATACATCTCCCCCAGTCCTCTAAAACCATTTGTATTGTTTCCTCCTGAATCTAGCTTGAAATTGAGTTATGTTAAAACACCTCAGTTGTGTTGGAAATTCGAAATATTTTCGAAGAGGTAAATAAATAAATCTCCCTCCTTAATCGACATCAATATCCTCACGTTGCTATTTGTTTTCTTTCCACCCCTACTAAAGTAATGGAATCCCGATAAATTTCAAAATTGAGATATTACTTAACATCTTAAATTTATCCTGTGGTTTTTATGCCGATAACACCACATTTTTGACTGGCCAATGGAACGAAATGTATTTAAATTTTTTCTTTAATGTGTACGTGTCACATATTTTTGGATGTTACGAGGGTTGTATCAAATATTTCTTCAAATATATCTCTATAAAAATGCGTAGAAAAAAATGGTGACTATGTAAAAAACAGCTCAAAGATCGACGTTTCAAATGGTGAATAAAATGAAAAATTCTTCGTGTCGTGGGAACAATATTTTTGAAACAACCCTCGTAGATGAATAAAGAAAAACACTAGCTTGGCATACGGTAAGTACGAGTATAAATCATGAAAGCAAAATCGAAACAAAACGGAAATCAAGCTTCGAAAAACACAAACAACTCCGTTCCATGCGTTGCATTGCGAACCTGGGCGTTTTGTACGAAAAACTGCTGTTTGTGCGCGCAACTCTTAACGTCCGCTCCGCCGAAATCGTAAATACTCTCCTGGTACTGTTGCGCCTCTTTTGGATCGCTGAATTGATACATAACTGGATGGGGATGGAAATTCGGGATCTGGTCGATATCATAGAAGACAGCTTGGGAAGGAACGTGCGCGTTGCGGTCTAGCGAGCCCATTTTAGGAGAAAATCCCGAAGCGGTGGCGCGTCCTCTTTCCAACGAACCCATTTTGGGAGAGGTATTCCGCGACTTGCGTTCTAGCGACCCCAGTTTCGGACTGAACACGCCCGATTTCTCTAGGCTCGAGTGCGAACCGGCAACGCTTCGCTCTAGCGAATTCATCTTAGGCGAACTAGAATTATCGATCGATCTGTTCCGCTCCAAGGACTGCATCCTGGGAGTACCGCTTCCGGTGCTCGACCTCGAAGCGGACCTCTCCAACGTCGCGACCTTTTTGTCAAGCGCCACTTCCGGATCGAGTTTTTGCAAGCTCTGCACGGGGATGGGTTCGGTGATGAGGACGGGATCGGGGACGTTTTCTTTTTTCTGAAAATTAACAGCTACCGTATTGAATACCGATGCGGGAGCGTTGTACGCGGCAGCGTTGAAGCCTCTGCTCTCGTTCTCCTTCATCAGGTGGGCGAGGACTTCCGGGTTTTGGGCGATGATGTACGTCTGGGAGACGGGGCTTTCTTCGACGTACGACGAGCTGTACGAGTCCGGATCCACGGCTGGAATTAAAACGTTTATATATTTTTTATACAGGGTGTTCGAAAAATAGACGGAGATATTTTAGAGGGTGATTCCTTGTTAAGAAATATACTAAGTGACATATAAATCCGAACACCCAGTTTAAATGGTTTTATTTAAATAAAAGTTGGTGAATGTATTTATCTTACTGGAAATAACAAGTGAACAAATTTTCAGCCTTATCAGTTGGACATTCCGGTTTTTATACTGCTTTTTTTTAATTCACTAACGCTCTAAAAATGAATATTTCAGCCGCAGTAAAGAATCAACGTTGGCGGATTTTGGTTCTTGACATCCTTTACGATCGGTTACGATGCCTAGAGTACGGAGACCTGTACGATTTCGTCAACTTAGTGAGTTTGATAGGGGCCGTATAGTGGGACTTCGGGAAGCTGGACTTTCTTTTCGGGCAATTGCAGTTAGAGTGCAAAGAAGTGTAGACACTGTGGTTAGGTGTCGTCAGGCATGGCTTCGAGAAGGCCGTACGCAAAGAGCAAGGGGCACTGGACGCCGCCGTACAACAACAGACTGTGAAGATCGCCGCCTAAGATTATTGGCCTTAAGGGACCGTTTCTCCACTACCAGGTCCATTGCAAATGAATGGTTTGCAGAACACGGAAGACCTATTGGCATGTGAAGTGTTTACCGACGAATGAGAAGTTTTGGCTTGTTTTCAGACCGGCCACACTGGGTCCTCCCTTTACCTCGAGAACACCGACGTACTCGCCTTGAGTGGTGCAGACAACGGTCACTCTGCGATCAGGAATGGAACAGTATTGTCTTTAGTGACGAGTCTCTATTTTGTTTAGGCATGCACGATGGTCGTGCCAGGGTTACAAGGCGACGTGGTGAAAGGAGGAATGCACAGTTTTTTGTTGAAAGACATGTTCATCACACTGTTCGAGTTATGGTTTGGGGTGCTATAGCTTATGGTTCCAGGTCACCTTTAATCTTCATCAGAGGTAACATGAACGCGCAGCGTTATATCCACGAAATTCTAGAACCCCATCTTTTACCCTATCTTGACACCCTGGCAGATCCAACTATCCAACAAAATAATGCCCGATCACATGTTGCAAGAGTCACAATAGACTTCTTTCAACATAATGATGTCACATTGTTACCATGGCCACCAATATCTCCCGACTTATCCCCAATTGAGCACGTGTGGGATATGATGGGTAGGAGATTGCTCAATTTGCAACGTCCTCCTCAGACTCTAGAAGCACTTCGAGAGGAGTTGGTGGTTGCCTGGAGTGAGATACCACAGGAGGACATTGACCACCTGATCAGAAGCATGCCTAGGCGCGTTGGAGAATGCGTAGCACATCAGGGTGCATCCACATATTATTAAAGGTCAAAGGGCTTTAAAGCAGTGCAATCATTTTGAAATTTTTATCATTTACTTATTATGCTTCATTAGTACTTATACAAAATTTTATTAAAATAAAACCATTTAAACTGGGTGTTTGGATTTATATGTCACTTAGTATATTTTTTATACAGTGTTCGAAAAATAGATGGAGATATTTTAGAGGAAGATTCCTTCTTGAAGAATATTAAAAAAAGTTTCTATAAACATGGGTCCGGGAATGCAGAGTTCTCAAGATAGGGGGTATTTTTGTTTTTTTATTAATATCTAAAAAAATATTTACTCGACTCCGTTGAAATTTGGCAATATTATTTGTTGTTATCAAGAGGCTAATTTAGCCCTAAATAGAATGAAATTATTAGGCCCAGTGGCGTCGCAGGGGGCATCTTAGCGAATATTATTGGCAAAAAATGTACACCACTGCCTTTTTTGTAACTTCAATATTTGTTGTTTGATTAAGCATCTAAAAATACAACTTCTGTGCCTCCTGAATTTTTTTCGTATATTACTTCGTTTTAGAGAAAAAACATATAAACCGTTTTATTGCATGTCACTGGTCAAAATTGGTTTATTAATTTTTTGTTTAAGATTTATTTATCAAGATTGCTACAATGACATTCTTCTAAAAAACTAAACAATTACATAACATACGGACATTCAGAAAAAAAAACAAAATTTGCATGTCTAAGAATTTTCATTGTCCATGAAATATTCCCTTAGTTTTCTTTTAAATATCTTTAAATTACAAGTAGACTTTATATCATTATTTAGTTTATTAAATTCAAGTAATCCTTTCTGAAATATTGATTTGCTAGTTATATTACTATTGCAATTTTGTACATGAAAATCTATATCTCCTCTTGTATAATAATTGTGGTAATGATTCTTCAATTCTATGTAGTGTTCTAAATGTTCTGGCAAAAGATGATTTTTTATTTTAAATATAAAAATAAGAACCAAATATGATATGAAATTTTTTATATTCAACTTCTGCAATTCTTGTAACATAGATTTTAATTTGGTGTACTTATTTTTATCCAATATTATTCTCATTGCTTTATTTTGCAAGACTTGTAATTTTGAGAATACAGCTTCATTGGCAGTGAACAACTTAGTTGAACAATATAGTAGAATAATTGTATTATAAACTATTTTCTTGGAATAGGTATCAAGACTATGAGAAGCCCTATAAAAGTAATTTGTTTTTTTTGGCAATTTTTGAAATAATGTATTCATAGTGATCCCCAAACATTAGTTTACCATCAATATATATATATATATATATATATATATATATACTCAACATTTTCAATTATTTCTCCATTTATCCTAACTGTGATAGTATTTTCATTTAGGTATTTCCCTCTCAGCATACATTTTGTTTTAGAAGTATTCAATTTTAGTTTATTCACATTTAACCAATTTACGATTTTTGCTGAGTCAGAATTTAGCATTTTTAAAGCAGTGTCTATATTTTCATCTGATATGTATATTAATGTATCATCTTCAAATATCTGAGGTTTACAATAATCTAAAATATTACAAATGTCATTAATGTATAATATAAACAGAAGTGGACCTAGTTAACTACCTTGTGGTATACCAACAGAAATATTTTTTAATCTTGATAATGTAGATCCAATTTTGGTTTTTTGACTTCTGTCAATTAAATAGTTTTGTACAATTTTGAATACAGATCCTTTAAATCCGTAGTGATGCAATTTTGTAAGTAATTTATCCCTGTCAATAGTCTCAAACGCCCTTTTGAAGTCCACAAACAGTGTTACTGTATGTTTCCGATTGACCATACATCTCCTCCATTCCTCTAAAACCGTTTGTGTTGTCGTTTCAGTTGAGAGTTTCTTCCTGAATCCAGCATAAAATTCGTAAATAATATCTTCAAAAACTTGTTCAACATCTGGCAGAACATTTATTGGCCGCATATTGGTGTACAACTCAGAATTCTTAACTTTCGAAACAGGAGTTATGGTAGAACACTTCAGTTTTGTTGGAAAATCGCCATATTTTATCAGTAATTTATCAGGATTAATATTCTTGCCCCAATAATATCAAACCATTCATTAAGCACACTTTTAGACAAAATCTCACTCTTATTTTGATTTGATTTAATTTTTGATATATTCTTCTTAAGACGATTAATGTTTATTGTTCTAAACTCACTGAATGATGCATTATAATCTGAGCTAATGGGACATTGGTCAATAATTGATTTTACAATGTCCTTGACATCTTCTAGGAAATAAGTATTCTTTCGATCTGCTAGCAGTTTCACATAAGCGCGTCCGTTCTTCCAGAAAAGAATTATTACGTGAGTTTTTTTTGCGAAATTTCTCTAAAAAGTTTTGGTCTCTGTTTCTGTGATGGAAAATTATACTTTTGAGGAAATAGCAGACATAAGACTTTTCTACTATTTTATCTGTTAAAGAAATTTGAAAAGCCGTTCTTTCAGGGATAAAAAAGAGGAGTAAAGTAGACTAACTTTCTACACATTGGTATACATTCATTCAGCATTATAGCGTCACGCACAGTCTAAACGCTGAAGTATGAACCTCCCCAAAAAAATGTAGCCTCCAAACACTGGTTTTAAAAATGCCAAAAAATGATCAGAAGCTAAATAAACCTCAAGATGTTGGTTTGACGAATCGGATAACCGCTGGATAAAAAGACATCTCTGTATTTTTAGCATAGAAAAATAAAATCGATAAATATTGTCATTTAGAGAGAATAATCATCATTATAATGTATACCTTGCATCGGGTGTCGACTCGGTTTCGTCGGAGGAATGAAATCATCGTTTGGACCCCAAGACATCGCCGCTATTTTCCTACTTTCCCTACGTAACGTTTCTTGTTGAGCACTCCTTTCTTCTAAGAGAATTTCCTGAAAATTCATAACTATTTTATAACATGTATGGGCTGTGTTTGAATATTTCGAAAACACAATGAAAATATACACGAACAATGCTAAATGACATGTAAACCATCTACTGAAATTGCAATAATCGTCCAAGCGAGATGATATCACAAGGAAAGTCACTCTTCCAATTCGTTCCGATTCAGTTAAGCTATCTAATACTTGACATGATGTGATTTCAAAATAAGAAACATGATCTTAGCTGTTACCTGGAGTATTTCTTTGATATCCTTAAAACTAGGCCTTTTGCTTGGTTCGTATGACCAACACTGAGACATCAACGAGTACAGCCTTGGAGGACAGTTAGGCGGCAATGCCAGTCTTTCGCCATTCTCAATTTTACCGATGACGTCGTTATTTTTTACACCTTGGAAAGGTTTCACACCATACATCAATATCTCCCAAATGCAAACACCTACAATATAATTTTTAATTCAGAAAAATGTTTAGTATTTGTGCATGAGAAATGAATGTAATATGGGTGGTGCTAGTAGGGGAGCCCAGGAGGGTAAATGGTGAGTTACTGGAGCGCTATTGGATTTTGAACGTTATTCCGTGTATCATCTGGCAGAACTCGAACATCTATCGATACCGGACGCCTTTCGTTCGTCAAGGTATAGTGCTATGTTTTGGAAGCATTAAACTGTACAAGATTATTGCGTCCCCAAGCAGTTATAACCTCCAAGTCTCTCGTTATAGTAGTAGAACGATTTATTTAGCACATTTGGCTACATAAATAGAACAATTGTAAACAACTTAGAACTAGTAAATTCAAGCCATATGGTGTATGATGTAAATGCTGGGCAACCTATAATTGTAGATTTAACAAGTGATTTCTCAATTTTACTTTAAATTTTGTCAAAGTTCTCTGGCCTTTTATCTCGGAGTATTATTTATTATATTCAATCAACCCTTGATGGAATACAGATTTGTAGCATATGTTATACTTTTTGGTCATTAAATGGAAGTCATCTTTATTTCTGGTATTATGTAAATGATGGTCGACATTTGATGATGTTAAATTAGTTAGGCTTGATGGAAATATATTATTTTTTACTTTATAAATAAATATCATTACAAGATATTTGATACATTTTTTTACATTGAGCCATTTTAATTTGCTAAGCATTTGCCTAATTCGAGTACATTTATCTTTATTTAGTATTATTCTCATGCACTTATTTTGTAAAATTTGCAGTCTTTCAAAAATGGAATTATTTGCTAAATATAGAATAGTCGAACAGTACAAGAAATTTGGAAGAATGATGGTATTATAGATAATTTTTCTGCTATATGAACTCAGACATCCAGAAACTCTCGATAAATATCCCACTTTACTACTAATCTTATTTATAACTTTTTCATAATGAATATCAAAAATTAATCGAGAGTCAACAAAAACCCCCAGGTATTTAAAATTTTCTACGAATTCAATATCTTCACCATCAATATTCAGTTGAACATTTGTACATTGTTTTTTTTCCGATTAACAAGGCTTACGTTTTACTTGCATTTAGTTAGATGCTAACCATTTTGAGACAAGCTTCAAGTCTTCATTTATATAAGAGATACCAGACTGAATATTTTTAGTACTTATATAAATCATAGTGTCATCGGCGAAAATCTGAATTTTGCATTTTTTGACTACGGCAGGTAAATCATTTATGTATAAAATAAAAAGAAGTGGTCCCAGGATACTGCCCTGTGGAACACCCAACGTATTTTCAATTTTTGATGAAATAGTGTCAAATAATTTCTAAACCAATCTAAAACACTTCCTGTTATACCATATGCCTTCAATTTACCTAACAAAATATCTCTATCAATCGTTTCAAATGCCCTCTTCAAATCGAAAAATACTGCTATGACAACTTCTTCTGAGTCTATGGCTCTTCTCCAATTCTCAGTTACCAACTGGAAAGCTGTTTCTGTGGAATATCTTTTTCGAAAGCCTGCTTGCGCCTCCACTAAAATTTTGTTTTCTTCTATAAACTGCATTAATTGGTCATGCACTATGGACTCTAATAATTTTTCAATGTCTGGTAACACATTTACTGGTCTCATATCGCTGCATCTTTTAGATTTTTTTATTTTGGGAACTGGTGTTATTGTAGAGCATTTCAAACTTTCAGGGAAAGAACTGCTTCTCAGTGAACAATTGATCCAATTTAATACAGGATATCCCAAAATTTCGAAACAGTTTTTCAGCACGTTTTTAGTAGTCATTTCGGCATAGTTGTTATTTGATTTTAAACTGTTTACTTTTTTTCTTAGATAATTCAATGATACGCTGTGAAATTTTGAAAGCGTATGCAACATTTCCCCCTGGAAACTGATTTTCATATAGTCAGGTGCAGCATTGGCAGTACCCACAATATCAACAATACTTTTCACAAAATATTCATTTAGTTTGTTTGCAATCACCAAAGAATTTGTTTTGGTACCGTTTTCGAATTGAACTTAATTTACACAATCATGCGGCTTCGAATTGATCAGTCTTTTTAAAGTCTTCGACATCTTTACACTGTAGCACTTGTTATTAACGATTTGTTCATCGTAGAATTTTCTTTTTTCTTCTCTAATTACATATACACATTTATTCCTAAGAGTTTTATATACCTCCCAATCATCATTTGATTTTGTGAATATACATTTATTGTATTGTTTGTCTCTCAAATTTTGAGCTGCCTTAATATTAATAGAGGAAGTCGCTGATAATCCTTTTTCTAGCAAGTCCGGACCAGAAGCTTTGTCGATGTAGAGTGACAAGAGCACCCGTCCCGTATAGTGTAGGGAACCTTTGAATCGATAGCACTTGGGCGTTGGGGGGAGGGAACGTCCACGGTGGAATTAGCAGCAAGGATCTTGACAAGCACTTCCGCCTTAGCCTTTGAGTCGGTCACGTTCCATCCTGACACGTAAGTTGTGGATGGCTGCTCTATGAGAAGTTCCTTTCAATCCGATTTAGGAACTGTCACTGTATTCCTCCATCCCAACGTGGTTACAGTTGAACAGACAGCCGACGCATCCGCGTCAGTGAATCGAACATCTCTCCAAGGCAAGGTGGAGAAGAAGTCACTCCCAGTCATGTCCGTAATGCGAGTTTCTACTGCTGACTGAAACCTAACCTCCACATCACCGTGGTCTAAGTTACCCAGGGGAGATAGGACAGCAGTGCTAACAGTGCTACAACAGGATGCAAGGTATCCTTTCTGTCGCGCCTTTGTAGCTCCACTACTGGGAAGTAGAAATACGAGGGATGTCTTTTAAGTTTTGCATATAGAAACATAGTAGGCCGCGAGGATCGAACGTCAGTACTGAATCTTAACATCACTCTTTACTAAACCTAAATTCAAAGTTTCACAATAATACGTGCAGTGTTCTCACTACAGTGTCACCAAGTCATTAGAAAAATGGAACTCAACCGAGAACATTTTCGCGCCATAATTTATTACAATTTTCAGAGACAATTATCGCCGCAAGAATGCCTTGCTGAGTTACTGTCTGTTTTCGGCAACGAAGCGCCACATCAGTCGACAATTTCCCGTTGTTATGGAGAATTCAAACGTGGACGGGTGAGTCTTAGCGACGATCCCAGGGTGGATGCACCAAAAACGGCAGTCACACAGGACAACATCGATGCTGTGCGCAAACTCATCATTGAAGATAGACATTATTATTATTATTATTATTATGATAATTGAGATGAGCAGAGTACACAGTACTATAAGCTCATGCAGTGAATATAGTGTACGGACACGTAACACAAATACATTAAATAGAACAAAATAAAAAAAAGACAGTTCATAGCTATAAAGTTTGTACACTCCTCCAGCTATCATACTGCACTTTGAAGCTATTAACTGAAGTAGCACCAACCACACTTTCAGGTAAACTATTCCAGGTGTTGAATATGCGGTTGGGAAGAAACCACTGTCGGACTGTTGTTTTAAATGGCTCCTTATGCAGTTTGAAGCTGTGTCCGCGTAGATTGCTGCGCGACAGACGGTATAGATGCATGAGGTTGGTGCCCATCAAACCATGAAGTATCATGAACGTAAGTATAAGATCGCCACGAAGTCTTCGCTCAGAGAATGAGGTCAGGTTGAATAATTCAAGGCGATCTTCATAGCTTGGCCTTCGTGCTCCAAAAGGGATACGAGTAGCCCGACGCTGTACTGATTCGACGAGATTTCTATCGCGCAGAAGCACAGTGTCCCATACCGGGCCAGCGAATTCAAGAATTGGCCTCACGAATGCCTTGTAAATGTAGGCGCAAGTGTTGACATCGGATCCTTTGAAAGACCTCTCCAGCATGTATAGAAGTTTCTTGGCTTTTCATGTAACGTGGTGAATATGCTCTGACCAGGAAAGACGATCGTTGACTACAACGCCCAGATCAGTGTGGCTGGAAACTGCTTCGATGTTGTAGTCAGAGATCTTGTATGTAAATCGCGGATTTGTCTTCCCGAGGTGAAGGACACAACACTTAGTTAGATTTAAGGGTAAAAGCCAACTGACTGACCATTGACAAACAATATCAAGATCTCGTTGAAGCATAGCAGAATTTGGGACAGTATTGTAAATCTTGGTGTCGTCGGCATAAGCCGAACATGTGGAGGAAATCAATGCGGGCAGGTCACTTGGATACAGAAGGAACAGCACTGGCCCCAAGACAGAGCCTTGAGGAACTCCACTTGCTACATGATGAAGGTGAGACTGGCTATCACTGACGCGCACAGAGAAGGTCCTCCCGGTGAGAAAAGCCTTAATCCACAGTAACAACTCGCCTCTTATTCCCATACATTCCAATTTGAACAGAAGCCTTCTATGTGGTACGCGATCGAAAGCCCTAGAAAAATCTAAGTAGATTATATCAACAGGAGTCTTTGTGTCCAGATACTGAGTCCAATCGTTGAGAGAGTGTAGAAGGTTGGTCATTATTGATCGACCAGGGAGAAATCCATGCTGATTCTTAGGGATAAGGTCATTTTCGAAAGCAAATGACAGGAGCTTATCTAATATGATTCTTTCAGCTATTTTGGCGGCGATAGGAACGAGACTTATTGGTCGATAATTTTTAGCGGAGGATTTGTCGCCCTTTTTGAATACAGGGGTAACAGAAGCACTAAGCCAGCATGAGGGTAGGGTACGAGATCTAAAAGACGATGTGAATATCAAGCTTAATGGTCGGGCCAGTGCTGAAGCGCAGTTTTTAAGTACAGCAGCCGTAATCCCATCTTTACCAGGGGAGGAAGAGGTCTTCAGATTTCGCAGGTGCATTAATACATCTTCAGGCAGGAACTCAACTTCACAAAGGCTGTTGGGACACCTATGGCAGATAGTGGTCGGTAGAAGGTCTCCATTAGGCTAATCGACGAAGTCATCACTAAAGGACTCTGCCAGTAAGTTGGCAGATTCGGTGGCATCCATGTGGAGATGACCATCAGCGTCGCGGATCTGAGGTGATGAAACTTTGGAATTCAGGTTTGTTCTTAGATACCGAAATAGCTTCTTCTTCTTTTTGGAGGTAACGAGTTTTCGTTCATAAGCATGTTTGGCATTATGTAACGTTCTAGATAGGAGGTTAGAAAAGGATCGATGAGACGTAATCTTGTGAATGGCCACTCCTCCTAAACCGTTGCCACAAAGATCTCTTGTGACGAAGCATCCTCGATATGTTAGAGTTGATCCAGGGCTTTGAGGGGTCACAGTATACCTTCTTTTCAACAGTATTGTCAGCCGTTTCGCTTAGGACTCGCTGAGCGAAAGTGTCCCACATATGTGTCCCACATATCTTGGGTGCTACGGTTGTTAAGCAAAGCAGGCCAGTTGACTTCAGACAGGGCTTGGTTAAGAGCATCGTGGTTTACAATTTTGATGGTTTTAAACTTATCGGTTGTAGAACGACTATTTATATTGAACTGGAGAGAAGATAAAAGTGAACAGTGGTCAGACTTGCCAAAAGGTGGCAAATAATCTAAATTAGAAACAAAGTCGGCGTCGTTAACGAATATCAAATCCAGAGCCCTAGGCGTCTGTCCTTCCCTGAATCTCGTTGGACGATCAACAAGTTGAGATATGCTAGAGTTGCGTAGCAAGTCGATGTAAGCAGCAGAAGAAGAATTGCATTCAGGAATGGTTGACATAGGCCAGCTAATGTCACGTAGATTCAAGTCACCAGCTATGAAAAGGTTGGTGTTTTTATTTAAGAGATCTGAAATGAGACTGCACAGGTGTGTGTCTCCCAAACAGGGCCGTGTTGTTGGTGATGAATTGTGGATTTACTGTTATGAACCAGAAAATAAACGACAGTCGGCTGTTTGGCTGTTCCAAGGTGAAGAAAAGCCAACAAAGATCATCCGTTCTCGAAGTGTTTCGAAAAAGATGGTCGCGACATTTGTGTCACAAGCGGGTCATATTGCAACAATTCCTCTTGATGAGCAAAGAACTGTTACTGCGGATTGGTATACCACCATTTTTTTGCCAAAAGTCATCACCGAGCTTCGAAAAATCGACCCCGAAAGAAGAATCATCCTCCACCAAGACAATGCAAGCTCGCACACAGCTCAAAAAACAAGGCAGTATTTAACGGAATTATTGGACCATCCTCCATATAGTCCCGATCTAAGTCCTAAAGATTTCTTTACTTTCCCGAAAATTAAAAACAGACTGCGTGATCAAAGGTTCCAGTCACCAGAAGAAGCAGTTGACGCATTCAAAAATGCCGTTTTGGATCTGCTAGCAAACGAGTGGGATAAGTGCTTCGAAAATTGGTTCGAGCGCATGCAGATGTGTATTAATCTTCGTGGAGAATACTTCGAAAAACAATAAAGTCATTTAAAACTGCCTACCGTGTTGTTTTATTTCCACATGCAAAACTTAAAAGACATCCCTCGTATATAGAAAACTTACCGAACATCCATACATCGCTAGCAGTCGTAAATCTCCTAAAATTAATACTTTCCGGACTCATCCATTTTACAGGTAGTTTCCCCTTTGAGGCTTTATAGTAACTTTGGTCATCTCCCATCCACCTACACAAAAACAAGCTACCATGAACTTCAACTATATTTTTTCAATTTGTCTTATTGTCAAAAAGTAAAACTTGTATGACCAATCAATTCAACATCTTGTTATTTTCGTATGAATGCCAATGTATTTTGTTTCATTGTTTATTTACGATTCTTTTACAAAATATAACAGTTACATAACATACAGATATTTAGAAAAACAGAATTTGCATCTCTAAGGATTTTCACTGTGTATGAAAGTTTCCTTTAATTTTCTTTTAAACATCTTTAATTTACACTTAGACTTTATATCATTACAGCAGACGCTCGATAATGTAAACTGATTTAATCCAAATGTGGTTCACATTAGCGAAACGTGATTTATATAATATTTGATTTATTAAAAGAAACGTTTAATACATACTATTTATAACAAAATAAACAAATATAACAGCGATAAGTATTTTTTTAATTAGAAGAAAAATAATTAACAATTTTTGTCTGCGTAAATTTGCGCTTAGCATTGTCTTCCAATGCCTGCCGCCCGTAATTTACGAAGAACTAAAATATCCGTGTATGAAACTTCTTTTCTTTCAGCCCAATCTAAAGCTTGGTTAAAAACTTGTATAGCTTGCGCGTCAGTCACTACACTTGTGACTTCAACGGGATCGTTCTCATCATCCTCACTGTCCATATCCTCCTCCCTATCAGCATCATTCGTCTGCTTATCTTCGTTCCATAAATTAATATCAGCAGGAGTACAAACAATGTTGGGATTCACTGTTTTCAATAAATCAACAACATCCAATGACACACTAATAACATTATCATTATCGGATCGCAAACGTTCTCTAATTACGCTTAAGGGGACATCGTCTTCTTCATCATCTTCATTATTGGTACAAAAGAGATTCTTCCAACATTTTTGAATAGTTTGCTGGTTAAGTTCATTCCAGGCCATATGTAAATCTAAAACAGCTTCTCGTAATGTTACTTTGTTTAAAGCCTCAGATGAGTTTTCAGGATTCTTTGATAAGACAGACGAAAGTAGAAACTTCCTATAGTATAGTTTGGTGAGTGTTATTATATTCTGGTCCAACGGTTGAATTAACGGTGTTACGTTGGGCGGCATGTACATGACGAAAATTGACCCATCCCTGCTCCTCAGTTGTTGCTCGGGAGGATGACTTGGTGCATTATCCAATAGTAACAACGCTTTTATTGGAAGCTTCTGTTGTTTTAGGAAACCTTTTACCTACAAATTGAAAACACATCTTCAAATTATGAATAGAGCATTTGTGATAATTGATTGTCATACCTGAGGGACAAAGCACCTGTGGAACCATTTCAGGAATATACTGCTAGTCATCCAAGCGGTTTTTGAACAGTCATAATCAACAGGGATATTCACATTTTTAAATGAGCGCGGATTTTTCGCTCTCCCAATTACCAGTGGCTTTATTTTGTGTGAACCATTAGCATTAGTGCAGGCTAGAAACGTTATTCGTTGTTTCTCCGGCTTTCTTCCCGGGGCAGATTTTTCAAATGATGCAGCATAGATTTTCTCTGGTAACATTTTCCAATAAAGGACACTTTCATCTGCATTGTAAATTTGTTCCATTCTTAAATCTAGCTCGGTAATTGTTTTCATCAATTTTTCTTTGAATGGTTGCACTAATTGTGGTTGTGCTGATAATTTTTCACCAGATATAGACAGCAGTCGAATTCCATATCTTGTTTTGAATCGTTGTAGCCAGCCATCACTAGCTACGAAATTTTCAGTTTCTTTCAGTTTTTCATTTAACAGTCTCGCTCTCTGTTTAAGTACTTCGCCACTAACTGGGACATGATTTTCCCGTTGTTTTAAAAACCACTTATACAGGGAATTTTCCATTTTAGGTGCCTTCGCATTTTTTAAAGTTTTTCTTTTTCCCGGACCTCCAAATGTATTGCACGTTCTTTGTAAAATTTGAGTTTTCATACGCTTGATTTTACAGATTGTTGCTTTCGATACTCCATATTTTTTTGCTAACTGTGTCACTCCCGCACCTAGTGCAACTTCGTCTATGATTTTCACTTTCTCACTCAACTTTAAACACTTTCTTTTATAGGACGTGGATGCCATAGTCGTAAAATATATTAACGCGTGCAATGTATTCACTTAAGTTCAAAATGAAATACATACGTACGTATAAACGTATCCTAAACGATCATACGACTGACCGAGTTTGTCGTATTTTATCGCAGAGGTGAATCCCCTACATTCTACATCATAAATCGGGGACTCCCCGATGCCCGACATAAATCATCGCATTTTACCGTCGCGCTGTTTCCGTGCGCCGAGAGTTGTTTACGTTATCGAGCGTAAACATTGTTTACGTTATCGCGCGTTCCGTTTGATCCTATAGAACGAAGTTTGTGTTTACATTAGCGCAACTTTTCATTATCCCGTGTTTACGTTATCGAGCGTCTGCTGTATTTAGTTTATCAAATTCAAGTAATCCTTTCTGAAATATTGATTTGCCAGTTCTATTACTATTGCAATTTTATAAATGAAAATCTATATTTCCTCTTGTATAATAATTGTGAAATGATTATTCAATTCTATGTAAATGTTGTTGTGTTGCCGCTCCGTAAATCCAACTTGAAATTTGGTTAACATTCTATTTCCCTCCATAAATTCGACGAATCTGTTCGTAAACAATTTCTTCAAAAACTTTTTCAACATCTGGCAGAACATTTATCGGCCGCATATTGGTGTACAACTCGGGACTCTTAACTTTCGAAACAGGAGTTATGGTAGAACACTTCAGTTTTATTGTAAGTTCAACATATTTTAAACTGTAATTTATCAGCCAGCACGTTGCTGCCGCGAAGCAGCGCCAGTAGCATCGATATAACCACAACAAAGGATAAATAAGCGTTTTTTCTATTCGCCTATGTAGCCTTACCTTGACAATCCAAAATCGGCCAGCTTCACGCACTTATCCGTGCTGACAAGTACGTTCCTCGCTGCGATGTCTCTATGCACGTACTTCTTCGATTCCAGATAGCTAAGAGCCGTTGACAGCTGGTAAGCGTACAGCAGTAAATTTGCTAGGTCAAGTCGACTTTTGTGTGTCTGGAGATACGCCCGGAGCTCTCCAAGTTTAGCCAGTTCCATTACGATCCAAACCGGAGACTCTGAACAAACGCCGATCAGTTTGATTATGTGCGGGTGATCAAATTTCTGCATTATATCTGAAAAAAATACGATCCGTTATCACAAAATCACTCCTTCTGTGAAAGGCATCTATTACTTTTTTTTCTATTTGAAAAATCAACAGGCTTTTTACGAGGTGAAATCGAATTTTATTACTGATAAATGAAGGTTGGTTTATGCCATTTATGTATGAAAAATAACATCAGTCATGTGACCACCGCGGCTTCGTTTACAGGCCAACATCCGAACATCAAAATTTTCAATAACTTTTCCCAAAAGAATCGGATCTATGGCCGCAATTTCAGTCCGAATATTGCACTTTAGGTCTTGAATTGTCCGGGGACCATTCGCATACACTTTTCCTTTCAAAAATCCCCAAAGAAAATAGTCAAGAGGTGTTAAATCGCACGATCTCGGGGGCCAACTGACATCTGAATTTCGTGAAATTATGCGGTCTTGAAATATCGTGTGCAATAAGGCGATTGTTTGGCGAGATGTGTGAGCCGTTGCTCCGTCTTGATGAAACCAAAGATCGTCGGCACCAAAAAGTCACAATTCTGGTCACAAAAAGTCTGTTAACATGCCGCGATAACGTTCCCCGTTGACGGTAATGGCCTTTTCTTCGGCATCTTCAAAGAAGAATGGTCCCACGATGCCACCAGCCCGTAATCCGCACCAAACAGTCACTTTTTCAGGATGGAGAGGTTGTTCATGATATTGGTGTGGATTTTCAGCCCCCCAGAATCTGCAATTTTGCTTATTTACGTACCCATTGAGGTGAAAATGAGCCTCATCAGAAAAGAGCACTTTGGCCGAAAATCGGTCTCCTCTTTCCAGCATCCAACTAACAAAAACACGCCGCTGTTGATGGTCTACCGGCTTCAATTCTTGTGTTAGTTGGATTTTGTATGGATGGAGGTGTAAAATCCGGCGTAAAGTGGTCTCACTAATTCCCAATTGTTGCGAACGGTGCATAGTCGAGGTGGTTGGATCTTCTCGAACACTTTCACTCACTGCGGCTGTGTTTTCACGAGTGCGAGTTGGACGAGCATGTTGGTATGGTTTACGACCTTCAGCTGAACCAGTTTCCTCAAAACGATTAACAGTCCAACGAATTCCAGGCTCTGTAGGGCGTCCGTGTCGGCGAAAACTAGTGCGAAGTTTGCGAAAAGTATTTTTTATATTTCGACCGTTTTCGTAGTAAGTTTGGACAACCAAAATGCGTTGTTGTGTTGTAACCGAATCCATGACTATAAATGGCATACCTTTGACAGTTCATGTATGCATACCACATGACTTTTGACTCACATGGTAACACATAAACTTATAGGTAAAAAAATGGCGCACCCAGTGGTTGCAAAAACTACCTTTTGCAACTAAAATATCTCTTGAAGTTGAAAGTGGGGGAAATTACTAATATTAACTATGTGAAATTACGAGAAGCTCTTTTACTGCAAGATATGACTGAAATGTTTATTGATAGCTACTATGGATAATGTTGAAGTTTGCATGAAAGAAGCGACAGTCAAGACAACAATTTATAAAAAAAAAATCCAACACCATCGTTCTCACAGACGTTCAAGGATTCTAAATTAAAAAGAGACTGCAATTATAAAAAAAAATATGATTGCTGGGAGTGAAAATGACTGGCTAGAATACACAAGACCAAAAAACGAATCTTCAGCAGTTATACGAGATAAAAAGACAAAATATTACAATACCAATATTGATAACAGAAAAACTAATAAGTCCAGAGGGGAAGATCACTTTTTGATTTAAGAAAAAAAAATACAAACTTAATGAAAAGAAAATATTTTTTTTTTTTATATCGAAACAGCCGCGCAGGCAGAGCCTAAATGCCGAAACACCGCGGCTGCTATGATGATCCCAAAGAAATTTTGTTAATACGATTTTTGAACTGCCTAAGGTTAGTAGAACTGGGAAAAGCTTCCTCCCGTAGATTGTTCCACAATCTAGACACCCTCGGGACAAAGGAGCGGTCGTATCAACCAGTTCTGGATGTACGAAGTTTGACACGGTTAGGATGGGACGCCGAAGTCAGGCGGGTCTGTCTGGCAGGCACATCGCGCGGCGGCATCATAGAAGAGAGCTCTGAGGAGCAAAGCCCGTTGGTGTAGCGATAGAAAAGAGCTAGATCGCCGACGGCCCGCCGGTGCGAAAGAGTCCCGAGACTGTCTGTTAGAGAAGAGTCATCGATCAGTCGGACCGCCCTCCTCTGGACAGCATCGAGCATGGACAATGTAGTCGGGGCGGCAGCACCCCAAATGTGTGAGAAATACTCGAGGCTGGGCCTTATCTGGGCCTTGTATAGAGTGAGAAGGTCATGTGGAGAAAAGTACTTCTTAGCCCTAAACAAATAGCCTAGCTTTTTCCCAGCAGCTGCAGCTATTGAAGAGATGTGTTCGTGCCAGATCAGGTCCTCGGTGATCTGGACTCCGACCAGCCGAAATGAATGGCTCTTTGGTAGAACTCGACCGTCCATCGAAACTGTATGAGCGCTAGGACGCTTTTTGTTCGTCAAAGTACAGTACTGTGTTTTGGAAGCATTGAACTCTACAAGATTGTTGCGTCCCCAAGCAGTGATAGCCTCCAGGTCTCTTGTCAGAGAAGAAGTCGTCGCTAGTCTTCTTTTTTCCAGCTCAGCGGCAGAGATCGGCTTGTCACTCTGAATTCCTGCATGTAGAGTGCTGTCATCAGCGAAGCTGTGGATTGGGTTGATCGTGCAGGAAAGGAGGTCGTTGATATGTAAGAGAAACAGTGTTGGAGCCAAGACCGTTCCCTGGGGAACACCCGCGTTGACGTTGTGTGATGAAGAGGAGAATCCGTCAATTACGACGGATATCTTGCGGCCAGAGATAAAGTCAGCCACCCATCTGCAAAGCTTTTCTGGGAGGCCGTAGGATGGAAGTTTGCTTAAGAGGGCAGCGTGCCACAGCTGATCGAACGCTTTCGTGATGTCAAGAGCAACGACATGAGCCTCACCATGAGACTGGATGAGTTTACTCCACAGTTGCGTGACGTAAGCTAGGAGGTCCCCTGTGGATCGTTGGTGCCGGAAACCGTACTGCCTGTCGCTAATCAAGCTGTGACGTTCGAGGTAGTCCAGAAGCTCGCGATTTATGCACCTCTCCATCACTTTACTTATAACAGAAAGCAGAGCTATAGGCCTGTAGTTGTGAGGGTCGGTTTTAGATCTTTTTTTTGGGATGGGCTGTACATGAGCAAATTTCCAGTTTTCTGGGAAGGTGCCGGATTCATAAGATATCTGGAAGAGACGCGAAAGAACTGGAGCAAGCTCCGCTGCACATCTCTTCAGTACAATGGCAGGAATCAAGTCCGGACCAGAAGCTTTGTTGATGTCGAGCGACAAGAGCACTCGTCTTACGGTCTTATGCCTGAATGTTACCTCCCACATAGTGTGGGGAACCCTTTGAAAATATGTATTAGTATCAACATATTCGTAAATTCGGCGGGTTTTATTTTTTCAATATCATTCGCAAATTTTGAAACACTCTCTTGCGGAGTGACGTTGTTTATTTCTCGTCGAATGAAAGACAAAACAATAGCAGATCGAATCAGCATTGTTCACGCGTAGTGTCTCGTACTGGGCACCCAAACTGTATAAGTGCTTGTCAAGTGTCAATATAGCCTAAGCAACTTTAAAAAAAGATTAACGATGACCTTAAAGCAACAGGATGGCTAGAATTTAACTTTTCGCGTATCCACAGGTAATTGATTGTTTCCTTTTTCTGAGCAGTGTAATACTTTTGGCTTTTTTTGTGGTCAATGTTGTGAACTGTGCCTTTTAAACGTAGGTACTTTTCTTTAGAGCTTAGAATTTAGAGTTATTAGAAATATTTTGAACAATTGAAGAAAATAAAATAATGACAAAATTTGAAGCAGGATTCAGAAAAAAGTATTCTTCTGAAACAGCAATTCAAATGGTAGTAGAAATATGGATGAAAAAAAGTTCACAGTAACATTGTTCTTAGATTTCAAGAGGAGCATTTGAGACTATTGACAGGGACTCAACTTATTACAAAATTATTTAATCAATAGAAGTCAAAGAACTAAAATTGGCATACATTATCAAACATTAAAAACATTTCGGTAGGTGTGCCACAGGGTAGCAAATTAGGTCCATTACTATTTATTTTATATATTAATGATATTCCTGATGTTTTACAATACAATTCAACTATTTGCTGATGATACATTAATATATATATACAGGGTGACTTTGAAGTTGAGTCATTAATTTTCAGATAATGATTGTAGAAGGAAGATAAACCAAAATATGTGTGTAAAAATAAAAAAAAAATTGTTTACCTTGTTTTATAAAGTATCCTCCCGACAAGTATTTCAGTGCGGACCTGTATTTGATCGTGAGGTCTTGGAGCACCGGCATGCAGTCCCCTGTGGTCTTAAGTCACCTGATTCACGAGCCCGTTGTACTACATTAACAAAGGCACGAGGGGTTGGTTGCACTCGATTGGGAAACCGATCCGCATAAACATGTGCCATTTTTTATTTCGTTTGAGCCACGCAACAGACACCACTATTCAAACGCGTTACCGACTGACACTGACTGTATACAACTGACTAAAATAATTGTAAAAACATCGTTCCAAATTCTTTCGCTTTTTTGTTTCCGATGCGATGAACCAAACACGAGCACATAATATTATTATTGAGACAGGGCGGTACTCAAACTTCCAAAGGGCTATAACTTTGTTACTTTAATTTTACCAGAAAAATGGTAAAGGAAAATAACATTTCTTTTGATCAGATCTACTCACTGTTAAAATAAATGACTCAACTTCGAAGTCACCCTGTATACATATATATATATATATATCAAATAAAGACATTGAAACTGTAATAGAGCTGTTGAATATGATATGAAAAACGTAATAAATTGGTGAAATGTAAATAAACTTAAACTAAACACAAACAAAACAAAATATATGCTAATAGGAAAATCTTTAGATCAAAATACGATAAATCTTACAATTAATCATGAAAAAATTGTGTCAATCGAATCATTTAAATATTTGGGCATATACGTAGACAGTAAATTAAAATTTGAAGGTCACTATGAATATATTATTTCAAAAAAATCCACGAAAATAAATTGTGTACAACACTATCATTCTTCCTCATTTGTTATATTGTTCGCATATTTTGATCATTGCAAATAAAACTGTACTTTCAAAATTACAAATATTACAAAATAAAGCTATGAGAATCATCTTAAATAAAAATAAATATACTAGAATAAATTTTATGCTGAAAGACCTACAATGGTTAAATATCAAAAATTTCATAGCCTATTTGGTTTTCATTTTCATATTCAAGTTAAAAAATCATCTTCTGTCAAATCACTTAGAAAATTTTATTGTATTGAACAATGAGTGCCACAATTATTCTACTAGAGGAAGTATAGACTTTCATTTACAAAAATGCAGTAGCAATATAACAAGCAAGTCAGTATTTCAAAAGGGATTGTTTGAATTTAATAAATTAATTAATGATATCAAGATGTCTTTCAGTTTGAAAATAATCAAAGGGAAATTGAAAAAATATCTCTTGGAAAACCAGAATTCATAGTAATGATATTTTGTATAAAAATATGTAGTCTTGAAGACATAATATATTCTGTGATATACTGTGTAATATGGATATTATGGATAGTGTAGCATTAATGCTAAATAAATCTGAAACAAACAAACAATTTTTTTTATAGTCTGTATTCAAAGCTATACTTACATGCTTCTTCCAAAAATTTCTCAGTAGTAGCAAGATCGGCGTCTCCCTTACAAGTCTTCACAGCCACTGGGATCAGCACGTTATCTTTCGTTCTGACTGTACCTTTGTGAACGTCGCCGAACTGACCTTCTCCTAGGATCTCGCCTAGTTCTATTTGGGTCCTAACTAATTCATAATTTTTCACTGTAACAGAAAGTGAAACAAACTTGTCACCCACGATCTTTTCTCATACATCACGATATAATTACCTACGTTATTTTATAGATTAAATTAGATGACTCTAGATTTATGAGAATGTATAAGCTACCTGCGGGTACCGAATAATCTCCTTCCTCAACTATTTCCGCATAGTCTTCCGAAAGCATTGTTCCTGTAGGGTTCACGTGGTTATCTTTTTCTTTGGTGGTTTTTTGTTTGGTAGGATTCGCATCTGCAAGGATGATGATGAATTAGCATTTCAGAAAACAACGTTATATTGCAAAACAGGACCAGAATGAAGTGTGACAGTGGGTTCTTAAAAGTTATGACATTCTTGTAAAACACGTGATATCTGAATAAGTTACATACAAAAATGTAGGAAATAGTATGTTTCTAATTTGGAATATACAGGGTTGTCCAATAGGGACGCAGGAAAGTAAACGTCAATTTGACATAGACGCCATCTTTGTTTTCTGTCATCGACATGTCATTTTGTTAGTTGAATGTTTACCATTGATCGCTATGGAGTCGTATTCGATTGAAGACCGCATTAAAGTTATTCAAGAGCACTACAAAAATGGTGCAAAAATAAAAAACACGTTTCGCGCGCTTCGTGAACATTTCGGTCGCAACAACCGCCTAAACGAAACAACCGTCGGTCGTCTGGTGCGTAAATTCGAGGCAACAGGTTCTGTGGCAAATCTGCCAGGCTCTGGCCGGCCAAGGAGCGTTCGCACACCGGAAAATATTGCTGTTGTGAAGGAGAGTGTGAGAGACGATCCGAAACAATCAACAACGCGTCGATCCCAAGAATTGGGCATTTCGAGAACCAGTTTGCTCCGCATTCTCCACAAGGATTTGAATGTACACGCCTACAAGATCCAACTGACGCAAGAGCTGCGTCGGACCGACCATTTTTCGCGCCGAACGTTCTCAGATTGGCTCCTTGAACACCGCCAAATTGATGCCAATTTTTCATCAAAAATCATGTTCAGCGACGAAGCGCATTTCACTTTGAATGGGACGGTAAACAAGCAAAACTGCCGCATCTGGGCGAACGAAAATCCCCGTGAGTATCAAGAGCAGCCGATGCATCCTCAAAAAGTGACTGTGTGGTGTGCATTGTGGTCAAAAGGCATCATCGGACCTTACATTTTAGAAAATGCGGCCGGGGACGCCGTTACCGTCAATTCTGAGCGATATCACGATGATGATAGAGGACTATTTTTTGCCGCAACTTGAAGGAATGGATATGGACGATGTTTATTTCCAACAAGACGGTGCAACATGCCACACAACCAACGTCAATATCCCTCGATCGCAGTCCTTATTCGGTGATCGCGTGATTTTGCGCAGAGGAAATGTGCCATGGCCACCAAGATCGTGCGATTTGACTCCCTTGGACTTCTTTTTATGGGGATATTTGAAAAGCAAAGTCTACGTCAACAAACCAGCCACCCTCCAAGAACTCAAAAACAACATCATTGCCGAGATAAATGCCATAGAACCGACCATGTTGCAAAATGTCATTGAACATTTCGACCATCGCGTGGACGTCTGTAAATCCAGTCGTGGTGAACATTTGAGCGATATTATTTTTCATACATAAATGAACCTTCAAAATAAAGTACCCAACTTGATTTGAATATCAATCTTTTTTGTTTTAATATGCGTTTACTTTCCTGCGTCCATTTTGGACAACCCCATATATTTTTATCACCGCAGAGTGATTTATAACTACGTGAAGACCCAAACGTACTTTTTTTAAACGGGAAACCCTACATTTTATTTTGGAGAGGCCCTTTTAAGCGAAGCATTTTGATATATGTGGCGTCCCACAGGGTTCTGTGCGGGGTCCACTTTTATTGTCTTTTAAGTTTTGCATATAGAAGCATAGTGGGCCGCGCGGATCGAACGTCAGTACTGAATCTTAACCTCACTCTTCAGTAAACAGTAAACAAGTCATTAGAAAAATGGAACGCAGCCGAGAACATTTTCGCGCGATAATTTATTACAACTTTCAGAGACAATTATCGCAACAAGAATGTCTCGCTGAGTTACTGTCTGTTTTCAGCAACTTTGAATTTAAGTTTACTAAAGAGTGAGGTTAAGATTCAGTACTGTCGTTCGATTCGCGCGGCCTACTATGCTTATATATGCAAAACTTAAAAGACATCCCTCGTATATAGCTCAGAATGTTTGGCACAGGAGTAATGGTGGAATACTTTAATTTTGATGGGAATTTACCAACAACGATTCACCAATAATAGTAATTTATCTCCAATTATATTGAAACAATCATTAAATAGTGAGAATCTCTCAAAAAAGATATTAATCTCTCATGATCCCCAACTGCAGAGGTAAACGTTCTTACTCAAAATTAAAACGTGTTAAAAATGAGTTCGGCGAGCTAAGGACGTCTTAGAATTGCCTGACCTTGATGAACATTGAATATGATACGTTCAGATTATTCCTAAATTTGCTCACATTAAATCCAGAAAAGTTTGTAAGAGTTTTGTTGTACTTGATAACATAAATTTGATAAACTAAAGTAAACCAAGTGCCCCTTGATACAGATCTCGCGCTGGCTCAATCAGACAATGTTTTTTATAAGTAATGAATTTAGTATACGAGATGTATCAATTCTGATTCTCACCACTGGGAGTCCAGAAACGGAGTTACAAGGTCGGTTAAATTAGGGCAAAGTTGAGACTTTTTATAACTAAAGAAGTGACACTTGTAAAAGACAACAATTTGCAGTGTTAATGTACAATAAAACACAAAAAAGCAAAAAACGTTATCATCGACCACTCAAATCTTACCGTTCCTGAAATCTCAATGGTACAGGGTGCGGCAGAGAGGACGGACGTTTTTGGGATGGGTAGTACTCTCCGCCTCCATCTACGAGAGAGGTGGGGAGGGTGCCGTTTGACTCGTGAGATCCTAGCATTATTTTACCAGTTGTCGTTATGGAGCCTTGGACGGTGGGGGACCGCGTTTTCGACTATGATTGTTACGTCCGAAATAATGAGTTAGTCATCGTCGTACAGCGTGAGTTTCGTCGCCACTTCAACATTCATCGGAATAGAGTTGTTCCCTCTCGAAACTCCATCCTTCGTTGGGTTGAATCACTTCGCAGGCGTGGTGAACTGATCAACAGAAGAGCGCCGCGAACAGTTCGAACTCCTGAAAATGTTGGACGCGTTCGACAGGTCTTTCTTCGCAGTCCGACTCGATCTGCCCGGCGACGTGTTCCAATCCGACGTGTGTGGTTCCAGCAGGATGAGGCGACCGCCCACACAGCCCGAGCATCCACGGACGTTATTTGCCCTCTCTTCCCTGGTCGCCTTATTTCCAGGTTTGGCGATGTTTATTGGCCTCCTCGGTCCCCAGATTTATCCGTATGTGATTTTTTCTTATGGGGACACCTCAAGGCTAGAGTATACGCAAACAAGCCCCGAACTTTGGACGAATTGAAGGGCAAAATTCGCGTGGAAGTCGCCCAAGTTGAGAAAGCGATGTTGGAGAGAGTCTCCGCGCCTCCAGCACTGCATCAACGATTTCGGCCACCACATGCCTGATGTGATTTTCCACAATTGACTGTCTCAAATGCTATTTTCTTGTGAACCTGATTCCATCAATAAATTTGTTTTCGAGTTAACTATTTAACTATTTTATGATTTTTTTAAAACCGTCCATCCTCTCTGCCGCACCCTGTATAATTCAAAGTGATGGACAACGACTACTAACCTTTACAAGGACAAGGGAACTGTTTCCATACGGTAGCTTGCAAAAAACGAACCATATAGTAATAATTAATCAATTATTTAATTTAACATATAGTTACGGATTATTACCCTACAATAAACGCTAATCTTACGAGGGTTGTTTCAAAAATATGGTTCCCACATTTTCACCAGGCACAAGGAATTTTTTATTTGAAAAAACGAATCCATCATTGACGTTGATTTTTAAACTATTTTTCACCATAGTCGCCTTTTTTTTAGACGTGAAAACCACTTTTGCACTCCCGCTTCAAAGAAGTCTGCCACCGGCCCGTTTAGAAACTTGGTAACTGCAGTTATGCTCGATTAACACGCACCTTACCTAACCCCAAGCACCACAATTTTTTCAGGCAATGATTAGGAACCCTTGAAACGTCATAAAGGGAGTTTCAGCGATTGTTATTTTTTTTTTTCATTTTTTCCCTCTAGCGTCGCCTCCAATAGACTGAAACTACAAAGCTTGGGCATAGTAGTAACCTTGTCGAAATGTCATAAAATGCGGAACAAAGATTGAACCCCAAGTACACTTTGCCCACTGTCAAACATGGAGGCGGGTCTGTTATGGTTTGGGGGTGCTTTTCGGGGTTTGGAATGGGACCTTTACATAGAATAGATGGCATTATGGATAAGTTTGTATACACAGACATACTAAAGCATGTCATGTTACCCTATATGGAAGACAATATGCCTTTAAGATCAATCTTCCAGCAAGATAATGACCCGAAGCACACAAATTCTTTCTGGATGAAAAAATACCAGTTCTCAAATGGCCTTCACAGTCTCCCGATATAAACCCCATTGAAAATCTATGGGAATACTTAGATAAGCAAATACGAGATAAAAATTATTCAAACTAGGATGAACTTTTTGCCGCTTTAGAGCAAAAGTGGAGACAGATTGATGAATCTTATATCAAGAAACTTGTACAATCTATGTCAAGACGATGCCAGGCGGTGATTGATAATAATAGTTATGCTACAAAATATTAACACAAACATGGTAGGTTTTCTATAATTCAATGAAATTTGCTTCTTTTTTCTATAATTGTTTTGCTTTGTCTATATATATTATTGTCCTTCATAGCTCCAGTTTTTATCAATTAATTTTTTATTGAATGGAGTCTAATGAATTTATTTATGTATAAGTGAGTATTATGCTATTACGAATTATGTATACAGGTTGGTGTATTAATAAAACAAGTTAAAAAAGAAATACAGCACAATATTAATTTGCCTATATCCTTTTGTCCATTACTGTATATTTTGAGACAACCCTCGTATTAAACAATAAAGTCGATGTGCGAGTCTTAAGAAAGCACAAAGCGAATTCCCCTAAAACCGGTTTAGACACACACAAAGACTTGATTTCAACGTATGTCGTAAAGTGATATTCCACTAACAAAGACAAAGATACCAATAAAATTGACTTGTACCTTTTCCGTTCCATATGGACGTTTGCGATCCTGAGTGAAGCCTACAGTATCCATCGATCAGATCAGCGAGGCTTTCGGCTTCATCTAAGCTGCTGCATGTGAAAAACAGCACTTCTTGCGTTCCAGCAACTTTCAGTTGCAGTGTCGCTTTCGTGTGTTCTTCGCAATCGCTTACCAAGGTCTGGATCGCTTGAATTTGATCGAAATCGGCGATTTTTTTGGTCGTGGAGGCTTGGACGTTGGTGTGGGAAATACCTTCAACATAAAAAGATATCAAGAGGCTCATTTAAAAGCAAGATTCTCAAGTCTTCTCAGAAAGAGTCGGAATACAAATTTTTGCACAGAAATATGTTGGTTTGATACCTGACGAAAACGTATTTACGTTGCGTGATAAATATGATTTGGATATTATTCCAGCCAAAATTTTAATACAAAAAATTCACAATACTATGTATACAAGGTCAATAAGTACAGTTAGTAAAATTCATTAGTTTAGATATTAAAGTTATTAAAAAAATATTAGTTGTTAACGAAATTGCATTACTATGGATTTCAAGGTTCTGTATTCATCTTATTACAAAATTATTTAATCAATAGAAGTCAAAGAACTAACATTGGTAATAAATTATCAAGCATTAAAATCATTTCGGTAGGTGTGCCACAGGGTAGCAAATTAGGTCCATTACTATTTATTTTATATATTAATGATATTCCTGACGTTTTACACCATTGAAAAATTCAACTATTTGCTGATGATAAATTTATATAGCAAATAAAGACATTGAAACTGCAATAGAGCTGTTAAATAATGATATGAAAATCGTAATAAATTGGTTAAATGTGAATAAACTTAAACTAAACACAAACAAAACAAAATATGTGCTTATAGGAAAATCTTTAGATCAAAATACGATAAATCTTACAATTAATGTGTTGAAAACATTGTGTCAATCGATTCATTTAAATATTTGGACATATACGTAGACAGTAAATTAAAATTTGAAGGGCACTATGAATATATTATTTCAAAAATATCCAATAAAATAAATTACTTTTATAGAATTTCGCATAGCTTAAGCGTTTATTCTAAAAAAATTGTGTACAACACTATCATTCTTCCTCATTTGTTATATTGTTCGACAAATGAAACTGTATTTTCAAAATTACAAATATTACAAAATAAAGCTATGAGAATCATCTTAAATAAAAATAAATATACTAGAATAAATTTTATGCTGAAAGAACTGCAATGGTTAAATATCAAAAATTTCATAACCTACTTGGTTTTCATTTTCATATTCAAGTTAAAAAATCATCTACCAAATCACTTAGAAAATTTTATTGAACAATGAGTGCCACAATTATTCTACTAGAAGAAGTATAGACTTTCATTTACAAAACTGCAGTAGCAAGTCAGTATTTCAAAAGAGATTGTACGAATTTAATAAATTAAGTAACGATATCAAGATGTGTGTCAGTTTGAAAATGTTCAAAGGAAAATTGAAAAAATATCTTATGGAAAACCAGAACTCACAGTAGTGAAATTTTGTATAAAAATATGTAGTATTGAAGACATAATATATTTTGTGATATAGTGTGTAATATGGATATTATGGACATTGTAGCATTAATGCTAAATAAATCTAAAATAAAAACAAAAGAAAATTTTCCCCATATTCCCTGTGTGGTCCAGGGATATGCAATTAAGTGGACTTTTTCTCGAAAAGATGCGAAAAAAATTCAAGAGACACAAAAGTATTTCTGTTTGCTTAATCCAAAGGACAATAAATATTGGACAACACTCAGTGGCGTACATTTTTTTGTCACAAATAGTATTCGTTCAGATCCCGCTCGACACGTTACTGGATTTGATAAATTTAACCAAGTTATGGCTAAATTCGCTCCTTAAGTTATAAATCCACCGCCAAATTACAACAAAACTAGGTAAAAAATATTTAAAAACGTACGAAAAACATTTTTTTTTACTTTAACACCCTGTATCTTGAGAACCAAGAATTTGTAGACCATGTTTTTACGAATTATTCATCTTACAATCACCCAAAGAATCGCCTGTTAAATTTATGGTACATACTTAATTAACACCCTCTATAGCATTCTATGATAAAGGTGTCCAGTGGGAACGTGGGTATACGCGAGGAAGCGGGGAGAGGTCTTGATGACGCGTTCGGCGTGCGGGTTAAATAGTCACCATGGAACGTTGGACCGGAGCGCAACGTGCTTTTGCTATCGAGGCTTGCTTAAGAGTGGTGATACGTACGCTGCTGCCCTTCGGAAATTTTGTACACGATGCAACATTCGACGACCAAGTAAGAACCCATTGAAAAAGTGGATCAAGTCAACCCATTCCTGGCCCCACACCTACTGTATCAACCGAAGAAAATGTGCGTCGAGCGAGTGATTCGGTCATTGCAAATCCCGTTCTGTAATGAAGCAGTCCGCTGCTTTGTGAATCCCTAGGCCAACACTGCATGGCATAATGAAGAAAAAAATTGGTTTTCATCCTTATAAAATCCAATCAGTCCATGCTTTAAAGGAAAGTGATTACGTATTACGGAAATCTTGTGCTGAACGGATGTTGAATCTTTTTCCTACGCAGCCCAGACTCAAGAACGTTGTTTTCAGTGACGATGCCAATTTTCACTTAGACGGTTATGTGATCGGAAAATTGCCGATCTTGGGCACCAACGAACCCAAAAGAGAAACATCAACAGCTACATAATCCAAAGGTGACTGTTTGGTGCGCCATATCCTCTAGCGGTATTATTGGGTCGGATTTCTTTGAAGATGAAAACGATAATGCATTGACAGTCAATTCCGAGCGATACAAGGTCATGATTGACATTTGGCCACTACCCATACTTCCAGAGATGGACACGGTGGAAGCACTTTTTCCTGATAAGGTTATATCGAAGTTTGGAGACATTATCTGGCCTCCTAGGTTACCCGACCTCACGCCATGCGTTCTTTTTTTGTGGGGTTATCTACAGTCAAAAGTGTATTCCAATAATCCACGTACACTGGAAGGGCTTAAAGACAAAATTAATAACAATAGTAATAAATATTTTCTGTTAATTAAGTTTCTATTTTTTTCTTAAATCAAAAAGTGAACTTTCAAACTGGACACCCTGTACTAGCATATCACAGTAAATACTAATTTTCACTAACTGTCTTTTGAGATGGATGTTGAAACACTATGAAAGTCAACAAAAGAAACCCTTCAAGTAATACGGTTGATAGGTATTATATTACTAATGGGTGATCTTTTTGCTAGTATCTTTTTGGCAACACTGTTTTTGACAGATGACGCGTGAATCGTGTCTTGTGTCATTGTCAAACTTGTTCAGTTTGGTCTATAATTTAACCATGAATCGACTTACGAACGAACAACGCTTGCAAATTATTGAATTTTACTATCAAAATTCATGCTCGGTTAAAAGAGTGCATCGAACACTGCTTCCAATTTATGGGCAATTTGGTCGGCCTACTGAGGGAGCTATTCGGAAGCTTGTGACTAAATTTCGAACCCAGTTTACATTATTGGACATTAAACCACCAACACGCAGACGTAGAGTGAGGACTGAAGAAAATATTGCGGCTGTATCCGCCAGTGTTAGTGATGACCGTGAAATGTCGATTCGCCGCCGTTCGCAGCAATTGGGCCTCTACGTGGAAAATTTTGCGACAGGATTTGGGTGTAAAACCTTATAAGATACAGCTGGTGCAAGAATTGAAGCCACAACGTTTCCCATTTGGTGAATGGGCGCTGGCAAACTTGGAGGAAGATCCACATTTTTATCGAAAAATTGTGTTCAGCGACGAAGCTCATTTCTGGTTGAATGGGTACGTTAACAAGCAAAATTGCCGCATCTGGAGTGCAGACCAGCCAGAAGCATTGCAAGAGCTACCAATGCATCTCGAAAAAATCACTGTTTGGTGAGGATTATGGGCCGGTGGCATCATCGGGCCGTACTTCTTCAAAGACGACAATGGCCGGAACGTAACTATGAATGGCGAGCGCTACCGTGCGATGTTAACAAACTTTTTTTGCCCAAAATGGAAGAGCTGGACTTGGCTGACATGTGGTTTAAACAAGACGGTGCCACATGCCACACCGCACACGAAACAATGGCCCTATTGAGAGGCGAGTTCGGTGAACAGTTTATCTCACGTTTGGGGCCCGTCAATTGGCCGCCTAGATCGTGTGATTTAACGCCGTTGGACTATTTATTGTGGGACCATGTTAAGGCTAATGTCTACAGGGATAAACCAGCAACGATTGACGCACTGGAAGCCAATATTGAAGCATTTATTCGTGAGATACCGGCCGATACGTTGGAGAGAGTGTGCCAAAATTGGACCTTGCGCATGGGCCATCTAAAGCGGAGCCGCGGCCAACATTTACATGAAATAATCTTTAAACATTAAATTATATCGACCGTTCTATCGACTCAAATAAAGATTTAAACGTTTTTTCAAATTTTTTGTGTTTTTTTTTTGAAAATCAAATCCTATACCTCTTAAAAAATCACCCGTTATAAGCAACACCTCTGAATCTGCAATCGATATTTTTACTAGTGGAAATAAAATATAGTGACATTAAATAGTATGTCTTCGTCAGATTTCTAACCGACTCTTTATATTCACGTCTTTACAATCTGTAATTTTTGAGACTCACCTATATCAGGACCTATGACTAGTTCTACTGGCACGGTAAAGCTGCTTCCGAAATCCACCCTGAACCTTTCCTGATCGTGGTTCGTGTGGATTTTCAGGATTTCTAAAAACTTAAACATACTATCTACATCCGACATATGAGCAAACTTCTTGAACTGCGTCTGAATACTTTTCCGTAACGATTTACTTTTCATCTTCTCTAAAATGTTACTGGGTACGAATTTCTGCATGCCGATTTCCCTTTCCAGGTACTCGATGTTCGATTTCTTCTCGAGCACGTTCTGCGGCATGTTTTTGAAATATTTCCGTATTTCCAGACAGCACAGTTGAACCGCGATGTCTTGGTCGACTTTCTTGTACAGTTCAGCGTGATAATCGCTTCTGACCTGAAAAAAATTGTTCGAATTTTTATCGGTCGTCCTTTCACCAAGTAAACCAAGAAACTGCATACGTACAAGGTCTGTCGCAAAGTACACAGAACAAAGGAAAAATGAACAAATAATTTCGGAAAATCGAATTTATTTTATTCAAAATAGTTAACACAGCGATTTGCTCGGGCAAAAAGATTTTCGGATGATGATTTTAGCTCATTGACTGGGATGTCCTTCAAAATGGTCGTCGACGCCTTATGCCAATGTCGAACAGAAAATAGTCCACTAGTGGCATATCGAAATAGCTGAAATGGTTGCACCAAATAAATTTACAAAGAATTAACTTTTGCCTGTGAACGAACTTCTTTTGACTTTTCATTCTACCCCTCATCAAAACCGCTCCTACTTTTGATTACAAATAATGCGCTCTTTTACTGATATCTTTCTATTTTGCACGCACGTGTTATTCCTTTTTAATTTACATATAAACTTACAAAATTCTAATGGATACATGGTAAACGTTAGGTAGCATTACTGAAATGGGTAATAGGGGGGGGGGTCAAAGCAAGTCAAAAAGTTCATATGACCCTTGGTCCAAAAGTCAATAGACTTTTGTCTAAATAGCTTTATAGTTTACAACTTTAAGTGCTTTATATACCTGATATTGATTTCCTGTAAATTTCTAACTGTAGTGAAGTTTAGTGTTAAAAACTTAAAGTAAAAACACATGTTAATTTATACATTTGTTAATCGAATTTAAATTAAAACTACTCAAATAAAATTTTGTATCTGTTATGTAAATATACGTAACATTAAATAAACAGGTGTCTGACCAATAAGTGCCCGCATTGAAAAAAAAATAAGAGGGATAAAATAAAAAAAAGTGAAAAATAATAAAAAAAAGTTTTTTACTTAAAATAGTACAATAAGCGAGTTCGTTTATTAATTATAACATAAACGTATGTTCTACAATAATTTCACTGTTAGTTTGATTAAATTCCGCTTCTTATACGTTTAAGTTATCTAAAAATAGGCAAAAAAATAACGAATTTTAGTGTGTACCTATCCTTGAATTTTCAGAATAATTTAAAAAAATATATATGTATTTTCTATAAAGGGGGGTTCTTTAAAAAAATCAATGCGGGCACTTATTGATATCCGTTTTTAAACTGAACCTTAAGTTCTTCGTTTGTACTTAGTTCAGTCAGTTCCTCTTGTATTATGACATTCGTTTCTTCTATGTCACCATATGGATTAATTATCCACGGTGGTATTACCATAGTCAAAATATCTTCAAACCTAGATTCAAAATCTGAATAGAGGGAATTTAAATGTTGAACGTAAGTTGAAACGTCGTCCTCCTGGCAGCTTGTCTGAGACAAATTGGGGAACTGAGAAAATTCGCCCCGATCAATATTTTGCTTCATTAGTTCAACTCTAGCAAGAAACGCTGATAAGATGGACTTTGTTTTAATCAAATTTAAACTGTCGCCTTGTAATTGCAAATTAACCATATTAAATTTTGCAAACAAATCTGTTAAATAGGCGATGTCTGTTTTCCTCTTCATTTAATTTTCTTTTCAAATTTTATCTTTAGTATTCAGAAATTCTAAAATAGTCCTCAAAAAGTGCAAAAATCTTGTCAAACATAAGCCTTTCGACAGCCAGCGTACTTCAGTGTGAAGGAGTAATTGATGAAAGTGTTCGTCATTTTCTTCACACAACTGCGCAAATAACCGCATATTCAACGCGTTGCTTCGGATTCGGTTTACTGCATCAATGACTAAATGAAGTGATTCATGCAATCTAACACTCAAATTTTTAGCAACTAAATGTTGTCGATGGATGACGCAATGTATTGCTAACACCCCTGACACATTTTGTTTTAAATAGCTTATAAATCCACGATAACGTCCAACCATGGCAGGTGCTCCATCTGTAGCTACTGATATTATATTTGATAAAGGAATTGCTTTTTCAATGAAGTAATCCTTCAAACATGAAATATTGATTCACCTTTAGTGTCGGTTATCAAAGTTCTTGCGAAGAGCAGTTCTTCGTAGATTTCTTGATTAATAATAAAACGAACATATGCCAATAATAATGCTGCATTATCAGGTAAAGTGACTCGTCCAGTTGTATAGAGAAATCGTTTGAAAATAATTACATAAGAAGCTTTCAATATCAGAACTCATTTCATCAATACGTCTTTCAACAGTATTGTTGCTTAAGGGAATTCTTTTAATGATATCAGATGCAGGTTTGTGTAAAACAGTTTTTAAAACCTCTTCAACGCTGGCAAAATTAACTTCTCTCCGATAGTATGCGGTTTTCCGATTTTGTTATAAGTAACGAGTTATTGTAAGATGCCCGCAAACCATTATCATTTCTTTGTGACGTCGAAGCGAACATTGTCCAGTGTAGGTCTCTTCTGAAATTTATCTTTGAGTGTTGAAAGTATTTCAAATCTTTCTCTGTTTTATCAGGGTGGCATCTTCTCAGATGATCTTGCAGTTTAGATGGTTTCATAGCGTCATTGCCCAAAGCTTTGTTGCATAAAAGGCACATAGGCGATTGTTTGTCCGGCAATGATGGAATGAAGCCAAATTTCAAATAATCAACACTTCTTGCAACAATTAGCTCGAATTACGGAGATTGCACTGTAATTATATTACCGATTGCTAAAACTTTCAAAAAGAAACTATTGAGGAGTACTCGTGAAAGTTTGCATGATTGAATATTTAACTACTAATAACTAAAGTCATGATTGGCGTAATTTATCTATCTTTGCTAACTACGAGTACAAAACTAAAATTTAATAAACAATAATGTACTTACTTTTTTCCAGCACTCTCAAACAAAATAACACTGACTCACTATAATTTGTGTGATATACTATCTGTTTATATTTTTTAAAATATTTTCTTAGCACTTTCCTTTTCAAGATTCAGGAAACGAATAAACGTATTTGTCCCACATTCGTATTTATAGAGTGACGAATTGAACAAGTCAGTACAAGGTAGCGAAGCTCTGAAACTGCGACTCTCAGGTTTTTACAAGTTCAAAATGTATTGCGACCACAAAGCGAATACCAACATCCTACAACTTACACAATTTTATAAACATATATAATAAAATTTTTTACTTCATAGGTACTTTTATAAATAATATATATGTTTTGATATTATAAGATAGTATGATGTAAGTAAATAGGTACTATCACTTTATGTGTTGAGATCCACTATCGTGGACCCCCATATTCATTTCATGGACCCCCAAATTTTTCTTCGCTGACGTAGACCCCTTGCAGGTTGTCATAGACCCCTAGGGGTCGATATAGACCACTTTGGGAATCAATGATCTAATCTAAAACGTTTTTAAATTGGGTAATTAACAAATAAATGGCATTAAGTTTTTCTAAGTTAAGCCAGTAAGTAAGTTTCATTAAATTAAAACACACATGACAACAGCGCGTCGTCATCACTCTTATCGAACCGGCAATCGATCGCAAACGGTAACAGTGGTTAGTTATCGGGCATCGGGCGTGTTTTGTTTTTGTTCGCGTACGTCGTCGTGTTTGTTTGCAATGTTCTCGAATCAAGAGTTCGCCGACATATTGTTAGTTTACGGTAAAGCTCGTCAGAATTCAAATCTTGCAGCGTCAGACAGAAGGACATTTGTGCAAGTGTACCAAAGACTTCGAGATACAAGAAGTGTTCAGCCCACTAATATTCGCACTCGTGAAAGACATTAAATTTCAATAAAACCCACACGTGGGCCGAAGAAAATCCTCATACCCTTCGTGAAGGTCATTTCCAACAAAGTTTTAAAATAAATATTTGGGCGGGTATTCTTGACGTTCAGGTAATTGGCCCTTTCGAGTTACCCCCAAAGTGGACCAGACCTTAGACAACATGCCATTACAACGGAGACAGAATTTGTGGTTTCTTCATGACGGGGCACCACGACACATTTTAGAGGCGTCATTCAGTATTTGAATGAACATTATCCAAATCGCTTGATCGGTCGAAATGCTTCTGATCCTCGAAAATGGCCAGCAAGATCTCCTGACCTCAATCCGATGGATTTCTGGTATTGGGAAGAACTTAAAGGGATGATTTATGGGGCTGGTCCAATCACCCATTTAAATAATGACTATTATAACGTTTACACCCTGTATTAAAGACATCCACAAATATCATTTTATACACCGTTATTGAAATATTGTTACTCACCTGATCATAGTAATAATGAAAAGTGACTTTGTCCTTATCGTAGAGCTCTTTCAGACTAGTAGGTAGGTATCTTATCCTAAGATCGTACCGCCATTCGGAATTTGGGTGCTTCTTAAGGTACTTTTCATGCACTTGCTGCATGGTCAGGTCTTGATGCAGCCAGTGAGCCTAAAACGTACCAAACATGGTTAACTCAGGATATTGATTTTTAACTTATAAAACGTAAATTTGGTGCAACATCAAAATAATTCAAATTCAGTAACTGTAAAAACGTGACTTTTTACATTGCTCGGTTTGTACAGTATATTCAGATAAGAGATAGACCGGACATAAACAAGACCACGTGATCATCGAACGCTGTAACATTCGGCAGGGACGTATTAAGAGTCACGCAGTACATATTTTAGATAGTAGATGCTGCTTTGCGTAACTTTGTAGTAAATTAGCACAATTCGATGTGTATACGATTGGTGATGGATATAGGATCATGTGGGGGTGGGGTAAGAAATATATAATGATGTAAATATACATAAGGGTTTCAAAATGTTCGCTTCGATTTCCAGCTTCGGATGCCGCCTGATGTTTGGTGAAATACAGTCGAATATAATCTCAAAATGGCGTTTAAATTAGCCTTAAAAATAATCGTATATCTCTTAAAATTGCTTTTAGAATATTGATTAGTATATTTTTTGATTTCTAGGTAAATATGTAAACAAATTAAAACGTTCAAAACGTAAAAAAATGTGCATGGTTGAACATTGTCAGAAAGTAGATTCTTGAATAGGTTTTGCCAAAATGGGTTCAAAAATGTCAATAATTAATTAAAAAATACAGTAGCTTTATAATTACTTATAACTTACCGAATTTGATGAACGACATCTTTTATTGGAAAGATGAGCTTGATGAGCTTTCATCATCGCTACTGCCTGAAGCACCAACGTCAATAATGAATGGCTCGACTTGTTCCTCTAAAATATTGTCCAGTTCCCACATTCTCTTTTCAACTTTGTCTTCCACGTGCTTAATACAGTTTTCCCATTTTTGCGCTGTTATTAATTCTAGTGCTTTTTTGAAAAGTCCTTTGAGGTCACAAAATTTAAAAGTTGTATTGTGCTTAGCTATATAATTTTTAACCTCTGCCCATATGAGCTCAATGGGATTGAGCTCGCAATGGTATGGAGGTAAACGGAGCACAGTTTTATTTTGACTTGCTGCCATTTCGTCAATGGCGTATTTTTGATATTCCGCCTTGTGATCCTTGACAATTCTTAATAATTGTACTTTCAGCATTGCTTCTTCAAAGTGGATATTTTTCGAGCGGAGCCAATTTTGAACATCAACTTTCCTTGAAGCCGTTGTTGGGACCTTCTCCATTCTTCGAGAATGATAAAGTGCATTATCCAACACAATTACTGCGTTTTCCTCTAAGTTCGGTAAAATTTTTGAAAACCACTGTTCAAACGATTCGCCATTCATTTCCTCGTGGTAATCTCCAGTTTTCTTAGACTCAAAGCACCACAGACCGTCAACAACAAATCCATCCTCACTGCCAATATGGCAGATAATGAGCCTTTTCCCTTTACCTGGAAATCGAAGTACTAACTGGTGTAGATTTATTTCAATAAGCGAACCTTTTTCAAATGTTTTCATCACATTCAGCGAAAAAACATTGAGACATGAGTATCAGATTGCTATAATTCTGATTATTTAGTCATATTGAAAGAAAGAATATTGAACGTCGTATGATTACTCAGCGCTTCACAATTTAATTTAAAGTTATAAACCTTTAAAAAATGAATGATCAGGAACCTGAAATACGCGCAAATATTAATATTAACAAATTATAACTTTATAAAGCTTAAAGTATGAATTAAAATGATTAGAAATATTAGGAACGGTACACAATATAAAACTTAGTAACTTTTTTTAAGTTTATATGTAATATTCGACATATTTTAAGATTATATTAAAAAATTATTGAAATATCGAAAACACATAAAAACATGGCTTAAAAAAGTTCTAACAAATGAAAACGACAATAAAACATCCAGGCATTTTATCGAAAGTTATAAAAGTGTTGTTGCTTGTCATATGTTTTATCTGCCCCCTGGAATTAATGTTTAGAACCTTGTTCCCAAGGTTTGAAAAACATCCGATTGTTGTGTATTACTCGTATTTACCTGCTGGATTTTTTAATCCGGTGGACAGTCCATCTAGAAAGGCCCTCCTGGATGAAGTTACAGAATCATCAACCCATACTTTACTTGTAGTGTGTCCTGCGTTTACCCACGTTTCATCAAGGTAATAAATCTTCCTGTTTTGATTTCTATATTTCCCAATTTTTGTTAAATAATCCCTCCTCCATAGCACAATTTCTTCTCTATCCAGTAGTAAACTATTACGACCCCGTTTTTTCCATTTGAAATTTTAAATGCTTCAGTAACGCATGGAAAGTTGATCGTTTGAAATTTGGCAACGTTGTATCTCCATTTACCTCCTGCAGTACTTTATCTATAGTAGGTATTGCATTCCTAAAGAAGAATTCGTGCACTTTCCTCCTAATCGCATGCTTATCAGCTTCATCCAATGATTTAACAATACTTTTGCGATGTTTACTGGTCATTGGCTCAGAAAAGGTGTGATTTTTTTTGTATTGTCTTAACACATTAAACACTGATGCGCGACACACCCCAACTTTGTGAGAAACCTTCACAACAATTTCTTTGATGGTTGATGCCTCGTTCTCCTTGCGCTCGATCTTATATATATTCAAAATGACCTCTTTCATTTCTGCACTCAGGTGTCTTTTTTTAGAGCGTTTCCTAGATGGACTACAGGAGTTTACAACTTCATCGGCAGTATCTGTACTACTGGGCATTTTGCGCAAGCAGTTGATAACAAAAACAATCAATAACAAGGTATAACAATAACAACGACAAACTCAACAACTTAATAAGATAACAAACGAAAACGTCCAAAGAAATATCAAATTGCAATGATGCACACGACATACGTAACACGTCTGAACCTGAATGTGACTCTGCCTTGATACGACTGCTCTGCCGCTCGGCATAGGCATTTAATTGCGAATTGACCAGTGAGGGCTCCTGTTTTACGTCGAGACGGCGGCGTTAGCGTGAAATCACCCGAACCTTTTGTTTACATCCGGTCTATCTCTTATCTGAATATACTGTAGTTTGATTGCAATATAACATGGGTAAAAAAATACTCACTTCTGTTGACGGTGGCCTCGACAATCGCATAGAATACAGTCCATTGTAATATCTCCCTCCTGTTGATAGTCTTTCTGTGACTGTCAAAATAATACCCTTGATTTCAACATTGTCTCCGTATCTAACTACGTTGAAGCCGCCATTTGGCAAGTGAACCTGTAACAAGGAATGAAATCTCATAGAAATGATTATACGATCTAGAACGTCCGAATATTAAGATCAGTAACGTGTTGGCCTAGCGCAGTGGTCGCCAACCTTTTCAGTGTTGATACTTTGATAATTTTGTAATGAACAGTGAGCTACCCGGTTGTACGAAATGTAAGCCAACTTAAATGAAATTATACACAGTTTTATGCGACATATACGTATTTATTTTACATACTAATAAACTTAAATAAACTAATAACTAACTATATACTACATAACTACATCCACTCCTACCAATCGTAGGTTTGAAAAATAAACAATATATTTTTGTCAGTTACAATGTCATGTCACATACATACGATTTAATAAAGGTAACTAAAAATAAAAAAGCAACGCACTATTTTAAATAAAATTATGTTCAGATAAAAAATGTGTGTTCAATGAGAAGCCTGACACTCAGACTCACTGACAATTTTTTTAATGTTTGTAATATAATTTGATACCGCCATTCCAAATGTTCATCTCTAAGTCGATTACGGTATTTGTTTTTAATAAACTTCATATTTGAAGAAGAAGATTCGCACAAATAGGTTAAACTAAATAACGCAATAAGGCAACACAACATAAAACTGAATATTTATCTTTAATTACTGAAGGCCACAGATACATTTTGTATTTGAGACCAGTATTTTTAAAGCTAAATCATTTTGAACAACCAATCACTTCCATTTCTGTCGCAGCGCTGTCTTCGCTAAAATTCTGAGTAACAGAATTTGTAAAAAAAGTGAACAGTTTAAAATCGAATAACAACTGTGCCGAAATCACTACTCAAAACGTGCTGAAAAACTGTTTCGAAATTTTGGGATATCCTGTATTAAAATGGATCAATTGTTCACTTAGAAGCAGTTCTTTTACGTAAAAAGATATAAATAAGATTAGTAGTAAAGTGGGATATTTATCGAGAGTTTCTGGATGTCTAAGTTCATATAGCAGAAAAATTATCTATAATACCATGATTCTTCCAAATTTCTTGTACTGTTCGACTATTCTATATTTAGCAAATAATTCCATTTTTGAAAGACTGCAAATTTTACAAAATAAGTGCATGACTTAAATTTAATGACCAAAAAGTATAACATATGCTGCAAATTTGTATTCCATCAAGGGTTGATTGAAAATAATAAATTATAGACCAGAAAACTTTGACAAAATTTAAAGTAAAATTGAGAAATCACTTGTTAAATCTACAATTATAGGTTGCCCAGCATTTACATCATACACCATATGGCTTGAATTTACTAGTTCTAAGTTGTTTACAATTATTCTGTTTATGTAGCCAAATGTGCTAAATAAATCTTTCTACTACTTGTACTACTACTACTAGAAGTTGGAAACTATTGGATATCAATTTCCATGAAGGGTGAAACAACAAATTGCGTCACTATAACAATTTCGTTGGAATTACTGAAACGATTTTTGAAGTTATCCTTCAAGTTAGAGACTATTTCTGCATGATATTTACTGTCATATCGTTCTAATGGACTTTGAGATATCTTTTCTGGAGCGCCATCGGTTGGCAAGCCTACCAGTTTCGTTACTTGGAATTTTCTCAGAAGACATAATATTTTAAAAGAAAAAAACAAGTCCTGCCCAGTAGTCTGTCCTCTTAGTGGAATAAACTACAAAATATCTTTAATCGTATATACAGGGTGTCCGCAAAGTTGGGGTTTTCCTTTCCAGCACAACCACGCTTGATATAACAAAGCTAATTAATATGTGGTGAAACGTGACCGAACAAGAAAAAAAATAAATGAAAAAGTATTCACTGTTCAGTTGAATTGAAATTCCAAGTGCGGCTCTGTCGTAAAATCCGTACATTCATCGTAGTTTCCACGTCGCGTCGTGAAACTGTACGCTGGCGCTGTGGACTTGATCGAGGGATAGGACAGGACCGGCTTCGGTTTGGTTCAGGTTTGATTCAGTTTGCGGAACCCAATATCTCGGTTCCCTTAAGACATTGGTGTATATGCTACTAAGAAAATCCGCTTATTTTCTCAAGATCTACCCGTCGTTGGGGTTTTTATTTACACGACGGGTAGATCTTGAAAACATAAGCAATTTTTCTTAGTGCCATATACACCAATGTCTTAAGGGAACCGAGATAAAGGGCTCTGCAACATCAAAAATATCTAAATACCGTCCTGTAGCCGCGACTCGCGATATCCCCGAGTGGTACTAGGACACTAGCTCAACCCGACGACACAACTGGGTCGGGGTCAGTGTGTCAGGTCAGTATGCAACCTTCAACCGACAGTTACGGTCACGCGTGTAGAGGTAATCGCGTAGACGAGAATCCCTCAACAAGCACTAGAGACGTGGCTAGAGAAGTGCAAGTATCAAAAACTAAAGTGTGACAAACGCTGCGTGAAGAGGGGCTGTATCCGTTTCACGTCCAACGTGTACAACGCCTTCAACCTGACGATTTTCGAGCAAGAGTGCGGTTTTTTGAGTGGTTGTCGCATCAACATGACAATAATCCGCACTTTTTGAAGTGCATATTGGTGACAGACGAATCTACGTTCACGCGTAATGGGGTGAATAACTTTCGCAACACTCATGTTTGGTCAGTAGAAAATCCGCACGCTGTCCGTCGGGCACATTTTCAACAAACATTTTCGGTGAATGTTTGGGCTGGCATGGTGAACGGTATGCTCATTGGACCATTTATTCTCCCAAATCGATTGGACGGGATGCAATACCTAGACTTTTTACGCAACATTTTGCCTTCCTTGTTTGCCTGCGTCTGCTCGGTAGCGCATCAGCTGATTTCATTTTCTGTTGGAGCGGTATGATTTCGGGCAGAGACGTACTTAGCCCTTCTCGTCAACTGGAGAGTGAGTACTTTCCTTTATTTTTTGTTTACTTGGTCGCCCTCGTTTCACTACACATTACCTTTGTTATTTCAAGGGTAGTTGTTTCTGAAAAGGAAAACCCCAACTTTGCGGACACCCTGATGTATTACATAACAAACATACATGTTTACCTTTAACTTCTGTGAAGAAATATTGTTCTTCCCATTCCGAATAGAAATGGTAAGTCTTCGTCATCTTACTGCTGCTCATAATGTTTTTAATTGCAGGCCAACTCTAACCCAACCGCTGCACTTTGTGCCGTTTAGTCACTGAGCGCACCGTCGCCGCGCCTTGCGTATTTATTCCGGTCAAAGTAATCGAGATCGTTCTCGAACAGATCGCTCACCGCAGTGTTGCCGCTGCTTATTTTTATTATGAGAATTTATAAAATTTACGCATGCTTCTATGATTTTTACCAGAATTGCCTTTGCGATCGACGTGTTGGCGACCACTCGCCTAGTGGGATAAGAACTTTTGTTGGGTCACTAGATAATCGGCAGCTATTTGTTTTGACGTGAGGAATTATCGTGAAAAATTGAATCGTTACCTTGACCGTGGACTTGTTGTCGGCAGTGGCGGCGATTGCGGGCGGGGGCCGGTTTTGCGGCGACTTCTTCGGACTGTCCATGTTGGCCTCCGAAGACGAGCACCGCACCGGTGATCCCTGATGGCTCACGGTGGATGCGCCGCCCACAGTAACATCACTGTAACAATTTTAAAACGTTATACAACTTTATTTATTTATTTATTTACACCACCAACAATCAACCAATTATTGGTGGAAGAACTTCTGTTCTGTAGTAGTAGTAGTAGTACAACTCTGTCTGTACAAAAATCTAATATAACGTGTATAAGGACAAATAAGGGGGACAAGAGACGAAACGTCATATTGAAATTCTAATTATGCCATCTTGTAGAGAAATTAATGTACAATTTATTTTGAAATCCCACTACAGTATATTCAGATAAGAGATAGACCGGATGTAAACAAAAGGTTCGGGTGATTTTCACGCTAACGCCGCCGTCTCGACGTAAAACAGGAGCCCTCATTGGTCAATTCGCAATTAAATGCCTATGCCGAGCGGCAGAGCAGTCGTATCAAGGCAGAGTCACATTCAGGTTCAGACGTGTTACGTATGTCGTGTGCATCATTGCAATTTGATATTTCTTTGGACGTTTTCGTTTGTTATCTTATTAAGTTGTTGAGTTTGTCGTTGTTATTGTTATACCTTGTTATTGATTGTTATTGTTATCAACTGCTTGCGCAAAATGCCCAGTAGTACAGATACTGCTGATGAAGTTGTAAACTCCTGTAGTCCACCTAGGAAACGCTCTAAAAAAAGACACCTGAGTGCAGAAATGAAAGAGGTCATTTTGAATATATATAAGATCGAGCGCGAGGAGCACGAGGCATCAACCATCAAAGAAATTGTCGTGAAGGTTTCTCACAAAGTTGGAGTGTGTCGCGCATCAGTGTTTAATGTGTTAAGACAATACAAAAAAAATCACACCTTTTCTGAGCCAATGACCAGTAAACATCGCAAAAGTATTGTTAAATCATTGGATGAAGCTGATAAGCATGCGATTAGGAGGAAAGTGCATGAATTCTTCTTTAGGAATGAAATACCTAGTATAGATAAAGTACTGCAGGAGGTAAATGGAGATACAACGTTGCCAAATTTCAAACGATCAACTTTCCATGCGTTACTGAAGCATTTAAATTTCAAATGGAAAAAACGGGGTCGTAATAGTTTACTACTGGATAGAGAAGAAATTGTGCTATGGAGGAGGGATTATTTAACAAAAATTGGGAAATATAGAAATCAAAACAGGAAGATTTATTACCTTGATGAAACGAGGGTAAACGCAGGACACACTACAAGTAAAGTATGGGTTGATGATTCTGTAACTTCATCCAGGAGGGGCTTTCTAGATGGACTGTCCACCGGATTAAAAAATCCAGCAGGTAAATACGAGTAATAGACAACAATCGGATGTTTTTCAAACCTTGGGAACAAGGTTCTAAACATTAATTCCAGGGGGCAGATAAAACATATTACAAGTAACAAAACTTTTATAACTTTCGATAAAATGCGTGGATGTTTTATTGTCATTTTCATTTGTTAGAACTTTTTTAAGCCATGTTTTTATGTGTTTTCGATATTTCAATAATTTTTTTATATAATCTTAAAATATGTCGAATATTATAAACTTAAAAAAAGTGACTAAGTTTTATATTGTGTACCGTTCCTAATATTTCTAATCATTTTAATTCATACTTTAAGCTTTATAAAGTTATAATTTGTTAATATTAATATTTGCGCGTATTTCAGGTTCCTGATCATTCATTTTTTAAAGGTAACTTTAAATTAAATTGTGAAGCGCTGAGTAATCATACGACGTTCAATATTCTTTCTTTCAATATGACTAAATAATCTCAATTATAGCAATCTGATACTCATGTCTCAATGTTTTTTCGCTGAATGTGATGAAAACATTTGAAAAAGGTTCGCTTATTGAAATAAATCTACATCAGTTAGTACTTCGATTTCCAGGTAAAGGGAAAAGGCTCATTATCTGCCATATTGGCAGTGGATTTGTTGTTGACGGTCTGTGGTGCTTTGAGTCTAAGAAAACTGGAGATTACCACGAGGAAATGAATGGCGAATCGTTTGAACAGTGGTTTTCAAAAATTTTACCGAACTTAGAGGAAAACGCAGTAATTGTGTTGGATAATGCGCCTTATCATTCTCGAAGAATGGAGAAGGTCCCAACAACGGCTTCAAGGAAAGTTGATGTTCAAAATTGGCTCCGCTCGAAAAATATCAACTTTGAAGAAGCAATGCTGAAAGTACAATTATTATGAATTGTCAAGGATCACAAGGCGGAATATCAAAAATACGCCATTGATGAAATGGCAGCAAGTCAAAATAAAACTGTGCTCCGTTTACCTCCATACCATTGCGAGCTCAATCCCATTGAGCTCATATGGGCAGAGGTTAAAAATTATATAGCTAAGCACAATACAACTTTTAAATTTTGTGACCTCAAAGGACTTTTCAAAGAAGCACTAGAATTAATAACAGCGCAAAAATGGGAAAACTGTATTAAGCACGTGAAAGACAAAGTTGAAAAGAGAATGTGGGAACTGGACAATATTTTAGAGGAACAAGTCGAGCCATTCATTATTGACATTGGTGCTTCAGGCAGTAGCGATGATGAAAGCTCATCAAGCTCAACTTTCCAATAAAAGATGTGGTTCATCAAATTCGGTAAGTTATAAGTAATTATAAAGCTACTGTATTTTTTAATTAATTATTGACATTTTTGAACCCATTTTGGCAAAACCTATTCAAGAATCTACTTTCTGACAATGTTCAACCATGCACATTTTTTTACGTTTTGAACGTTTTAATTTGGTTACATATTTACCTAGAAATCAAAAAATATACTAATCAATATTCTAAAAGCAATTTTAAGAGATATACGATTATTTTTAATTTAGGCTAATTTAAACGCCATTTTGAGATTATATTCGACTGTATTTCACCAAACATCAGGCGGCATCCGAAGCTGGAAATCGAAGGGAAAATTTTGAAACCCTTATGTATATTTACATCATTATATATTTCTTAGCCCACCCCCACATGATCCTATATCCATCACCAATCGTATACACATCGAATTGTGCTAATTTACTACAAAGTTACGCAAAGCAGCATCTACTATCTAAAATATGTACTGCGTGACTCTTAATACGTCCCTGCCGAATGTTACAGCGTTCGATGATCTTGTTTATGTCCGGTCTATCTCTTATCTGAATATACTGTACAAATAAAGTAAGGAAAACTTTTAAACTATTTTGAAAAAATTCTGATTTTTCTGTCTCTCTTCGTATCTCCGAGATCCCAATCAATGCTGAGGGTTGAATTGAAACACCTTGTATATAATAAATAGCTAAACAGCTGTGACAAATTCTCACAGAAGACGCTATGGGATACCTTAGATACACTTTATCTCGAATAATTTTTTGAACTCGGGAATATAGCATTAGGTTGGATATATTGTTAATCGATTCCACAAAATATCAACTTCCTTTTCGCTCCCGGAAACCAGGCAGAAAGATTTTATGAGAATACTCACACAATCTTGTATCTTATTTACATTTTTTTTTATTGCCTATGGTCACAACACTGATTCTGCATGTAGGCCTATGAGATTCTCCGTTTTATATTGGCGTCCACTCAACAAGTAGTTCAATGACTTGTTGAATGGGTAATGTTTACTAAAGTCTTATATGCATAAATATACCAGGATCATTGCCTACATAAAAAGTATGCTTCATTGGATTCACCTTGTTGCTGCTTAACACGCGGAGACTGAATTACAGAAAAGATTACTTGTACTTTTGCATAAGATTGTGAAGCAGTGAGTGGATCCAAATCATCATTACGATTATACGAGGGATGTCTTTTAAGTTTTGCATTAAGAACCTTAAATTGAGTCCATTAAATACAGGTTTCCATTATAAGCAAGTTCATTATACATATAAGTGGATCTCACTGTATTAGTGTTCAGGTCCCGCTAGAGACGCCACTGGACTTGATAAATTGAATCAAGTTAGGACTGAATTGGCTCCTTAGTGTTATAAATACCACCGACAAATAACAACAAAATTAGGAAAACGATGTTTAAGAAATTTACAAAAAAGAATCTTCTGCTGAATGTGCAGAAATAAAAAAAACACTGTATTTCATCTTCAGAAATAGTTCGCAGCCCGGTGCTGTTGCGTCTTGTAGAACCGATTTCACTGTTTCTTCTCTTAAAACTTCTAGAGTGTAGTCAGATAGATTATTTAGAAACAAAAAAAGTGTGGATGAAGCATGAAAAAATGTTCCCAAAACATTGTATTTTTAGCTGTACTTTCCATCATTATTTCCACCGCCATCTATCTGTCATATGACGTAGACGTTTGTGCATATGTCATATATGAGAGGCGCTTGCCTGCGGTGTTGCCGGATTGGGCACCGGATTTAGGGGAAAATACGAAAAGTTGAAAATTTATATACATATGTATATTAATTAATGTATCACAAAAACGAAAAACTGAAACAAACAACAGTAGCAAAATAAAAGGCGATTCCTAATAAGTAGAAATCAAAAAGTAACGGTAGTGAGCTAAAAAATGATAAATTATAAATAATTATAAAAAAAAAACAAAAAATAAAAACTAATTCCATGTAATTATAAAAATCAAAAAATATCAAACAGCAGTAAAATAAAAAGTAGTAAAACAAAAAAAAACAATTCCATGTTGAATAAAAAGCAATTCTAAGTGACAACACAAAACAAAAAGTAAAAACAGTAGTAAAACGAAGAACAATTTCATTCCATCCAAATTACTTTTTATTTTACTGTTTGTCATTTTTTGTTTTTTCATAATTAAATGTAATTGTTTTTTGTTTTACTACTGTTTTAATTTTTTTTATAATCACTTAGAATTGCTTTTTATTTGCCGTTTGTTATTTTTTGTTTTATACTTAGTAAGAATCACTTTTAATTTTACTACTGTTGTTTGTTCCCGGTTTTCGATTTTGTGTTTCATTAATATAAATATATACTAAGTGACATATAAATCCGAACACCCAGTTTAAGTGGTTTTATTTTAATAAAATTTTGTATAAGTACTTAATGAAGCATAATAAGTAAATGATAAAAATTTCAAAATGATTGCACTGCTTTAAAGCCCTTTGACCTTTAATAATGTGTGGATGCACTCTGATGTGCTACGCATTCTCCAACGCGCCTAGGCATGCTTCTGATCAGGTGGTCAATGTCCTCCTGTGGTATCTCATTCCAGGCAACCACCAACTCCTCTCGAAGTGCTTCTAGAGTCTGAGGAGGACGTTGCAAATTGAGCAATCTCCTACCCATCATATCCCACACGTGCTCAATTGGGGATAAGTCGGGAGATCTTAGTGGCCATGGTAACAATGTGACATCATTATGTTGAAAGAAGTCTATTGTGACTCTTGCAACATGTGGTCGGGCATTATCTTGTTGGAAAGTTGGATCTGCCAGGGTGTCAAGATAGGGTAAAAGATGGGGTTCTAGAACTTCGTGGATATAACGTTGCGCGTTCATGTTACCTCTGATGAAGATTAAAGGTGACCTGGAACCATAAGCTATAACACCCCAAACCATAACTCCAACTGTGTGATGAACATGTCTTTCAACAAAAAACTGTGGATTCCTCCTTTCACCACGTCGCCTTCTAACCCTGACACGACCATCGTGCTTGCCTAAACAAAATCGAGACTCGTCACTAAAGACAATACTGTTCCATTCCTGATCCCAGAGTGACCGTTGTCTGCACCACTCAAGGCAACTACGTCGGTGTTCTCGAGTTAAAGGGAGGACCCAGTGTGGCCGGTATGAAAACAAGCCAAAACTTCTCATTCGTCGGTAAACACTTCGCATGCCAATAGGTCTTCCGTGTTCTGCAAACCATTCATTTGCAATGGACCTGGTAGTGGAGAAACGGTCCCTTAAGGCCAATAATCTGAGGCGGCGATCTTCACGGTCTGTTGTTCTATGGCGACGACCAGTGCCCCTTGCTCTTTGCGTACGGCCTTCTCGAAGCCATGCCTGACAACACCTAACCACAGTGTCTACACTTCTTTGCACTCTAACTACAATTGCTCGAAAAGAAAGTCCAGCTTCCCGAAGTCCCACTATACGGCCCCTATCAAACTCACTAAGTTGACGAAATCGTACAGGTCTCCGTACTCTAGGCATCGTAACCGATCGTAAAGGATGTCAAGAACCAAAATCCGCCAACGTTGATTCTTTACTGCGGCTGAAATATTCATTTTTAGAGCGTTAGTGAATCAAAAAAAAGCAGTATAAAAACCGGAATGTCCAACTGATAAGGCCGAAAAATTTTTCACTTGTTATTTACAGTAAGATAAATATATTCACCAACTTTTATTAAAATAAAACCATTTAAACTTTTTGTCACTAGTATAACTTCACTTTTCATATTTTTCCCTAAATACGGAGCCCAATCGGGCAACACCGCAGGCAAGCGCCTCTCATAAATGACATACCCACAGACGTCAGCGTCATATGGTAGACGGCGGTGGAAATAACTGCTAAAAAATACAGTGTTTTGGGAAAAAAATTCATGAAAAGCGTACTTCATCCACACTTTTATGATGTAAAATAATTTATCAGACTACCCTCTATAAGTTTCAAGTGAAAAAACAGTGAAATCCGACGTTCTACAAGACGCAACAGTTCCCGCAGCCCAAATCGACTACCTTAAAGATTTCGGCCGATGGAACTTCCACGTGTAACTTTGCCTCTGCACTCCATTGACGTAGAGATCATCCGTAGGGCTGCTGACGCACAGCAAGCTACTCGGTCTCACGGCGACCGCTAACTTGCTGTGTTTTTTCTCTTTCTTCCGTAGACGTACCCGCGAGTGCGGATGCGGAAGACCGCCCGTAGCTGATAGCCCTACGCGTTTCACTAGGTCCAGCATGGCCACAAATCACTTACCAGCGTTCATAGCGACCTGTTACGAGGTTCGAACAGAAATCTACTTTTGTACTATAGGTAACTTTGCGATTGAGGCATGTTGGAGATTTGTGAATGGCAAAATCTATCAAAACCTGACGATTAAGAAATGAAGGTCAGTGTAAAAACCGCATAGGTACAGTGTAATTCCCCTTCTTGGACACCCGTCTTACACGAACACATCCTTTAAATGGACAGTTTCTCATGGTCCAGACCGACTCTCATATAATTCGCATTGTATCAACTCTCTCTTGAAAGGATGCAGTCACGAAAAAAAATGTTCTCCTAACCGGACAAAAAACAATATAAAAAAAAGTAAAAAGGTGTAATACTCAAACACTTGCTAGTAAACGTTGAAACTGACGGTACAGCATTTGAGTAAATAAAGAAAATTACAGCTTATTTGGCAAAATCCGCTTGGGATCAAGAAACCAAAGACACAGTGCAAAATTGTTACCGCAAAGCAGGATTTAAGCATGAAAGTATGGAAAGTGACGACCAGTTAAATGAGGCTGAAACACCTGACCCAGAAGATGACTTACCACTTAATGTACCTTCAGATATCCTCAAATATAAGAATTTATTGAAATTTACTGATAATGAAAAACTTATTTGAACCTAGTTGAAAGTTTGTATGTTGAGGATCCAGATTCAGACAAATAAATTGAAAATACATGAAGTTTCCGAAGATTCTGATGTCGATGAGGTTCCAGTACCAACAAAAGTTATTCCGAATTATCGTAAAGCTATTACCCTGACCAAGCAGCTCAAAAGTTTCTTTATAAACTAGAAACACGATCTCAAGACGTCATTTTAAAGAACAGGAGGAGACAAACGACAATACAGCAGACGCTCGATAACGTAAACACGGGATAATGAAAACTAGCGCTAATGTAAACGCAAACTTCGTTCTGTAGGATCAAACGGAACGCGCGATAACGTAAACAATGTGTACGCTCGATAACGTAAACAACTCTCGGCGCACGGAAACAGCGCGACGGTAAAATGCGATGATTTATGTCGGGCTTCGGGAAGTCCCCGATTTATGATGCAGAGTGTAGGGGATTCATCTCTGCGATAAAATACGACAAACTCGGTCAGTCGTATGATCGTTTAGGATACGTTTATACGTACGTATGTATTTCATTTTTGAACTTAAGTGAATACATTGCACGCGTTAATATATTTTACGACTATGGTATCCACATCCTATAAAAGAAAGTGTTTAAAGTTGAGTGAGAAAGTGAAAATCATAGACGAAGTTGCACTAGGTGCGGGAGTGACACAGTTAGCAAAAAAATATGGAGTATCGAAAGCAACAATCTGTAAAATTAAGCGTATGAAAACTCAAATTTTACAAAGAACGTGCAATTCATTTGGAGGTCCGGGAAAAAGAAAAACTTTAAAAAATGCGAAGGCACCTAAAATGGAAAATTCCCTGTATAAGTGGTTCTTAAAACAACGGGAAAATCATGTCCCAGTTAGTGGCGAAGTACTTAAACAGAGAGCGAGACTGTTAAATGAAAAACTGAAAGAAACTGAAAATTTCGTAGCTAGTGATGGCTGGCTTCAACGATTCAGAACAAGATATGGAATTCGACTGCTGTCTATATCTGGTGAAAAATTATCAGCACAACCACAATTAGTGCAACCATTCAAAGAAAAATTGATGAAAACCATTACCGAGCTAGATTTAAGAATGGAACAAATTTACAGCGCAGATGAAAGTGGCCTTTATTGAAAATGTTACCAGAGAAAACCTATGCTGCATCATTTGAAAAATCTGCAGCGGGAAGAAAGCCGGAGAAACAACGAACAACGTTTCTAGCCTGCACTAATGCTAATGGTTCACACAAAATAAAGCCACTGGTAATTGGGAAAGCAAAAAATCCGCGCTCATTTAAAAATGTTAATATCCCTGTTGATTATGACTGTTCAAAAACAGCTTGAATGACTAGCAGTATATTCCTGAAATGGTTCCACAGGTGCTTTGTCCCACAGGTATGACAATCAATTATCACAAATGCTCTATTCATACTGTGAAGATGTGTTTTCAATTTGTAGGTAAAAGGTTTCCTAGAACAACAGAAGCTTCCAATAAAAGCGTTGTTACTATTGGATAATGCACCAAGTCATCCTCCCGAGCAACAACTGAGGAGCAGGGATGGGTCAATTTTCGTCATGTACATGCCGCCCAACGTAACACCGTTAATTCAACCGATGGAACAGAATATAATAAGACTCACCAAACTATACTATAGGAAGTTTCTACTTTCGTCTGTCTTATCAAAGAATCCTGACAACTTATCTGAGGCTTTAAAAAAAGTAACATTACGAGAAGCTGTTTTAGATTTACATATGGCCTGGAATGAACTTAACCAGCAAACTATTCAAAAATGTTGGAACAATCTCTTTTGTACCAATAATGAAGATGATGAAGAAGACGATGTCCCCTTAAGCGTAATTAAAGAACGTTTGCGATCCAATAATGATAATGTTATTAGTGTGTCATTGGATGTTGTTGATTTATTGAAAACAGTGAATCTCAACATTGTTTGTACTCCTGCTGATATTAATTGATGGAACGAAGATAAGCAGACGAATGATGCTGATAAGGAGGAGGATATGGACAGTGAGGATGATGAGAACGATCCCAGTGAAGTCAGAAGTGTAGTAACTGACGTGCAAGCTATACAAGTTTTTAACCAAGCTTTAGATTGGGCTGAAAGAAAAGAAGTTTCATATACGGATATTTTAGCTTCTTCGTAAATTACGGGCGCAGGCATTGGAAGACAATGCTAAGCGCAAATTTACGCAGACAAAAATTGTTAATTATTTTTCTTCTAATTAAAAAAATACGTATCGCTGTTCGAATATTTGTTTATTTTGTTATAAATATACCTGTGACATATAAATAAGAACACCCAGTTTAAATGGTTTTATATTAATAAAATTTTGTATAAGTACTTAATGAACATAATAAGTAAATGATAAAAATTTCAAAATGATTGCACTGCTTTAAAGCCCTTTGACCTTTAATAATGTGTGGATGCACCCTGATGTGCTACGCATTCTCCAACGCGCCTAGGAATGCTTCTGATCAGGTGGTCAATGTCCTCCTGTGGTATCTCATTCCAGGCAGCCACCAACTCCTCTCGAAGTGCTTCTAGAGTCGGAGGAGGACGTTGCAAATTGAGCAATCTCCTACCCATCATATACCACACGTGCTCAATTGGGGATAAGTCGGGAGATCTTGGTGGTCATGGTAACAATGTGACATCATTATGTTGAAAGAAGTCTATTGTGACTCTTGCAACATGTGGTCGGGCATTATCTTGTTGGAAAGTTGGATCTGCCCGGGTGTCAAGATAGGGTAAAAGATGGGGTTCTAGAACTTCGTGGATATAACGCTGCGCGTTCATGTTACCTCTGATGAAGATTAAAGGTGACCTGGAACCATAAGCTATAGCACTCCAAACCATAACTCCAACAGTGTGATAAACATGTCTTTCAACAAAAAACTGTGGATTCCTCCTTTCACCACGTCGCCTTCTAACCCTGGCACGACCATCGTGCATGTCTAAACAAAATCGAGACGCGTCACTAAAGACAATACTTTTCCATTCCTGATCCCAGAGTGACCGTTGTCTGCACCACTCAAGGCGATTACGTCGGTGTTCTCGAGTTAAAGGGAGGACCCAGTGTGGCCGGTATGAAAACAAGCCAAACTTCTCATTCGTCGCTAAACACTTCGCATGCCAATAGGTCTTCCGTGTTCTGCAAACCATTCATTTGCAATGGACCTGGTAGTGGAGAAACGGTCCCCTAAGGCCAATAATCTTAGGCGGCGATCTTCACGGTCTGTTGTTCTACGGCGGCGTCCAGTGCCCCTTGCTCTTTGCGTACGGCCTTCTCGAAGCCATGCCTGACAACACCTAACCACAGTGTGTACACTTCTTTGCACTCTAACTGCAATTGCCCGAGAAGAAAGTCCAGCTTCCCGAAGTCCCACTATACGGCCCCTATCGAACTAACTAAGTTGACGAAATCGTACAGGTCTCCGTACTCTAGGCATCGTAACCGATCGTAAAGGATGTCAAGAACCAAAACCGCCAACGTTGATTCTTTACTGCGGCTGAAATATTCATTTTTAGAGCGTTAGTGAATTAAAAAAAAGCAGTATAAAAACCGGAATGTCCAACTGATAAAGCTGAACATTTTTTCACTTGTTATTTACAGTAAGATAAATACATTCACCAACTTTTATTAAAATAAAACCATTTAAACTGGGTGTTCGGATTTATATGTCACTTAGTATATATTTTTTTACCACCGTGCGGAAAGTACTCACTTTCAACACGCATCTGCGTGCAGAAAGCAGCACTTTTCCGGTAGAAAAAATCTTATACCTAACACTTCCGAAAGGTGTACTTTCCACCCCGGTTAGGTAAATAACTATTTAAATTTGCCAAATTCGTCTATACAGTTTTTGTCTTGCATTTTGTAAGGAAAACGATGATAGAAATAAGTATTTTGAAAAATGTGATAATTTAAACATTTTATAATTCCCCACGGCGATTCACCATTTCGTTGTTCCTTTAGGAAAAACAACTCGTCAAGGAGATAGTAACCGCCACGCACCTCAACATTCTGCGTCTTAAACCGGATCTACGTATATTCAAATTATCCTTTTTTCATTTTTACAATGGCACAAAACTAGCTTTATTAAAATGATACTATTAGACATACTTATACATTTAATCACCATTGTATCCTTTAAACCATTATTTAAATTCACAGGGCGTAGGTGTCAAATATACATATATACATTCCTAAATCAGCGGCAGCTTAATATACAAAGACAGCAACTTGTCTATACGTAAACACCTGGCTCCTAGGACATATTACACAATCGTATAACGACGTTACGAAACGTTTGATAGATGATTATATTACTATTGAAGATAGATTCGCAATTGGAAAATTTAAAATGACAAGGCCAATGAACTTCAGAAATTCTATTATTTTATACAGGAGTGCTGGCAGCAAA